ATATAATTTATCACCTGAATCTGAATCAAAATAAATTAAAATGTGAATAGTATTGTATAAATAAGATTATTGTAATAAATTTCATCTAATTTATAAATAAATATATTTATGAAAAATAAATAATATTTTTACATGAACACATTATCTAAATATATTTAAATTATAGAACTTCAAATCAATTATATCAACATTACAACTATAATCATAAATTCTCATCTTCTCTAATAAATTATAAAGAAATAAATGTGAAATGTCATGCGATTTTAAAAGAAAATTTTTTGGCTATAAAATGTTATTACCTATTTGAATTCAACGACCATACTCCTTGTTGAAACATAGTATATACTAGAAAATCTTAGAATTCCATATTTTATTAATCAAATTAATATCGACCAATAAATTATGAATTAATCAATTTAATTTATTTGATTGAATAGAGTAAATATGAAAATATTAATTATTGATATGCAAAATAATAATTAATTCATTTTTTTTAACATTTATAGCATAGATACTCTCCTTTAACATACTCCGCCTAAGAGGATCAACTTTGATAAGAAAACTCTGATAAGCATTAAAAACAAAATAAGTTTTTAAAAAATTAACATGCTTCCTCACATAAGTAGATTGATTCTCCATTAGTAGCATTAACTTTTACTTTACGGTTCTTCTGGAACACTTTGATCTACAGTAATAACATTATTGCTTTTTTTTACAATTTTCACAAAAAATAATTTGTTTTTATAAAATTTATGCACATTCATTGCATAGTTAATCTAAGCAATCTTTTTAACACTAATCGCATATTTTTAAATCTAATGCTTATTTTAGTACTCTATTTAAATTAAATTTAAAGTCACTTCCACAACATTCACAAATTTCAGTGAATTCATTAATTTCAAGACAACTTTTGCAAGTATAAGCAGTATCAATTTAACTTTTATAGTCTTCATATTTAATTTAGAAAATATCACTACAAACATTGCAAACAGCATTTACATTTTGAATGTTAAGTTATTTTAGTTGTAAGAATTTTGTTGTTTGAGGAATTTTATCATCATCATCATCACAATTCCTCTTTAATTCTAAACTCTTGCAAATATCATTACATTAACTATGTTATGTTTAAAAAAAGGTTTCAATTCCTAACATCTCTTAATTTGTTTCATCCCGCAAATATCCAATATCGTATTTTGTATGTATGCATGGATCCGAAAGTACTCTTTATTTTCCTTAGAGATCAGTAATTACTAAACTTTTTATTCGTGTAATGATATGTAAAATGACTAAAAGCTGAATAATTTTCTTTCTATTTATCCATGTAATTAGTATTATTAGAAATCTTTTCCCAAGGGCCATTAATATTTATATTGGTTTCTGCATAAAGATCTGTTAATCCCATGAATTCCTTACAAAGTGTATATTTTATAGGAGTTACATAAAAAATTGGAGGTGCTTTATTGTTCTACCTAGTTTTTAATCTGTATGCACAACTTAATTATTTTGCTATTATAGTTTAATTATATCTGACAAAGACGCTTTTTAAGCATTTTAGATATAATTTTCATCAATTTACCCTTTCTTATTTTAATATAGGTCTACAACTTTTTTTGGAAGTTTTATAATAACTTTCAAATTATTTCTGATGTCAAATGCTTCAAAAATATAGGAAACCATTCCTTAATCCTTCGAATTCAATACTTTTTAATTCATTTCTATTTCTAAGATTGTATCCCCTCCAACTTAATTTTTACCCATTTAAGTTAAAAAATTCGAAAAGTAGTTTAATAAGTTTTTGTTATTGCATTCGACTGGCTCAATTGCTTTGTGCCAAATTAAGTGTGCCTAAAATCTTTATGGTTTTGATTAAATATTATTTAAAAAAATTATGGATGATTATTTAAAAGATTTGATCATGGATAAAGAAACATAATTTGCAAAATCTTATGTTTTTAATTAACTTATCTCTAAATTCTTGAAGTTTTATTTCATAATTTCAAACATCTTATTTGTAGTATCATTTATTTTACAACAAAAGAAATAATTATTAGGAATCTTTTTTTAATCTAAAACCTACATAAGTTTTTCCAAAGACCCATCCTAAATCTTGTCTTTATGGTTATCCCCAACTATATCCTCATGGTATTATTTGCCATGTGTTGGAGCATCACATATCAAAAATGTGCAAAGTATACTTTAAGAGTGTTTAGAAAAATTCAATTTTAATACTTGCTAAATTCCACCTGCAACATCTTCTGCGTCATCATCACCCCCTGTAGCTTCGAGGGTACTGATAAATTATTTTATCAAATCAACATCCGTAGTAAAATCATGATATTAAATATGTTTTACATCTTTAAAATCCCTATAACCAACAAAGGCTATTCTAATTTATGTTTATGATACAGTCTTGTTAAAAATATCAATTATTGATGATATACTTTCTCTAGCTTAATCAATCCACTTCTTCATGCTGCCAGTGCAATCCATTATAAATACAACATCCAAAATATTTCTTTCTTTAATATCATTTTATAATTTTTAGAGTTTTTATTTCTCGAAGTTTAATTCCAACTTTTTAAATGATTTGCTATCCATTCTTTCCAGTTAAGGTTTTGAACTACGAGTGCATGGAATCAATTTTTTTCTTTCAAATTAATCAGCTGATACATTTCTGATTTTCTCCCAATCTACATGAAATTTTGGGCATTATCCTTTGTAATCACTAATACCTTTAAAATACTTAAGGCAATATTTTTCCAAAGAATTTTATATTTTATCTACATCTGTTATTGCTTCTGGGCTTAAATTTTCATATTCATATTCCTTTAACACTTCTTATCTAAGTTCTTCCCAGTCTAAATGTTTTTAATTGTTTTCACATTCTCCCTCACAATCATCACTATTTTTTAAATTTTTCATGCAAATGTTTCTCTTTGATATCCAATTTCTGTGTAGATAATAGCAATTATTGTTTTTACAATCAATTTTTGGACATAAATTAATAACAAAAACACGATTAATTGAAATCATTTATAGCTTCTCTTTCAAATTACCCTTACCAATATGATTCAAATTTTGAGGGCAAGTTTTCTTACATTTTCCATTTAAATTATTAATACATATCCCTGCAAAACATCTTGGATGCATTAAATTACATTCTTTATTTTTACATTATATGTTTTCAGGGCATATTGAAGACGATTATTCAATTAATTTTGAAATCATTTAATAGATATCAATAGAAAAAATTATTATTTGACAAAAATAATGTATATTTATTTATTAAACTGTAATAGAATTACAGTTTAAGATAAGAATTCTAATTCTAATAATTCAAATGAATATTTTTTGAACTTAAATGATAATCTTGATTTATGATCTGAGATAATATTGATTTTTGTGTAGATTTCATGAATTTTTTTCCTTGTTACTCACAGAATGGAGAATTTAAAAAATGAATTATTTTATTCTATTTCAAGAAAACTTCATTTTATCTGATTAAAATCTATTCTTAAAAACTAATTTTAATAAATTTATTTCACTATAGCCTTGTAATTATATCAAAGGAGATCTAGTAAAACTATTATGAATATTTCTGATGTATACCTCTATGTAAAAAAGTGATCAAATAGAGGATTAAAAAATTTTACTTAAAAATGATATTACACCATTTACATTTATCATCATCAATTTTAAAAGGTATACTTTTATTATATAACAGGCTAAATCCACTTAATTTCCATCTCTCAATTCATAAATTTAATATTAACCTGGAATGAACCCTGTTTATCTTGTTCTGTATTCTTGATAAAAAATATTTCAATTATAGAGATCCAAATATTCTGTTAATTATTTTATTAAATATATGTTATGCCAAAACGTTAAAATGATATCTCATGGACTTTAATTAATATTTCTTCTAATTAAAAGCAACACCATTATAATTATTGTTTTATTATATAAAAATAAAACTATAGAGAATTGCACTTTTATTAAGTTTATTTTATTATTGTCTTTTTAAATTTACCAATATATATAAATTAATTAAGAAAAAAAGTAGATTAAAGTTTAATGATAATAAGCTCTGATTTAATCTATAAATCGTGCTTTTTACCTTAAGTGTCTAAATATTTAAATAATTTTAATTAATCAATTCTTTTTCTGAATATTTAATTATTTTCATCTATCACCAAATTATTTTGTTTAACAATTATAACAAATAATATCATGATATTTATGATTTTATCTTAAAATAAATTATAAAATTGTTTGTTTGTCAATTAATCAAGCACGTTAAAGTATTTTCCTATCAAAATCCTTACTTACGGGTGGACAATTAAAGGGGGACTTCATAATATTTCTTTAGAATAGTTAGCTTAGGTTTCTCAAAAAGGAGGTTGCCCTATTTGGATATCTTGGATTACAAGCAGTAGCGATCTTATTTTTATTTTTGAAGTAAGGAAATTAGTCATTAAAAAGTCCTTGGATTTATAAAGGTTGACTCTCTTTCTATTGTTTTTGAAATGTAGAAAAGGTTGAACGGTTAAAGATTGAAAACTTTGTTTTCATTTTAGATCCATTAGTTGTGGTATACATTAATAGGGTTTTTATTTCTCATTCTCCATTTTTATATTTTTCTTTTGGATAGGCTCATGAAGTGTTATCGGAAATATTTAAAAAAATTTGAGTGATGACACATCATAAAAAAATTATAATTTAATTAGAATTTTACAAAATATCCACATTCATTGATTTCTAAAATAAAGTCACTAATCTACCCTAAGTGCACAATGAAGCCTTCAGTAAGTATATGATTGAAAAATCACTTGTAAAACAGATGAGATTTTGAGTATTCAAATTATAAATAAATAGAAATTCGGGAAGTAATCTTGTAAGGGAAAAAACATAATATAATATTGAAATTATTTTCATTATTTATTTATTTATAATAAAGGATAAAATTCTTTTTAAAATCTTTTAAATTTTTAAATTCTTTATCACAATCCTAAATTGTCATCTTCTTCATCTTCTTAATTTTCTTTGTTCTCTTATTATTCATCTTCTTCGTCTTCTTCATCTTCTTAATTTTCTTTGTTCTCTTATTATTCATCTTCTTCGTCTTCTTCATCTTCTTAATTTTCTTTGTTCTCTTATTATTCATCTTCTTCATCTTCTTCATCTTCTTAATTTTCTTTGTTCTCTTATTATTCATCTTCTTCGTCTTCTTCATCTTCTTAATTTTCTTTGTTCTCTTATTATTCATCTTCTTCATCTTCTTCATCTTCTTAATTTTCTTTGTTCTCTTATTATTCATCTTCTTCGTCTTCTTCATCTTCTTAATTTTCTTTGTTCTCTTATTATTCATCTTCTTCATCTTCTTCATCTTCTTAATTTTCTTTGTTCTCTTATTATTCATCTTCTTCGTCTTCTTCATCTTCTTAATTTTCTTTGTTCTCTTATTATTCATCTTCTTCATCTTCTTCATCTTCTTAATTTTCTTTGTTCTCTTATTATTCATCTTCTTCGTCTTCTTCATCTTCTTAATTTTCTTTGTTCTCTTATTATTCATCTTCTTCATCTTCTTCATCTTCTTAATTTTCTTTGTTCTCTTATTATTCATCTTCTTCGTCTTCTTCATCTTCTTAATTTTCTTTGTTCTCTTATTATTCATCTTCTTCATCTTCTTCATCTTCTTAATTTTCTTTGTTCTCTTATTATTCATCTTCTTCATCTTCTTCATCTTCTTCATCTTCTTCATCTTCTTCATCTTCTTAATCTTCTTCATCTTCTTCATCTTCTTCATCTTCTTCATTTTCAATTTATTCCATCTATTCATTGTCATCTGATATTTTTGCTAAGATTTCATCTAAATATTTATTATTGTTACTTTTTAATTTCATAATTATAGAATTCTCAGGAGATAAACTAAGCAATTTTTCACATAGATCAATTGCTTCTTGATGTTTATTCAATTCTAATAAGCAACCAGCTTTTAGAAATAAAATTAAAAAAATCTCATCATCGATAGATAATACACAATTTAAGGCTATGAGAGCTTCATCAAATTTATTCTTTAAAATTAATAACGTTCCTTTGAATAAGAAAGGAAAAGTATCTTGTGGATACTTTATTATCAAATCATCAAAAAATTAAATTACTAAATCATGTCCTTTATCATTAAGGATCAAGGCTAAAATTATTAATATATTTCACCTTTTTACCAAATGATTAGAAAAAAATTTGGGCTTGATGCTAAGATTTAATCTATCAACTCCAAAGCTTCATTTTATTTTCCTCCTAATAATAAAATATTCGCTTAGATTAATAATAATTATACCTTTTAAGTGTTAAATCATCCATAAAGTTGGATCAATTTCTATTAGTTTTTGTAAAACTTTTTATGCTTAATCAAATTCACCTTAATGAATTAAAGTAATTCCTTAAGACAAATTCATATGTTACCTTTGAAATACAATGCTTTCCCATCCTCTGGATAATATTTTATCATTTCCTCAGAGATATTTGATGTTTCAACATGGTTCCCATCGATAATTGCAAATGAAACTTGTAATAGGCTGATTTAATATACTTTTTAAAAAGAAAGCATCATAATTTTAAGGAGATTTTTGTTATATTTAATCAAATAATATAAGTGCTTTATCTTATTCAAGTTATTGAATTAATAAATGGCCTTAATCATAATAAATATAATACTCTAAGACAAAAGTGTGTATATTTCATCTGAGTTATTTTCAATTACTTTTTTGAAACATTTTTTTGCTTCAGTCAATTAGAAGATTAAACTTAGACATTAACCTTATATCTTTTGATATATTTACCCTTATAAAACATAGCTTTATAATCATTTTGATTTATATTTAAAGCATGATCGTAGGCCTTCAAGGCAGAATTGAATTTAGCTAAATTAAATAAACATTCTCCTAAAAATTATAATTACTTTCTACCTTAATTTAAATAAGCTTAGGCATTATTTTCATTAATTAATAGTAATTTTTCATAGCATTCTAATGCCTAATTGAATTTTGATTTAATTCTTAAGCAATCACCTAAAATGTAGTTTGATCTTACCCTTTCCTAATAAAGCTTATTCATTCTCAGGATTCAATTTTAAGCATTCTTCATAGTATAGCATTGCCTTCTATAAATCTTATTATTTCAATAAATAATTTGCTATTTTTATATTCTATCATTTACCAATCTTCAATATATTTTACTCATCTTTTTAAATGAATATGTTTATTTGGCAATTTCTATAAATGTCTTCCATCGATTTTTTCAACTTAAGTAATTATGGTTAGACCGTTTATTAGATTGTTTATTTTAATTAATCAAATAAGAATGAAATTGTCAGTGCTTCTTCAATTTGACTTAAATCTAAAAAATTCATAGACTCTAAACTAAAAACTCTATCTTCTAAACCTTTGATTAAATATTAGTATTATTCCTTAGCCTAATTAAACTGATTTTTTGTTATAGTAATAGTCTCTTTAAGTTTTCTCAATTATTAATTAATTAAGCTCTCAGCATCTTCGATTTTAATAACGACGCCCATATGTTTGACATGCTATGTTTAATTCATACATTTAAAACAAAACAATCTATTATCATAGCAATCTTTCTTAAAGCAGCAGAATTAAATAAGTTCTTAAGGGTGCTACTTACAAGCGAAATTGAATTTCTATTATTACAACATTAAAAAATTATTTATAAGTCTATTAAAAAAAATTTAAGTCTTAAAAATGTTTTTTTTATCAATAAAATTTATTTTAAACATTATAATAGGCTCAAAATAACTAGAAGTTAATTATATTGATTATTATAAATATTTGGTGGAGTGATATTTTGTCAAATACAAACATTGATCCTGAATAAACAATATTGACCTATTTTCTTCATGGTTTATAGTATAATATGTTTTAAGGGTTTGTTATTTAAGTTTAATCACCTTAAAAAGTAGATGAGATCAACTATAAATAATATATGTTTGTTGGAATTATAAAATTGAGAAAATGAGCCTTGGTTATTAACTAAGAAAATGAGCCTTGGTTATTAACTAAGAAAATGAATAGTATTATATTTATTATGAATTTGAATATCTCAATTTATTTTTAATAGTTTCTTTAAGTGTATAGATTTTTGAAATAATTCTTAACATATTAAAATATTTTGTGATAATTATTCTAATAATTAAAAGAAACTATTATTATAATTCTTAGAATTTAATATAATTTTTATAAGAATCCATCATTATTAAGAAATTTTAAATAGTAAATATAATCAAATGAATTCAAGTAGTGCTACATCTTTTTGTTATTCTAATCCATATCTACACAATGGACAACGAGGATCTCTTCCAAGCCATTATTTACAACATTCAGCATGAAAATAATGTTCTTTATGGCAAGGCAATTGAATTATACTATGTGATTCATTGATTTCCTAATAGCAAATAGGACTAAAATATTGATTTAAAAGATACCAATCGTTTTATTATATCGAAGGACGTTGTTCCATTAATTTTTTTAATTTAATTTTCTATAATTAATCATAAAATCTTATGATTAAATTTCTATTTTGTTGATAATGCAATTCTTGTCTAAGTACAATGAACCATAGCATTACAAATGGCCATATGAAACACATAAGTACAGGAATAAGCCAATAAATAATCAAAAGTATTATATAAATTTGTATAAGCAATGGTGTATCTGTAGTAATAAATAAAATGATAATGAAAGTATAGACTGAGATAAAGTAGTACAATAATTTAATGGTAATACAATTAAAATAAAAGGATTTTTATTCAATAATTTCTATTATGAGAAGTCCATTTACAGGACGATAATAGCTAATGAACTCTTGAATAAGTATTTAAGTTATGGATGAATTCAAAGAGAGTAAATTGAGTTATCTATTAAAATTCTATATATCAATACCGCCAATATATTAGGTTAAAATTCTAATTTATATTAAGATGTTTACCCTATAATTAGATAATGAAGGATATTAATCACATCATGGAAACCCATAACTAAAATAAGTATACTAAAAAGAGGTTCGTCTATTTATTGATATTACGATAAAGTAATAAATAGTTTGATTAGATAATAGAAACATAAAAATAAACAAAGANTGTTAAGATTTGTTATTTAAGTTTAATCACCTTAAAAAGTAGATGAGATCAACTATAAATAATAAATGTTTGTTGGAATTATAAAATTGGGAAAATAAGCCTTGGTTATTAACTAAGAAAATGAATAGTATTATATTTATTATGAATTTGAATATCTCAATTTATTTTTAATAGTTTCTTTAAGTGTGTAGATTTTTGAAATATTTCTTAACATATTTAAATATTTTGTGATAATTATTATAATAATTAAAAGAAACTATTATTATAATTCTTAGAATTTAATATAATTTTTATAAGAATCCATCATTATTAAGAAATTTTAAATAGTAAATATAATCAAATGAATTCAAGTAGGGCTACATCTTTTTGTTATTCTAATCCATATCTACATAATGGACAACGAGGATCTCTTCCAAGCCATTATTTACAACATTCAGCATGAAAATAATGTTCTTTATGGCAAGGCAATTGAATTATACTATGTGATTCATTGATTTCCTAATAGCAAATAGGACTAAAATATTGATTTGAAAGATACCAATCGTTTTATTATATCGAAGGACGTTGTTCCATTAATTTTTTAAATTTAATTTTCTATAATTAATCATAAAATCTTATGATTAAATTTCTATTTTGTTGATAATGCAATTCTTGTCTAAGTACAATGAACCATAGCATAACAAATGGCCATATGAAACACATAAGTACAGGAATAAGCCAATAAATAATCAAAAGTATTATATAAATTTGTATAAGCAATGGTGTATCTGTAGTAATAAATAACATGATAATGAAAGTATAGACTGAGATAAAGTAGTACAATAATTTAATGGTAATACAATTAAAATAAAAGGATTTTTATTCAATAATTTCTATTATGAGAAGTCCATTTACAGGACGATAATAGCTAATGAACTCTTGAATAAGTATTTAAGTTATGGATGAATTCAAAGAGAGTAAATTGAGTTATCTATTAAAATTCTATATATCAATACCACCAATATATTAGGTTAAAATTCTAATTTATATTAAGATGTTTACCCTATAATTAGATAATGAAGGATATTAATCACATCATGGAAACCCATAACTAAAATAAGTATACTAAAAAGAGGTTCGTCTATTTATTGATATTACGATAAAGTAATAAATAGTTTGATTAGATAATAGAAACATAAAAATAAACAAAAAGCATTCCCTTCCTTAATTGCTCTGGGAAGCATTGGCATATAATCATCTGTAATTATGAGTCTTTCATCTAAATAAGAGTGTTCTGATCCAAAGTTGACTGTGTAGTCTTAATTCCAAAAGAAGTTGGCTTCATTTATCATACAATATTAATAAAAAAATAATTATTATGGAAGAAACTGAAGCTTTGATAAAATCATCTGAGCCTTAACATACTAGAAACGTCATTTAGGCACTAATAAATGAATATAAAATTATGTATGCTGGTCTATAAAATCAGTAATAAATTGTCTTAAAACCTAGAGAATACCTTGATTATTGTTTTGTAAAAGGAGCTTCTGGATAAACAGTCCCATTAGCACTTCTATTACCTGTAGGTTTGTTTTTGGGGATAGTAAATATATTGTCAAAAGCTACAACCAATATTATTGAAGGTTAATAATGATGTCAAATTTAGGTGATTATATCCTCACAAATTTGGTTTAAGTGATCCTTTAAATCTGTGGACTTTGCATAGTTCTATATTTATTACTTAAAGCATGTGAGGTGATACCAAAGAAGATTCAAAATCCACTTCTTTTTGGGAGAGTAACAACTTACGTTTTTATGTGTTTACTTATTGCAATGGGAATTTTGGTTGTAGAGAGGATAGTAGAAGGATAAGCTAGAACTTATCATACTTCTTAATTCTGGGTTGTTTTTGCCTTAATAATCTGGTAAAAAATCTTGGTCTTATTTATATATGATTATAAAGTTAGATTTGCAGCATTTTTCTTTTTATATACTTATTATGCTTTTAGAGTTTCAGGTTAAGAATTTAGATGGGCATACAATCTATTAAAAGCATCAGTTTATATAATTTTAGAGTTAGTGATGGTTATAGATAGAGAATTAAAGAATTATGCTGATTATTAACTGGAAAATAATGTAATTTTTAAATTTATATAGATTCAAACTAAATAAGTATTAGATGAAGTAGTACCTCCAATGAGAATGTTTTAATAACAATTCTTACTTGAATCTTATCTTAAAGTATTTCCTGTTGTTATTTTTGATTAAACAAAAGAATTGCTTAATATTTCATCTGAAACATTAAAATTATTAGGTCAAAATGATTTGTTTTAGGCTGAAAAATAATTAAGAAAATTAGAGATAATAGAAGTTTTTAATAGAAAGGAATAAGTGTCAGTTAAAGAATTGACTGTTAAATTGAGTAGATAAGCTAAATTTGGATCTACTTGTGGAGTAAATGAAAAAGGAGATTTATTACATTCTTTAATTAATGGTCCAGCCTTATAGCAATTAAGATAATAGTAATAAACTGACTAGCCAAGATTGTAAACTCAGGGTTAATTAGAATAGTTACTTAATGAATTAATAAAGGGAGATCAAGATTATTTAAAGGGATTATTAGTATTGAAATTAAGTAAGGAAAAGTAGTACTATTTTTCATTTCATTTGATTCGTAATAAAAAAATTTATCTATTTTTGGATGATGTTTCTGAAATAATGAAACTTTAATTGAAAAACAAGGATGAAAATTATGAGACAAAAGATAATAAAGATATTAATATTCTATTATCTTAGATTCGTTAGATTGCTACATTAAAAGGTTATCCTATACCAACTAAAATATAAAATATTGAGATGAAATCTTGTTATTTAGAATAGAATTAATTAAAAATTAATTATGACAAAATTAATTTTGATTAAATGGTGATAAATTTGTAAGAATATTATAAATAACGAATTCCAACAATTAAATATTAATTTAAAAATCTAGTAAAATTGAATACAAATTTCTTTACAGATGAAGAACGTGTAAGATAAATTATAGATATTATAATGGAGAATAGTATAGAATAAACAAAAGATGGATTTATTGGTATAACTTTTGAAAATGATGCAAGACCAAATTGTATTCAAGTATCTATACAAGACACAGGCACAGGGATAAATCTAGAATTAATTAAAGATGAAATGGGTACAAAATTATCTGGTCTTTTCATAGCTAATTATTTAACTAAAATATTAGGAGTTTCATTTTTTAATAAAAAAATTAATGGATAAATTGCAAGTAAAGGATTAAGAATTGTAACTACATAAGAGTATGGAACTAAAATTTCATTTACTCTTAGAAATATGTTATATGATTAGAATAATGTTTTCTTTCTTTTAGATGAGAATATAGATGAAGATGAATAGAATCAAGATGAAATTATTGAAAGATACTTAATTGAAGATTAAACTTTATATTTAAATAGATTAAAAAAGTATAAATATATATATTATTTAAATAGACCTATTAAATATATAGTGATGAAAAATGAAGAAAAAAAAGTTGTATAAATTTTAGAAGACAGAATAGTTAAAAGACCACAATTAAAAGGTATGATGAAACTTTAGGAATCAGGAAGATTGAAGTCTCTAACTAATCAAATAGAATAATTATAAATTCCATTAGAAAAATGTATATGTGAAACTCCTTTAATCATAAATAGTGATTTCTACTTTTCATCTACATTAAAAGACTTTAATTTTTAAATTGTAAATGAATATGAGGCTTTGAAAATAATTAATATAAAATTAAAAGAGAATCCTTGTATATAGAAAGGATGCATTGCTTATAATAAAATATTTATTAATTGCTCAAATCCTAAAGTAAATTATGATGAGTAATATATAAATTTAATTGTAGTTTGATTAAGAAATTGCTTCTATTAAATAAGTAACTTAATATTGTAGTCCTTTAATATCTTCCATGGGGAGAATAATAACCAAACATCACTTATTATTAAATGCCAACCAAATTAGATACAATATTTAAGTGATATAAATAAATTTCACTAATATAATAAAAAACTTCCTTTATACTCCAATTTATATAATCATTAATATTAAGAACAGTTTAGTATTTAAATGCTTCTTTGATTTCTTTTATTTAAGAGAAATTTGATTATTTTAGAATAATCTTATATTACTAAAATAAGATAGGATCTACATATTTTTATTTTTCCATATTCCAAATGTGATACAAATCTATATAATAATTTACTCTATTTAGATATTCTAATATAAACTATTTTCTAAATATCAATTTTATGATAACCATAGGCTATAAGGTAGATTTGTTTCTCATTTAATTTCTTTTAAATGGTATTTATATGTATGTCTATCTAAATTTAATAGATTAATATTCATATCTAAATTTATTAATTTTACTCATTTAATTAATATTATAAATAATGTTAATTCTATATGAATAAAATGATACTAATATAGTTTTATCACACCCTCAAAAATCAATTATCATAATTCTAAATGAAGGCTATTACTTAAATTCTTATATATATCTATATAGGAATCAATTAAATGTTATCTAAATTTTCAAGTATAAACACTTATATTAATATATTATGTATAAAAATATATGACAAAAATATTTTTGTTTTACTCAAATAAATCATATTTAACTTTAAATAATCACATATATAGTCTTTAATAAATGTTTTCTTTTTCTTTTTTAATACAAAATTGATATTTCTAATTTAGTTTAAAAATAAATGAAATAGAAGATAATATATAATAATCTAATTAGATTGAGAATAGAAAAGTAGATAGTATAACTATTTTTCATTATTATTATTCCTATTTCCTAATTTCAATTGAATCTAGTTAATTATTACTCATTTTTTATATATATCTAATTTCTACTTTAAATTTATTATATTGAATAAATATAGAATTCTTTCAGAATTAAACGAAAACTTGATATAAAAGCATTTTGAGTTTGTTAATATGTGATAAATAAAAATTTAATGGAAAAATCATATTTCAAAATTTAAACAATCATTTTGATAATTGGTCTATTTTCATATGTAAAAGGATCATAATTAGTAACATTTGAAGATATGTGTACTTGTGAACAATTAGTTTATGAAAACGAATGTTTGGCTAATAAAATATGTAACTTTTCTAACTAAGAATGCAAAACTATTCCTTGTGATCAATTATCAGCAGGAAATTGTCATAATAATCATAAANTTTAATATCTTCCATGGGGAGAATAATAACCAAACATCACTTATTATTAAATGCCAACCAAATTAGATACAATATTTAAGTGATATAAATAAATTTCACTAATATAATAAAAAACTTCCTTTATACTCCAATTTATATAATCATTAATATTAAGAACAGTTTAGTATTTAAATGCTTCTTTGATTTCTTTTATTTAAGAGAAATTTGATTATTTTAGAATAATCTTATATTACTAAAATAAGATAGGATCTACATATTTTTATTTTTCCATATTCCAAATGTGATACAAATCTATATAATAATTTACTCTATTTAGATATTCTAATATAAACTATTTTCTAAATATCAATTTTATGATAACCATAGGCTATAAGGTAGATTTGTTTCTCATTTAATTTCTTTTAAATGGTATTTATATGTATGTCTATCTAAATTTAATAGATTAATATTCATATCTAAATTTATTAATTTTACTCATTTAATTAATATTATAAATAATGTTAATTCTATATGAATAAAATGATACTAATATAGTTTTATCACACCCTCAAAAATCAATTATCATAATTCTAAATGAAGGCTATTACTTAAATTCTTATATATATCTATATAGGAATCAATTAAATGTTATCTAAATTTTCAAGTATAAACACTTATATTAATATATTATGTATAAAAATATATGACAAAAATATTTTTGTTTTACTCAAATAAATCATATTTAACTTTAAATAATCACATATATAGTCTTTAATAAATGTTTTCTTTTTCTTTTTTAATACAAAATTGATATTTCTAATTTAGTTTAAAAATAAATGAAATAGAAGATAATATATAATAATCTAATTAGATTGAGAATAGAAAAGTAGATAGTATAACTATTTTTCATTATTATTATTCCTATTTCCTAATTTCAATTGAATCTAGTTAATTATTACTCATTTTTTATATATATCTAATTTCTACTTTAAATTTATTATATTGAATAAATATAGAATTCTTTCAGAATTAAACGAAAATTTGATATAAAAGCATTTTGAGTTTGTTAATATGTGATAAATAAAAATTTAATGGAAAAATCATATTTCAAAATTTAAACAATCATTTTGATAATTGGTCTATTTTCATATGTAAAAGGATCATAATTAGTAACATTTGAAGATATGTGTACTTGTGAACAATTAGTTTATGAAAACGAATGTTTGGCTAATAAAATATGTAACTTTTCTAACTAAGAATGCAAAACTATTCCTTGTGATCAATTATCAGCAGGAAATTGTCATAATAATCATAAGTTATTTTGATGATAATGATTAAACTTGCCGAGAAATATAAAATATCAATTTAGGTTCCTGTTCAGAAGACTTATTTTCATTATGCTTGATAGCTAATGAAGGTCTTTTTATTCGAAAGGGTGGAGTATGCTAAGAAATGAAAATTTGTGAAGATTCTAAAAGTGATGACTTCTAGTGTTTTCTTGCTTTCCCAGCATGTGAACCAACAATTGATAAGTGTTAATCTCATCTTAAATGCAGTGAATCAGAATGGTTTGATTGCAGAATTGCTAAGGAAAAGATTAATGGAGATAAATATTAACTTTGTATGAAGGGAAGTAATGGATGTGTAGATTTTGATCCAAGTGTACAAAAAAAAGATACTTGTTGGAACTCATCCTCTCTTTTTTATCATTGGGATGGTAAAGAGTGTTCAAGGTGTTCTTGGGATTCAATAATCATTTCAGTATTAGCAATTGCTCTTTTAATCTTGAGTATTTGAATATCAAGCACATAATAATATAACTATTGAATTATACTAAAAAATAAACTAAATAGTATTATAAAAAATAGGTATCAAATACATTTTTGTATTTATTTCTAAAAGATTACTTAATATGATTATTGTTTTGCCTTTTTATATCACTTCATTCTTTCATCTTTGCAAAATTTTTGTTTCCCTAATTTCAGAATAAAATTTTTATCTAATTTGATAATCTATATTTTTTCAGTCAACAACTGAATAAACTCTCTAGAACCATTTCTTTATCTTTATGCATCCAGCAATCGAGCGTTCTTCTTATTAGCGTATTAAATACTTCCATTCCTTTACATGTTCCTAAATTAGAAGCTTTCTCATTAAAAATAATTATCTTCAAAAGAGATTTAATAAAAAATTATTCCAAATTTCAATTTATTTAACTTTTGAAATTATTCAAATCCTTATGAATTATTTGAGTATTTTATCTAAATGGCTATAAATAGATTCAAAAAAGATAGATGTAGTTTCAGAGGCTCAAAAAATTTAAAGAATTTCATCTGATAATTTAGTATCCTACCGTTTGAATTCCTTTTGTTTTATTAACCATTTTCGGCATTTTGAAATAGTTGAACTTAGAAATTTCATGAAGAAATACATTTTGGAATAAGAATATTATTAAGATATACATTAATATTTTAGAGTTTAGATAAATTCTAAATTTATCACTTACAACACTATAATAAATTTAAAGAGTTCAAGATTAAGGATGCGCACTTTTCTTAGTAAAATTGAAACATAATAGATATGCAATCACAAAATAAGTATGTTAAAGAAAATGAGATATTTTTTTATTTTATTAAGCCTTTGTAATTGTTAAATGGTTGAAAATAAAATATTTGTAAAAAATTCTTTGGATTTTCAAACATAATAATTTTCTATTGATAAAACCATAATTATGTATAGAATTTAATTTAAATTTATTTTGGCTTGTTAATAGATAACTGTATAATTTAAACAATGAAAAGATTTTTAATAGAGTCTAATTTATTAATAATAAAATTGCACATAATGTAATAGATGTTTTGGAAAAATATATCTAGCAAGAGACTGAGTTCTTTATTTGAAGACTCCTTAAATTTCATTTGAAATTTCATAACGATTAATTTTATAGTGAAAAAGGAAATTTTTGCCAATAGTTAAGTTTAAAGCTTTCGAAATAAAGGTATTAACATTTTTATCTCTATATACCAATATATACCAATGGCAAAAATTATAATTTCAAAAAAATATTAGAAATTAGTTTTAGAAAAATTATATTTGAAAATTAAGAATTATTAGTGTTTTATCACATTTAATCTTATATAATAATATATATTCAATGTTCAAAGTTTATTTCTTTACTTTTTATATTACCATGCATTTCTATCCATGTCCCAATTTTCTTACCATTTTCATATAAATCATCATTATCAAATTTTTACATAAAAAACCATGAAATTACTTGACTGAAGGCAAATTAAATAATAGATAATCTAGGCAGACGAAGTTGAAATTTAAATTTAATTATTCATAAAATTATTTTTAATTCTCAAACTATATTTATGTAATTATTATTGGAAATTAAATCTATTTGATGAATAATATATTCATTTTCAAAAAAATATTGTTAAAATATCACATTTAATCTTATATAATAATATATATTCAATGTTCAAAGTTTATTTCTTTACTTTTTATATTACCATGCATTTCTATCCATGTCCCAATTTTCTTACCATTTTCATACTCTCCATTCAAAGTAGTTTATAAAGCCCATTTAAAATTATCCTTTATCTCAATCCATATCCAAATTTTGATCCCAACACTAACTTAATCATTTGAACCACCCCCACTAAAACGATTACATAATTAATAATTATTTTACATCTTATTATTTACTCCATAATTGAAATAAATATCCCATCAGCCAACTTTTTACCCATTTTTATATTCACCATTAAGAGTTCCTTAGGATGAATCAAAAAACTCATCATTCACTTCAATCCATCTTCCAATCTTAATTCCTTCACCTTCTTCATCATATAATCCTCCACCACTACCTAGTTCACATAATTTATATTTACATCTACTTATTTCCAAAATAATTGAAATAAGTATCCCATTTACCAACTTTTTACCCTTTTTTATATTCACCTATGTAAGTTAGTTATGTATTAATATTACTCAACTCAATCCATTTACCAATCTTTACACCATGTTCACCATCTTCATATAATCCACCACCACTGAATCATTTATAAATCATTTTTAATTTAATAATTTTACATCCTATTATTTACTCCATAATTATAATACATATCCCATCTACCCTGTTTTTACCCATTTTTATATTCGCCTATGCAAGTTACTTATGAATTAGAATCACTCAACTCTACCCATCACCTCTTCATCATAGGATCCACCACTATATCATTTTTTGATAAATTGAAAATATTTATTTTTACATCTACTCATTTCTTACTTTTAGATCTTGTTGGATGTCCTATCTTACATTTTTATTTGAAATTACTTAAAAAAAACTATCACTTAATCTTACTTTTTCTCCCAATCTTTGTTTTATCACCTCCTTCGTTATTTTATTGTCCACTTCTAATATATTTTTAAATAATATTTAAGTATATTTAACATCTGCTCATTCCTTCCTGTAATTTTGAAATGAATATCCCATCTACCAATTTTTCTTCCCTTTTTATATTCACCATTATAAGTAATTTAAGAAGAGTCATTGAACTTATCACTAACCTCAATCCATCTTCAAATTGTTTACTATTCATTACTTTCTTCATACTATCCACAACCACCATAATATTTTCCTTTTCCATATAAGATTACATTTATTCATTCTTTCCAATTTAATAATTCTTATACCAAATATCCTATTTACCAACTTTTTGACCATTTCTATATTCTCCAATATAAGGGAGTTAAGAATTACAATTAAAATCATCACTCAACTCAATCCATTTACCATTCTTCTAACCTCATTCATTATATTATCCCCCTCCACTTATTATATTTTTAATAATACATTTTATTGTTATCATAGATATATACCCATATTCCACTTCTTTTATCATTCTAGTATTCTCCACTTTCAAAAACTTTGGCTTGACTATTTTTAAATTTCTGAATGAGCATTTACCTACAATATTTTTTAAAAAGTTCTTTCCATAAACCTTTCCTAAATCCATTTTCAAAATACCCTTCAATATCACTGAGAACTTCTCCATTCCAAATAGCTACCCACTTACCTTATTTTCTCTTATCCATTCCATATTCTCCTAACCATTTAAGTCGTTTTATTTATTCAATATTTGTCAAAATATCTAGATTCTAGGGGTCATCTTATATTATTTGTCTAATTAAACTTATCAATTATAATTAACTTTCTTAATATTACTCCATCGAAAGAGTACACCAGTTAATTATCCTGGATAATTGTAATAAAAATTTTAGTATTCTCAAATTATTTTTTGTGATAATTCCATTTAACAATTTGATATTCCTTGGTATTCTTTAATGTCATTGGCTCTGCAAAATTTAATTTATTTTAGGTTTATCTCATCCTTAAATAAATATTAATTATTATTATGCTTATCAGCGAATTACATTAGAAAGAATTTTTAAATATCTGAAGATTTAAAGGATTATACAAAATTAATGTTATTATTAAGGTTTTATATGCTACTTAGAATCCTTAAATTCGAATAAGTGATATAGGAAAGTCTCAAGTCAACCTTTCATTTCTATTGATAATTTAGCATTTATTGGAATAAATGATTATAAAAATTATAATTCACTTATTTTTCATAAGGCTGATAATTTACAGCAATATTTCTTGTATTCACTTAAATCTTTTTCATTTAGTTGAAAGTAAGAGAACAAAAATTAAAAGATATCCCCTACAAATTTCATCAAAAAATTTACTTTTTGATCATTTCTTTTAAAATAATATTAAATATAGTATGATAATCAGAAAAACGAATGAATTTAAATCTAACTTACTTATATTATGCTATAAATTGAATTTCTTATAACGATATTTATGTATTAATCACTATTTTCATTCTCAAATTGCCAAACTTTATTCTTTTAAAAAATTCTAGAAAATGTTAGAGCGCAGCCTTTTATGACAGATTTTTCTTAACAGATCTTCAGGTAAAAAATTTGAATGCTCAAAAAGTCAAACTTTAATCAATATAAATGTAAATTGATATTAATAAACAAAAAGATCACGAAATTACAGTTAATAATACAAAGATTAAAGGCTTCAATTATCAATCTGTTTTCCATACCCTAATCGTTCGACAAGAAATATTGATTCAAATCTATAGAACTAAAATCAATTATTTTCTTATTGAATTACTTTATTGCTTTATTATTCATTATTTAATCCTATTAAATTTTTTTATTTTGCAACTATCATTTAAGAGGTTTTACATAATATTTCATATTTTAAATTATTTGTTTTTTTCAATTACCCTATTATAGATATTTACAACTAATTCAAATCATATATATATGAATAATTACTTAAGATATAAATAATAATAATCTAATAATACAAAAAATTTATGATAGACTTATATTATTATTTTCTTAATTTCAATAGCATTAAATAAAATTAGATAATTAAATATATTGTATAAAAATAATGAATATCAATTTTTTGCCAGGATTTTATTAAATATCCTTATTAATTTAGAAATTAAATATTCAATAGGTTCCATATTATATTCTTTATTTAAATGTCTTTCTTGTTTTTCTAGAAATTCTTAATACTTTTGTTAAACTTTTTTAGAAGTTCTTTTATTAATTTAACTTTTAGTATTTTAAAGATTATCAAAAGCCATCTTCATTCGAACTTCTTTAGTTATTTTTTTAGTTTTACCATTTTATTAAATATTGATATTTTATATGATTTTATGGGTCTTATAATTCTTCAACTATATATTACGCTAATGAATTGTTATCTATCAACCAATCAAATAAATTTGTATATTGTAATAATATATCTAGTATTATAGAAATAAACTATTCGTCTAATTCTTTCAGAACTATATTCAATTTTGTTATTAAGATTTTAAATTTAGTATCAAATTCACACGAATTTATACTTAAATATTGATTCTTATCAACTGGAATTGAATTTTCAAATGAATAATTCTTCTATCTCTATGATAAAAAGAAAAATTTGGGGCAATTATTATTTTATTAAGAATAGGCTTGTTGGATTTTTTTAACTTATTATCTATCCCATGTCTTTCCTTCTTTATTTTTTGTTAAATTTTTAATGTTATTACATCCTTGAGTAGCAAATAATTTAAGTAATTTAACACAATCAGAATCTTCGTAAATGTAAATAATTTATTCATCTGGGGCTATTTATATTATTTTCTCTCTTTAGCCTTATTGAACTTTAGGTCTTCCTAGCTATATTTTCATATTCATTTTATTATTTTATTATTATCATTCTTCTCATCATCATTTTCTTTTTAAAATATAAAAAGCCTAAGAAAAAGTATTTTTATCAGAAATGATCATCTACATTTTATTATTAATTATGAGATTTAATAAGTATTCTTAAAAAAACAAAAAAAACTCCTAAAAGGCGGATTTGAACCACCGACTTGGGGATAACTGATTTAACTCTACAGTCCCTCGTTCTACCAACTAAGTTATTTTCGAATGTTAATATAAATCAAAAATTTGCAATTCTTAAAATAAAAATGTAGATATCTACAAAATGAATTATAATAATTAATTTATTGGAAACAAATTTAATTTATAGTTTAAATTCATAAACAAGACGATTTAAAGTATTACAGTATATATACTTTGGATATTTATAATCTTTAATTCGTAAATATCAAAAGACTTTAAACAGTTCTTAACAATTTAGTCTAAATTTTATACTATTTATAATGAGAAAAAGTAAAAATCTTAGCAAATTCCAATTAAACCTAAAAAGGATATATTAATTAAATTGAAATTCAAAAATATTTATCAAATTTATATTCAATTAAAAATATTGAGTTAAATCTTATTTATTTTTTGATTTTTAAATGCACATATATATTATATAGACTTACCATAAATTGACTTACAACAATAATCCTAACTCAAAATATAGAATATTGATATTATTCTAATAATAAGTAGTAACTAATCTGTAATGCATTTAAATGATTAAGGTATTATTAGAGTAGAATGAACAAGAATATAGATATACAGGAGTCATATAGTTGAAATACTATAATATGAACTTGATTGTAATGTTGAATGACTTTAAGTAATAATATTAAAGACAGTATTGTTGAAAGAAAAGGAAATAACGAAAAATTTGGAGTAAAATAATGAATTAAAGAGATTTTCGAAGTTCATTTAATTAGGAAAAAAATGAATTTGAGAGATTTTTATTTAAAGATGATTATATAGTCATACTATTAAGAAAAATTAAAGTATGTTTATCAATTTTATAATTTTCCTTATCTTACTTTGAATATTTTACAAAAATATCTCTGTAAAAATTCATAAATTATCTATTAATTTAATATTTTTACATTTATTTAATACTTCTTCTATATTATAATAATTACTCTTTAAATTACTAATATTATTGAATAACAAAAATACTATTATATTAAAGTTTATTTTTTACAAAAAATTTGTAAATCAATGATTATTTAACTTTTCATCAATTATTATATTGTTTTTACTTGATATGATTTTAGAAAAGAATTTAATTAAACTAATTAATAGAATTATATTTAGATAATTTTAAATAATATTAAAAACTGAAATAATATTATTAATCATTTCAATAAAATATTGGCTCCAGTTGTTATTCTGGTTTCTTAACACCAATCCCAATAAATTTAATTAGTTTTCTTATTTACTATATTAAATCAAGTATAAAAGTTGCTGCCAAAATCAATGAAAAAGTAAATATATGCAACCATCCAATATTGATTATACTCTCTGATTTTAAAGTCAATTCAACTTAGTAAAGATAAAATAAAAATGAAATTGAATTAAAAATTATTAATGATTCAGTGATTAAAATTTTCATGTATTCAAATTAATTACTTAATGGCTTGTTGAGAAGAGTGTGAATTAAAAATAATGATTAAAAGAATGATATTCCAATTGCTTAAATAAATCCATTGTCTTACAAAAAAACAATAAAAGAAATAAAAATAAGCTTCTTTATTAATTAAATGGAATTATATTAGAATGTCCAAATATTATAATTGTCATTTATCCCATCAAACATTGCTTCATATTTTGATCTATTTCTAATTGAATTTTGTTTTGAGAAAGAACTAGAAATGTTTATAAAAAATAAGATAGCACCAATAATTCCTATGTAAAATAGACATGACAAATAATAATTTATAAGTAAAATATTATTCTTTTCAACAGGATAATATGCCATTTAAATTGCACATGCAAAACTAATATCATAAGCATTAGAGAGTAACAATCTTAAAAGTGCATTAAAATAAAATTCAGATATTTTAAGTTGCAATTGTTTTCGAGTATTTATTAATAATTTATTAATTGAAATTGGAAGTTTAAATATTTATTTAAATAAAATTTTATTAAGCAACATATAAATGATCTTGCCAGTTGAATAACTGAAATATGTTGTTATTAAGCAGAATAAAAAGCTTTGGAAATTATCAAGGAAATATGCATTTATATTATCCTTTTAAAATTTATTACTTGTTTCAATCACATACTTGCGATTACCGTCCAAAGAATCAAAAAATGTTTAAAATCCCAAAGCCTCCATTAAAGGTGAGACTGTTATCAATTGAAAAACCTCAAAAAAGATATTCAAATTAGGTGAAAATCCTATATTTATGTATTTGACATATGATAAATATTATAATTAGTCCATGAGATTCCAAAATATTTCAGATTAGCCTGTCAATAAACAAATTGATGATAAAGTTCCAAGAGATATTATAATTGCTTCATTAAAGCTTGAAGCCTATTATGCTATAAGCACTTAATCAGGAGATAGAACTATCGGAGTTAACAGCTAAATACTACCTTAGCTTTTAGTAAGAGGTTAATTTAGCTCTGAAAGGATCGGATCATTATGAAATTCTATTTAAAACACTGGTTTTTCTATAGGGGTTAAAAAAACAACCTTAAATTGAAGAACCAAATCGGTGACTTGATCATGAGAGACTTCAGATTAATGAGTCATTTATATATCGTATTTATCATTATCTAAATTTTAAATGCTAGTTTTAATGTGGTCATTTATATTTTGTTTAATATTTGGAGAGAATTTAACTTATTATGTAAATAAAACTTAGATATCACAAAATTCATGAGGATAAGGTGTAAGTACAATTATAGAAAAATCTGGTTATTTTTCATAATAACATACTGAGAATGAGTTTTAATTAGTGTTACATATCCAATCCTTTTCAATTTTGCACTAAGAATTACAACCATCACTATTTTCAATATTTCCATCATCACATTATTCAATTTATTGAAGATGAAATCCATCTCCACAAATAGGTTAACAAATTAGGTCAAGTAAATGCATTCCTTCAGGACATTCTTTACAAATTCCTTCATAGCAATCAATACAATATTAATCGCACTTAAATTTACATTCAAAACAACCATCATTTTGAATGAAATTCATATCATCACATTATTCATTACCAACTATAAGACCATCTCCACAATAAGGAGTACATTAATTATTCCAGATTATCCATCCTAATTAATTGCATTCATAACATATTCCTAATTAACATATTGTGCAGAGTTACTCACATTAAAATTCACATTAATAACAGCCATCGTATGGTATATCATTACCATCATCACATTATTCATATGGATCTACTGTAATTCTATCTCCACAATATGTAGAACAAAGGTTATTTTAATTAAGAATCCAACCTGATTAAATACAAGCCTTACAAATTCCCATTACACAATCAGTACATTATTCTTAACATTAATATTTACACTCATAGCATCCATCATGGGGAATATGATTTCCATCATCACATTCCTCCTTACCTAACACTAATTAATCTCCGCATATAGTAGTGCATTTATTAATATTAAGTTGCCAACCTTCAACATTACACTCTCTGCATTCACCTCTTTCACATAAAGTACATTATTCTTAACACTGAAAATAGCAGTCAATACATCCATCATCATCATTTTCATTTCCATCATCACATTATTCATTTCCTAAAACTAATAAATCTCCACAAATAGGTTAACAATTCATATTAATTGCATCTAATTGCCATCCAAATGAAATACATTCAAGACATTATCCATCAATACATGTAGTACATTATTCTTAACATAATAATTTACAATCCACACATAGATGATCAGAAATTAAATTACCATTATCACATTATTCATCATGTGCTACAATTCCATCTCCGCAGATACTATAACAATTATTTTTAGATTAATCTAAGTAATAACCTATAGAACATTTAGAACATACACCATTATAGCAAGTATGACAATAATAATTACATTAAAAAAAACATTAAAAACATCCATCATATGGTATGTTATTTGCATCATCACACTGTTCATAATGCGATAAATACCCATCTCCACATAATGATATACATTAATTATTAAGAGTATTAAGTTAGCTTGATTCCAGATTACACTGTAAACACTAACCTTGGAAACAATATTCACAATCTTCAGGACAATCAAATTAACCATTAAAACAACCATCTTCTGCAGTTAAATTCATATCATCACATTGCTCATTCCCTTTAATATGTCCATCATTCAATATTTCAAAGCACTTACCATTTAGATTTTAATAGCCATCCTCACATTTTGTACATACTCCAAATTTGCAAACCATACATGATGCCTAACATTAATATTGTGAAAGATAACAACCATCATACATAATTTAATTATTATCATCACATTATTCATCACCAACAACTTTAGAATCTCCGAAAAATGAATAACATTTCTAATCTAAATTTATCAACCATCCTTCTTGGCATTGTAGACAATCTCCATTATGACAGATTAAACAAGAATCTTAACAATTGTATCTACATTGAAAGCAATTTTGATCTATTAAGTCATCACATTCTTCATAATTTTATACAACAATTCCATCTCCACAAATAGTCTCACATTTGTTTTATAGAACATCCAATTTCCATCCCAAAGTATTACATTCCAAACATCCATTTATTGTGCAAAAAGTACATTATTCTTAACAACTTAATTAACACTAATAGCATCCATCATCTAAAAGGTTATTACCATCATCACAAACTTTTTCATATTTCACTAATACACTCTCTCCACAAACTTTAACACATTTCTTTATTGATTACATCCATAAATATCCTTATACACAAGAAGTACATACTCCTTTATAACATTATTAACAATTTATATCACATGTAATTTAGCATTAATTACAATGAGTATTATGATCATCACATTCTTCTTCTTCAAGAACTAATATGTTATCACCGCAAATACTTTTACATGATCCATCTTATTACAAATACCAACCACTTAATTCATTACATTATTAACAGATTCCATAATCACAATCTATGCAATGTGATGAACATTAAAATTAACAATTGAAACAACCATCATATGGTGTTATATTTCCATCTTCACATTATTCTGGGAATATCAATAATCCATCTTAACATATAGGAATGCATTTATTCTCTATTAATTGATAACCATTTTAACAAACTATACACAAAGAATTGATACAGGTATGACAAAATTGATCACATGAAAATTAGCAATGATAACATCCATCTGATGGATTATTATTTCCATCGTCACACATTTCTGTTAAACTTGTTACTATTCCATCCCCACAAATAGAATTGCATGTTCCATCAATTTAACTGTACCATCCATTATCTTCATCACATAATATACATCTTCCAAAATGACATTCTATACAGTTAAGAGAGCATTCATATTAACAATTAACACAGTTTCTATATTCTTCAAAGCATTATTACAGTAATGCTAGTGCATTTCCTTAACAAATAGACCTACAGTCATTATTATGTACTTCATATCCACTTTTACATTAATAACATTTTCCATTAATGCAAATATCACATGCAAAATTACAAGCGAATTTACAATTATGGCAACCATCAAATGGATTATTATTTCCATCATCACAATCTTCTTCTTCTACTATTATTTAATCTCCACAAATAGGAAGACATGGTAAATTTATTCCGTCATCATAATATCCAGGCAAACATAAACATTAATTTCTTTGAATACCTCTATGATAATCATTAACACAAGTAAGGCAATTCTATTTAGAATTACCAAAACAATTTTCACAATACTTATTGCATTAAACACAAGTATTTACTTAGAAAAATGTAAATGGATTGCATAAACAAATTCCATTACTCAAATAAAATAAATTACTAACACATGAGGTGCATTATTCTGCTCTTGTACATGTATTGCACCCAGGTTAATTACAATTTTTGCAACTATAAGTTTCAGTCTATTAATCAAAATCTAAATATTAACTACTCCCACAATTAGGACCAGTATATCCTGGATCTGAACATGAAGTTAAACTTGTACAACTAGAGCAAAGAGGAGGACACTAAATTATAATAATACATATTATATACATAATGAATAACGATGAAGTATTCAGATATTGCACAGAATTCCTTTGTTATGTTTGTAGTACTAGCATCACATTTAAATTCAACATAAAGGTTATTAGTATAAAAGTTTGTTAAACTAACGTTAAAGTAACGAGTACTTTCAAGACCAGTACGACCAACTAAATTTATTCCTCCCCCAGGATTATTAAAAGGTCCTTAAAATGCAATGCTTGAAGAAGCACCAATCTTATAATAAAATTATCCAGTGTAACCATCACCATAAGTTAAATTAAAATATATAGATGCTGCATAATGAGGTTTGGAAATAACCCATGTTTTAGTATATGAACCATCATTCCAAACTAATAAACCTCCTAAAACTGTTTTATTATTTAAAAATGAAAATTTTTATCTAGTTGATAAACTATGAGAAGGATCTGTTGTAGAATCATAGAATTCATCTATTTCATCTATAGTCATATTTAAATCATAAAATCCTTTTGCAAAGTATCTAGAATCTAAAAATAAACCAATAATAATTTACATGGAATGATATCCTCATAGTCAATACAATTTGATGAATGAATAGGACAAGACTGAACACATTTATTTTTAAATAATTTATATGTTGAATCACACTATGTACAAGTAGCGAAATCAGAACATACTAAACAATTTTCTTAACAAAATCCTGTGTCAACAGTAACATTTCTAAATCCCCAAGATTCACTTTCTTATTGAAGTTATCCTTAAATCAAAATAATTGGATTAGTATTAAATAGTTAAAAAGTCATCTCTATTCTTAACAAAGTATAACTACTATCACAATTTTAATTCTTTTCAAATATTTTTAATAAATTTTCTACTTAAAAATCAGATGAACCTTTTGTTATTCTAGATTGTAATTAATTATTATGTATAATTTAAATGCTACTTGTTTCCTCAAAATTAAACAAATAAAATGTAATACGAATTCTAATAAACTTTACAGCATTCTCAAGATTCATTTAATATATCATTCCTTCACTAAATTACAATTTTCCTATAAAACTGAGTCCATTACAATTATCTTAAATTAAATCTGTGTTTTTTGGATAAAATTCATCTTTTTCAAAAATTAGAGGAGAATATCTATAATCTGATTGAGGAATAACATTATCTTCAAATAGTGTAAATTTTGATTTTATTCGAGTATCTTTTACACAAATTTTATCAAAGCGAGCTATTGAATAATCTCTACTACATTCTTATAAACAACCTATATAAGTTTCAGAAAATTATTATTCTGGAATACATTCACACTCTCCAACTTATACTACTTTATTATCAAAACATGTCAAGCAATCTGATTCAGTAGGACCGTCACATGTTAAACAAGTTGGATGACAAGTATTAACATAAACTAACATATTTCTAATTCCAATTTATATATAATCATTATCACAATAACTATCACTATAATGATGATCCCTATCACAATCATCATCACATCTATGATCATATGGATCAAAACAAATTTTTATTGAAAAGTTATTCGAGTATGAATCGACTTAATTACTTACAATAGTTTCTAATTTAAATCTTCCTAGGCTATTATGACAAATTAGACGACTATCTTAGTATAAGTCATTTTCATCATAATCTAAAAGAAATAGTTGCCTATCATTGTCTGAACTTCTGTTACTATCATACATAACTGCAATCTCAGAATTTTCACTTATTGCACCATCAAAGAAAGCATCAAAAATTATTTATACCTAAAAGCTTTTATATGCAAACGTTTTCTATAAATATCGTTTAAACTTTGTCAATCTCACATATTATAATTAATTTGAAGCGCAACTATTTATGTCAAACACTACATTTGAAGAACCACTAGAACAACATTCTTTCATTTCCCAATTATTATGAGAAATTAGTTTTTCTGAAAAACTGTAATCAACAAGTCTCCAATTTGCAGTAACATTTTGAATGAAGACTATTAACAGAGTAAATATTGTTAAATTAAGAATCATTTAATGATTATAATGTATAAATAAAAATTGAATATCTAATGTTGAATAATTACGTAATCAAATTCTGTTGTCCTCTTTTAAGTATAAATTCATTACTAGAACTATCAAATCTAATCTTATTGAGTCCCTATTCGTCATTTATCACAATGATTATGAATCTATAACTATAGTCTTTAACTAAATAGTCCTTTTCTTATAAATTCTGGTCAGCAACATAATTAATTTCTTCATTGGTCTTACTCAAAATATTTATAAAAACCATTACAATATAGATAAGATATTAAAATACTTATAATTAATTTAGTGAAAATTTTTAGATCAGGTTGCAACTTTTTGCTTACACTTTTTTACTTCCTGTAATCCATCTTCGATCTAAGCAATAGAAAATTATCCAAAAAGTCCTAGATCTTAAATATAAATTTAGGACTTATATTTATATATAACATAAACTATTGTTTTTTTTTATAAAAAAATAAAGTATGATAAATAAAAATATTTATTTAAGTTAATGTAATTTATCATAAAACTTAACCTGGTTGACGATAAGAGAATAAGTGCACAAGCATGAACTGGAATTTGGTTATGTATTTAATTATAATAAAACCTTATGATTATTATTGAGTTTTAATATTAAGAATAAATTATTATAGAGTTCTTTTAAATAGAAAATAATATATTAAATTTGAATAAATATAATTTATATATGAATATTTTTCCATATTCAAACCATGAAAATAAACTATAAATATCAATATTAATTGTTAAGAAATAAATAATCTTGAATTTAAATTAAATGAAAATAATTATTTTTGCATAATCATTTTCCAAAAACAAAAGCATTGTGAGCCTTGTATAATTCACCAACTGTGCGTTGTTTATATATATGCTATAATTTGAAATCTTGTATAGTTTCCAAAAGAAAGTGTTGAATTTCTGGAATTCTTGATTCATCTACAGTAGGAAACATATGATGTAATGTATGTTAATTAAACCCTTAAAAAAGAAACATGTTAAAAGGGAAAATAACTTATGGATCATGATCTTAACTTGTTTATAAAGTATAGATTCCAAAATCTCTAGAGGGGACAATAGAACATCCATCTGTATAACATATATTATTATGATGAGTAATTATTGAATATTTGAGGGTTAAGTAACTTGATGTGGATTAAATAACCATAAAAAGTTTAAATCCTTCCAAAGCATCCCCACAAAAATAGTATAATATTAAATATTCAAAAATTGGAATAAAGTATTCTTTCCTTATTCTCTCTTCTCCTTTTAGCACTTGTTATAAGGTAGACAAAAATTGAATCGTACTTACTAAAGCAAAAAATACATCCATATAGTAACGTAAGTATTTATTATTAGGAAGTTTAGATTTCTGGGTTTTATAATAGGGTTCAAAGGAAGTGATTTCTAAATCAATATTACTGTTAGTAAAATGATGATGAGAAATACAATGTGTAATTGCCCAATGGAAATGGGAGAAGAATGATAAATCAGCTAAGTATCTTCTAGGCTCAAAAGAACCTTAATGTAGAAAATTATGTCCTAATCCAAAACACACATAAAGTGTATATCCACATATAAGTGCCCATAGATAACTTTATAATGTACAAGTTAATAAGAATGTAATAATGAATGAAAACAGAGCTATAAAAACAACTAGTTTCATCATTAATGTTGGTCCCTTATCTCTTGTTTTGAAATAATCACTCACTTTTTTATGTAATGTAAGATAGAATCCTTTTTCATCATAATCAAAATATTAATCAATCTTGTCTGCATCTCTAACATAATATTTTTGTAAAATTGCATTGCATTTATCCATGTTTAAATGATGGCTATAATACATTTCTGTTATATCTTATCCTTATGTCAATGATAAAAAGTAATCTCCTCCTGGATGGAGTTAAAGAAATTGGGATAAATCATAGATCTTACCTTTGATATACCATAATTTAGAAGGTACTCTAAATATTAATGCAATATATACCCTGTTCTTTATCTGTCTCTCTCTGCTTTTTCCTTTAACCATACAAATGGAGACTCTATCAATTATTTATTACGAGATGGCAATGATTAAATCATAATAATAAAAAATGATATTTGATTTATTGTAATTATATTGATAAATATCATATTTAATTATATCATAACTATAAGTAAACACATTTTTATATCATCTAGTTTTAAGTATACATATGTTTTTACATTGAAAATACTTAAAGATAAATAAAATATTATTAATATCAATTATTTAGTATAATATCTATTCAAACTAAAAAATAATAAGAGGTAATAACTTATTATGTTTAATCTATTTTATTAAAATATAATTCACTGAGATATTAGTTTCTATTAGATATTATTATATTTTATAATATGGGAAATAAATCAGCAAAAGTTGAAAGATAAGATTCTTCGGAATTACTCTTAAGTATATTTTCTAATCAAATCAGGCCAACATACGAATACTATTGAGTCATCATAGGTTGAAAATTCTAAAATATTTGTATAAGAAAATAAGTTATCCTATTGTTTTGCTTGTTGCAACTGCTTTGGTCTAATTAAAACTTAAGTAGTAGAGATTTAATTATCTTGGATTGATTATACCTTAAGAAAATTAAACAGAGGTTAATATAGACACTTTTAATGGTCAGATCTAATGAAGTTAAGATTGCAAAATATAGATATTAAGAATTTTGAAGAATTACAAGCAATCTATCTAAATTAAATAAGAATGATTATAAGTAGTTACGAAACAAATTCTTCATTTTATAAAAATAAAATTGCAAACAATTTGGAACAAAACGAATAATCCAAATATAATATATTTGAATACTATGAAGAAGAGGCCAATACTATCTTTGAGGATAGAAAGAAATCAGGTATGAATGAGAAACAATTCTTCAGAGAAGTAATGGGAATAATTTACTAATAAATTAAAATTGCAGATCATCCATGTGGATTAATCTTATAAACATTTCAAATTTATATTGTAAATTATACTGGGCCTTAAGTTTGGTTTAGAGATTCATTTAGAAGAGATAGATATAAGAATCAATTAATTAAAAGCACAGAACTTTGTGATGAAATTATTGAATTTCTAAAATTCTTTGTTAATTGTATAGATAGTTACTATATGATTGATAAATTTGTACATTCAACTTAATTATTAAATTGTTTTACTAGTACTAATACTATAGCATTTGTGATTAATGTCTTATTTTTAGATAAAAGAATTTATGAAAAGATTTTGAAGAGTTTCTCAGAACTTTATGCGTATGAGAATTCTCAATTTTAATTTAATTTGCGAATGTTAAAGAATAATTAGATTTCTGATTTCGATGTTTCTTTATAATTATAGTTAAACTCTCAAATAGAAATTGCCTTACGACCCTAATAAGTAGATTTGAAAGGTAATCCATCAATCTAAATTTCTGAATTTGATGATTTTAATTAGCCTTACCAATCAGCAATAAATACATTAAAATAACTTGAATTGTTGTAGTCACCTATAAACTAATTGAAAATTATATCCAAAACCTTTTAAGAGATTCATAGTTGCATAAAAGATTATTATGAAAAACATCCTGAACTTGAAGCTATAAAGAGTTATGGTACAGATGACGTTGTTCCTATATTAACATATGTAATTGTCAAAAGTAATATATAAAATTTTGGAATCATATTAAAAGTATTATTAATATTTTATAAGATAATTGAAGCTTTTACACCAAAACAAATAATGACAGGAATACTAGGATATTATTTAGTAACTATTTAGGGTTGCTATATGAGAATTTCATAATATGAAAAATTTGAATAAGTGAGAAAAACAATTAAAAAAACAAAATCTGAAGTTGAAGCTGTGAATTATAAATCATCAAAGTAAAAAATAAAAAGTTCTGATTAATTGAATTTTTGAAATAATTAAAATTTAATATCACTTTATAATAAAGACATAATTAAAAGTAATTTAACATTGCAATCAAAGTTTTCCAAATTTCAGATGATCTATACATCAAAAATCCTTTTGGAGGTTTCACTCTAACTCTTTTGAATAATTCTGGATTTGTGATAGGCAACCTAATTGTCTATACTATATTAAAAATTAGAAACCTAACTTTCTTTGTTTCGTCAAATAATTTTCTGTATTTTTTCAATTTATATATTTATTAAAATGAAGTAATTAGAAAAATTTACAAATAGACTCCTCTAAGCTTTAACCTCAAATAACTCGCTTAAATTTTGATTATCCAAACATAAATTCTAATATGCTGAAACCTTAGAAGAACAACATGGATAGGATAAAGAAATATCAAAGATATCTGTTATCTTATGTACTTAGATAAATGATATCAAAACTAAAACATCCTTCTATTTATTATGAAAATTTCTAATTATGAATTAAAGAAAAGGAGTAGAGATAATAATACTCATTTTCTTCATGACTGTAAATATTTTCTAATCTGTTTTAATCTTTAATAATAGTGAGTTTTAGCAAACATATCATTTAAACAGTTTAATTCCATAATACTATAAAAATCTACAAAGCTTGTTTTTAAATAATATAAAATAATAAATAATTATGTTTGAGAAATTTAATAATGCATTATGATTTTAAACCATAATAAATTTTCATAATATTTCAGAAGTAAGAATTGAAATTATAAACAAAATTAAAAATAAGATTTGCATAAGAATATAATAAATTAACAATCTATAAATCATAAATTAATTATGAAAAATTGTTAAATCATAGAGATCTAATTTTTTAAATTTAAAATATATTAATTAAATTTTTATAATATAATTTCAATCAGTCTTAAATTAAAAATCATTGAAAACTGAGGTATCTATCTCTAATCTCTTGAAATCCTTTTATAAATAATAATTCTAATGTTTTGCAGTCAGAGGGTCTTTTGATCAAACAAGGAATTTGAAATTGCTATTCATCAATGTTATGTAATTCACTCCATAATTTATTACAAATCTGTGTGGGAAATGTATATCCTATTGCAATGCATAAGAATTGTATCCTAAACTCTTTCTTAACTTTTTGTATTAATTCCATAAGTTTTGAAACATCAAATTCTTCTTATCGATCAATAATAAACATTATAGTAATATTTTTTCCATATTAATTTTTATTGTTGAGCAATTTATTGAGAACATGTTAAAATGTATTTGTAATACTACCTCTACTTGCTTTTTTGAATGGAAGCAAGCTATGCACACCATCATCAGCCATTTAAAACTCTTCTCTTCTGTTAATATTTTTAAAGACTTCATTATAAGCATTAGCAGCAATCTCATATTCGGAAATCATTGATTCTGTTCCACTAAATATTGTCATTAAATAGGATTAAACTTTTGGAACCTCTCCAGCATTTCTAGCAGAGAATGAAAATGGCTTTGGCCCTGGATATTGCATTATTTTTGATTAATTAATCAAATTGCTTCAACTATCCGCAAAAGAATTTATATATAATTCTATGACAATATTTTTAAAAGAATAAAAAATCAGAATAAATTATATTTTTCTTCGATTTTGAAAATTAGGTAACTTTGAATAAAGAAAATAAAATATTCAAATAGTTGGAAATCGTAATTCCGAATTTACAATTAGAATTTTCCTTACCAAATGACGATTTAATTTAATAAGATTGTGTGGGTAAAAAAATCAAAATTATAAGGATATAAATTTTTTTATAAATATATTAATCCCATTCATGATTTTTTATAGTAATGATAAATGTCTTAAGGATTTATGAGTTAGAAAAGAATCCAAATGTCATTATAATAGCTTTTCCACAAAGAAGAACCTTAGATTGATTAGTTAATAGAAAATGTAAATTAAATTGAACCTTCAAATAGATTAAAAATAATAATGGTATCAAATCTATGAATTAATGATCTTGATTATTGATCATAAATGAGTAATATTGTATCGATTATTAAAATATTATTGATTTAATTATTATTAACATTAACAAACAGATAATTCTTTTTAATTTAGTATATTAAGCTGAAGTGATGATTGTTGGTAGGAATCTTATTTAAAGGAATTTATATAAGGGGCTTAGAATGGTAAAAGGAAGGAACTAGGTTTTTGATGGAATTGAAGTAAATACCTTTTTTAATGGGATAAACCTAGCTGCACAGTATAGCTTATTAGTTTCCAGTGTGGAATATTTTCATATATCATAAGAAATGATTGCTTGGTGTAAGCTAGGATGAAATTATTATAAATCTATCATAGCTAATAGATTTATTAAAAGACATTAACTATTATCACTCTAAAGGACAACATATTTTAGCAGGTAAAGTGTGGACAGCTTACAAAGAAGAAATTACTGAAGTTTATCATTTTAATAGAAAAAATTAATTAGTGGGCTTTCTCCAAAATGTATTTCGTCCTTCTCGTATTTGTAGAAAGAGTTAAACCCACTATCCTTTTATTTCAATTGAATATTACTGTTTATACTGATTTAGTAGAATCTATTTTTGTCTGAATAATATGTTCTGTTTGAATTTCAAATAAATCATCTTCTGACTTGCACTGTATATTAAGTAGAGGAATAGCTTAATTCTTGATTTTATTAATCACTTTAGAAATAATAAACAAAATAAAAAATAAGATTTGCATAAGTATATAATAAATTAACAATCTATATATCATAAATTAATTATGAACAATTGTTAAATCATAGAAATCTAATTTTTTAATTTAAAATAAACTATCTTAATTTTTTATAATATAATTTCAATCCTACATATATTAACTCATTTTTTCATTTAACTATCTTATGAAACCAGATTAAATTCTTTTTCTTTCCTTATCTTTAACATCTTAAAATACATTTACTAATTTAACATTAAAATCGTAAACCCCACAAATAAATATTGATTTCACTTCCTCAGTTAATTTCTTAAATTATAAATTTCCTTTAGCTCCTTCGTTCACTATCTTCTTTATATCATCAATTTTGCCATTTTATAGATATTCTTTAGAATGTTTTTCAGAAATATTATCAACTATTTACTATACTATTTTAAAATCCTCTTATTCTCCTCCGTTTAGTAATACCTTATGAACTGATTTTAGCAAGAAGTGTTATTTGTCCTCTGGATTATTAGTTGGATAGAGCACATTACCATTCAATTTAACGCAATCTGCATAACACATAAATGTTGTTTCTATTTCGATTTCAAAAAGTGGCTTAGAAGTGGCAGTTGAATAGACAGGTTTATCAGCTTTTAATGCAGAAATAGGGAATTTGAGGTATTTATCTCTAATTTATTTAAATCCTTATATAAATAATTATTTTAATGTGTCGCAGTCAGAGGGTCTTGGAATCTATAAATGAATTAACTCTTTTGATTCATCAATGTTATGTAATTCACTCCATAATTCACTACTAATTGTTGTGGGAAATTCATTTCCTACTTTAACGCATATGAATTGAATCCTAAACTCTAACTTAACTTTTTCAACTAATTCCCTAAGTTATTAAATCTCAAATTCTTCTTATCCATCACTAATAAACATTATAGTAATGTTTTTTCCATATTAATTGTTATTACTGAGCAATTTATTGAGAACATGTTGAAATGTTTTTGTAATATTACCTCTACCCGCTCCTTTGTAGGGTAACAAGCTATGTACATCATCATAAGCCATTTAAAACTCTTCTCTTCTGTTAATAGTATAAAAGACTTCATTATAAGCATTAACAGCAATATCATATTCACAACACATAGATCCTGTTCCATCAAATATTGACATTAAATAGGATTAAACTATTGGAATCCCTCCAATATTTTTAGTAGAGTATACATTTGGCTTTGGAACTGGCATTATTTTTGATTAATAAATCAAATAGCTTCAACAATCCGTTTATGAATTTCTATAAAATTCTCTAACAATATTTTTAATAGAATAAATAATCAGAATAAATTATATTTAAAAAATATTTTTCTTTTATTTTCAAAATTAACTAACCTTAAAAATTCTTAATTAAAACATCTACATAAATTGTTAAATAGATTTATCAAAAATTTAGAACAGTTTTCACAATAAATTGTTTTTCAAAATTATTATTTTTATTTTGAATAAGTTTACCTTATGATGGATTATTGAGTTCTAATAAGCATCTCATTATTTACATTAAAAAACTATCAACTTGTGAACAAAAATTATGATATTAGAATTATAAAAATGAATTTATATAACTTAATTATTATTAATGGGTTGTTGTAAATCATTTCCAAATGGTTGTTGTACTTCAAAATCATTAGAAAACCAAACAAACTCAGTTATTCCTAAAGAAAATTCAGAATAATTTTAGAATGAATTCATTCAAAGTATCTTATATCTTGATAATAATTGCAATGTTCACAAGGAAAAGGAAATATGTTTTCCAATTAAAAATTCATTATACACAAAAGATATAACAGATGTAGAAATAAAATAAGAATACATGAAAACTAGTTCTAAACAATGGAATATAAAGCAAACAATGTTTGTTAGGGTCAATTCTAATAAAAATATTAATGACTCTTATTTGATAAAAGAAATGATTGGATAAGGAGGGTTTGGTAAAGTCTATAAAGTCGTCCATAAATAAACTGGTAAATAGCATCACGACCTCTAACTTAGGAATGATAAGGGCAGTGAAAATGATATTGAAAGAGAAGATGAAATAAGAAGATTAAGAAAGATTATTAGAGGAAACAGCGATTTTAATGGATATAGATCATCCAAATATAGTCAAATTATATGAGATATTTTCTGACACATATAGTTATTATTTGGTAAGTGAATATTGTGAGGGTGGAGAATTATTTGAAAAAATTAAACTTGTTTCAATATTAACGGAGAAAGAGATTGCCAATTTTATTAAATAAATATTGTCAGCTGTCTCTTATTGTCATTAAAAAGGAATTGTTCATAGAGATTTAAAACCAGAAAATATATTATTTGATTAGAAACATGATCAAGCCTCCATTAAAATTATTGACTTTGGTGCAAGTGCTAAATTATAAAATTGTGAAAAGTTGCAAAAAAGAATCGGAACTGTATCTCATTGTTATTTTTTTTAGCCTTTTTATGTTGCACCTGAAGTGCTTGATGCAAATTATGATGAAAAATGTGATATTTGGTCTCTTGGAGTTATATTATATATTCTCTTAAGTGGATATCCTCCTTTTATGGGATGCAATGAATAGGAAGTTTTGATAAAAGTAAAAAAAGGTGAATATACATTTGACCCTAATGATTGGGGGAAAGTTTCTAATTCTGGAAAAGATTTAATAAGAAGAATGCTGTTATATAATCCTATTAATAGGATATCAGCTGCTGATGCTTTGAATCATGAATGGATTAAAAATAATAAAGCTAAAGGACAAATTAACAGTTTAACTCTTAGTAAATTATAAGATTTTGATTCAAAAAATAAATTAAAATATGCAATCTTTTAGTTTATTACTGTTCAGGTTGTAACAAACTAAGAAAAAAATGATCTTCTTAAAATATTTCAAGAAATCGATAAAAATGGAGATGGAACAGTAAGCAAAGATGAATTATATTAAGGTATTATAATTCATTAATAATAGCCTATTTAAAGATTCATAAAGGGGACAAATTAGCTGCTGAAACAGTAGTAGAAGAACTATTTCCATAATTAGATGCAAATGGTTCTGGAATTGTAGATTTCAGTGAATTTATAACTGCAACAATAAATAAAGAGAAATCTTTAAGTAGATAGAGAATAGAGTAATCATTTAAATTGTTTGATTTGGATGGCAATGGATTGATTACTAAACAAGAACTTAATGAATTATTTGATGAAGAAATAGATGAAGAAATGTGGTAGGAAATTTTAGATCAATGTGATACTGATAATGATGGAATGGTAAAATATATAATATATAATTAGATTAATCTTAATGAATTTATCAATTTGCTTGAGAATAAAATTTCCAAAAATCCTTTATTTAAATCATGAATGTAATTTGACTATAAATAATAATATATTGAATAGACTAGAACTATATACTTATAAATTTATTTCTATTATTCTAAAAGTTAAGTATTTAATTTTTATTAATATTCAATACTAATCAGTTTTAGCTAATGCCTTTTCTGAATTATTCTAAATAGTTAGTAATACTATTCATTGTCTATTTATATTTATACTTTTAATTATATTGAGAGATAAAAAAAAACTGAATAAAATCTAATTACATTTTAAAGGTAATAACATGTAAATTTTAAATGCAATAAAAATTTTGTTATATTTACCAAAGATAATTGATCTGATATGCAAAATCTAAAAGAAGTAGAAAAGTGTGCTAATTTCACTAATGTTTTCTTTAGAGGTTGTAAAATAGGTGGAGTTAGAATTGGTAAGTGGGATTATATTATAAATGGAGAGTCAATGTAAATAGTCATTATAATTATCAGGTTTGGGGGAAATTATAATTATAGTGGTCAAAATGTTGGAATATGGATAGAACCTGATAAGAATTATGAAAAAAAGTAAAATTAAAAGTTTAAATGATAAGTCTTATAACATTTTCAGGAGAATATAGAGAGAATATCAAAGTAGGAATATGGAATACATTACTTAAAGAATAAATTATGTATTAAGTAAATTAATATAAGTGAAGGAGGAGGATAGTATAATGAAAAAGGATAAAAATAAGGAATGTGGATAGAAGTATAAAATAAAACAACCTAGGAGAATAAATATGATAAATATTAGTTTTCTCTTATTCTATAAAGGAAATTACAAAAAAGGTAGGAGAGTTAATTATTGGAAATGGACCTTAGATAATAAAACAATGTAAATTGATATTTGCAATTAGTGGTTATGGAGAATATAATGAGAATGGGTATAAAGATAAATTCTGGCCAGAAGTGGATAAAAATTATTCAAATCGGTAAGAAAATAAATTCCAAAAAAAGTTGCAAACTTAAATACTAAGGATCATATAAAAATGGAATGAGAATAAAGAAATGGAAAATATTAGCTAATACATTTATTTTGTACATGATAGAATTAAATTATTAGTGGTGGAGGGGTATATTCTAATGAATTCAAAAAAAATGGAATTTGGAGTGAACCAATTGAAAATCCTAGTTCACAATAAATTTTATAATTAATTTAGTAACCTTATATTCTAAGTAGGCGCTTATTCATAAGATATTAAAGTCGGTTAATGGAAAATTCATATTGATAATTCAAGAATGTTAATTTTAAATAATAAATAATAGTGGAGGAGGAAAATATGATAAAAGTGGTTTAAAGTAAGGTGATTGGATAGATGTAGAGATCATTGATGCTTTTTGGTATAATTATAATTAAATTTGAGGGAAATGCTATCGTTTGGATTTTATAAAAATGGAGTTAGAATATTATAATGGAAATTTAAATTAGAGAATTAATTATTGTAATTTTAATTGAAATATTAATTATTTAAGTTAATGCATGTATAATCAAATCGGATAAAAATAAGATTATTGGATAGATTTTCTTGAATGTTATGATGAAAAGTAATAATTTTTATATATTAAGTCAAATAAAATTTGAAGGAAACTATAAAAAAGGTAAAAGATACGGATTATGGAAAATTATATAAGAAAACTAAATAATGTAATTTATTATTAATAACATTAAAGTGGTAATGGGTTATATGATGAATATGGATAGAAATTTGGACTTTGGAAAGAGTTGCATCCAAGATATTCATTAATGTAAGCCAAAGATTTAAATAGGGGTCAATTAATGATGAAAGGAGAATATCAAAATGGAGTTAAAACTAAATATTGGCAAATAGTAACTTAAAAGGAGAACTAATTAATTAATGTAATTCTTTGTATTCTATAAAAAGTGGTTGTGGATCATTTAATGAAAAAGGGCAAAAAATTGGAAAATGGAGAGAACTTCATTCGTATTATCCATTAGAGTAATATATTGAAATTTATAATAGTCGTGAAGTAATAAGTTGTGGATCTTATGTAGATGGATTAAAAGTTGGAATACGGGAAGATATTAAATTAGATTAAATTTTGTATTTAATTAATATAATAAATAGGATTTATTCTCATTTTGATAAAGAAGGAAAAGGATAAAAATTTAAAAGTGAAGATCTTTTTTTTTATTTTAATAAATGAATAATACAATTTAGATATCAAACATATGTTAGAAATGTATTGTCATCATGTTTTTGGGTTACTTTTTATTTTGGTTTTATGTCTAAGGTTTTTTATTTCATTATTCGATGATCATCTTAATCTAATTTTTATGATATTTCAAAAGATCTTTTCATCTAATAATAATAATAATAAAGTATACTTATTTTAAATCTCTTTGGTAGGAACAATATATTATTTTTCTCTATTTATCAAAAGATTATTCTTCTTTTTTTTTAATGATAGGACATGGTTCTGTCTTTTTTATTATTTCTATCTTTGGTAAAGCTAAGCTTTTACTTCTTGAATTTCTTTTCTGGAACTCTTAAAAATGCATTTCTTAAAAATAAAATTCTCTTTCAGCTGACAAACCTACTCATATAAATATCTAACCATTTTTGTTCTTAGAGTCTTTATTTCCATCTAAAATTGTAATCACATGCATATTTTGCTTTGCTTGCTAATTGTTTTTATTTTTGAAGAGTATATTTTTCTATTCTTTCTGTTAATTAATCATACAAATATTCTAAGTTGGCTTCCTATTAATAAAATAGTTCTTAATATCTTGAGCGTGCATTTTTAATTTATTCGTCGCTAGTTTTCATTTTACGTTCTAATTTAAATTTTAACTGCGATACTCATGGAGACTTTTTTTTCTTTATTAGTTGGAATAATGAAAGCTAATTCAGTATTACATACTATAGGACGCATTTTAATAATCTAAAGTTTAAGTTGAGGAGATTTTTTCATTAATTAATAATAAATTTAGTAATAATTGTAATCAGCTAATCCATTTATTACTGCATTGTAGGATATGGATAATATTCATTCATAATACCGAAGCCAAAGTTTTCAGGTTCTTCTTAAGTGTTATTATTATTATTATTTGATAATAATTTCTATTTTAATCTAAGATTAAGCAATTCATTTTATGAAATTAAGAGTTCGATATTATTTCTTTGATTAATACTTTATTGTTTTTAGAAATTCAATTGATCAGTGATACTTCTTTTAAGAAAATTTGATGAGCTTTTCTTAGAATCCTTAGATTACATCATAGCCACTTTAGGACTATCTTATTCATCCTCAGATTCAATAGGTTTGAATTATTAAGTTTAAGCATTTAATTTTATCTTTTTATTCGAACTTTTTTTACTTTCTTCCTCCTTCTTTATTATCTCTTGCCAATCAAAAACATTATCATTATATTACATTCTATGCATTAATCCTTTCAACAACTTTCTTAAATAATTATAAGAAGGTTCAGTATCATGAGAGACATTAAAAATGTAATTGAAATACCCCTCAAACTCACGAGGTAATCCATAACTAAAATTAAATTACTTACAATCGTTACCACAACGACATTGGAGTTTCTCTCATTTTCTTTTATCCTATCAAATTAAACCGCTCCTCTTTGGTTTAGGCTTCAACCTTCATCCAAGGTAGAGAACCTTTTAAAAAAAATATTGCCAAATAACCTAAGGACTCTAAATCACTTGCTCTGCTTTAACTATATCCTTAATGAGAACAAATAGGGGTAAAGCGAGCAGTTCCAACTAATGGTTAACCTTTTAATTTTGGCAACAGTCTCTTTTATGAATCATAAATTGGAGCATTGAGTCCGAAGTCAATAAGATAGATGAGGTTTTCATTTGGAGGAATTCCAATCATGAAATTCTCTGGCTTAATGTCTCTGTGTATATACTAGGGCACTTTATCTCATTAAATTATTTACCCCTTAAGAATGAAGATATTCTAATCGACTAATCGCTTAATCCATAAAGAGTAAGATAGTTTTCAAAGAGAATTTGTGGTTGCATAAACTATACAATTCATCAAGGTTCTTACCTAAAATATTTAATATTATATGAAATACCTAATAAGGTTTCAACAAGTACTCTTTAAGTTGAATCTTCAATATAATAGTATAATCTAGGTATTCCTTTTTCACCATTAAGTTTTTTGAGAATTTCTGCTTCCAATCTCAAAGTCTCTCCCTTTTTTTATCTATGTTCTTAAGCCTCAATTTTGACTGCATAATAATCTTGTTTAATTTAATGAATGGCCTTATAAACCTTACCAAATGATCCTTCATTAATTTTGGAAACGATTAGGTAATTTTTGCATACAACTCTTCCTAATAGAGAATCAACTGGTGCTTTTAAAGAGTGATTAGTATTCATTTATGAATTACATTATGATTAATATGCCATTATAATATATTAATTATTTTTAAACAAGTTTATAGAATTTCATTCATTCTTGGGTTGTTCTAAAATCTCAAATTGCTCTGGTTATGGATCCTTTTTCTGTAAATCATTGAATTTAGTCTTTAAAAAGTTCCAAGCTGATAGAGTTCCTTCTTTAACAGTTTCAAAGCTCTTTTCAGCAACAACTTTAGTTTTACCCTAAAATAAAAAGAATGCAAGTTTACAGCCACTTCATTAGTTTTCTAAGAGAAATCTGTTTTAAACTATGTTAATTTCTATTAAAATTCTTCATCATTATATTTATCTTCTAATTTCTTCTTGGCTTCTTTGGCTGCCTCAGATGTTTTTTAGAATCCAACAGTAAAAAAAGTCTTCATCTTATCAAGAGGATCATCTTCTTCTTATTTCATCTACATGGGTTAATATTATTATTATTGTTCTCCCTTTTTAGGTAAAGGATTTGAATTAGATTTTGCCAATTAAGGATCTTCTTCTAGAGCTTCTTCTATTGGAATAGGTGCAGGGACTTCTCTTTCTTCAGTCTTTGCTTTGATCTAAAGGTTTAGAATTGTTTAATTACACATTCTCTATAATAGGATGCTCCTTTGGTTCTATATTTCCATGAAATGTCATGTTGTTTGGATGGGTCACCATATACTCCAATAGAAGTGAAGTATTCTTTTAGTTTATCATTTCCACCCATCATAATCATTTTTAATTGTTTGTCTGACCAACTGTCTAAATTTGTAGATCGAACAAAGGACACATGTACACCAAGACTACGATGTATGCCAGAACAAGGCAAACATAGAAATACAGAGTTTGGTAAACTCACCCAAGTTGGATTGGGTGCTCCACATTCAAAGCATTCTCTATTCAAAGGGGAGTCTTGTTGCATTTTTTAAAAAGCTTATGTTGTGATCAAAGAATTAATCATTTATAATATTATCAATTATTTTTAATTTCTTTTTTCTTCATCTTCTTAATATTAAATACTTAAATGTTATGAATAATGAAATTTTTGATATATTTTTAAACCTGAATTATATATTACTCTTCTAATTCTATAGACAATAGTTAAGATCTAATTATATTCATTTTTTAATTTGATAATCAACTTCTTTAAAATATCAGATCAATTATTAAATTAAATATATGCACTAAACTTATTAACTTATAAAGATTAATGTAAATTTAGTTTTTATTCTTATATTAAATAATAGATTTAAATCTTTTAGATTATTATATGATTAAACTCTTTTCATTCAATCAATTAATATTTGAGAACATTCTTTTTGATGATATGTATTTTACATTTATAATGTTTAGAAGAATCCTAAAAATTAGGATGAATCTATAAGTTTAACTTTGTACATATAATAATAATTATCAAATATTGCTGAATTTGAGTATTCGACTAATAGTATCCTTTAATTCTGCTTCATCTTTTGTTTAGAAATACAATTCAAATGCTCCTTTAAGAATTGGTTCATCTTGATTAATATTTCTTAATAAGTAGGTTAACTATTATTATTAATTAATATATATTTACATCAGTTTTTGATCTTCCTAATTCAATTAAGTTTGCTTTCAAAATACTTTTTACATTAGATTTTAAGATGTAATTGTATATTAATTGTATATTTTCTACTAAATCTTGCTTATCTAAATTATAATCATAGACTTCCAATGAAGATTTTAACATAATATTATCCTTATCAATTGCATCCATTAATAAATCTATTTATTTAACTTTTGATTTTAAGAATTTAGCACAGATGTCTTTTATTAAATCCTTATGTTAATTGTTTTAATCAATCTTTTTCATGTAAGGATCCATAGATTAATTATCTTTTTACTTTTCAATTTGACTATTTGCAAAATCTGATAACTTTTAAATGAATATCCTCTAATCTCTCTATCTAAGGAAATCTCTAAAGAGTTTCAATAAGGTATTATCACATGATATCATATTCTAAAATAATAATTTGATATATATATATACTTATTCCAATGCTAATCTTTGTTCCTAATTCAAACATCTTCTATATGCAAATAATATTGTCAATTATTATTCAATCAAACTATCAAATTATTCAATTTCATTAAAATCAAATCTAGAAGAGGATGCATATACTTTAAATATAAGATTTAGAGTATTTAAAAATTCATCTTATTCTTTTGTTTCACAATAAACTTCATAAGCTGCCATAACAGACATATCTTCAATTGAATATAAATAATAAAAAGCTTTTGCTTACCTTAAAGTAATGACTTTATCAATTTCATATAAAAAATTTATAATAAATTTGAAATTTTAATATTTATGCATTTTTGGTTCAATAACAGCACCATGAGTAGGTGAAGGTATTTCATCAATTTTTTTATTTTGTAAAGTCAATAAATCATTAATATCTGATTTAATACTATCTATATCATATCTTTATCCATATTTATCTAATATTTCTAATAATCTTTAATTTTAAGCAGAATAAAATCCATGTAATTTAGCTTTTTCATGTTCATCACAAAATTTACCACATTAATCATATACAGTCATAAACAATTTTTCATAATCTTCATTACTGTATTTTTGTAATACTTTAACATGATATTTATCAATAAAATTAATTTCTTTTTTACTTTCTAATAATATAGAATCAACACTCAATTTTCTTTCTTCTTATTAATTCATTTATGGTAAATTCAAATGAAAATGAAAATGTTCATCATGACTATCCTTACGTCTTTTATGCATTAAATAATAAGAATAACTACTTTCTTCTCTTAATTATTATTCTAATTATCCTACATTATCTTTTAAAAATAAAAATAAATCCTATAATTATCCATTTTATCCAAATCTTTGAAATCCTTCATAAATTGGATTTTATTTATTAGCATTTTCTTATAAAAAGTACTCTACTTAATGAGAATTAAAATTCTTTGTTATTTCTTATTAAAATTGACTTTATAAATATTATCTTATTATTTAAAGTAAAACCTTATAAAAATAAAAAATTATTATTATACATCTTAAGGATAATCCATTAAACTTTTGACTAAATCATCCAAATCACTATCCATTCTCAATTCTCTTAACATTCCAGACTCTATTGAATCTAAATCACCTGAATTAAGTAATTATTCCATTATTGTTACAGATGATCTTAAACCTGGAGTTGGATTACAATCATAAGGAAAATTAACAGATTAATGTAAATCACTTCTACTAGGACTTGTTATAAATTTGAGATTGTTTTAACTATTATACAAAATATATCAATTTTACAATGATAGATTGTTATTATCTTCTTGAGGTAAAAGTGATTTCAGATTTCTAATGAAATTTTCATCATCTTATTATTTTTAAAATAATTGATATGCAGCAAATACTGATTAATCTTAGCCTATAATTAATCCTAAGAGGTATTCATATTCTCTGGATTCGAATCGATTTCGAAATTTGTCAACAGCCTTCTTTACCCTCATTACACTTATTAACACAAATTATACCCATGTGTTCTTTTGCCTTAACTTGAATGAAAGTTATCATTCGCCTCCACTTATAATATCTATTTCTCATTTCCCCTAGTTACAATCAAAGGAATATTATTGTTTGCATTACTATTAGGAGTAGCAAAACTACCCTATAATATAGGTTCTGGCTCTTCCTCCTCACAAAGTAATTGTTCTATTTAATAACAGACATCTTCAGCAATGGAATGATTTATTTTCATTTCCATTTCATGTTTAAGAATTTAATTTTCAAAAACCGTTAATAACAATGAATCACTTTCCTCCTCCTAGATTATAGTGTAATATGCTTAAAGAAATGCAAATGTTTTGTAGATTCTCATTACTATAGGTTAGCCAAAGATGCCAGCTTAGTATTCATTGTCAAATACCAACACTATTGTCAATACAGGATGTTGAGGACTAGATGACACTTCAAAAATACCTAAATCTAATTTGTTGGATTTCTTATAAGAATGCTCCAAAATCTACATAATAAGAAGGTTCTTCATTTGTAGCTAGCACTCTCGAATTCTTACTTTTATGAGACTTTCTACTTTGTCTTTCTGATTTTCTTTGTTCTGACAATATAATATAGAACTTATCCTTATGAGCGTGTAGATTATTACAAAAATAATGCAAATCACAAATATTTCCTATTATATTATTGCATTTACCTTACGCATCTTATAATGCTGTAATGGTCTTATCAACTTAAAATGCTGAACGAATCAAACGACAAAAGGATGCTACATCTAAATTTGAAACAAAGAATGATTTTTGTTCTCCATCCAATGAAAAAATAAAGTTATACTTTCCTTGCATTAATAATTTATTTGATAAAAATAATATTGTTAATTATATTAAATAAAACACTAAACTATTTCAATAAAATTAATTATATCTATTAACAATCTATATTTTTAGGTTAATTAATTAATATATATATATATATATAAATGTAATAAAAAGCAAAATAATTCTTTGCTACCTATGGCAAATTAGGAATAGGTGTTTACTTTTCAGTCTCAATAGTCAATTATGGCATTGTTTACTTTGCATTAAAATAAGGTGTCGATGTAAAATAAGTTGGATCGAAGTATCACCCTTTCAATTTACATTAGACTTGGATTTGATACAACTTAAGGCAAGTGGGAATAGATTGAAACATATGGTACACCCACAGCAGCTTATATTATTTATAAACTTATGGCTCCAATCAAATGGCCTATTGTTATAGGAACTACAGCTTGGATATGCAGAAAAGGGAGAAAATGAATGATTATTAAATAAATTTGCAAAGAATTTTGAATATAAAATTGTCAATGAATCCATAATATCAATATGACATATTTGTTATAGGTGGAGGTTCTGGTGGTCTAACAGTTGTTGATGAAGCCTAAAAGTTAGGTAAAAGAGTAGGATTAGCTGATTACATTAAACCAAGTCCACATGGAACCTAATGGGGAACAGGAGGAACATGTCCCAATGTTGGATGCATACCAAAAAAATTAATGCATATGACAGCATTGATTGGTGAAATAAGACATGAATTAACAGCAACTGGATGGCAAGGAGTCGACCCTCATTCAAAGCATGATTGGAATACTTTGGTAAATGAAGTTTAAAGATAAATCAAAGGAATTAATAAAGCTAATGATGATTGGTTAGTTTCAACTAATGGAATTACATATTATAATAAATTAGGTAATCCTTTATATATATATATATAATAATAGGTAAACTAAAAGATGATCATACTATTGAACTTATTGATAAAGATGGATAATCAGAATTTGTAACTGCAGAATATATAGTAATTGCAGTTGGATCTAGACCTTCATTTCCAACTGATATTCCAAATGTTAAATTATTGACAATTACATCAGATGATTTATTTTCTTTAAGTATTAAATTTAAAAATATATCTTTTAGAAAAAGCACCTGGTAAAACATTAGTAGTAGGAGCATCTTATGTAGCATTAGAATGTGCTGGATTTCTAACTGGTTTAGGTTATGATGTTACTGTAATGGTCAGGAGTATTCTATTAAGAGGATTTGATTAAGAAATGGCTGAAAGAATTGGTGAGTTTATGAAAATTTAAGGAACTAAATTTATAAGAGGAACAATTCCAAATTCAATAGAAGATGTTGATGGTAAGAGATTAGTGAAATGGGTATTGAATGGTTAAGAATAAAGTGATATTTTTGATACAGTATTACTTGCAATAGGAAGAAGTGCAGATACTTAAAATCTAGGATTAGAATAAGTTGGTGTATAAACTAATAAAGAATCTGGAAAGATTATAGCAAATGATGCTGATTCAACATCTGTTTCAAATATTTTTGCTATTGGAGATTGTGTATAAGGTAGATTAGAACTAACACCTACAGCTATTATGTGTGGTAAACGTTTAATAAAAAGATTATATTGTAATGGAAATTAAATTATGGAGTATTCAGATGTTTCTACAACTGTATTTACACCTTTAGAATATGGATGTGTTGGATATTCAGAGGATGCTGCTATTAAGAAATTTGGAAAAGAAAATCTTAAGATATTTACATCTGAATTTACTCCTTTATTTTGGAATTTTGCTAACAGAAAAGGTACATGTTATGCTAAATTGATTGTGAAAAAGGAAGATGATATTATTATAGGATTCCATTATTTAGGACCAGATGCTGCAGAAGTGACATAAGGATTTGGTGTTGTAATAAAATTAAAAGCAAAGAAGAATGATCTTGATAATGTTGTAGGAATTCATCCATCAGTTGCTGAAGAAATAGTTTAGATGTAAACATGGAAATGAAAAAAATAATATTATCATAATTATACATGATATAATAAATAATAGATTATCACTATATCAATTTTACTTATTTTCCAGATGCTCTCAAGAATCCTAACATTCCTTAACTCTATAATATTTATTTTTAGTATTCTAATTAATGTTATTAACTTTCTTCATCATCAATAACAATTTATAAAAAACTAACTGGATTTCTTCTCTTTGATTTAATTTGATGTTATATTTTCTTTTTCTCTTATGATTTCTTCTCTTCAATCAAACTTACATCCTAATAACTAATTACTCTTTAACCACAATTAGTTGCAACTTCTTAAATCTATTGTTACTTTTACTTAAATAATTCATAGATTTCATTTTAATAGTCCTAATATATATATATCATAACATAATTTACATAATCATTCATCACTTTTTCTAAAAACAATATCATATCTGTTAACTCATCTATAATCTCATCACATAATTCAATTTTTCTCTATCTTCTTTTCTAACCATCTTCATCCTAATTATCCTACATTTCAGTAGCCATTGAAATTAATTTACTGATTTTCTAATCATCAATAATAATATCATACACTCTTGAACTTTGATAATTTATTTCCATTCATTATTTAAATAAATGCATGAGTATTTTTATGAGCTTTTCTCTCTTTCTTATGTACTAATAATTAAGGAATTTCACCAGATCCCCAACCAAAAGGATCTTCTTCTTCATCATCCTCATCTACTTATTCTGCTTCTTCAACTTTTTCTGTTTAAACATCTTGAACTTAAGGGACACTTTCATTTTATTGATTATTAGATTCTTATTATTTCTCTTATTAAAGTTCTAAGAATGAAAAATAAATAAACCTTCATCCAAACTCTCTATAAATTCCCTAGCTTAAATGATCTTCTCTTTAGCCTATGATAGAACACTGTGATCTTCTTGCATTTCAATTTCACCTTCTTCTAAGACTGTAATCCAAGGGAAAAATCTTTCATTATTGTTTTTCAATACGCCTCATAAGTATTTGTATATTCATCATCTGTTTAACAATTGGGAGAGCCTATTGATGCTGGATCAAAGTCAATAGCCTATTAAAATGATTCAAATTCAATTCCTTATATGACAACCAAGCACAACAATAAATAAGCAATTTTCATTTATAAAAATTAATTCGTTTTAATTCTAAGTTTAATAAATTATATTTACTAATTCTAAATTAAAGAATTATATCAATTATAATTGTATGAATCTTATTTTAACTTAATTTAAAAAATGATAATTATTGCAATTATACATCCATATTAGTATTATTATAGAATTGAGATAATAATTTATATTAGTTTAATTATAATTTATTTTTATAATAATTAATCTTCAAGTCTTATTTAATGATTAATAATATAATAAAACAAAATTTACTTACAAGAACATATAAATAATAATTTAAAATTAATAATATAGATATTTAATTCAAACAATATAATAATATTCTTGGTAGTTTGTAAAATTGTCTATTTTCAGAAGTTCATCATAATCTAATGGTTATTATAAGAAAAAATAATAAAATATTTATAAAATATAAAATATTATAGAAAGAAAAGATACAGCATAAATTATTATAATTTATACATGATGTAGTTCTTTGTTTAATCGATATAAGATTGATGTTTTTGGATGAGAAAATGTATATTACTTATATTAATGTTGAAATATATAAATGTTATGAATTATTATATAGTAATGGATATGAAATATTATAAAAAAAATGATTTGAAATCTAAAGTGTGAATGATAATCAATATTGCATCATTAGATTATGAATTAATAATAAAGAGTGTCAATCGAATGTAAATAATGCGTATTAAAATCATAAATTTCTTTATTATTAAATCAGAATTCAATCGTCTTATTAATTAATTATTATATAATCAGAATGTCTGAATCTATATTCAAAGTTCGCACTAAGAAATACTTGAAACCTATCTTAGAAACTTAGATTATTGGTATATCCAGAGTAATTCTGGGATTGCCCATTGATCATGTGTTTGATAGATTTAAGACTTTACTTCAAGCTGAGAGTACTCAATTATCAATGAAAGAATTATTCAAAGATACTTATCGAAGGAACGGAGTTCTTAAAGGAGTTTTTGCTGGTTTCTCATCTCAAATCAGTATTCAATTGTTTAAACAATACTATAGGTAAATATGATACATGAACATAATAGATGGCCCATGATGATATTAATACCCAAATACTATAAGGAACTATTACCAAGAACTTGGATAGAATATCATCCAGTGTTACACAAGGGATTGGCAGGTGCAACAATAGCTTTATTTGAATCATTTGTGACTTGTCCTTTGGAAAGAATTAAATGTTAATTGATGACTCAACATTAATCAAAATCAAGTAATTAATAAAATTAATATCATTAGTACTTAAATTAATATGGAGAAATGAGAGATCATTTATTCATTTTATAAGGAATATTTACACAGGAATGGAAGCTATGGTGTTGAAGTAAGTAGTATCATGGACAAATTATCTTTATTGGGATCATAAGATTAGATATTTTTTCAAAGATAATCCAAGTCAAGCTCTTACATTTTAATAAATTGTAATGTGTAGTTTATTGACTGCAATTCCTAATATTCTTTTAGTTTAGCCATTTGATGCTGTTAAGACGGCTTATTAAATGGAATAAAATGGAAATTACAAATAATTAACTATCCCATAAGCTTTTGTAAAAGTATATAAGGACAAAGGTGTTATTGGGTATTATGCTGGTTGGTAATTGAGACTGTCTCAATTTATAGTTTAAGCAGCTTTAAGTACTCCAGTAATGGATTATTTGGAAAGATTACATGGTCTACCAAATGAACTTTGAAATAGATAATTAATACTATTATTGATTATAATTATATAATTATCATTTATAATTAATCATTAATGAACTGATTTTCTAGTTTCCACAATGGAACCAGTTAATTGTCTCTACATTTATGCTTTGGTACCTGATAATCTTACTCCAACTTGGTGTTAAGAATCATAATGTTCTTAGAGTTATTAATGGATATCTTATTTAGAGGAATAAGGAGATTATTAATGATATTCTTATTCTAAGTTTAATAGATTTCCCTATTATCCAGTCAATTATTTAGTCAATTCTTAATCTCTGAGAAGTTAAGATTATCTAGGTTATGGTTGATATTTTGATTGAATGTTTTGATATTATTAAGAATATTACTATTATTAATATGATTTAGTTTAATCAGTATTAATAGATTCAAATAATTATTATTATGAAAGTGTGGTTGGATTATAAATATTGGGTCTTTGTTCTATAGTTTTTAGATTTGAAGGAGTAAATTATTCCACTACACTTAACTTAGGTTTATCTTCTATTTCTTATTAATTATATTCATAATGTTCATGATCTTAAATTAAAAATTGATTAATCTCTTATTTTTAATAATTGGAATGTTTATTTTAGTAAGAAGATTGTTGATTGAAATTATCTTGTTTATAATCACTTAATTATAATTAAAGTTCTTATTAAGTAATTGGAGTTAGATTATTATATAATTAACAACTTCTTGTTTAGTCTAATTATTTTCCTGGTGTTTTTTAACATTTATTTTAAGCATCCTAACTTCTTTAAAGTGCTATTTTAGTTCTCTATTCTAGTAGTTCTAATTATTCATACACATCAGTAGTATCTACAACTCTACTAATCACTTATTATTCAACTTTTTGATCATTATTTTATTATCTAAAATCAATAGAATAATTAGGTAAACTTTCTTAAATAGTTGATTACTTAATAGGATTAACAAAAATACTCTGAAATAATCTTCAAGTTGAAATCTGTAACCAATTAACAGATCATTGGCTTGTCTTGAATTTGGTCTAGTTTCAGGGGCTAATTATAATAATTAACACACTATAGAACACAATTGTTCACTATAAAGTGTTTTCATTTCTCTTATGTAACTATCTAATTTCTCTGTATTAATTAGATAATGAGGATAATCATAAATATCATTTATACTTTTTAGTGTTGCCATCTATAAAGCAGTTAAACCAATACTAAACACATCTGATTTATTCATATCATAAGTAGGTCTAAGTACTTTTTATTTGAGAAATTGTAATTATTCAGGACTTAAATTATAGTTTCCCATTTATTTAGTAACACATCTTTTGAATGCATTCAAGTCTGTTAATTATTGAATATCAGTTAATTTATAAATTGGGTATGGTTCATTTTATCTAATTGGACAATTTTTAACAAATGATGTAACACTAATTGTAAGTGGTCTTATGTCTCCATGAGATCTCTATTGAATATTCAATTTTTAAATAGCTATCAACTAAGAATGAAATAAATAAAGATAATACAGTACAATGAAGCATGGCTGCTATTTCTATTTCTTCAAAATGTTATTTAGATACAGCTTGTTCTACAATTAATCTTTCCAAGTATTCATCAAAATACTCATATACACTATGTGCTTATGTCATTTGAGTGCATAATTCTTTTTCTGTGATAAATTATAAATCCAACATTTCAATTAAGAATGGATCTTTCTATCTTGATTACATTTATTATTCTGCTTGTTATCTAAAGACATGCCATTATTCATCATCTTGAAAGTTGTGATCTTTTACAGCAACTGCATGACCATCATTTAATTTATAAACTTTGATATCACCATAACGTATATCATTAACTGATTTCCAAAATTGTAATTAGTTGATTTTTGGAACACTCATGCGTGATTGTTCTAAATTTTGTGATTGTGATTAACCCATACTGTTAAAATATTAATTAATTTAATATTGAAATCTATTATAATCAAAAGGAATAACACTATTGTTATGTCATAACTTAAGAATAGCTCATATTTATGTAAATTAAAACATAGAACAAATTTTTAATTAAATCAAATAAGACTACTCCAATGGAATAATAAATATTTATTTAATTCTATATAAGATTATTATTCTCTCTTTAAATATTTTATAAACTATAGATTAAATTAATAACTTGAAGAAATATTCATAATTTACATTTATCCTCAATTATTTTGAATAAGTTTTATAAAATTTCATGTTATCTAAATGAATATAATGAATCATAATTTATGTTATTAAGTAAAATCTAATTCATTTTTTTAATTTTCAATTGTAATTCTATATAATATATATCTATTCAAAAAATGGTGAATATAATTTATAAACTAATTCATAAATTATAAATTCTTCATGTTTCTGAAGGGAATAATAAGTTTATTAATTTTATCATATAATTATACATACAATTTATTTTAAATTAGTAATGAAAATATTTAAAGAGGGTAATATTGTGTCATTGAATATTTATTTAATAATTCATAAATACATTATAGCGTAATCAATGAGTTAATTTACATTGACATAATGCGTAATTGCTTAATATAGATATCAAATTATTTAAATATTTATTTTACGGTTCATGAGTGCGTCAAAAGTTCAAAAGGTATCATCATTTCATTATTATGACAGTTATTCTTCCGATTTTCCTATTACAAAAATCTAGACCTCAGTAGTCCATACCCCTCATTCTAAGTAGATTTCAAAATCATATATTTTTAGGCCAGAGACATGACAACCACTCACACCATGCATTATATAACGAAACCACCTTGTGATCCTAAAATCATGACTTTCGGAGCATTTCACACAGATCATATGTTAGAAGTTGATTGGACTGAAAAAATGGGGTAATGAAATCAATATATATGGTTAGTTGGTCACGTCCATAGATTATTCCTTTTAAAAGTTTCTCCATTCATCCATTTGCTGCTTGCTTACATTATGCAATTGAATGTTTTGAAGGAGCTAAAGTATTAAGAAATATAGATTATTATTAGGCATACAAAGGACCAAACAAAACTATTAGAACATTTAGATTGGATTGTAACATGTACAGAATGAAACAATCAGCAAAGAGACTTTCATTACCTGATTTTGATGGAGCTGAATTATAAAAATGCATTGAAGGCTTATTGAAAGTGGATCAGGATTGGATACCTGACAGACCAGGATTTAGTTGTTACATAAGACCAACCATCATAGCAACAGAAGAAGCTTTAGGAGTGAGAGCATCCAGTAGAGCAAAATTATTTGTTGTATTATGTCCTGTGGGTCCATATTTTCCATCAGGACTGAAACCAGTTAGAGTATTTTGTAATACTACAACAGTAATAATATGAATGATTAATATAGATTCGTTCAGCACCAGGAGGTGTTGGAGGTTATAAAGTTGCAGGTAATTATGCACCAACTGTCATGCCTTTAAAAGAAGTATAATAAATTGGATTTCATTAAAATTTATGGATGTTACCAGATGGATTGGTTTAAGAGATGGGAGTTTGTAATTTGTTTTTCTTTTGGACTAATAAATAAGGAGAAAGAGAATTGGTTACACCTTAATTAGATGGTACCATATTACCAGGAATAGTCAGAGATTCATTACTTGTAATATATATATTAAATTTATATACAGGAATTAACAAGAGAAATGAAATAATTCAAAGTTATAGAAAAGAAATTGTATATCTAAGAAGTAATAGAAGCAATAAGTGAAGGAAGAGTAAATATATGATATTAATTTATAGATGATTGAAATGTTTGGATCAGGTACTGCTGTCAGCATTCAACCAATTGAAGCTATTGGATATAATGATAAAATTTATGAAGTTAAGTATGATCCAAAATTAAATGCTGGTGAGTTGTCTCATAAATTATTTGATATGATCACTGAGATTCAAGTATTTAATTATTATTATAATTTTTAAAGACTGGAGGTTAACCACATAAATGGATTAATGTTGTGTGAATTATTTTATAAGATTATTATTAATATGAGTAAGGAGATTCTTCCAATTATCCATTTTGATAAACAAACTCTTACAACAAAATCAAAGACTTAATAAAGTTCTCAAAATAGGAACCTAATTTATAAGACTCTCTATGTACCTAAGGATGATAAGTCTTCTCATATTAATAGTTCCATCAAAACAGAAAATGAGTCATATGATTATGTGATTAATCAATTACATCAACACAGATAATTGAGATAGCCTCCTTCTCGATTGATTAATTAATTAAGAAGATAGAAAATGAATGTAGATAAAATGCCTAGACCTAAAGCTAAAAAATTATCAAAACCATCCTATTCAATTAATCTAAATACATAAGATAAAAACTAACTTTAAAAATAAATATGTAATTATGTGTAATAAGCAAACAAGTTATAATAATATAAATTGTCTGCTATTCATTCAAGAAGATAGGATTTTAAACCTTACTTTAATTTTGAAGAGTTTTCATTTATGGATGAAATATTTCCACATTCAAATCTAGTTAAAAAGAAATTTGGATTAAATGAATAAATCATGTTTAGAAATTCTATGGGTTTAGAAAAAGTTATTTTATAAAGGATAATATAAACATAAGAAGATGAATGAATAATAATTAGTATTATTATTATTTATATATTTTTAAATTCTCAATAATAGTATATCTGCTAAAACAATTCATTAAAAAGGTTTTTAAATCTAAATCATTATCATTATAAATGAATCAAAAAAAATTAGATCAGGCAATCTATTATCTAAAATACATCAATGTTTTTGTTAAACCAGTTGATTTGTTCCTTCTTAAATAAGGAGGACATAGAACTTTGTTAGGCACATTTATGACTTTGGGAATCATTTCGGTACTTTTAATCTAATTTATCAATATCGTTTCATCATTTGTATTACATGATAATCCTACCTTATTAACTAACTAATCATATTCATAATAACAACCACCAATATATTTATCAAAAGAAAATTTCACAATTACTATTAGTTCTTTAAATTATGATCTAGGAGATTCATATAATATTTCTATGACTTTAGTTAGTCAATTATTTGAAGATAAAACAAATTCAAAGATGACTACTAATATAAAAAAAACAAATATTCCTCTAATAAAATGTTAATAACAATAAGGACTTCCAGATTATTTTGTCAACACTTCTCTAATTCAATATTGTATAGATTGGGAGTCAGTTCCATATGTAATTATAGAAGGTAGTTTAGATTCAGATTATTATAAGTATATAGAAGTTTCTATTAATCAATGCGAAGAAACGTAATTTTATTAAATAATTTAAATAGCAGTAAATGTCCATTCATTGAAAGTGATGAAATAATCATCAAAACATTATCAACATATGCTGACACTATGAATTTTAATCAACCTCATCAATTATATGGCAAGACATTTAAAAATGTTATCAATTAATATTATACTAAAAGATTTAATGGAATATTTCAAATAACAGAGGTCAAATAAGATCATGGATACATTTTATAAGAATTAGAAACTACTAAATCTCTTTCAATAAATAATTTATATGAAAACTTTGATTCATAAGATGAAAAAGTATATGCGACATATCGTTTCTATTTAGATAATTTAACATAAATTTATCAAATTTCATATCCTAAAATTCAATAAAGTCTAAGTGACTTTGGTGGTTTATGTGAAATCTTCATTTTAGCTGCATTATTTATTGTAACTCCATTAAATGAATTATCATATAAAGTTACTCTCTTGAATGAATTATTTAATTTTAATTTAAACAATTAAATATAAAATGGATAATAATAATAAAAGATACATCCAAGTAATACTGCTAAATAAAGATTAAAATCAATTCAATTAAAAACATCATAATTAGAAAGAATAAATCGATAAATGACAGTAAATGGTAGAAATTCTGAGAAGAATGACCATAAATTTTTAATTAATGCTTTATAGGATAGTATTAAGAGATTCTTTGATGAGAGAAATAGTAAATTAGAATTATCTTTTTGTGATTACATTCCTTGTGCAAGAGGTAAAAAATAATAATTAATTTCATATTCAATGAGTAAAATTAATAATTCACTTGATATAACTTATATAGTTAAGAAATTATAAGAAATTGATAAATTAAAAATGATATTATTGTCTCCAGATCAAATCAAATTATTTGATTTCCTACCAAAACCTAATATAGATTTAAATTCAAATGATAAGCAATCTTATTTTTCTATTTTAAAACCTGAATAATCAGAACTAGAAAAGGCTATTGAGGCATAAGCAGCATTCAATAATCTTGCTAAATTTAAAGATGATCAAATTAATTAACATTTAGTTGAATTTTTGGATGATGATATTATTTAATTATTTAGAATAAACATGAAAAAAGAAGTCAAAAGTTTAACTAACTTTTCTCCTGTTACATAGACACATTTTTTATCTGACCTTCCAAGTAGAATGCCATAAATAGAATAATAGGATGATTCAGATTCTGAATCTTCTCCATCAATCAAATCTATTTAAAAATTAGATTAATGACTATATAAAAAATATGCTAAATTTCAATAATTTATCAATCATATTATTATTTAATTATGATTAAAAAATAAGGGAATTAATTAATAAAAAAATTGATTATGTTATATTTTGAAAATTTAAAGTCATTAATCAATATATACATGGCTATATCGAAACACAATTAGTGAACAAAGGTTACTCATCTTAGTGTAATATGATTTAATTTTCTAGTTTCAGATTATAATATTGTTGTAAATTCATATCAGAAGTTAATATTTTATACAATTAAAATTCTAATTCATATTGAAATTTAATTTTTCTTATTATAATTTTATCTTTTGGTCCCAAGAGTCTAACTAACCAAATACTTATGGGTATTTCTAAATTTGATATGCCTCTTGAATTATGTTTTAAATCTGAAAAGGATAATGGATTAATGATTGGAAAATGTAATAGTTTTTATTTATTAAATGAATTTTAACTTTAATATTTAATCTTTACATAAATAATATTATCTTCATTATTCTACTCTTCTTATAATATGATATAAGTCTTTCCAAAATTTATATCTAAAATATAGTAAAATAAATTTAAGAAAAGTTATTTCATCTTTGCATTATTAGATACAACAAATGAACTTTTTAATTTATTTATTATTTCAAGATCTGCAATATTATCATGATGTATATATTAAACTGCTTAAATTAATTATTCAATCATGTGTAGAATATTGAAGGTTGTTAATGGATTGATATCACATGATAATTACATGAAATCTATCATATTTCTAAATTAATTCCAAACCTTATTTAATTAAGTATAATGTTCACGAAATAATTATTATTTCTATGAATTCAAACTAAATTCACAAATTTAATTCAAATCATACAATTTAGTTAAGCATTTTTTAAAGGATGAATTAAAGATGGAAATAAAGTATTTAATAATAAGTTTATAATTTTCTTGTTTAAGTTTCAATTTTTTAATTTTAGTTGATATCTCATGTTATTATATGATAATTAAAGCTTGAGGAGTTTTATAGTGATGTATTTTATATATAACAATTTATTTAGAATTGGATGTAGAAATATCATTTTGTCCAAAATTGTTGATTTAGATTTCTTCAAGTTCTACTTTAGATTTTTGTTAGAAAGGCTCAAATGTTTTAAATTCTGTTTTTGGTTTTATTCCTTTAAGAAAGTATAATAAAAATGTTTCTAAATTAATTTTGTTAAATTATATTTGATATTATTAATATTTTTTTTTTATTTCATTTTTTAATTGTTGAGGATGAATAAATATTTTTCGAATTCGTTATTTAAAATCTAATTATTAGAATTCATTAAACTTTTATTTTTCTAATAAAGATGATAATTTAATAGATGTAATATTTTCATCAAATTTAACTTTAAAGATATCAAACATATCTTAAGAATTGAAGTAATTTTGTATTATTTTATTACAATTTAATTTGAAAAATTATTTCCTTCTAAAAATCTCTTATTGAATACCAAATTGAATATCCATAACTATCATAATCAGAAACTTTAAACTTTGTGACCAAAGATTTATTTCATTATAAGGACCTACATATAAATTAAATACTAGAATAGGCATCATAACCATATATTTTACTTAAACTTCTACAGTATTTAGAATTCTAATTATATTATGAATATCTTACGACAATGAGCCAAGACAAATAAAATACCCATCTAAATAAGTATCTTGATTTGGTATTGTATCCATATAACGATTAAATGGATAAAAAAAATTAAATATCAAAACAACAACCAAAAGCAAATATTTATAATGCATTTAAGTTTTTTTCACACACATATAGGATAGTAATATAAAAATAAATCCAAATAGATTGAAAGTTAATGAAGTCCAACTTTTCTCCATTCCTTTTTATATTGTAAAAACACTCAATAATAAAAGAATTAAAACTTTTTATTAATGTTAGATTTTAATTGTTTATTAGCTTTGGAAGCAGTTATATTATCTCTCAGTCTCAGCATCTAGGATTTTATGAAAAAAAATAGTCATTAATAATTAATTAATTTATCTAATTGATTATACTTATATTAAATAAGATATTGTAAACAGTCTTCATAAAAAAAAGTTGTGTATATTAAATACTTCAATATTCTTGATCCCAATTAGGATCTTTTGCTTTCTCCTTTTTATAGACTTGGGCATTCAAATTTTATAGTTCTTTCATTATTGGAGTACCTTGTACATCTTTACCTGTAGCTGGCATCTTCTATTATGGTGGCAAATAAGGAGGTTTCATTTCTTTATCATACAATTTATCCTTGTTTAAATATACAATTATAATTATACCCAATCAAATTAATCGAACCATTAATTGGCCTTCAAACTAGCATAAGATCCACCCAATCTCAATTCAGGTGTTTTATTAAGTAATTACTCCATAAATTTCTTAGCTTTTCTATCTTTAAGAAATTGGGGATAAGATAATTGTTTCTTTTAGATTTCTTCATAAATTTCATATGGATCTTCTGCTTCTTCAGCATATGGTACTTATCCACACATAAATTCGTACATACAAATACCAATTGACCATATATCAACAGGGAATGTATAACCCTTACCTTATAAGATTTCTGGAGCCATATAATGAGGAGTTCCAATAATAGTATAAGTTCTACCACTTTTATGATTTAAAAACTTAGCTGTTCCCATATCAATTAATCTAACATATCCTTTTTCATCAACCATAATGTTTTCAGGTTTAATATCTCTATAAACAATTTTTTATTTGTTGAGATATTCAATGCATAAAATGAGTGATCCAATATAAAATTGTGTATCAAAAGCACTTAATAAACCAATATCTCTAATTACATCAAAGAGTTCCATTCCTTTAATGAATTCTACAAGAAAGAATACATGATTAGAATCTTAGAAACTACAATAATATTTCATAAGGAATGGATGATGTACAGATGTCAATACTTACTTTTCTTATGCTAAATGTTTTTCTAGATGTTAATCAACAATTTATGCTTTAGATATACATTTCAAAGCATAAAAATGAGGTGGATTATCTTTTGGATTTTTGACTAAATAAACATTTCCAAATTATCCTTATCCTAATTTTTTTAATGAAATAAATTCTTATAATTTAAGATGAGAGTAATCATGTTTATAACTTTCTTATTTTTTATGTCTATTAAAATATAATTAAATGATTAATATACTTTTCACTAATTTTTTAATTTTTATTGATAACTTAATCTAATGAACCTCCAATTACTTCTTCAAATCGTTTAAAATCAATTTCTGCTAGAATACATTTCTCTTTAGCAATAACTGGATCACTAAGTTATTATTTGTTGAAATAAGCATCACCAAAAACTTAACCTTCACTTGCGGCTTTCATTTTAGACCCAGTCTGCCTTAAATATAAATGTAGATGTTACAAATATTAATTCTCCTCTTAAGACAATCACTAATTTTTATACTTTTTCCTCAAATACAACAACACCTTATTCATAATTAAATTAATTCATATTTTAAACAATCTTTTAAATTTAAAGTTCAGTTAATTATCCTAAAATTTAATGTTTTTCAATTGCCCATATTTATTTATTAGTAAACATAATAACTTATATTTTATCACCTAAAATTTTAGTTAATTCATCTCTTGTTATAACAAGACATCTCACATCTTCGTCAGCTGCTTTTACTGTAGCACCTCTTGTAGAATTCTAAAATAAAGCCATCTCTCCAAATGATTCACCTTTCTTCATCTTCCTTATTTCATTATCATTTTATATCACTGAAACTGATCCTTTTTTAATTATAAAAAATGATGTTGCTGTTTCACCTTATTATACTATAATCTCTCCTTTTTTAAATTGCACTGTAAATAATACACTTGAAATTGCTGATCTTTAATCAAAAGTTAAAAATTCTATTGGATTAATTAAATAATACTATACCAAAAGATTTCAAATTTTCTACAAATTATCTATTCTCTTCAAATTCATGCATTCTCATATCTTCAATCATTTTTCTAAATAAATTTCTATCAATTGCCCAAAATGCACAATCCCCTACTGCTCTCACAGATGCAGATCTAGGTGCATTATATAATAGTGCTCTCTCACCAAATGAATCAGATTATTTTAATACTTTCTTTACTTCCCCATCTATTATTATCTGACACTAACCACGTTCTTTGATATCAATCAATAATACCAATAAGAAAAAAGGAACTTGCCTTCAAATCTCCTTATCTGAATACAAATTGACCATCTGATGTAGTGCAATAAAACATTTATTCTAAAATAGCTTCCCTGAAGAAATATTAAATATTCTATACTGTTCCTATTGAGAGAGTGATTAAAATAGAGAATTAGTTGTGAATGAATTCAATATAAGTTAGTAATCAAAAGGCGACTTCTTTTTATTACTTTTTTAGATGTTTTCTACTATTTCCTCTTGATCCTAACGAGCTTCAACTTTAACCATCTTTTTTTTATCATTACGTTTAAGCTTTCATCATATAGTAAAAGATACTTCCACTTCTAATTTTTCCACAACTGCATCTGGTTCATAATCTCCTTTATTTCCAGTACTCCTCTTTTTTTAGATGATTTATGATCCTCCTCCATGATTTTATGATATAGTAATAGTGTCTCCTTTCTTTTTTGGAATTAAACTATTAAGTTCATTTTCATCATCTTGTTTTTTACAAACACTTCCCATCAGTTAATTTAATTTTTGAATGAGTACTAAATCAATAGGAAATTACATCCTAGGTAAAACCATTGGAGAAGGAACTTTTGGATAAGTCAGATTGGGTCAACATACTATTACAAACGAAACAGTAGCCATAAAAATATTAGAGAAGGATAAAATGAAAGAAAACACAGATTATGAAAGAATTTCAAGGGAGATTAATTGTCTTAAGAAACTGCGTCACCCCAATATAATATAGATCTATGAAGTAAAGATCACAATTATTTGAAGATAGTTTAAACTGTAAATTCTATATATATGATTATGGAATATGCACCTGGTGGAGAATTGTTTGAAGTTATAATTAGGAACTAAAGATTAAATGAAAAAGAGGCAGCAGAGTATTTGATGTAAATACTTTCTGGAGTTTAATATATGCATGATAATTATGTAATGCATAGGTAACCATATTTATATATATTAGAGATCTCAAACCTGAGAATTTGCTATTAGATGAAAATAACAAGATCAAAATTGTAGATTTCGGTCTCTCAAATCAATTTAAAGATGGTCAATTACTCAAAACTGCTTGTGGTAGTCCTTGTTATGCTGCTCCTGAAATGATTGCAGGAAAAGAGTATGATCCCAAATCTGCAGACACTTGGAGTTGTGGTGTCATTCTATATGCTATGGTTAATGGATACCTACCTTTTGAAGATAGTAATACAGCCTAATTGTATAAAAAAATCATCTATGGAGAATATGCTCCTCCAAAATACATGAGTCCTTTATGTAAGGATCTCCTTGAAAAAATATTATAAGTAGATCCTCTCAAAAGATATAATATATAATAAATAGTAAAACATTATTGGATTCAAACCTGTATTACTAATCCTATATTAACTCCAGGATATGGTGAAATTAATATATGTAATGAAGTTTTATAGTAATTGGCAACATATAATTTTAAATTACCATAAGCTTATGACTATTTAAAAGCTAACAAACATGATCCAGTTACCACTACTTACTATTTATTGTTAAATAAATATTTAAGAGAAAAACAGTAGGATCAAGAGGAGGCATTTTAATATAAATTAATATAAATTCCTCCTCCATAACATCCATAAGAAGCCATTCTAAAAGAGACTTCAAACATTCAATCTTAGAGAATTAGTCAAGTTGATACTAAAGAAAATAAAACTCCTTAAAGGAATACTTAGGAATAGAAATCTACTAATTCTATAAAAACATTTAATATACAAAATTCTTAATAAGAAAGAATTTCATAAATACCAGAAACATAAAATCCAAATGAAGTTGAGGAAATCAATGAAAATTTTCATGAAATCTAGAATTTAATTAATCTATCATAAATAAATCCAATACAACATAATCAATTTCAAAGTAATCAAGATGATCAACCTTAAGATAATGATATAACTACAAACAATTAGTTAAATGTATCTGCTTAGATTCCCTTTCCAGATAGACCATCCATTCAAACATCATTAAATAATACTCCAATCTATCAATCATAATTTAATTATAATCATTATGATTGTAGTTCTCGAGTTAGGTAGGTTTCATTAAGCATTGAAAAAAAACCTGAAACATTATTTCCTACTGTTGAATAAATCAAACTTAAAGCATTGTAATTTAAACAAAGAGCCCTTGAAAATGTAGATCGTTCACCAGCGCCATAAAAACCTAGAACTTTGAAAACTCCTTAAAGATCTACTGTTTATAGAGCTCCTAATTTTAATAATTAGCATTCATATGAGAGACCATAAAGTCCTTTGATTGTAATAAGGTAACATGAAGGACCATATCATCTTAATTAACTAATTTTTGTAGATCCATAAAAAATAACTTAAAAAATTATATCTCATCTATAATAATAAAATTATGATGTAAAAAGGAGCAAATTTGAATTAAAGATAAGTAAATGTGATTTTGTAATGACTTTTGCAATAGCACTTTTATGTGATTCTGTATATGTTATGAAATGTTAAAAAATACAAGGAGATTCAGAAGAATATGAAAAAATTTATAAATAAATAATTAAGTTGAGATGAAAATATATGTGTGATATCATTCTAATATACCACTACTATTACTATCTTATTTAGATAATTATTATTTTTCAACATCTGGTAAATCTGAAATACTTATAGAATCTTTTTATTACAAAACAATCTTTTTAGGCAATGGATTTATGATATTGAATTAGATTTTTTATTTTTTTATTTTTTATTCTTCCTTCTATTTCTTAATCTTCTCTAATAATTCAACTAACTTTTATTGTAATTAAGTATAATCTTCATTTTCTATAGTTTCTTCTAAGACTTCAATTTCCCTTTCTTTTCTATATGTTCTTCTAAATCCACCCAATCTAGGTAAATTCTTAAGTTTACTAGCTTCAATATATTAATTGCTAACTGTTTTAAATATTGATTGTTATTTTTAAAAAGGAGATGGTTTTGGTAATTTTTATGAAATCGAATTTCTTCTAGAGGAATTTTAAGGAGATTGAGCATTAAATAAAGCATTTTGTGAAAATATGGACATTTTGGGAGAGTTTTTATTGGACCCTTCAGATTCATGAGATGCTTCATCAATTTTAATAGAAGGTTTGACAAAGTTAGATCTCACTGATGAGATTAAGGGAGTATCAGTAATTTCAATAGCTGATGTTATTTAAATGGATGGTTTTCTATTTTCAATTCTTTTTGGACTGCATCTTAGATTCTGACTAATATATCTAACTTATTTAGTTCTAGGAGGACGGTTTGGTTCTTCACTTTAGATTCTTTGATTATTTTTTTAATTTTGAGACTAATCAAGATCTTCATTAAATTATGAAATTGCATTAGGAATTTCTCCATATAATTTAATTTAATGTTCACTTTCTCTTTTAACTTAATCTGGAATTGATAATGTTATTATTTTTTATTGTTATTCATTTTATTATTGACTACTCTCTAAACCAACAAGATTCTTTTGATAATTATCTTCTTAAGTATGTAATCTAGTAGTAAAAGTTTCTTCAGGAGTTAAATGATTAGTTTTCTTTTTAAAGAAACCAAATTTGCTGGATCTCATAGATTTAATATCTTATTCTGATTCTTCACTATTATCAATAAAATGCACAGATTCTCTTTATTTAATTGATTTATAGATAGATTGAGTTCTTTTTTTGTTAAAAAATTCAGAAGTTTAAGATAATCCAGTTAAATCTTATAATTTTTCAATGGAATCTTTTTCTCTTTTTAATTTTTCTAATGAAATAACTTTAATTTCTTCAAAATATTCAGGAAATGCTTGCAATATTTTTTTAAATACATCCTATTCAATGGCTAATAATTCACATTCCAATTCAGCTCTGGCTGAATGAAAACGTGCACTATTATCAAATATTTCAATTTCACCAAAATAACTACCTGTTACATATGTTTTAAATGTGATTGAATAGACACCAATAACCATATTGACTCTTCCATTGACAATAAAATATACTTAATTTGGATATTCTCCTTTATTGTATATAAATTCTCCAGCATTAATTTTTAATGGTTATAATTTAGGAATTAAAGTTGATATGAAAACTGAATCCTTATTTTTAAAGAAAGACACTCTATTTTTAAGACCAGCATACATAGCTTAAGCAATTTGATATTTTAGATTAGTAGGTATTTCAGATAGAAAATCATCTACTTCAGCAGAGGAGAATATATTTATTAATGAATTATATTCCAAAACCTTTCTAATTTTATGTTTCATTTATAATGACAATTTGGTTTCTTCACAAAACTCATCCATAAAAGTTATCTTACTTTATAGATGAGATTCTCTAGTATCCAAAGTTCCCATTAAAGTAGAAAGGGAACCTACAGTAAATGAATAAAATCCAACTCCAAAAAACATCCAAAATATACAGACAATTCTTTCAGCTATATATAATTTATACTTTACTATCATTAAAGGCATGGATATCTCCAAATCCAACTGTACAAATAGTAGCTACAGCCCAATAAATAGAAGTTAAATATAATTCATATTCACTTTTATTTAATAAATCCAATTCATAAACCCAAGTATTTGGACCAAAATCATTTAGTTTAGCAACTAGATACCAAAGACAACCCATTATATGTACACAAACAAGAACAGTTCCAAAAAATTTAAGTACTCTTACAGTTGTTGAATTCAAATTTATCAAATCTTGAATTGCTGAAAAACAATCATTATTTTGTTGAGAATTCTAAACAGTTGACCACATTCTGCTTATACTTATCAATTTATACATTCTAGGTAATCTTGTTAATCTATAATATTATCTTTAATTAATATTCATACTTGAAATATTGTGATAACTTTTGAACTTCATTCTCAAATATTTAATCAGTAGGAAATATAGCCATTAAATCAAATATTAACCAAGTTCTTAGATATTAATTTGCTATTTATTAACGATCAACTATGAGTACTCCTTCCTCATTAAAATATGCTGTATTAAAAGTTATTAATATATCCAAAAAAAATAATATATCTACTATTAATTCCAAACTAAACCATATTATATCAAATTCTTCAATGAATGCTAAACGAATTGGAGTAATAAAGGCTGTGTAAATCAATAATATCATTAGAACATATTGCCAATATTTCTTGAATATCGAATCTGGTAGGAACAAATGCTCTATTATACTCATATACTTTATTGTTACTGTGTTTCTATGGCATTGGCTTACTTATTTACTGATTCTATTTGTTTAGCATTTATTCTAATTCCTAAATTACTTCATGTCTTTTTATTGAAGTCTCTACTCTACAACTTGTACCATACAATTTTACTTCATCATATAATCTTTTCATTCTACCAATCATACGTAATTCTTTAAATAATTCAATATACTACTTTTTCTCACTCTATCCCATTTCTTCATCAGATTCTATTCAAATATCTAATTGCTTTTCTCTTTCTATCTAGCTATTGTCAGATCTTCCTATGCCAATTATCTTTATCTCTCCTTCAATTATTGAAAAACTTAGAAATCACTTTAATTGAATTCAAGAATATTGACATCTTACTGCTATTTCTCTGTCATAAATGAAGTAAAATATTTCTGGAAGGCTTTGTGTCTACTCTTTTGAACATCTAATTTTGACTCCTCTATTTCTGCCATCAATTTATTATTCTCCTACCCTTCGATAATTCTTTTGAAATTTAGACTATTGATCTGAACTTACAATTTCTTCTCTGCTTATACTTCATTCTTATGCAAAGGAAGTATTTTATCCATGTATTCTAATTTATTCAATTACTCAACCATAAGCTACTTCTGTATTTATAATGAGTCCATTAAAAATATAAATTATTCAAAGTAACTACTTTTAAATTACTATAATATTCAACTAATAAAATTAATTCACATCTTTTCATTTAAGTTACTTTACTCTCACTCATTAAACTAGTCAATATATATATTTAATTTACAAATAGAAAATAAAATATTCAAAATTTCATTACATTTCATTAACTGATTATTTCATTATATTCTCTTTATTATTTATATTAACAAAACTCAACAGTAAATTTAATCATAAGAATAGACAAATTACTCTTATTTATGAGTATTTCTAATTTAAAAGTATATATTAATATCTAAGTAGGATTAACAATATATAAAAATTCAAAAATTATCATTTGCATTGTTCAATCCCTCAAACATCCAATTTGTTTCATCAATATACTTTAATTGTCCCCTTAAATCATTCTACATCTTTTAGAGTTGATCTTTTTCTGAAAATTATTTTGCTTATTAATTTTGAGTCAATTCTTATAAAATATTTAATTTTACTTCCAGTTTTTGTTTGGATTTTTTAACAAAGATCATGTCTATAATTATCATCAGCATTATGTTTGTAATTATTTTATGGAGGTGTGTCCATATTATTATTATTATTATTATTATTATTATTATTATATTTAATTTATAAAAGGAAATAAAAATAAGTTAAGATGTAGGTTTTAAATTATAATAAAGATATTTAATATGATTATTTTTTATATGTAATATTAATGAATTTTTTGATAAACATATATATTTTAATAATAATTTAGATATCTAATATATAATTATTTAATCCTAAACATTCTTAATGAAAAAGATGCAATGATTGTTTTATATAATATTATTCAAATATATATCAATTAACGTATTTAGGTGTTCTTGGTCTAGCCTAAGGAACATTTCTTTTATCTTATGATTTTAATATTTGAAATGAACACATCAACGTTTCATCAACACTCATGAGTGCTCCTAAAATAATTAAATTATAGAGAACCTGAATTATCAAACTCTCCACAATAATTAGGTGCTGAAAAGACCGTAACTAATTATCTTTTAGCAAAGAATTCATATCCTTCTTCAACAACTTGATGAGCTCTACAAACTAAATCCAAATCATTTTTCTTTAAGAAATTAGAGATGACATCTGTTCCAAAAATATAAGAGACACCTCTCTCATTATCTAAATAGGTAATAATTTAAATAACCTTGCCATCCTTAGACATCTTTTTCAGGATCAGACCACAACAAATCACATAATAACCCTGTGTCTGGAACTTCAATGGGTCTCATAATCCTGTGTATTTATTCTAAATTTGTCAATTCTGGAGATAGTCCTCCATGCATGCAAATAATCTTTTCGTCTATTACTGCACATACTGGTAAGCAATTGAAACAATCTGTGAATGTTTTCCACAATTTAATGTTATATCTTCTTTTGCATTCATCATAGAATCCATATATACGATTGATTTAAGAGCATTCATGATTTCCTCTAAGCAGGAAGAAATTCTCTGGATATTTAATCTTATATGCAAGTAGTAGACAGATAGTTTCTAAAGATTGTCTGCCCCTATCTACATAATCACCTAAAAATAAATAATTAGCTTCAGGTGGAAATCCCCCATATTCAAATAATCTCAATAAATCAGTATATTATCCATGAATATCACCTTTATATAAAGGAAATGATTTACCACATATTTTAATAGGTGCTTCCAATTCTAGTAACATTGGTTAAGTTAAGAAAATCTCTCTACTTCTAACACATAATGATCTGATTTCACTTTCTGTGAGATTTACTGGTTTTCCACTACGAGCTCCCTTGGTTTCCAATAATTTCTCTAAGATCTATGATGGAGATATAATTAACCTTGTCTACATCAATGTCCTTATCCATTATTATTATATTTAATTTTTTATGAAAAGAAATAAGACTGAAAACCAGTATTCATATTCACTTACATAGATTCTCCAAAACTAACTATATACGCTTATTGAACTTTGATAAGATCCATACATCAGTGCCAACTACTCCAAGAAAAACAAAATTCAAGCCTCTAATCCAAAAACATCAAGATGCTTAAAATCATCCCATCTTGCTTAGTCAATTATTGGGTGATATACCATTTATTCATACTCATATTAGACAAACACCAACTCTTCCAACTTCTAATCATTATTATTGTAAAAGCTCAATAAAAACACATACTCCTACTGGCTCTTAGATTATGCAAACAAAAAAATTACAATTAAATCATAAACCTTAAAGATTTATAGTTAAATTGAATAAAAAAATACCAACTATTCTTTCCAAATAATCCTAAATGATTTCATCTTAAACTTATCGTCCAAATTAAACAATTAATAAGTTTCATTCTTTAACAATAGATCCAAAATATTAATTAATAAATGACATCACTAAAAGTGATTTCAAATCTGAAATCCTCTCTAAATAAAATCAACCTTAGTAACCATTAGTTACTCAATTTAATAGTCCAAATCAACTCTCTAAATATAGAGATGGCACTGAAATTGATGATTTTAATGTAAATAACATAAGTATACAAGAACAAACTCTATGGAAGTAAATAAATAAGAGGATTACTTAATTTTCAAAAATTCCCATCTGAAAATATTCCATTAAAACATAAATACAAAACAATTAGAGCTTCTTTAATTTAATATTTAAGACATTTAGAAAAACTCAAATTAACAACCAAAGAATTTTTATCACATAAAGTGTTTCCATCTAAACCTTTTGAACATTCCTAATCTAAACATTTTTTTTAATTGTGTAAATAGGGTTAAGATTAATAGATCATTAAATTACTTGATGATAATAAATATTTAGTTTATGAATATGATCATTTGCTTATGACTACTTTACATTGGTGTGCAATGAGAGGTTTGGAATCTACAGCCAAAATCTTATTAAAATATGGAGCAGATCCAGATTCTCAAGATATTGTTGGAAGAACTCCTTTGTATCTTGCATTGATTCATAAATAAAATAATATAGCTTACTTTTTAATTTTGAACAAAGCAGATCCTTGGAATAAAATGAATCTTAATTATGATGAATCAGTAGTTGAGAATCTAGAGGGTAAAACAATGTTACATTAAACTAGAAGGGTAAATTGATTATATTAAAATATAGACTCATATTTTACTTCGTATGACTCCAGCAGATTAGAGATAATTCATTTGGTAAAAAGAATAATTATAGATGTATGAACCTAAGAAAAAGAAGTTGGCTTCTATATAATGAATGAATAATTAATAATGAATAATGAATATCTATATATATTTTATACTAATTATCAAAATACATTCATATTTTTATTGGCTTAAATAATAGAGAATCTAAGTTAAGTTCATAATATCAAATTTTGTATAATCAATCAATCACATTTTAATGATAATAATTATATTATAAATGGCCAAAGAAATTGAAGAATATTTTATCAAAAGACTGTCCTCCTATCTATTAGAATACTTATAGGATTTCTCATAAAATAACATGGCTAAAGTAAATTGATTCTTAATTAATTTAGTTTTCTTTGGGAATTTCAACCAATATTGTATTAAAGAATTTGTCCATAAAAAAACAAGCTTTGCTTAATTTCAAATTCCCGCTCTATATTATTGATGGCAAAATCAATTCGATCACTTTGAATGTAAGTTTATGAAGTTTAAACCTTTACAGATGCCTCTTAACTATAAAAAGCATTAACCGGAATTAATCATTGAAGGAGTAGAACTGCTTGTTTGTACCATTTAAGAGATCAACAAATTTACTCAAAACAAAGATTATTAATAATAAGGAGTAGAGAATTTGAAGAAGCATAAATTAAAGTTATGGGAAGAATAAATGGCAAAATATTTTGAAAAATTATCACCACCGAATTGGATTTAAAAAATAGTAGATGGGATTTTCAATAATATGTCAATCATTATAAAGTAGTTTAATATTAGATTTTGCAATTTCTCAATACTTGAAAATGAGACTATTTTCAGAATTAAATTTGATGCATCTATTAAAGCAACTGATAGTGAATTCAAATAAAATTTTAACAATGATCTCAATAGTACATTTAAACTTTTACAAATAAATAAATTGAGTATTTCATTAAAAAAAGATCCATCATCTATTCTTACTAAAAAAGATATACAAATGATTCTAATGCCAGTAGATATTGAAATTAAGTATACTCTTAATAAAAATTATGAATTACTTACATAACCTATTATGGTTCTAGAGGCATTAATTAAATCTCCTGTTATATTCCAATTAAATAAGGAATAAAAAAACTATTTAATTAAATTGAATGAGGTACTATCAAATTAAGAAATTATTTAAGATAATTTTCATCTTAGACCTACAAAAGAAATAAAAAATAGTTATTCAGAATGGTGGAAATATTTTATTAATTCAATTATTCTAAAGTAAAAGAGTTAGAAATTGGATCTTAGTTTTTCATCTAAAAAATTAGTATCTATGAAAAGATATATATAATTATATAAGAGAAAATAAAATATTGTATTAGTCCCATGGTTGTCATAGTGGACTGCAAAAGATGAAATTAAATTTAAAAATTGTGAGGATAATTTACCACTTAAGGATTTATTAAAATATAGAGAATGGGCATTTTAAGAAATTAGAATGGAAGCAAAACGATATTGTAATTCAGCAAAAGATGGTTAAAATGATTAGAGTGTTAAACCATTACTTGAAATATGGACTAATACAATTAATAATTAAAATTCCTTTAAAGATCATACTAAAAGAAATGATGATATCCCTATAGAATTAGAAGATGATGAAAAGATTAATTTATATGAAATTTTAGAAAGAGATAAAACTAATGTATTGACTAGTTATTTAAAAGGAGAAAATAATCATCCTAATTAATTAAAAATTGATTTTAAATTAAAAATCCATTCTATTTTTTTTTTGATTTTTCATCATCGAGAATAGAATTGTGTTAAATATACACCTGAAAATACAAAGATATTTAAGTTTTGTTAATGTAGGTATCATCTTAAATAATTAAAAAAATAATCATCTTCAAGAAAGAAATAAAGATAATCATCTAATGTAAACACTCTTACTTAAATTTAAAGTGAGGCTTTTAAGTAGAATGAAGATAAAATATTTTATTCAGTCAATTATATAGATAGTTTTTATGAAGATATGGAAGATCTAAATGGAGTAGGTTCTGAAATATCTCAATCATCAAATCGTTAAGAAAAAGTTTAAAATAAAGAATAACAATAAAATGAAATATAACCATTACATTAAAGATTTGTATTGATGATTAGTTTCATTGGAATCAGAGTACCACTACATATTTATTAAAATGGTGGTATTGAAACTCCATAACCAAAAGGATAGAAGGAATTGGAAGAGAAGATTTATATAGGAGATATTAAATTAATTGCACCTGGTATTTTGTTGAAAATAATGGATGAAAAGGAACCTTAGAATTTTCTGCAATCTCCATTATTTGGAAAATCATCTGATGGATTTTAGAGATAAGTAAAATAATCAAATTAAAATTCAAAATCATAGATTAAGTATTGTGAATTCTTTAATGAAATTTTTGAAATCTCAGTTACTAAAGATTCTTAATAATTTTTAAATAGTGAAATATGTTATTAAATGTTAGGAGAGTTTTTAAAATAGAATAAAATGTAGAATATAAAAAGTTTTTTAGATGATTATGAAAAAGATAAAAATGGATTTTAAGATTTTACTATTGATTAATTTAAATCTTATGATAAATATTTTGATGATAGATAAGATCCAGAAGACCCATTATTTATTCATATATCTAAATAGTATATGCCAAATGAGAAAAGTGAGAAAAATGAAAAAAAGCTTTGGGATTTACTTAGAAATGTCACTATTAATATTAATGAAAGAGAGAAACCAAATCAATGGATTATATGTGATAATAGTGATAAACATGTCTTTCTCTAAGAAGCACATAATAAAGTTGTTGATATAATAAGAAGAGTCTTATTTATTCCCTTTATTGAAGAATTTGGAGAATTGATCTTACCTACATGTATCAGTAATCTAAAGGATAAATTGACATTTCCTTAAATGCAAACTAAAAAAGAATAAGATCAAGAGAAATATGCATTATAAATCTATTTATATCTTAGAGGAGAGTATTCAGAATACAGAATTATTAAAAACAATGAAATAAATAAAGTTCATTCCAAAGAAATTATTTATTAAAATTAAAAAAAATCAAAAAGTAAGATTAAGATTAAAATAACTGCATTTACTTTTTTATTATCAACTAAAGCAGTTACATCTTTGATTTATTTTATGGATAATTAGAAATAACACATTTTTGAATCATAGTCTTATAAATAATGTAAAGAAGATCATAAATTATTATAATGTATAGTTAAGAGTAAACCTTTGGCAAAGGAGACAATAAAATAATAATAATTAAAGTTCTCTCTTAAAATGGTTGATAAATTTAAGATAAGAATAGTTACAGATTCTATTGCAAGTAAAATAAAAACAGAATTGAAACTTTAATTTAAGAATTTATTTATAAAAACAATAAATTTAGAGAAGATGCGTTAAGATAAAGATTTCAAGAATTTTTTTACTTATGTAGATAAAAATAAAATGGATAATTTTTTTTAAGAGTAAAAATTCTATAGCATAAATAAAATTGTATTAGAATAATTTCAGATAGCTCATAAATATTTTTCAATTGATTATAGATATTATAATGAGGAAATGAAAAACTATGAAAATTAAATGTAATCTTCAAGAAGTGGTAAGGAATAATAAAATTCACTTTAATCATCTTTATAAAGAAATAATAGTTAATAGCTCTTCAAGCCTATTTAATTTCCATTAAAACATGCATTTACTACAAAAAATCAATAAGAAGATAAATAATCTATAGGATAAATTTAATTATAAACTAAACCCATAAATAAAATATGTGGAATTAAATCTATAATATTGGAATCTAGATTATTAATTTTTTCTTTTGATTCTTTAGTAGAGAATCATCCACTAATTACAGATAAGAAATTATATATTTAAATACCATATTTTGATTTTTAAATTAATGATTCATATACATGTTTATTTGAATTATTAATGATTATCAACAAAAATTTAAAATAAAAAGAGAAAATAAAACATCCAGAATTTAGATATTAAATGAGTAAAGATAGTTTAATGAGAGCAGAATTACTTGTATTATAGAATGATCATAAAAAATAAAAAAAGGATTGTAAACATTGTATTTTAAGATTTCGTAAAAGTTTGTATTTGAGTAATATTATTTTTGGTTCAATTCCAAAAATTTAAAATGATATTAATTTGTTTTCATTATTTGAATTCGAAAATTATATGATATATTTAAGAACACAAAAAAAGAAAATTGATGAACAAAAAATTTCAAAAAAACATAGTTAAGTAACTTTTATTGAAACTCATACAAATTCAGGAATTTCAATTGCATTTAAAAGTACTCCAAAAACAAGTAAAAGTGTTTGTTATGTTACTATTTTTGAAATGCCCCTATTTATAATTACTCATGATAAAGGGTATTTTAAAGATACTATAGCAATTCATTGTTAAAAAACTAAAAATAATGTAGATATGTCTTAATCAAATAAATTAGAAATTCCAATTAATCACCCTTAAATTGAAAAATTTAAATCACTTAATGAAGCATAATCTTTAAAACCATAATAATATAATATAATAGATGAGATCAATGAATCAAATATTGAAAAAACTCAAATTATCTTTGAACCTTAATTTTTTGTTTAAGAATCCTAAATCTTAAGTGATAAATTAGATGATAAATTTGTATTCTATTGTAGAAACAAAGAATTAGAAATGTTCAATCATGATTTTGTAGAATATGAAGATAAGGATTAATAATCATACAATGATATATTAGATTAATAAATTGTTAAAGATCCAATCTATTTACTATTCTATTTTCATAGGCCTTTAAGAGCCAATCTTTTGTAAAATGTGGCTGAAGAAATATATTAAGAAAGACATTCAAAAATGAAACTCTTTTTTGCTATTGAAAATATCAAAGCCACATTTATTAATTAATTTGCAACTTATAATGTTATTACAATATTGAAAAACATATCAACAATAATGAATATATAGGAAAATGCCTTTAATTTGATTAATAAGGATCTCTTAAAAAAGGAAAAGTACAAAGTTAAATTAAAAGATAATCCTTTAAAAATTATTGATGATTTGATTGTTTGTGCAATCATTTAAAATATTTATTTGAAATCCAATGAAACATTCTTTAAGCTTAATTAACTTAAAGTGTTTGTATAAATATACTTAATGGAAAGATAGAGATTTAATCCAATATAAAAAAGAACTTTTTAAAGTTATTATCCATAAGGTATAAACAACAATTAGGTTCCTAAAAATAGATCCTCTATAAACTATCAAGAAAAAGATTAGATCTTACGATGTGATACTATCAAATTTAATTTTAATTAGGTTTCTTAGGTAGATATTATTAAAATAGTGTTGATTACTAAAAGTAAAGGAGAACTTAGTTTATCAGTTGATGATATTCAAATAAGTATTATGGGTAAATAAAAGGAGAATCTGTTAGTTATGCCAGGAAAGGATATAGGAGGTCAAAGAGCTAAGTATGCTTTACATATTAATTTATCATTCCAAAATTCATATCCTTTAGTGAAGGCATAAGTGGAATAGGCCAAAATATTACTTTCCCAATAAAAAGTTTAAGACTTATTGATAGCAATAAATAGTTTCTATTTAATAAATGTAGAAGAAACTATTTCATTAAAATAGCATTTATTGAAATTCATATTTTAACAAGAACTTAATGCTTTTGATAGGGAAGATAAATAGGAAAATATATTTATTAATTAAATCAATAATTATAAGAAGGCTTATAAGTTTGCATTTGAACTAATAATAGATTCATTGATTATCAAATTATAAGAATAAGAGAAAGACTTTTTTTTATTTCAATTTCATTCAATTTATTTAAATAAGAAAAATTAGACCAATGTTTAATTGTCAATATAATAAATAGAGATGAAACCATAGAATTCATAAGGAGAAAAAACCATATTTTAAAATTTGATTGAACCTATTGATAGTAATGAAATAGTTGTTTTCAATATAGAAAATAAGATAATTACAATAAGAAATATGAGATTTTATTTAATATCTAGATATATTAATGAACTATAAGCATTTAAATTAAGAGTGGAAGCAATATTGTAAAAGAATTTAGATGAATTGAAAGAAAAATATTAAAAAGATTTTGATTTATAATTACAAATAAAACATGAAGAGGATTTTCTCAAGGAGAAAGATAATTTTAATTATTAAATTGAAATTACAAATTCTTAATTTGTCTTACCAGAAACTTCTTAAGATAATAATTTGATAATTGCTACATTTGAGAAAGGATAAATCAATTTAACAAAATAAAAAATATAATTAAAAATGCCAGAAACAGATTATGATCTAAAATAATAAGAATAATCAATTAATGAGTCTTTATTTATAGATTATAAAGAATAAATACAACCAGAAAAAGGAGAGTTTTATGTTATAAATATGTTTGGTTGTTTTGATAATGTTTTAATCAAGTATTAATTACATAACAATTAAAAAATAGGAGAATTATTATAAGCTGGTATTTAATTCTATCTATATTATAGAATAGATAACCACAAATATGGATATACCTAGTTTCGAATAAAATTGTGGTCAAACTTAATGGAAATTTAAGGATCAATGTAAATTAGAAATTAATAAATTAAAAATGTCTCTTGATTTAGGAAAACTGATGAAAATTAAAAGTTTTATTACTAAAAATTAAGAAGAATAATCTCCTTTGTTCAATTTTAGGAGATCTCTATTCCAAAAGATTAACTTTGAAGTATTTTGATTTATTTTTAAAATAGATTAAATTTAGTGATAGTACACTTGCATTAACTAGATTTAATCAGGGTGAAACTGAAAAACTTAAATAAATCAAAGAGAAATCTAAAGTCTATCATTAATAAGCAAGAAAAAGTAAAAACTTTTCTCCTCAAAATTAATAAAAGTGAATATTGTTAACAATGTGTCATTATTTAAAATTAATATTCATGTTAATCTTTAATTCTTTTGGTTAAACATAAAATTTATTTTCCCTATTCTATCGAAATTAGATTTGGTAAAATTTTATTTTGTTTTTTTCAATTATTTAATTTCATTTTGATCTTTCCTAATAAATGATATTTTAATTTTAATTAATGAATAGTGATTTTTACTTCTAATTCATTTATTTATTATTAATTATTTATTAAAAATATTAATATATATTATTATTATTATTATTATTATTATTATTATTATTATTATTATTATTATTATTATTATTATATAAATATTTATAAAAAGCTTTTTCTATTATCCATTAAGAACAATAATATTATTACAATAAATACAGATTTTTAATTACGCATGTATTTCTAACTTAATTATATACATATAATCATTAAGATTAATTCTAATATTTGACCATAAACCTAAATTTCATATTGTTCTAATGTGTTAAATAAATATAATTTTTGTTTTATCAATTTAAATTATAAAATTATAGAATAAAATATTTTTGTTATATAAATTTCTAAAAAGTATTTAGGATCGTATTTCAAATAGGTGAAAATATAATTCATAAATCCATTAATAAAAATATTGAATTTTTAATTTCTAAATTATGTTTGCATTAGTTACAGGAGCTGAAGCAGCATGGATTGCAGATATATTAATAGAATTAGTTCCACTATTGGCCAATTCTATTACTTCTTTGGTAAGGTTATCAGACGCATAGCAAACACAAGGAATCGATTTATTATAATAATAAGAATTAGAATTACAAAGGGGTCAATTTTGTAAACAAATATTATATAATAATCAACCCATTAATGATATATAATTGTCAGAAGTGATGAATGATTAAATAATTCAAATAGATAGATGTTGTTAATCTGTTTGGTAATATATTCCATCAGGTATTGCAACCATTTTTACATGGGCATTAAGTGGACAAGCTATGAGGCATGAATTTGTTATAATAGACACATAGAATCATATATGCTGTATTGAATTAGTGAAAGATAGAGGAGATTAACAACAAGAAATTTAAAAATTAATTTTCAGCATATATGGATTAGAAACACAAGATTAAAGAAAAATTAAAAGAGAATAAATACTTCAAAATAGATCATATGATAGAGTTTTAAGTTCAATAAATCTTAAGCATTAATTATATTTGAGCCAAATAAATTATTTTTCAAATTTGCTTTTAATTTGTTGGAGAAAGATATATTAGAATAGCAGTAAAACAACTAGTTTTTTAAATCTATTTTAAAAAATGAGTAAATAATATGCAAGATCTATTTATTATTTTTCAGAAGAGAGGACAGATTATGATATTGTGCTTTAATCAATTTTTGGAATTTTTACTGATAAACCACTTTATCTTCCAAGATTAGATATGATTGCAATTGAAAAATTATTTTGGCATGGATCATAAATATCTGATTAAATGAGAAATTCAATTAATAATTTTATCAGGTTAGTATCATCTATTAGAAACAGAATAGACTTTTCTTAAACCTAAATTGATTGATTTAATATATATAAATACCTTTAATTAGTTTATTTATTATTAATCATCTTTAATATTGCTATTAAAATAAATTTGAAAAATGATAATACTTAATCATGATTTAATTCTCTAAATGGTTATCTAAGTTGAAATGATTATTTTCTAGTCATTTAAATTATTTAATTCTATATATATTAAATATAATATGAAGTATATCTAAATTATTTTGTTTAGTACTTAAAGACTTTTAGTTATTTTGGTATAGTTTGATTTAACTAACCTTTATAAACAAATCAATGCTGATAATTAGATTTTTGTTTTTCTTTATTTTAGTGTTGATTATACTATTTATAAGTCAAATATGATCAAAATAAATGATTTTTCATAAATATAAACGATGCCTTCACTTAGCTTTTGCCATAAAGCATTTAATTAGTGCTAGTTTATCAAAGAATCCTCATCTAATTGCTATATCTGCTGCTCTTATAATTGTTTTATTCTTGTTATTCAAAAGTGAACGTTTAGTTTGGAAATACATTAGAATATCACTATTATTGGAATTATGTTTTTATGATGCTCCATTTACACCATCAATTGTTGCAACTTTATAAAGCAAAATTACCCATAAATGGTTATTACTAATATTTTATAGCGTAAGAATTAGCGCAATGAATGCATTTAATTTCTAAATTATAGACTGGGTTTATTTTAGCATTCAATTTGTTGCTTTATTTATTTATTTGTGTGAAAAGGTAAGGAAAATTATATTATTTACAGGAAAGAAAACCATTTTAGAGAAATTCCCAATTGATAAATCGAAATCAAAATTATCTTAATATGGGATTAATGATAGAATCTGTAGAATTATATGATATCCTTAACAGAATCCCTTGTGGTATATGTTTACTAGATAGTAATCTTTAAGTCGTTAGTTCCAATAATAAAGTAAGAAAATATGTTGTCTCATAAATTGAAACCAATTTATAATCAGCAGTATTTCTGATGATTTAAAAGTATTTATATCTTTGATTTAGAGCATATTTGTAATCCTAATAAATTAATAGCTTTCGAAAAAATGAGAAACACAAATCTATATTTGAATCCCTAGATGAATAATCAGATATTCCAATCAAACGCTTGTAATCATTTTGCCAACAAAGAAGAGCTACTTTATAATAGAAAACAACTAATGTTAGTAATGTTTCAGATATTGCTCAAATTATACATAAACATAAAATTAAAAATCTTGAAGAAACCAAATTAAATGTATTAAAATTTAAAGATACAAATACTGGGAAAACTTTTGAAATAAGAATATATGATATCACTAATGGTTGCATGATAGTTATTGAAAATATTACAAATTTTGAATATCAGTAAGATATGTAAGAGAGATATCGGTTTTATTCAAAATTAATTAATTCCTTTTCTCATGAATTAAGAACACCCTTAAATTGTTCATTATAATTATTATAAATATTAGATTAGAATCTTAAAGGAGAATTAAATGATTAATATTTAAAACCTGCATTAATCTCTAACAAAAAGTTGTTACATTAAATTAATGATATATTAGATTATGCTAATTTTGAAGCATAAACTTTTAAATTGAGACCTTAATTATTCAAATTATCAACAATTACTAAAACGATTGAAGATTATTTTAGAGCAGAATGTGAATAAAAATAAATAACTTTAACAATATCAAGTTGTGATGATACCTATATAAGTAGTGATTATGATAGAATTATGCAAATTTTAGTTAATTTAATGAACAATTCAGTCAAATATACAAAATAACAAGGAGAAATACATTTTGTAGTTTAAAGGGCTGGATCAATATATTAATTTGAAGTATTCGATACAGGTTGTGGGATTCCAGTTGAGAAACTGTACTTAATAACTAAGATTTTAAAGAATTGTGAATTAGATTGGAGTAGAAGAGGGGATGAAGATTATATGTAATATGTTGGATTGGGATTAAAAGTAAGTAGTCAGATAGCCAGAAAATTATGCGATACTGGAGATTTAATTATTTTCAGTTCAGTTAATCAATATACAAAAAGCAAATTCTATGTGAAGGACATGAAATAATATTTGGACTAAATGATCGAACCAACAGAAGATCACATCTAAGAACCTTATAAAAGTATAGGAAGAATAAAATGTTAATGTGTTAATGTATTGATTTGTGATGATATTCCATTTAATCATCTAGCATTATCAACAGTACTTAAATATTTCAATGTGAGGGTTGATAATGCTTATGATGGTTTTATGGCTATAGAGATGGCTAAATAGAAAGTAAGTAAATGCAAATGTGGGTACAAATTAATATTTATGGATATTGACATGCCAGAGATGGATGGATGTTAGGCAACTAAAGAGATTTTGTAGGTGTTTTCACAACATTAAATTTAGTGTGTAGTGATTATGTGTAGTGCATATGACAGTAAAGAGAATATTGATTATGCAATGAAATGTGGAATGAAAGAAATATTGCCAAAACCAGTGGACACTAATTTATTGAAGAAAATACTATAAAAATATTATTTCTGATTAATTAATATTAGATTTTATGTTTTAAGAATAAATATCCTTGGCTGATTTTGTGTTATAGGAAGCTAGAGAGAAATGCTTTGAGATTGAAGTTAAAGCATTCAAACAATTTGAGAAGGAGAAAAAGTAAATCGTTGAGAGAGAGAAATCCAATGTTTAAGAAGAAATTAATACAAGATTTAAAAAGAAAGCTCAATAGGAGAGAATTAAGCATAGTGCTCTTGTTAATGGAGCTAGAATGAAACTTATGAATGCCAGAAACTAAGCATTGATGAAGATCTATTCTGATGTATATTGATAATCATAGTTATAGTCTTAATATCAAATATATAGGATGATAAGATAAGATGAACGATTTTATGAGGAGTTACTTAAGAATTTAATTGTTTAAGGTTTAATTAAATTGTTTGAGCATGAGGTTGTAGTTAGGTATTCTTAATTTTATATAAAAGATGTTTACATCGAGATATAAGACACGTTAAGAATGTGACCGATGATGCTATAGCTGAATTTTAAGATATTTTAAGAAAAGAATTGAATGGTCTTGAATTTGAAGTCAAAATAGAGGTAGATGAAGATAAATGTTTGGATGAAAGAACTCTTATAGATAACTCAATTAAAGGAGTTCAAGAATATTCCCTATAAGAATCAGCTTCAGAAGTATTAGAAATTATTGATAAATTAAGGTTATTTCTAAAACAGAAAATGATAAGAAATGTTTTGGTGGAATACTGTTAACCAACAAGGATGGTCTAATTGTTTGCAAAAATACGTTAGATGTTAGAACAGAATAAACTTTTTAAGACTCATTACCAATAATTAGAAGTACGGTGTTTGGAAAATGATGACATTGTTTATCATATTATAAATCAATAATTAATAATCTAAAAATCTTTGTGTCTACAATATTTAAATAGAATAGAAATAATATCAATATCAATGTCTGAATTTTATGCACTCTTCTGAGGTTTAACTTTTTTATGAGAAGGTCACTCTAGTTGGACTCATAGTTCCAGAGTTTATACTCTGTCTTTTAAAAGAAGATCTCTATTTAAATTTAGAGTCAGTCATAGAATTTCTTAGATTTGAAGGCATTATTATTGAAGACTTTCGTTGAAGTTATTTCTTTCTTGATTCAATTTCATTTTCCTTCATTGTAATTTGTTCCTCCGTTTCATGAAATCTTCTATTCAAATCCTTAAATGATTATTGGATATTCTTTAGCTACTTTTCATATTTGAGAAATTGTGTATCATTATCTTAATTTAACATATTCTCATATTTAACATCTAATTCCTCACTTTCCCATTACAATTCATTAACCTTCTTATTCTTGTTTCTATTCTTAATAGGGACTCATACTTTAATAATATTTCTAATTATTATATTTCAACTTCCATTTCTGATATCTCTTATAATGGTTCCACCTTAAGAATAACTGGTTTTTTATTTGCTTATTGTGCTTACAACTTTACTTCAAATTCCAATTAACTTTTTTGTCTGAATAACATAATCTCTTTTGCTTTCCAATACCTTTCTATCTCTTCTACAGAAGTAATATAAAATGGTTTTTCTATCTTCACTACCTCATGCAATAATTCCTATTTAAAATTTGGATATATCTTCATATCTCTCCTTGGCTAACTTTAATACTTTTCATAAGCATCTAATCCTGAATGAACAAATAAATGAGTAGATGATCTCCTTTCATGTTTAGATGATACTATTTCATTAGTAATATCCTTTATACTATAATTGCATCATACTTATTTTGATGCTGATACATTGATTTATTTGATATCGCTTCGATTTGATGTTAAAATTGAGACAGGTTAATGATTTTAACTATCCCATCCATTCAACAACGAACTATTCAAATTTATTGTTGAATAGCAAGATGATCTATTATTATAGAATGAATGCATTGAATTTGATCTTCCTTCATGTTTGAGTAAATCTGATAATTTTTGAGAAGGTGTAAAATTTGACATTTATATGATAAATTAATATTACAATATATTATTAATTTGTATTCTAAAATCCCGTTATTTTTAGCTACATCTCTTAATTAGAATATTAACTTATATTTACAATATTTACAAGACTTATTATTATATTTTGAAAAATATTTCAAATTTAATTGTTTTTTCATTAAAATCATCAACCAATTAAACGATAATGAAGATTATCTTCTAAATTGATTTGCATTAACTTTGATTTCTATTTCAATTTTTATGCATTCATAAAAAATGGATTATTTTCATCATTATATTTTCTAATATAAATAAATATACATCTATACCTAGTTCTTAAATTAGATGTGTTACTACTTAATGGAAAATTAACTATTTTATCAATATATGACATTGTCTTCACTCTCACTTCTTACTCTCTTAAAGGAGTGATTGAAAAAGCGATAATTAATAATGTAACATTATCAGTAGTCTTACGCAATAGACTTTCCTTTATTACTGATTCTACTGCATTTGACATCATATTATGTAAATCATTACTATTTTGATTATATTAAACATCCCTCCAAATCCCATTGATTACATCTTTTGAACTCATTGTATCAAATATACCATCACCTTATATTTTTATAAATTTATTACTTCCTAAAACAATAAAATCATGTTCATTAATAATCTTAAATTATTTAATTTCTGGTTCAGCTATAACAATTTTTGGATTCCCACCAAATTTCTCTAATTTAGCTTCTATATCTCCAAAAGTTCTTGAAACTGATAATCTTCCTGGATTGACTCTAATAGGTCCTAAAATTGGTTAACCTTCTCCATTAACACCATGAGTTTGATATACTTAACCTCCTCCTTTTATAATTCTCTCTTTCTCTAATTCTGGTTTATGATCTTTTGATAGATCTATAACTTTTTTCCCATTTTCTGAACTCAATATTGCCCTACTATCTCCTACATTTGCTACATAACAATTATCACCAATGATTAGTACTACAATTGCACATGATCCACTTCTTTCTGGGATGCCTTTATTAAATGAATCTTAAGCAATTTATAAAAAACATTTTTCTGCTGCTTCAAATCCTTTTGTTATAGCATTAATAGGATTCCATGGAAATTCTGGTTCCTTTACTACAAATTAATGTAAATTATCTCTTAAAAAGTCTGCACATGCTGAACCACCATGTCCATCATATACTCCAAAATAGGAACATTTAGGCCATGGTTCATTTTCTCTGCTTTATGGTTTTATGATATTTAATATGATTGAGACTCTATCTTCATTGTATTCTCTAACTAATCCTTAATTTGTGTTTGCAGCATAAGCTTTAATGATACCATTTTTTAAGCTAGAACATTTTGTTGGTTCATAATTAGGTAGAGTGTTTTGTCTTAGAAATGAAGGTTCTTATTGGCTTTTGTATTAGATTTCATTAGCTTTAGTTGAGTAAGGTTATTTTGGTGAATAATCAAATTACTTAGAATAAGACAGATTCAAATATTCAAATGGTTTTTTCTTTTGTTTTTCTACATGTGGATGGTTAACTAAAAAAGTATTGATGTCTCTATGCTTAAACATGCCTTTATTGTTCATTATTAATTTAATTTGAATTTAAACATACAACGTATAATTTTAATGAGCTTAAACAAAATTTAATTTATATGTGATAAGTGAATAATAGTAAAACAAAAAAAAAGTAGTATAAAATACATATGCATAAATATAATAATAATATTTTTAATAATAAAAATTATTGTTTACAAAATGTCTTTCACACCTCCAAAATCATTAAGCAAAACCTCATATATATAAAGAGTACCATTTGCAGATAAATTTTAAAAAACATTCAGTGATGCTGAAATGTAATGTGTACAAAGAAAGTTAGATTTTGGTGATATGGATTTACAATAAAAAAAGTCTATTAATACTTTTAGAATACATAAAATCCATAAATCAACCATTGGAAAACTAAGATGAATTACTTTTATATATATATATATTTATAATTATTAATACTTCCTTACTATTATGGAGATTTCATAATGAATTTAGATTAGTTATATAATGTTTAATGAAGTGTGGTTTAATAATTTTTAATATTTTAAATATAAAGTACTTTAATAATGAATTTTGGATTGTAGTCAACAACACTTCCTAATACATAACCTAATACATAATAGCCATAATCAATATTTGGTTAGCGTAATTCGATTATTATAATATAGCGCAAACATTACCACCAGCAAACTAAACACAATAAGGATTATTGCCTTAACCATAAGTTACTCAATAATTGTAACCATAATAGCTTACAACTACAAATGTGTAACCTCCTATTCAAGCACAAAAGAAAAGTGAATTTGAGAACCTTGTTAAATATTATAAGGAAAAGCCAGAATTGGTAATTATGATTGGCTTAATTTTCATAGACAAAATAATAGGAATTGCAATTATTTGTGTAGCAAACCAAATATTTAAAAAATAGAATTTAGAAAAAATTCTAAAAGCAAATTAATGTTAAACAAACTTAATGTAATATTTAAATAATTATATTAGATTTATTGGTTGACACTCTTAGTTAAAAGGTGTGTTAATTATTTCAAAAATTTAACTTGAATGAACGTAATTTAGAATACACAAAGAAAGATGAATTATAAAGATTAAGTTAAAGAATCAAAGCAGATTAAGAGAAACAAAACTTATTGTTTTAATCTTAACTTAAAGTCAAAGAATTATATTCACAATAGGTATCAAATTATTTGGATCTCAATAATAAATTTTAAATGAATAAAAATGTAATAATCAAAATTATCATTTATAGATGATAAATTCAATTTAGAAAAAAGAAGCTCTTACATAGAGTAGATAGACAAAAGAATTAATAAATTTATTACATGAAAATAAATCAGATCAAGTTTAACCAAAATCTGTTTCTATTAAATCTATTTCATTTAACACACATAATCAAATCATTATTGAAAAATTATTTATGGAATAAGAATTTTATTAAAAATTGGAGCAATTTTTAGAATTCTAAAAATCTATAAAATTAAATGACACTATTGATAAAACAGATTATTATGAATCTTTGTTTTAATGTTTTGTTAATATCTAAAGTGATCATAAAGATATTATGAGATTATTGTCTCTATAATTTAAAGGAATATAATTTCAATCTGATACAATTCAAAAGGATCTTCTCTAGAATTCAATAAGATTATTAGAAACTGAAATGAGTAAAAGAATAGGTGTTTTGGATTTAGCTAATATTAATTGTAATTTATATTTTATTATATTTAGAGAAATTTAAAGATATTTACTATGATATATTAATTAAAGGTTTAAATATTCAAAGAGTAGGTTAATATTATCCAAGTGGAATTTTATTCTTATTAATGAGATGTGGATAATTAAAATAAGCAAAATCAATTATGTTTTAATTTGCTAAACATTAAAAATATTAATTATTTTTTGAACTTTTGGAAAATAGAAAGTAATTTTTTTTTAAATATTTAGTGAAACAAATCATTAAAAAATAAAAATGCTTGATTAATTTTGTGATGATGATTTATTTGAATAATGTTATTTGATTGCTTTCGATTCAGGATCAGTATCATAAGTCTTTGAAAATCAACATTTTCCATAGGATTAAGATTTATTCTTTTGGATGACTCTAAAAACAACTCATATTTTAAATGAAGATGAAGGTGATAATTGGACATTATATGATTTATAAGATGCTATTCCAAGAAATATTGGTTATAAAATGGATATACTTTTGCAAAGATATGAAGAAGTCTTAAAAGAAATATACAATTCATCAGCTTCTTTAGTTTCTAAATTAGAATACTTCACATTATTCTTTATTATTCAATCTCTCATAGGAATATAAAATGAAAGTACAATATTAGAATTGAATTTAATTTTAAATGGAATTTTAGGATAAGTATTTGAAAAATACCCAGATATTGGAGGATTATTAATAATACTTACTGAACCTAATTTATCATAAGCAATTGATAAAATTTAGGCAGAAATGATAAAATATAAATATGGAGTTGAAGTATTTTAGAATAAAAAATTCTTTGAAAATTTTGAAAATATGTTTGGAGACAATCAAAGAACACAAGATTTTATTGAATCTATAGTATAAGAACAGTTTTAATAAAATCTTCTTGAATATCATAAAGATTTTATTGAAAATATAATCAAAGGAAATAATATTGTAATATATATACATTTATTTAGAATGAATTACTTACAGCACATAAAGCATTTATTAACAATATAGATATGAGGATGGAAGATCTTAAGAGTTATTTAGAATTCAGAAAAACAGGATTTACACATTTAGCTATGAATTTATACTACATATCTGGTATAATATTATTGACAACTGAATGTTAATTCAATTTGAGGGCTCAAGAATTAAAATTTATTTAAAGTGCTACACCTAAATTTCTTGTTAAAAACAATAACAATCCTAAATAATATTATAATCTATTTTCAACAATATATTAGATTGCTATGTCCAATAATAGAGAAAAGCAAACTTTTGATTTGTTGTAAGCTTTTAACTTTTTGATTCAATCAAGTAAAATTGAATAATTCAATGAAAATAAATTTAAATAATATTTACTCTAAATTGATATTTCAAAATTAACAAAGATTTTATTAACTAATAAATAGTTATATTTATTGAAACTATTTTTTTGGATGATAGATATAACACTTGAGATTCATGATAAAAAGATAGATGAATATAAGTATATATACATAATATTTACAATAGAAATATGAAAGAAACATATTAAAGACTGATAAATAATAAATCATATCAAAATATTGTTCTAAACTCTTTATTTTTAATAAACAGAGAAGTAGATTTACATTTTTAAGATTTTAAATTAATGCCAAAATGAATATTATATTGATATTTTAGTCATTTTTAAGTAGTAAAATATTATTGTTTTATAATAATGTAAAATTTACATTTTTAATCTTTAATTATAAAATGTTTTAAGAAAAAAGAATATAATTATAATAATAATAATAAAAAATGATATATGAATGTGTATAATTATCATACTCAAACTATTAAGTTTTAGTATTTTCAATTATAATAAGATTTTTTATCAAAATTAAAACTATTATTTAAAGTACTTTTTTGATTTGTACTCTTATTATTATTTTCTTATTTGATAACTTTTGATCTTTTATTAACAGAGTTACTAGTTTTAGTGGAAGTAGGTATCTCATACAATCTAGAATTCTATCTAAAGTTATTTTGTAATTGCCATAATTGACTAGTAGGTTTTTAATTACAATCAATCATTAATTTTTTTTGATAATTTGTTAAATCAAATAAATCTTTAGTTGTATGTTTGCTATTACTTTTTTTACGTTCTTCAGGTTATTTAGTACTATAATTATTGATACTGACATATTCAAAAGAAGAATTAACTTATTTAGATTATAAACTTTTCTTTTATTTTGATTTAGATTATGGTGAAACAGAATCTCTTTAAACACCAGTCTTACTTTTATTATGTTCAGAAGTTTAATGATTTGTAGGAGTCTTTTTAGGAACATGATAAGATATTGATTTAGGTCTCTCTAAAGTTTCATCAACAGATTAAAGTGATATAATTTGTGTAACATCAGTTGGTATAGCAAATTTCTATTATGGATTGATAGGTTAGTATTTCATTTTATGTGCATAATTAACAAGCATTTAAGTTTGGTCATCACTAATGGCTTATGGAACACTCTTGCCTCTATTTTAAGAATTATTATTAGTTTATCCATTCTATTATACTGAACCAGATCTATTTTATTTAAAGATAGAAGTAGCAACTATATTAGACATAGGAGCTAAAGAGATATTATGATAAATTATTACGTTTTTTAGGTCTTTATTTAGGTTCCAATAAGGATTCTTCAAAAACACTACTATTAATATCAGCTTTTGATTAGATTCCATTGATTAAATTACGTTTTAATGCTAAATAGTAAGCAGTTGTAACATCATTGTGTTTATTGGCATCCAAACACTTAATAATATATTCTTTGTCATATCCTTATTAAGATAAAGAGTCAACAACAGAATCATCTATAGGCATTCTATTATATCCAACTATGATTCCTGGTGAGATCTTTGATTAAGTTTAGTAAAGATTAAACCAAGGATGAGCTTTCATTTGTTCAACAGTAATTCTCTTTTTTGGATCAGTTGTTAAAACTGCTTTGATGAAATTGGCTCCTTCATTAGAGACAAATTTGGGTATCTAATATTCACCATTTAGTATTTTCTTATAGAGTGCTGAAGTATTTTGATCCTAGAATAACTATATTTAAATAATACTTCAAAGGGCAAATATCCACAAATACTAGCAAATAATATGACTCCACTACTCCAAATATCAACCATCAAACAATCATATTTCTAACCAGCTATCATTTCTGGAGCTGCATAACAGGGACTACCACATGCTGTTTTAAGCAATTCACCTTTTTTATATGTGTTGCCTAATCCAAAATCTACAATTTTTATAGAATTATTGAAGTCTAAGAGAAGATTTTCTGGCTTAAGGTCTCGATGTACAATACAGAGTTTATGTAAGTATTCAATACCTGATATCAGTTATTGATAAAATTTGCAAGCCTCAATTTCTTAAAGTCGTTAATGTTTGACTATATATTCAAAAAGCTCTCCTCCATTTGCAAATTCCATCACTATAAAGATATGCTTAGGTGTTTCAATTATCTACATTTTGAATGAAAATGTATACTTCGTACAATTGAATTACATGTTTATGTCTTATCAATTTCAAGATGTGTATTTCTCTAGAGACTCTTTCTACATCTGCAACTTCTACAATTCTCTCCTTTTCCAATATTTTTATTGCCACTTTTTCCTATGATTTCAAATGAACTGCCAACTTCACCTTTCCAAAAGTACCTTCTCCCAATGTTTTAACTGGTTATTAACATAATTTCAATACTAAGCTAATAATTCCCAATTATCCTTCTGTTATTGAGCCTAATACCGTTCTTATTCTCTTTGTCTGACTCATTCATTTTACTTAACTATAAAATTATTTATATTAATAATATCGTTAATAATACACAAAATTTTGTATTCCATTTTATCAAATGCTTCTTTCCAACTTCCTATCTCTTTTCAAATATTAAAAAAACCTTTACTTTCTATCTTTCTTATAAAATAAATTATCTTTCATTTTATTTCATTATTCTATCCATGTCCTAATACTATAATACAACTATATTCAATATAATACTAATCATATAAAATTAAGCAATATGGAATCTCAGCTATTATTAATTATATTTTTAGTGTTATTAATTTAGAATATTTAGATGTAAGACAATGTATTAGACTTCATAATTACTGTATCTCAATCATAAAAGAGTGAATAAACAGTTTATTATCAACTTAAGTATAATTAATCCTCTATTTTTATAAGCTTTTTCAATCAAAAAAATTAACTAATCTTCTATCATCAATAAAGATATTCAGAACTTAAAAAGTTTCATGAAGCACTTGAGACACTCAAAATTACATTACCTATATTTCCTGGTACTCATTGGTGGAAATCAGTCAATTCAGATCCAGATTTGATTGAAGAACGTAAGCAATTGCTTGATCAATATTTCAGAAGTCTCACTTGTTCTAAAATTGTTAGAGATTCTTTAATTTTTAAGAACTTCATCTTATCTGCCTAAAAAGAAGCAGAAAAGAGAGTACTTAAAGTAATATACTTTTTATTCATATTATTAGGAGTAAAAAGAAAAGACTAAGAAAGCTGAAGGTTTTGCTAACTAAAATAAAACAAAAGTTAAAACTAATAAATATTAAACACCTGCCACTAATCCAGTCAATCTACCTCCAACTCCTGGAGAATTGAAAGAAAGATCATAATCTTTAGAACATAAACCATCAAGTAGTAAAATTGAAAAAGAAAACAGTAAAGGAAGTAAATTTCAATCACCAGTAACTAATAACTATTATATATTAATTAGATTCTGAATTTTGGAGGATCAAAAATCTTTAGAGGCATCTTATCAAACACTGCTAAACAATGACGAATTAATTTTAAAATTTATTGTTTTTATATAATTGATATGCAAAAGAATATTACATTTGAATATTTCTTTATTTGTATAAAACATTCTATTACAAAGAAAAATAAAAAGCAATTAAAAATAACTATTCTCTGATTTCTCAATTATCCTAATAATCATAAATAATATACATTAGTGAGTAATTGATAAAGATTATATATCTATTTATTAATATAAATTTAAAATTATGGAATTCCCTTAATAGATATATTTTATTTATAATCATGTTTATATTATACTAAAGAATTAATCAATAGTAGATTATCTATAAGGTATTTGATATATAATTAATTAATAATTATATAAACTAAAAATTTATAAAAAAATAAAATAAAATTTAAAATCATCTCAAACTTGATCGCAAAATTACAGAGTTATTAGATTGATAAAACTAACCTATTAATTAATACAAAATTAATGAAAAAAAGAGAAATAGAGAACATAGATAATAGATTACTAACTTATTTTGATGAATTAATAACGGCTAAACCATTATTTGTGTTATATTAGCATAAGTTGAGATATTTGAATGTAGTAAGATTAAATGCTTATTGAGTATTATTATTTACAATGTAATAAATGTTAATTCCTACATCATCTGGACATACTTCATTAGCAAACAATGCAAACATACTCTATGAATGCATTATAGAGAGACATCATTTTTTCTTGAATAGAAAATATTACTTACAATTAACAAATTAGTGTCTCACTCTAAGTTAAGTAATTAAATTTAGTAATTATATATAGAAACAAGACCAGTAGAATCCAAAATATATCTATTAATTAAAGATTGACAAAGTATTCACTTGGTCTCTTTAAAACAATTAAATTGTTGGATTTTAGCTTCCATATTAAGATAAAATTAAAGACTTTTTTGGAAATCCTAATGATATGGTGAACCTTAAATCAAAGATGGGTGCTTTGGTGTGTTATTAAAAAATTGAAATGTTTTACAAAAAGGAAGAAATCCTTTAAACTGGTTCTTTTGGAAAGGTTTTTATATCAAAATATTATAAAGGTCACAAAGGAAATATGTAGATTTACATCAAATCGTGTTGCTATAAAAAGTATTAAATGTTAAAACAATCACAGTCCAGCCATTAAAAATGAAATTGAAATACTCAAGAGACTCAAATAAACAAATACATTAAATATCTTAGAAATCAAAGAAGTATACAAAGATGAACACAATTATTATATTGTTACAGAATACTTACCTGGATCCAATCTAAAATAACATCTTGAACGTAGAAATAAACCCTTTTCAATATAAGAAGCCTTGTGTATAGTGGAAGTAATGTTTAAATTTATTTTAGTCACTCCTAAAAGGATTATAAAGCATTCATTAAAATGGTATAATTCATAGAGATCTCAAACCAGCAAATTTAATATATCACAATAATTAAATCAAAATAATTGATTTCGGTTTATCTTGTTTTAATGGTAAATAACTTGAATAATATCCTTCTTGTGGTACTGCTGGATATTCTGCCCCAGAAGTACTTAATGTTTGGAATAAGAAACAAGCTTATGATTATAAAGTAGATATTTTTAGTGTTGGATGCATTCTATATCAATTATTGACTTTAGATGGATTATTCAATAGTGAAAATGAAAAGGCAACTTATAGAAATAACAAAACATGTTAATTCACAATTAAGGAAAAGGGTTCAGTTTTTGATTTAGTATAACTCTTTGTGAAAGCAGAACCACAATAAAGATTAGATTGTTGTTAAGCTATGGAAGCTGTTTAAGCTTTACATGATTATAAATATTTTGATGTGAATACATGGTACAACAACAAAGTTAAATATAATTAGAAAGGGAGATCTCAATGTGAATTAAATTAAGAACCTTAAACTAAATTATCAAGATAATGTAGTCTGACAAATTTTAAATATAATGAACCTTAGATTTAGACTGAAAGATAAAGAAATTAACCAAAAAAAATTGAATAAAATTGAATATTGGTTTTTTGTTTATTTGTTATATCTCAATTAAATAATATTATTGTAGAACTTTTTAATTATTGTTATCAATATTATATTTATTTAATAAATGCAATTATTCTCATGGCTTTCTTAGAAAATAGTATAATTGAGCGCAATTACAATTATTTCAATAGGTTTAACCTTGTTAGCTTATGGAATTTATTTAGTTTCATTAATAATATTCGAAAATTATGATGGTAATATGAAATACAAAGATTAGGGTATTTTTAATTTGATTCTGATTTTGGTATGTTTGGTTAAAAGTATGGTGCACTTATAATTGGGATCTCTCTTATTATTATAGGAATTTTTGGAATTTTAGGATCTACAGCTAAAAAAGTATGTTTTTAAAGAGGATTCTTATTCTTACATCATATAAGTGTATTATTATTTGGAATACTGTTTATTATCTTGTTTTATTTGTTGATTTTCTAAGCAAAAGATTATTTTGGGAAATGTAGAATTATTATAGAATTTAGCATGTGAGTCGACAAAAAATTTCAAAGAATTAAGTGACGGTGTTAAAAGTGCTAATGAATCATTTTGTTCTATAAGTTGTCCATGCAATTTGGATCCTACTAAATTTAAAGATAAATCAGTTCTAAAAGGAAAAATCGGATTCTCTAATTCTCTTTTGCCATCTAATGTATAAGATTGTATAGGATTTGATTCTGAAAAATACAAATATCCCATTTAATTAATGAATGTATTAAATATGAATATTTAGATTTTGGAAATGAATTTTTCATGTTCTGGATGGTGTACTAGCACTTCTATTTTTGTTTTTTCAGATATTAATAGAGGTAATACATCAGGTTTGAGTTGCTTCAATAAATTTTAAAATTATTATGAGGATTATGTAACAATTATGGGTTATATCTCTTTGGGTTTGGGTATTTTATTTATGTTATCCTTTACTTTTATATTTTGTCTATATTGTGAAAAAGAGAATTTGAAGAAAAAGAAGGCTTAAGAATTAAGATTGTTATATTAATGATCTAATATATATATATATTTAGAATTTTAATATCTACATAAATTATTGAAGATCTTAAATATTTTTATTTAAAAAAAAAATATTTGAATATTAAAAAACCAATTATCCATTTTAATTTTAAGATCTATAAGAGAATTTTAATTATATTTTTACTTTTTAAATTCTCTATATATATATGTCTTTTACTGTTTTTTATGAAAAAATACTTAATAATAAATAATTTATTTAATTAAATAATATATAATATTAATTAATTAAATCCAAATGAATCACGAAGCCGAAAATGCTCCTTTGATTTAAGAAGAATTTCCTGTTCAATAATCTCATGTATCTGTGCAAGAGTAACCAAAAGTAGTTTCAATCAATAAATTATTCCTTCAAAATACTGCTTAAGCTTTTAGTCCAGGTATGATGATTAGTAAACAAATCTACGTTTTTTCAAGAACTCTAAAAAAGTATTGATTTATATAAATACCATTTAGATCTATAGAATAGTATAGAAATAATGAGAAAATCCAATTTGTCAAGAATGTCTCATCATCTTTGGAAGAATTTGATGGAGTTTCTTATAGCAATGATGCATTAAATTAAGATTAATCTATCACAGCAAAAGGGTTTAAGTTTTTTGGCAAAGCAATCTCTAAGATTAGAGACACTATTAGAGGAACATAATCACAACAAGAACCATAAGGAAATTAATAATAAAATAGAAATGAATCTCTATTTCCAGAATAAAGTCAAAGGATAGATGAAGAACATATATGAATTTTATAAAATTAAATTTCCCTAAAATCCCTAATTATCATTATTCTCATTCTAAATATGAAATCATTAATCGAGAAAATTATAATTACAAAAAAAGACTATTTTTGACTTTATTTGTAATTTATTTACTCATTTTACATTTATTGTTTCAGTTCAAATAAATCTTAAGAAAGCTTAGAATTATGATTAATACTTATAATTCTGCAATTCTTGCATATTTATTAAAATATATAATTACTAATACATTTTACCTCTATAATCTATTGGATTTTGAATTCTACAATAAATCTTTAATTAATAAGTAAATGGAGTTCTTAGTTTTATTATTTTTTCCAATTTTATTAAGATTGTAAACATTTACTTTTTATATCCCAACATTGCAACTGTAAGTAACACATTATAAGATTTCATCAATAATAGGTATATGGTTGATAATGAGTACCTTATTATTGAATGAAAATCCATCTTTAAATATAAAGATACTATAATTAAATCAGATTACATGAATAAGATTAATTAAAATAAGATAATGAATCTTAGTATTAAAAATATTATAAGATTAAATAATGTTGATATGGGATTATAGTTAGTTCAACTAAAACTGTTATGGATACATAAAGTAATTTATATACTTCTTTTTTTTTAAACAACTTAATTAAATTGAACATGAATAATATAATATTCTTTGATGCTTTGACTTAATAAAAAATTATAATAATTTATTAGATTAATTAACGCTTTTAAATAATAAGAGTAATATATTTAAAGTTATTGGTTAAAATCTATCTTATGTAATCTAATTAGATTGAGATTAGCATTTTCCCAATAAACTTAGTGTTTTTAAAATAAAATATAATTATATTGTAGTCTACTTAATTATGAAAAGAGTTTCTTAAATAAATAAAGTGTTGACAAGATTTAAAGGTTTTTTAACATTTGCTTATGAGTATTTCATTGAATTAAGTTAAATAAAAAGTGGTTTTCTAGATTTTGATTATAAAAAATTAAATGATTAAACAATATTGGTTGGAATATTAGCAATTTACAATAGGGTTTTCTTAAATAATCCTTTCTCGAGACTCTAAATATTTATGGATATTCGTTGAAGTAGTAGGTCATTTTTAAAGATTGGCATTATTGTTCCTATTCAAAGTAATAATTGAAATCCTTCAAGTAAGACTATATAATAAGCAAATTGAAACAACAGATTCTTATTCATTATTTGAATTGATTTCAAAATTATGTGTTCCATCAATTTTAATTCTTGAAAGTGTGCCTAATTCAGGAATAATTGGATTTTAATTTGTGATAATCCTAATCCTATATGCACCTGTTTGTGTTAATATAATTGCAATGCATAAGGAATACTTTGAATATAGTACAATAAAGCATCGTTCATCAATTGATGAACAAAATAATTTGAATTGTATGAGTTAACTTTTGATTAGATAATCTAACCTTGTTGAATAGATCCTATAATATGCACAATTATATTGAATATTTTATGTAAAAGTAATTGATGGGAAATGAATAGAATTCATTCTAGTAACTAGAGAAATTTGTAATGGCTTCTCTATTGAATATATTTCCACATATTTTGGTGATTCCATTAATGGTTTGGAATTTTATTATTTGGCAGATAGTTTTTAGAGATGAAAGTTTAAGTGATACTCTTTATGGATTGATGATATTTTTTAATGTACTTACAAATATAGGAGCATTATTAGCATGGAATATATCAATGCATATTTAAAAAACATATACAATAAGAGATAATAATCATTTACGATTAGTTTAATCATTCTGGTTTAATCTTTAATAAATCATAATAGTAATTCCAATACTTATTTAATGGTTTTATTTGTTGATTAATCTGGATAATGATTTTGATCAAACATCAACTCATTACTACTTAAATAATACCATAATATTAATATTATAAGTAGGAATATTGATTGAATTCTTTATATGTCATCCTTACATGTAAGATTACAAGGTTTAAACAATCTTAATAGCATTACCATTTACTATTTCAGTCATAATATCATTGTATTTTTAGCATAATCAAATTCAAGTGATTTCAATTGCCTTGATTACAGTCCCTTTATCATCTAGATTATTGAATGAAATCAAAGCCTATTTGAATGAAGAGATTTTATATAATTCTCAATACAAAGAAAAATCTGGATCAAGAAGTAGGGCATAATCTAGAACTGGTTTATTGATGGAAGAAGAAGAGTAATTTGTAATAGAAAAGGAAATTAATAAACAAAAATAAACATAACTTGAATACTTACAGAATATGAATACAAAATATTTTATTCATTATTTGAGATTAGTAGATTTAATGAATCTTGATGATTAATAGTCAATTGAAAAAGATGCATCTGTCATTAATATAAACAGATCTAAATTTATTTTGAACATAATTGTTTTATTAAAGTAACACATCAATTAATGTGAAAATGTTTACTGTTATTGTAAAGGATTTAGAGGAGAAAAACGAAATATAATTGAAAATAATTATCAAAGTTTAGAGATGAGAATATATTATCATATAAAAATATCAAACCTCACTATTTAAGTTGAGTTAATTAAAAGATACATTAGACATTATGCAAAATTGATTTTTGAATTAGAAAAAGAAAAAGAAGACTATGATATAATAAGAATAACATAATTACTTACATATTTAAGTAGTTCTGAAGAATGTTATTAAATATTACTATTGATAATGGAAATGAAGGAAAAGATTAAAAACAAGAATCGTATTACTTCATCTGTTGCTATGGCAGTACTTCTTAGTTATACAAAACATTAGATTTTACTTAAAATGAATCCTTAAGTTAAAATAGAAGAAGTTGAGGCTGCTTTATAATATAAGGATTATAGAGTTACTGAAGTAAGAAGAGATAAATTGATTTCAAATATGTTTTTAAATGTCTAAAGAAAATATGAATTCATTAAATAATTGGTGGATAACAAATTTAATTATGAAACCTTATATCAATTATTGAATGACATGGTTAATTACAATTTAGAAATTATAAATAAGATTGAATAATTCAATGAATTCTCTTAATCAAGATCTTCATTATTAATATATATGTTTTATTGTTTAGAAATTGTTAATGATTTTGATAAATTCATACGTTTAAGAAATTAGTTAAAAACAAAAAATTTTAAGTTTTTTGAATATAGTGGTTCTCATAGTTAAAAAGTTTGTTATTTAAAAATTAATTTAGCAAGACATGCAAAAAAAGGTAAAATTTCAAGAGGTGAGATCATTTAATTCTCTAATAATGCTCCTCATATGTTTGGTTATTAATAAAGGGAATTTTAAGAAGAAATTTTAACAGTTCATTAATTAGTTGCACCTCATTTATCAACTATTCATGATTAATTAATGGAAATCTTTCTCTTGACTAATAGACCATTCATTTTAAGGAAGAAGAGAGGACTTTTGGCTTCCAAAAAAAATAGAGATTTATTGTTTGTTGAAATGTTTATTGATGTTTGTTTTAATATCACTGGAGATTTGTTTCCTATATATAGTTTCATCAAATAAATATAATCTGATGGTGCTTATGAAAACATTAAAGGACATATATATTTGAATAATGAATTGAAAATAGAAGGAGTTACTACTATGGCACTTGAACAATTTAAATTGAAAGATGGTAAAAGTCTATACAAGATGAAATTGAGTCATCTTATCTAAAATCCTAAAAAATACTTAGAACTTTTGAATGAAAAGGAAAAATAATTTTATTAATAAGAATTATAAAGATTAGAATTAAATAGTTGTTCATAATAATTTAATTATTCTGAAACTGAATAATTATTAAATCATTTTTCAGTTACAGCAGAAGATATTTTATTCAGAATACCTAAAGAAAATGGAGTACCAGATATCTTTTGTATTACTTGTAGATTTATTATGACTTTATCAAAAATTAATGGAAAAGAACATAAATCATTTACAGTAGAATTTTTAAAAATTACATTTGCAGATAATATGAGTTAAATTTGGGTAGATTCATCAAGAAATCTTTAATCTAGATCTAGAACAGAAACTAATTTTGAAATTTCATAAAATCATGATCCAATGGATAGTGAATAATAAAAATCACAATCTTAATTTTCTGATAGTGAATAAAGATGTGAATTTTCAAATATTTCAGAAAAATAAGAAAATTAATAATCAATACATTTTTAAGAATATCAATTTTAAATTGGTCCTCATATTTAAAGTCCTTTTGATTCTTAAAGAGATTTGTTGTCTTTAATAAGTAATCAAAACAATATTTAACCTTTTGATTAACAAATAATAAGTGTTTAAATTGATGGATAGAGTTTACAATAATTAAGAGTTGAATAGAGAATAGTAGAAAAAACTTAAAATAAAATAAAATATTAATAATCATATTATCATAAAAAAATATCTAAGAAATCTTTTGAAATAGATAATAATCAATCAGAAAATAATTAAATAGAAAAAGAATAAGAATAAGAAATTAGAATTACTTAAACACCTACTACATAAAACAATGGCATACCTTCAATGTTATAAAAAACACATTTATATAGTAAATTTTCATCATCTGATAATAATCCTAGATTAATTAATTTAATATTTATGATAGATATTTTAAATCTATCATTATTAGTTAGTTTGGCATTTATCTTTTATTTTAATTTTAAATTTAAATTATAAGATAATATGAAAATAGTTGATATATTAAGAGCATTTGTTACCACAGATTATACTAAAAATACTTTATTAGCATTAGGAATTGATATAAACACAAAAGATTATGATTCATCTATTAAATCTTAATATTAAGCTAAATTATTAGAACAACTTTAAGAGAATTGTAGAAATTATTTATCTCATTATCAACAATATTTAGATGATAGTCTTGTAAAAACAACACTCTCAGAAATCTATATTAATTAATTTGATTATTATAGTGGAAAAGAATAGTAAGTAAGTGCTTGGACTGAATAATTTTATGTTATATACATGTAATAAGGACTTTATGGAATTAATCTAACAAATTAAACAACTATAGAAAAATATAATAATTCTCTTGGTTCATTAATCAGTTAATATTCTGTTCATAAAGAAGCTTATGAAGAATTAACATTAAAATTTTAATAATAAATAGATACTAATGTTTCAGATCTTGAAAGTTAATAAGATATTTGTTTAATTATCTTTTTAGTAAATGAATTTATTCTTATAATTGGATATTCTGTTGTGTTTCATTAATTATTTCGATTACTCAATAGGATTCTTAGGAGTTGTGAATAAATATCATTTAAAGCATTAGAAACTGAATCAATTAGGTTATTATCTCTATAACATCGTTATCAATAACCTTCTGATCTTAATTTATACAAGTATTAATTTTAATTTAAGGATAAATGCAGTATAAATACTAATTTTAATGATATGTTTACAAATAAACGAATATCAATGAGATTTTAATAAATTGTATAATAATAAGAGTAAAAGAAATAATTTATTATATCTGATGAAAAACCATATCTTTAGAGATTATTTTTTTTAGTTGAATCTGTTACATTATTGATTGGATTAGCATACTTTTTAACTGTAAAAGTGTTTAATTCTTCAAATATTATTGATCTAAAAAATAATCTGGATTTATTTAATTAAAATATTTTGTATACAGAATAATTCTATTAAATGATGATGACAGATCAAATATTATAAAAATATGCTTAATCTCATTCTAATCTTGCAATTGGAAATATTATTATATCATAATATTAGACTTTGATTTAAGAATCATATAATTAGGTTGTATATATTAGTTCAATGATAACTTCAGAAACAAAAGAAAATTATTATGATTTATTGCAATATTTGACTAATGATTCATGTGTTTTAATTGATGATCCTCTTTGTTCTATTGTGATTGATGGAAAATTAACTGAAGGATTGATTTATTCAACAAATTATTTTGTTGACATAGTTGGTGAAAATATATAAAATAATTATGAATATGGAAAATTAATATAATTAACAGAATTAGATTTAATTGGATTAAATTTTGTAAGTGAAGCCTTTGATAATATAATGGATTAAGGATAAACAAATTTAATTAATAAACTTGAAGCAGAAATCTAATTAAGAACAATACTATTTTCAGTTTTTATGTCTATATTTATTATTTAATAGATTTTAACATCATTTTTATTATATAGATTTTTTAGAAATCGTTTTTATAAAATAAGATAATTACCATATGTATTACCACCCTAATCAGTCTATGGAGAAGATAGTTTCCTCAAAACTTTGGTTTATGTTTAAAAGATATATGACAATCTCTTATAATGATTATATATATATTATAGTTTTTAAGTTTTAATATATCAAAATAAATTTGAAAATTCTTTGAAAAGATCATCTTTTGATAGTGCATTTTTAATATCATCAATATTTATTTTTAATAATATAAGAATGTCTTCCAAATTAAATAATCTGTCTTAATCTAAACTATTCTATAATAATAAATAATAAAATGCATACTTATAATTTTAATTACCAATTAGTTTTTGTTAATAAAATCTATTCCTCTTTAATTTCTATTAAGTTTAATTGTGATAATTTTATTAAAGCTTATTTCATTTAATAATAACTCAAAACTTTTATGTTATGTAATGATTATTATTACTTCATTCTTTGAACAACTTGATGAAAGTATGCATAATTTTATCCTTTAATATGAATTTCTATGGCAATCATTATTATAAGTAATTTCAAGTCAACATTAAAGTATTACAAAGCATTATGTTAAGGTTTATTATAAATGATATCATAAGCTAATTTTATATGATCTACCTCTATTTAAGAAAATTGACGTTTCCTTAATAATTACTCTCTACCCAAAACTATAGCTGTTCTACATATACTTAAAGTTTTGCGAATGTCAGTTGAAATTGTGGCTATCTTTTTACCTAAATAGTTTAAAGTGTTAGAAGCAAATAATTATTTAAGTTTTTATGTTTTCATTCTCTATTATAATATATTTTCTATTTATGTGCTATTATAAGGTCTAAACACTATGCGATGATTTCCTAATCTGGATTATAATTTAGGTTTAAGTTTCTCAGGGAAATCCATTGTATTTGCTATCATAATAATGATTAAATGTGCATTAGGTTATTGAGGCCAATCTACCAAATTGTATAGAACTTATTGATCTGTAGTATAGAGATTATCACATTCATCTAATAAAATAACTATGTTCTTTTGTATACAATCATATTCACTGTTAAAGAGTTCAGCTTAAAAATATTATGAAAATCAAAAACTTAAAAGAATGCAAGACTTTATTTTGGAACTCTCCTTTTTATTGGTTATCTTTTCATAAAGAAATGGATAGATGTCTTCTGGAGCTCTTATATTCATGGCATTGAAATAAATGAAATCGAAATCTAATTTTTTGAAGTGCAATTTATTTTTGACTTCTAAAACTGTGGCAGTTTTACCAATTCCTGGGACTCCTGATATATCTATTTTATTAATGGTTTAAATATACATAATGCCTATTTTTATCCATTATTTTTGATTCCATCCTCAATAAATCTTGTAATAAGAATCTTTTCTTGATCCCTACAAAGAATTTCATCGGGAATTGTACTTTCAAGTAACAATGTAAAACATTCCTCCATCATTGATAATTGTTGTTATATATGATCAGAAGAGACTTGAATTAGTGATGATTGTTCAAATGGCTCAAATGTGAAATTATTTTCTGTTGTTCGAGAATGCTCTTTCTGATTTAACATTCCCAATTAGTTACATCTAGTTTGTAGTATGGGCTCATTAATGAATTGACATTCTTCCTGTTCAATATCCATATGAATATCTTTGGAATGTGTAGGGATAGTTAATTTAGTAGCCTGAATACTCATAATCTTGGGTTTACTTAATTATCTGGAATTATTATTTGGGACTTCACATTTTTATAGAGTAAATAATAGAGAAATCCAAAAACATGATTGGAACATTTTTTATCTATCACAATATGTCATAAACATAGTAAAGATAAATAAATGAGGATCTCAATCATTGTTGTAAGATTAATCAATTAGAACATAAACTTATTAAACAAATTCTTATTCACTATTTTTAATCGATTTTGTTATTAGATTCTACTTAAGAAACTAATTATAATTTTGAGTTAATAATCAATTTTTGTTAGTTTTTAGTTTTTAACTTTGCTTGACTTATATTATTAAATTACATTAATAAATCAGTAAGATTATTGATTTTTTTTGTTAATCTTTTTTTTGATCTCCTCTTACATGACATTTTTAAATTTATTATACTAATATATACAAATATACAAATTTTAATAAGAAAAAGTATTTAATATTTAATTAATCATTCATTTCCATATTTTAACACTCTACCTTTTTTATGTCTTCCTATTATTAGGATCTAGATTCTCATCATATAATAGTGTAAATCCTCCTACTTTTGTTGGTTATTATTCTAAGAATTAATAAATAAATCAATACATTTCTAATCATTATCAGGGAAATCATCATTTGGTAGTACTATATTATAAACATCATTGATCAAATTCATTTTTAGATTTTTATCAACAGGTGTTGTAGTAGTTAAAGATGGACTAGCATTTATTTCAATGAGCCAAGGTTTAAGATTTGAATCAAGTAGAATATCATAACCATACATTTCAAAACAATGTTTATCATTCTATATTACAGCTTAAACAGACTAAATATATATATATTTAAATAATTACTTTTAATGAAGTTAACATAATGTTATGAATATCATCCATCATTTTATTTAATGCATCAGTTCCATATGCAGATTCTACATATAATTTGAGTGCATCAATAGAATATTTACCACCATGTTTTTAAGAATACTTATCACTGTATTATTGTATAGCTACATTTGTAAGATGTACAAACATATTCTCTATTTCAGCAACATCAGTAGTATATTATTCATTACAGAATCTACCAAATCCTTTATTATAAATCCAAACTTTTAATGGTTTGTAATTTGTAACTAATACATACATTCTTAAATCAAATTTCTTTCCTCCAATTAATAATGGATTATCAATATATCTAGATACTACATAATTTTCTTTTGAAGCAAGATTTAATTGAGTCATATTACTTGTTACTGTTGTTCCTGATATTTTTTTCAATTATTAAATTTTCCTTAATAAAAATATTCCTTTGCCTTAACTTCTAGCAGCTGGTTTTACAATCCAAGTTTGATTTGGATTTCTATGAAATTCTTCTACAAATAATGAATATTCTCCAGGGAAAATATAAGTAGTAGGTAAAAAGTCAAAATTGAATATTTCTAATACTTCTTTATCTTATTCTCTTTTGAATCTTTTAAGGTTCTTCACCATACAATCTTTTCGTGTTAATTCATAATGATTTGGAAAGTGATTTATAATTTACTTTGATATTAATTTGAGAATACTTAATCATTAAGTCTAAATCCATTCTTAGGATTAAAGATGTTACGAACATTCCAAACAGTTGCCCAATAGACATTCCAATCTGTTTATTCTTCTTCCTTTTCTTAAGATTTGATCCATCCTCTATTTACAAAGTTTTCAATTATAACAGATTTTTCAAAATCTGATTTCCATTTTAATTTTTTGTTTTACATTAATTTATATAATATATTTCAATTTAACTCCTATGTATTTAATGTTTAAGTCTATTCTTATTCAACTCTACGTTTATAAAACAAAACATAAGCACTTTATGATACAACTTGATCCTCATTCAATTCATTCACTTAAGAATCATCAAAATTATACCATTACCCATTGATCTATTAATAAATAATTATATTTCTTACATGATTCTTTGCATATGCTGTATAATGTCCACCACCCATACCACCAAAATGATTTGATACTGCATATAAATCATATATTAATTATTTCTACTCCTCTTTAATCTGATTATTATCATGAGGTTTATTCTTATTTAGTATAAAATCTGTTAAATCTAATCCTTTAACTGGGAATTCAACATATGTCTCCAATTTCTATTTAAAAAAACCATGAGATGCCTTGAATCTTTTTAATGTGAAAATCAAAATGTCTGAAGCCTTTATTATATTAATAATTCAATACCTTATAAATCTACATACTTTTATAGGCTTGTACATGTTCTTTGCACACTTTACAATACCAAGCATTATCTTCTGCCAATTACTCAGGTTACTCAGAGAATCTTAAACATTCTTGAAGTGTAACTCTGGGTATTGCATTCATCATTTATGAAGATGAGTAATTTTTACCAATAATTCTTCCTTTCACATTATTCTCATCATTATTATTATTATTATTATTATTATTCTCATCTATATTTGTTTATTATTATTAAATACCTTCAATCTACTTTCTGTATTATTGATTTGAATAATATTAATAAATTTCTCCAGTATTAATATTTTGAAATGGACTCTTATTCCAAAACACTAACAATTCTATCTTTTACATCAAATCATTTGGATTTACCATTTATTTCTACTAAATCTTTTCAAAAGTATCTTCGGTAAAGTAATTCACTTCACATTCTTAACAATTTTTTGCATTACAAAATATACACTTCTTTTACATTACCATTATGTTCTATTTATTATTAACCGAGTAATACTAAAATTATATTTTTAATTTACTTTTCCATGAATATTCTATTCATAATATTCTCTCAATTTCTCTTCTGTATCCAATTCATTCTCTTTCACTAAATCACAAAATATAGGTAATAGACTCTTAAATATACCTAAATGAATCTATGCTAAGCTATATTCTTTTTTTATTATTAAGTAAGTAGCTGATTAAATTATCTTTTTAAATGAATGTCCATAAGAATCAAAAGCTTTTTGAACGTAACTCACATACACTCGTTCATCTTTTGCAATATTCTTTTCATCCTAACTCAATACTTTAACTATCAAATATCCTCTCTTCGATTTCTTTCTCACTACATTAATTTCTAAAGAAGGATCAAAAGGATCTGAAATATCATTCATAAAACATGAATAATACAATAATTCACTATCAGGTTCAATCTTAAATTCATTAATTACATATTCTTTAATAAAATCTTGTAAAGGCATAGATTTTTTAGATCCATCAAAATTTATATATTTACTCTCTATTGAAACTACTGATTTTATCACTTTAATTGAAATGGATTTCTATTTCTTATTAGGTATACCTAATCCAACTGTTAAAAATGGATCAAAAGTTATTGAAATCTATTAACAAGTTGGACATTTCAAAGTTGATTTATATTAACCATACATTAAATCAACTATTATTGATTGATTTCTAGCCAAATGATTTTCCCAACTTTCCTTTGCCACCTCAACATCTGGTCGACCTTAACAATCTTTAGATTCCACATAAGGTTTCTTTTTAACTCTATTTAAATCTTCATGTAATCCATCCAATAAAAATGTTATCAATTCTGATGAATCATGTTATTAAAATCCCTTAAACATTGGTTAGAATTGACCAACAGCTTTTTTAAAACTAGTAGGAATTACAATATTTTTATCACCATACCATAATTTTTTAAGTAGTGATCCAAATTTTCTAACTAATTACCCTTTAGTTCCTAAGGGATTATCTTCATTAATTTCTTCAAAATAATTATTTGATAAAAAGTATTCTGTTAATGAATAAGTGTTTGATAGACATTAAGTACCACTGTTCATGAAACAAGTATTACCTAAATTAGATAATCCAGCAACTCCTTTTACTGATTTATCAGATAATTGAATAGATTTAACTTATTCATCATCTGATCCTAGAGGATCACATTTTGGTAGATGGAATCGTTCATCATTAATTTTACATTACTCTGTACAATATGATACTTTTTTGCATATACAAGGGAAATTAAGTACTGTAATATTAGAACATCCTTCACACTTTCCTTCAATAGGAACAGTAGGATGTCTGATACACCATGGTCTCTTTGCTTGTTGAAACTAAATTAGAATATATTGATACTTCAATAACAATTATATCTTTATCTGTCAAATTTAATGATTTAAATGTGATGTCTGATGAAATTTCAACTGGAGAACCTGAAAAATTAAAGACTTAATCATCATTAAAATCTAGCTCTTGAACTTGTTTTTTGATTTCAGCAAATAATGCTTTGTGTGGATCTGTATCATTAGTGTATCTCCAAATACGAACACCATTATAGTTTCCTCTGAATGTGGGTACTGTTCTAAGAATTGTAGCATAATAATCTTATAGATTGGCATTTTCATCAACTTACAAATACTCTTTATCTAATTGAGTTAGATTGTCTTGAGCAATTTAATTGACAGTATTAGGTAGCATAAGAATTGCATTAAACTATTCTAGTAAGAAGATACTTCATACCTTCAACAAATTAACAACAACCTTCTTGTCTTTTCCCTTTCCTATGGCATTTCTGGCTATGACGGTCCCTCTGTAATATTGATTAAAATAAGACGAAAGTTATTGCGAAATTACAATGTAATTTATGCCATCTTCGAGATTGGGTCTCAACCATTAATTCCAAGGATTTGTACTCAAAGGGTGATATTTGAAACATTCATTGACATAATTTTCAATCAGATCATGATTGTAATTTTAGGGTATCATCTATCCAGTGATGTTAGGAACACTTGAATTATTTATAACATTATCATAAGAAACATACAGCTTCCATTTATCTAACCAACTACGTAATCTATGTATTTAAATACTTCTTGCTCAAAATATAGTATGTTTAGCAATCCTCTTATGCGAACTCCTATTCTAGTTGTTGTAACATCCTATGAACATCTAAAGCCTATTATTTGAGTCTCTCAGACAAACTCATATTAACAGAGGTAGTGATTTATTGTTGATCATCAGAATCATCTTGGCTTCTACTCAAAAATCAATATCATACATACCCTTCATCTGTTCCACTCATTCTTATTATAAATAAATATATTAATTCTCCATTTACTCACTTATAATACTGATGAATTACAATTTAAGAAACTATTATAAATTCTTCTGTTTGATTATGTCAATATTAATATAATGCTAAATACTTCCTCTATTCAAATCAATAGTTCTATTGCCATCTATACCACCTCCAAATATATCGTAACTCATAAATTCATTCTCATTCACTCCCAAAATGCCTTTTAGATCCAACCTCAATAAGAATTATTAGATCAATTAAAACAATCATTCACTCAATGCTTGATAAGCTCAATGATATCATTAATAATTAACATCCAAATACTCAAAAGTTGACAATTTATCAATCATCTAAAGTCTGGTTATTTTGTCAATTAAAGGCTAACCTGATTAGAGAATATTACAAAGAGAGGATAAAAAGTAATCAATGATATCAATTAATATTTGAATGACTCAAGCAATCTTATTACTTACAAGTAGAAAATATACAATTCCAATACAACCCCAATAGAATTTATTACAAAATTAAATTCCATTTCATTTCATTTAAAAGATTCAATTATATTCTACTTATTTCAATAATAATATTAAGAAAAATAAAAAAACTAGATATAAATATATTTAAAATGACTATTTACAAGATTGTAATCTAATTCAACTTATAAAATAAATCTCATTTTAAGATTAAAAGAAATTGATTAATCAATATAAGACTTATAATTATTATTGATTTTTTAATATTTCAACATCCAAATTTTATTTAAATCCTTTTAGAATATATCAATAGAAGAGATTGAATTGATTCTGATAAAAACTTTTTGAACTTAAACAATTATTTTTTATATAACAAAATTTTATAAATATGTCACAAAAAAAGCATTAAAAAAAAAAGTCTTCAACTGCTTAGAAAAATTCAAAATGTTCTAAATATTCTTAGAACATCGATTTAGATAATAATGATAAAGAAATTTTAGAAGCTCTTTAAGCAAGATTACCTTTTTATAAAAATATTTTTAAACAACTAACAAAAATGGGTTTACCTATGTTGCAAGTCTAGCCCAATTAGGAATTGATTAAAAGAATAGAAAAGAGTTAATTTAATGTTCATTATCTTCAGAGACTGATTTCATTGAAATTGGAGGGTTAGCCTATTTCATACCATCGTTGCAAATTAGCTCATTCTTGTAAGTACTTCTTAAACGAAACTCTGTAGAACTATACGAGATTTGAATTAGAAGAGATGTTAGGATTGATTAAGGAATCTGTAGAACCAGTTTAATTGAAAAAAATTTAAGGGATTAATTTAGATGAAGTCACTTTTGGATAAGACTTCAATTACTAAAAATTCTTAAATCTCTTAGATATATAGAAAGTGTTCAATAATAGTGAAAATATTAAATTCACATCCACTGATATAAGAGGCTATTATGAAATGAAAAATATAGAGGATTTAAAGGATCACGGAAATATTGAAATATTTGAAAAAGTGAGGAAACTTAGATTATAAATCTTTGATGTTATAAGATCTATAAAATGTATTATTGATTCTTTGGAATCATAAGATATTGATTCTATTGAAGAGGCATTTATATCATATTTAGATTTAAAAAAGAATATGGAATTACCCTTTACTGAAGAAATTAAATATGAAGAATCAGAAACGAATGTCTAATTAAATAAATGTGATTAATTATCTGAATCATCTGCAAAATCAAGTGTAAAATCGGTTAAGTTTCATAATCAATTGACAAATTCTGAAATATAAAAGAAAAATGATCCATAAGTAAATATATAAAGTATTCTTAAAAATACATCTATTCCAGAATAATAATCAAAGAATTAATTAACTATGATAAAGGAAGAATAACCTTCATAAGAAAAAGTGTCAATAATTAAAGAAATCGTCAATGAAAATTAAGAACCTCAAAGTAATTCAAAACCAACTAGTAACTTCATAAAGTCTTTTGTTATAAAATGTAAGAAATCAAGCAAGAGAAATAATTAAGAAACTTCTTAATACAAATGGGATCTATTACAATAAAATAATTTCGAAAAAATATTCTATATGAATGAATAAATTGATTCAGAAATGTTAAGTTATATTCCATAATCATTTCAATCAGCTTTATGTGAACAGAAAATCTAAACAAGCAAAAAAAAAACTCATCAATAAACAAAAAGAAAAGTTTATTTTGAATTGTGTGATTCTAACAGGTTCTATAATGGAAAGCTACTAGAAATAAAACCAATTAACCCAAGAAATCCATTTTTAAAGTATTCCTTCATAGACTATGAATTGGATTCTGAAGAAGAAGAGGCTGAAGATGTATTCTCAGAAATTAGATCATAAGATGATACTCCATCATCCTCACTCTAAGAATTTATAGAAATTGATTATAAAAACTAGTATTAATAATAGGGTGAATCTTATACTTTAATTTGTGATGATACAAATTTTGAAGTATTTCTACCTTACAGAGCTATTATGATATCAGATAATAAACCTTAAATAAATTCAAAAAAAAAAGTTCGTCAAGATTCAAAGTTTTAGAGTAAAAGCTCTTTAGCAGAGAGTTAAAATGAAAAACTAATTAAAGCTTTATCTAAATTGTCATAGTTTGTTAATTCTGATTAAGTTAATCAAATTTTGGAATTTTCAGATCTTTAGTTTTTGAATATTGTACCTCAAACATAAAATACAGACAATAAGTGAAAATAAACTTATATATATATATAAATATGTGGAATTAATATAAATTAATTATTAACTATGATTATAAAACAATCATTCTATTAAAATAAAACAATAATATTCAAGCATTTATTTCATTCAAAACTTCATTACATTTTTAGTGTATCGAAATTAATTAAGGATCATCGAAATCATTTGATTCTAAAATGAAATTTCTGACGTTTTCATAAATCCATTTACAATTTTTTGAATCCCAGCGACCTTAAAATTTCTCTAAGCAAAATGCACAGTTTTGATTATTCAATTTATCTAGATCAATAGAATAACTTTTTTCTTAATTTTTATTTTCCTTTATTGTTTATGTCGATGACATCCATTCCTATATTAAAAAAAAGAGTATTACTTCACTAGAGCAACTCATTTGAACTTCTTTCTTCTAATCTTCTCTTAATTTTTCTAATTGATAACTTGCATGATTATTCAAATGTTAAATATAAGCACTCTAGTTTCTGAATCTCATAAAGCAAGTTGGGCATTTTATTAAAGTTCCATAACGATTAGGATTTGAAAGCAACTCTGAAGATGGAATTTATTTTCTAGTAACATATTATTTCATTCAATTACTTTAGAAAATCTTTAACTGCTTCTTTATTAACCAAGTCATGTTTAATTTATAGTTACTCTGAAAAATACTAGAATAATGAACCAAATACTGTCGTAGTTTAATTAGGATCTATTGGAATATTTAATTATTTTTAATTATTTAGTGAAAATTATTATTATTACTATTATTATTATTATTATTACTATTATTATTATTATTATTACTATTATTATTATTACTATTATTGCTATTATTATTATTATTACTATTAATACTATTGTTATTATTATTGCTAATATTGAATATTTCCTTATTTTGAAGTTTATGGTTAATTAATTTAAGTAAATGGCATATTATTTATATTTTAGGGTTGTTAAGGTTGACGCTATTGTTGAGGTTATTATTGTTATTGAGGTGTAGGTTGAGAGAGGGGGTGACTCAAATTTGTAGCTTAAGGAATTTAAGAAAACTAATTTTAATAATAAGGGTTTAAATATGGATAATTAGTTGACAGAGAATTTGAAGGTGCATAAGTAATAATCTGGGAAGGTTGGAGGTTTCTATATTATTAAGAAGCAGATGTTTGATTATTTTAATTATGAATATTTTGAATAGTTTATTAATATGGATGAACTTATTGATGGCTTTATAATGTTTATTGTATTTATGGCTGATTAATTTATTTTTATTATTATTGTTATTGTTAAGAATCTAAATTAATTCTTTAAGTTTATTAATATTTTTATTCTGGTTTAACCTTCTTAACAACCTAATCTTCCATTGGTCTCTTAGTTCCAGCTGGTCTTTTGTAGGTTCCCTAAAGAGATTATTAAAATTCATTACATTTAAGAATGGCTCATATCCACTAACATTTAGACTTTTGTAAAACTTCTTGAGCTCTTCTAATTTTTCATTAGGCAAAAAGTCCAAGTCCTCCTTTAATTCTTATTGAACTTTATTGCTAATTTCGATTAATGTAGGTAATGGAAAGATGTGGAACTATTTATAAAAGAAATGGATACCCAGCTTTTAAATACTGTTTTCAATTTTAATAGATCACATCCAAATTCCTTCTAATTCTGATACACTTTGACGAATAGTTTGACTATGTAGGATTTGATAGCTATTTTGAAATCTTTTAAATCACTCTTGCAAATGTAATCAATTAAGAAGATCAATTAGACTACGTTTTTCTCTTTTAAATATTGTTTAGTTATACTTTAATATATCAAAAAAAGATACTTATATAATTCGGTTGCAATTTAATTAATGAAAACCTTTTTCTATTGAATCAATTTTAAAATCACAATAAAATCAATGCTCCCATTAGCAATCATCATCTACACTACTTTCCTTACTTTCTCTAATGCATCCTTCTCTTCAGGCAAGACTTTAACTTCTTATCCTCTAGCCATCTTTAATAATTTTTCTAATTAATATTTTATTAATGAAAAAATAAATAATTCAAATTCGATTAAATTTGGAAAATTAAGAAGTTTTGTCCATATCTTCATGTTACTTTCTTTTCGTTTATAATAACTTTCCAATAATCATTTTAATGTCACTTCTAGATTGTTTTTAGCTTGGCTATTGATTTTCTTTATTTTGCTTAATCTCCTCATGAGCACTATGATTGTTGTTACATCTCACCTTTTAAATATTATTTTCATTCATCCTTAAAGTTACACAAGGATAAACTGATTAAGTACTATTTTTCAAAGTATTTAATTAATTTTAAGTGAAAATTGGTACTTGTAAACTATTTAAGGAGGAATTATTTGTTGGTTATTTTATAGAATTAGATTGTTGATAGCTTATTTCATTTAATCCTAACATCTTACTTAAATTTGAAACTGAACTTTTTAATCCCACCTATGATACAGATCGTTAATATTATTATTCAGATTATCTGCATTAATTTTACTTTAATAATTGTTTACAATCTAATTATCTATTGGTAATATTTGGATTCAATTATTTTAATATTCTTTATTTAGAAGACTCCTCTTTGAGATTGTTATTAGAATCTAATTGAAATGACTCTTAATTTTATTAAAATAAACTAGCTTCTTATAATAATGAATTCAAATTATAATTATTACTTGTTGGAATTGATAGAGTAGATTATGATTTTTGTTTTTTATTTTTTAATATATTAAACTAATCTATAGACATGGGTATTCCATCATTAAATTTACATGATTTTTCAATTGATTAATTATTTTATTATTATTTCTAAGTGAAATTAAATGATTAATTTGAAGAATTCTTAACTTATTAATTATAATTTATTATTCCCTTTGAATCTTGACTGCCAATATGAAAACTCTTACATTAAACTGGACTGTCATAAGATTATAAGGAACTTTTGATCTTGACTACATCAACACTCCTTTTTTTTGAAGTTGATTCATGATAATATATGCTTTCCTTCAACATAGGATCTCTTTATTGTTTTTTGAGTTCATTAACTTATTACAATAAGATTTATCTTTCATATTGAAATTATGATTATAATACAGAATTCTGATCCTTAAGCTATTAAATTTAATCTTCATATTATTTTTTGATATTAACTATATCTATATTTTATTCAATATGCTATTGATATTTTTTGATAGTGTTCTAGCATTTACTTATTCTTAATTGTAACTATTCCTTTTCTTTTTCATAGAGCAATGACAATTAAGAATACTTTGATTCATAATCTGATTGTCTTACTTAGCTATCTTATATATTTAGATCCTTTATTTTTTATAATTCTTATTCAAACTGATTTTTATATTGTTACTCTCTTTATTTAAAGCTCTCTTCAAATTTGAGCATTTATTCCTTGAGCTTTGCATATTCTTAATTAGTCTACAACTTTTCTTATTCCAATTATACAATTCTATGATCATATTGATAATATTGCTTTTAGAATTATAGTTCCATCTCTTTTCCTTATTAATCTTTTTCATGTAATTACTCTGTTAATGACCTAATCTATTATATTAGAATCAATAAATTACTTAAAGTTCCAGAGACTTAATTTACTCTTTGAACATGGTTTTGTTATGATCTTTCTGTTAAATATCGACATTTTTTTATAATTCTGACACAGATCTCTATAATAATGTAAAAGAAGTTATTACTTTTTACATTGTAGAAGAGTCATTTATAGCTTATGATATGGTCTCATTCAATTTTTTATAATTGGATTCCCTGGACTTATAGTCTTCTAATTAAAGTTCTAGTAATTATATTTTTTATTCTAAAACTGCTTTATCTTTCTTCCATTCATTTTCCTTTTACATTAACTTCGTAAATGTTATATTGATACATATTTTCTTAATTTGATTATGTCATTCTCTTCAAAAAAATTAATTGAAGTATTAAGCATTCAAAAAAAGTATAACGATTATATGATTTATTAATAAAACCAAAAAGGAAAGACATGAACAATAAAATTAAATCTAGTCTATTAGTTGAAATATAACTAAGTTACTTTTTTCTTAATTATTAAAAACACTAATTTCATTGTATCAAAACTATCATTTAAGAAATTAAGGTGGTTTAATCTTAACTTTGAAATTTAAGTACACTTTATCATATGTTTTTAAACTAAAATAATTTTTAGTTAAATCGATAAAAAAGAATATTTTGATTTTATAGAATGCTATTTCAAATATAAAATAAATAAAGAATGATTAAGAAAATAATTCATTGTTCATTTAAGTTTCCAATTTAAGATTAAATCAATACTAGATATACATAGTGTATGACTAGAATTGATTCTCTATTAGTTTTTCTATTAATTAAATAATGTTTGTAAGTATTTTACTATTTTATGTAGAATATGCTTTCGCATAAAGTATTACTCTTGTTGACAATTTTCAGAATTCTTGGGTGATCTATAGCGAGGAATAAAAATATAATGATTAATTTCATTGGGATGATACTTCCTGTTGTACACCTCCACAATTAGAAATTATTAATGCCACATCAATCTCTAATTATTAAAATACCTTACAAGTTATTTTGGATGGTTATATCATAGAGAATCAAGATGTTAAGTATAAAAACTTAGGATTTCAATAATCAGGAAACTATACATTTATTAATTAGACTAATATTGAGATTGAAAACATTTGTGAGAAAGAAAAATCAGATACAGAATCAATAGAATCAGGAATGGCTTAATTTGAAATAGGAATGATTAATACATAGTCAAATTAAAAACTATATCTTACCTTTTAATATTGGTTTATATGTTAGTATATTGAATTTAAATCGCCATAATAAATAAAAATCAATTTTGTTTCATCTATGATAATAATTGCACTAATTGGATGTTTTTTTGTGTGGATTTTTACTAAGATGGCTAAAATTAGATCTTTAAAAATTGAGATTGATCTCAATAAATATCCATTCTTAAATAGATTAATTGCAAGTTAATAATTTTAGTTAGAAGATCAAATACTTTATTTTTAAGGATTTGTAGTGAATTGGATATTGTATTTAGTGTATATATTGGCATCAATATTGTTTTATGTTGTTGTTCATTTCATAAGTGCTTGGTATGAAGTAGTTATGATAATGTGCTTAATATTTGCTTTATTTTGTTGCTGGTTTTTATTCAATGAATTACAATGCTTTTTATCTGTTAATTTAAAATTGTAAGCAGAAGTATTTAAATCAATAAGAGTATGTGATTGCATATCCATTTTTTTATCAGTTTTATTTGTAGTTCTCTATTTAACATTGGGTTAGGCTTGGTATATATCAAATTTTATCACATTTTGCATAACTGGATCTCTGCTTAGATTATTTAAGGTTACAAATTTAAGAGGAGTTACTATTTTATACTTAGCCATAATGCTTTTTGATTGCATATATTATTTTGTTCTTTTGACAAAAGTGTTCTCTGTTAATTATCAAATTGTTGTCTTGTAAGTAATAATAATTTATTAATAAATAAGTACTCCAATTATCCAGTGCTTTTTTAGATTCCTTAATTTAGATACAATTACTTAAAGGTTTGTGTTTGGTTATCATTAATGGATTTAGTGATTCCAGGGATATCCATTTCTTATTTATATAGATTTGATAGAAACAGAAATTCTAGAGTTTATTTTATAATAGGATTAGTGGGTCTCTTTTTTGGGATAGTATGTTGGCTATTAGGTACATTATCATCCTCTAAAAATGGTATATAACTCCCTTAATCAATATTTGTATACCCATTGATAATAATATTTACATGTCTTTGGGCAATTAGATAAGGTGATTTAAGAATAATTTGGTATGGATAATTTTATGATAAATATGTAAATATAAAATTTATATATATAGCTAATGGATAATTTTATAGTTGAATACAATCCTGAAACATCAAAGGCTCAACTTGAAAAATCTAATTTAGAAAAAGAATAATTAACTTCTTTGATGAATGGTCTCAAACTGGAATATGAGCTTTGAATATATTTGATTACTTATATAAATAAGCTCATTTTTTTTTAAATTAAAATAACTTTTCAATTTATATAATAATAATTATTGAAAATAATTAATTATCTTTAGAAATATTGTAGATAACAACTAAAATAAAAAAAAATATTTTATATTAATTCATCCATCTTTTCTTCTAAAGAATAATAGATATGGAGTTTCTTCTTTTCTATAATAATAAGATTATTAATAAATTACTTGAAATTTCTTTACACTTTATCAAAATCTCTATCAACCTTAGTTACAATGCTATCATCAAATCTATACCATTCATCTTTAACCTTACAATATACAGTATAATGACCTGCATCTGGTATTTCTCCAAAATGTATAATTATTGAATACAATTCATAAGTTAATTATTTTTAATTTTCTTTGATTGATATGGTTGGTTTTAGATTGATTTAATCATTTATTTTAGATCTCATTCCTTATTGAAAATCAAATCTATTAATTTAAATAATTAAATTTTTAGGTAATTTTGAAAATTCTAGAGTTCTAGTACTTTGACTAGTATTTTTGCATTATTCACAATTAAATGTAATTTGTTCTTTCATTTAATGTCTTAATATCATTTTTTCAATTTCATCTTTTTCTTTTCTATTGTTTTCAAAATTCAATGTGATATACATAAATTCTTCATCTGGTCCTTTGGTTGGTTTTTCACATTTTTTACATTAGAATGTTGATTTTGACATTCCATAAAAAATGTCTTTGATTTTTTTCTATAAATAAATAATATTTTTTTTGTTTTTACATATTCTTCTGGATCAAAATTGTTTTCCATATCTTCAAATAAATGAACACCAAATTCAGCTGCATCTTATTATCTAACATCTGTTTTATAAGGTTCTCTTAAAGATCTTTTTAATAATAATGGTGTATAATCAATTTCATCACTCATTGAATCTAAGAATAAGAAGCACTAATATATATTATAATTATATAATTACTCTAAGGAAGTTTGTTTTTAAACTAAATGGTTTTAGAAATACAACTTCTTCTCTTTTAAATTCATTAATAATAAGATTTCTAAAATCTATAGTCCAAAATAGTGCTTAGATAAAACTGTTTAAGTAGCATGCTTAAAAGAAAAATATAAAATATTCTTACTATTTAATAAATTTCTTAAACCTACTAATTTTTAGGTTGGTTATTTTTCCTCAATTTATGAATTTTCCTCATTAAACCAAATTTGTATTTATTCATTTTAAATTAATTAATTTGAATGTGATGATGGTATTGAAATATATTTCTTCCTTAATTTTCCCTCTAATTATTCATAATTTTTTATATTTTTTTTCTTTAAATTTTCTGGTAATAATGCAAGGAAATTAGCAATTCTTTATAATTATTTATCACTGTATAATTCAAAATTCTTATAATAATTATTGATAATTTCAGTAAAATGTTATTAATCTAATTATTGATCACCTACTTATTAAAAGGATGAAATTAAGAAATAATTAAATAGATTTTAGATCTAATCAAAACAATTGATAGTTTTCATATACTTTATTAGATTTGGTATAAGATTCTTTCTCATCTCTACTAAAATCTCTGTTTAATAGTCTTTAACAAATTATTTGCTAAATTTCAATATTAATTCTAGTGTTTATTGTGTAAGACCAAAATTTAACATAGATTCAAACATCTTATATTCAAATTTATAGCATTTTCCTAAATACTTACCAAAATACTTAAATATATCATCAATATATGGGATCTAATTAATATAATTTATTTACTTTGAACATAATTATTCTTGCTATCATATTAGGTTATACAAAATCTGTAGGTTTTTCCATATAAGTTGAAGCATTTAATATTGATTCCATTACTATAGTCCATAAATAAGGTGATGTAGAATCATCAAGAAGTTTTTGCAATTTATCTAATATGGATAATAATTGACTATCTCTTCCTATTGTAGTATTGTTTCCTGTAAGTAATAAGGCATTTAAGATGACATCAAAGATTTATGTGAAATGAAATGAATCATTACCAAAATCTATCAATAAATTTACTATTATTTTTATGATGTTGCTTATTTCAATATAATCATCCTTAGTTTTGCATTTCATTGCTTCATCTAACAAGAAGGCTTTCTCTAAGTTACCTTATTATTATAATTCATCTATCTATGTTCTGATATTTTCTCTAAACTCTTTGTCTTTATTTGATATTTTTATTTATTCTTGATTATAAAAATATCCCAAGATAGCCAAAGATTTACATGTCTTAATTATTTAAACTTGATCTTAATCCATTAAAAGAACCCTTTATCCAGATTTTTAGATTGCTTAAAATATCTGAGTCATTATTTTATAACCAAGTACATTCTTAATTTAAAAATGAATAGTACATTTTAGATTTTATTACACTCAAGTAACAAATTCTTAAGATCATCATTTTTGTTACTGAAATCTAATTTGTTCTCTAATTTTTTCTATATATTCTGATAAAAAGTTTAATCCATTTCAATATTATTTTATTGTAATTATTAATATAGAAATATAATAATTATAAGAAAAGAAGATAAGATGGAATTATATTGTTCAAATATATATATATATATTTTATCTGTATTTTTAATTACATTATGTTTATTAATTGAATTATAGAATGGTTTTTATAATTTAAATTGTTATCATTAGTCTTTAAGTTAGAATTAAAACAACGTAAATAATTAATATAAAATAAATGTACATTGCATTTAGACTAGATGAAAGAGTTAATCTCTATGTTGTTGAATAAGAATTTGTTAATCCTTTTTGCAATTTAGAGAAAACAACCACTATTGATTAAATAGAAAGTACATTAGAGAGCTTAAAATAATATAATATAAGTGCTATTATAAATTGCATTGATAATGATCAATCCATGAAAGCATATGGAATACACTATTTAAACATACATATAAATTTATAGGATCAATTAGAATCTTCAAGATTATTCTTACATGTAAATATGTTTTCTAAAAAGAGTTTTGGACTAAAATAAAAAAATGTTCAGTTGCTATTTACTGTGAAAGCAGCATGTAAAAGAGTATAAAAGTTCTTAAACACTATTTGAAGCATCTTTATTATTGGGATGAGGAACGTGTATAAAAAGTATTTAAAAATTAATATTAGGAAATACAAGAGTAAAATTAATTGAATTAGAATAATTTTTAAGATAATTTATCAATATCAAGTCAAAAATCTTAATCACAAAAATCTTCTATAATCGATTAAGCAATACCAGATTTAAACAGAAAGAATTAAATAGATTGGACTAAAATATATGGTTCTTAGATATAAATAGACTAATAAACCTAATAAGCTAGAAAGATTTAATCCAGATTCATTCAAAGCTCGATACTAAAACAATAATGATTTCTAATTAAAATTTAAATATTATATTAAAATTTCATTTTTATTTTTAATACATAAGTCTATAAATAATCTAATTTTAATATTATTTAAGAAGCAGGACTAACTTGAATTTTAATATTTGAACTTAATCAAATTTTATTTAGAAAATTTAATTATTTATAATAACTTAGTATGAAATTTAGAAAGAATTTAATAATCCATAATCTCAGTACTCTTATTATATAATAGATTCAGAAAATTAAGTTTATGTCTTACTATAACTAAAATAATCTTAATTCACTTCCTTTAGATATTACTTTTACTGGTATATATTTACAAGATCCAATTATTCAAGAATATGGGATATTGTTATTGGCCAAACTTATTTAATAATTTAGTTCTGTTTGATTAAAAAAAAATAATGAACGGTTTTAGGCGAAAGTTGAAAATTAATAATAATCAAATTTAATTTTTTATTATAAATAATATAAGCAAGAATGTTATAAGAGAAGGTTTTGACAATGAATATAAATTCCACAACCGTTGCCTTTATAAATTTTGATTATTTAATATCTAATGAAAAAGAAATCAATTAAGATTAATTAAAAAGTTTTATTGATGATAAGAAAATTAATCTAATTATAACAACAAGAACTAAAGAAGAATTAAGATTTATGAAAAATATACGCATCATAAAAATAGATTAGAAGGAGGATGAAGAGAGTATTTATAAAGCAAATATTGAGATTTAAAAGCACAAAGGGAACTTTTTTTACTTATTTGATAATTATATTGCAATTTTAAAATATATAATATGTTTGAAAATAACTTACAACTATATATCAAAGATTCAAAATTTAGATAAAGTAATGATTAATTAAAATTTATTTTAGGAGACAAAAAGAATTATAAAAGATTTTGGATTACAATCTTTTTTTGAATCCTATAATATTTATTTATCAAATGAAAGCACTAATATATCTGATATTTAAATAATTCAAGAATAGTATAATTTACCTACACCTATTTCAATTCCAGAATTCAAAATAGAATAGGATAACAAATGGATTAATTGAATTTATTATGCTATTAGCATATTATATTTATATAAAGCATTTTATTATATAAAATATTTGTAATTTTTAAAATCTTATTTTTTACCATTATTCCTAAATATTAATGTAATAATATAGAATTTTTAAAATGATTAATAATAATTATAATTTTACATTGTTTATTTGTGAATAAAATACTGCCTGACTTTTTATATAAAAGATATATTAAAATTTTAATGCTATGCATATATATATATATTTGATTATGTTTCAAAAGATAGGTCTTTTTGATCCTCTGTGATCGTAAGTATACACTGTTAAATATTACATATAGTCAATTATACTGCCTAGAGTTCTTGGGTCTTGAATCTAAAAATATATTAATTCAAAGTACTCCATCAAATTGCATGTTAGTATCTAAAAACATTTTCTCTGGATTTTATAAGAAATCCCATAATAATTTTCTTGTCCAATACAATCTTCTTGCTCTTAAATCCCATCCATAATTAGAAAATTTCTTGTTTGATCCCAATCTTCTTAAAAAAGCATTTCTCAAAGCTGGTCCTTAATCAAGATCACTATCTTTGAAAATAGATTTAAATAAATACCTAAATCATGACAACCAGCACATGCTTAACCATACATCACCTTACCAAATTCAAGATCCCCATTTGGAATATCAACATCAATGTCATCATCATTGTGACAATGAGAAACTCTTTTGAATGTTGGTTCAATAAATCCTCTTATTTCATATCCATTTCCAGTCTCTGGATGTATAACTTTAGGTTTTCTATAAGACATCTTTTAATAAAATATTAATATTGGACAATAAAATACTTATTTAAGATTTGAACTACTTTACTTTATAAAAAATACTAAAAGAAACAATATAAAAAATTATAATCTAGATATATTTTAGAATTCGAACTTAAATTAATGAAAAACTTACACAATTATGTGAGGTATTTCATAATATACACACAATTCTTTCTATTGGTATAAATTATTCAATATTTCATTGTCAATCAAATAATGATTCAGGAACATTAGATCGTTTTACTTATTATCTTTTCCTTTATTAATTCATTTAAATTTCACTTCCTTTATTTTGATTAGTACTTTTAATCTATCTAAACATTTGATTATCTTATAAAATTTAATCTTCTCCATTATTTATATCCTATACATCTAAATCATTTTATTTGATATTATTTATTCTCTTATTTTAAAATTAATCATTTATTTATTGTTCTTTTTCCTAATTAGTTTATTCCTAAGTAGAATTCTTAAATGAATTGTTCTCTATGATTTATTATTAATAAGATCTAGTCTAATTTGTATCTCCAATATTATGAGCTTCACTTTAAACTTAGAATTATTCAACTTCTTCTTAAATTTCTGTATTCAAAGCTTCTTTATTTCTACGAATTTATGTTGAACCAGAATCTGCATTAACCATAGTACCAATAGTCTAAGCATCATTTTCAGATGCCCAATATTATTGATTGAATGTTTGAATCTCATTTGTTTAAGAATTTGTTTAATAATTATGTTCAAACATATATTATTTGGCTAAAAGATCTTATATCTAACCAATCTCATCATCTAAATTAATACTTATAGAATTAGATTATTTTAATTTAAGAACAGTATCTTTTCTATAATCTAAATTAAATCTAATTTATTCTAAAAATTCTTTGTGTTTTTATTGATTAGATAATTAATTTTAATAAACTTATTAAAATTAAGCCTTTTCTATTAATGATAATTCTTTTAAATGGGCAAGTAATTATTGTTGTTGTTATTCATTTTATTAAAAAGTTAATTTTAAAATATTATTTTCATTGATTAATTATTAAATAAGATTTTAACAGTTAAGGTTTTAAATTTCCAAATTCTCTTATTGAACTTAATTTTCTATTTAGATTTTATAAAATTATTCTGTTAAATTTTTATTTTAATCTATCAATTGATTTATTTACTTTTCATATTATAAATCTCTTTTATCAATAAAATTAAAAAATTCTTCATAATTATGAGGTAATTATTCAATATTTACTTATTTTTATTGTTAAATATCTTTAATATGTTATTATTAATGTTAATCAATAACTTTTTAATATATTTATTGTTCAAAATGATGAGTATGAATGTTATTGGTTTCTTATTTTAGATTCTAAATATGATTTTATTAATCTTTTTGAATATTATCATTTTACACATTTGTTTGAACTGCAAATTCAGCTAATTAATGATCTACTTATTGATCTAAAATTTCATTTTGATTTTTAGCATTTATTAATTATTATTCCTATATTTAAAAACTACATTCATGATCATAATATTTTTATTCTTCTTCTTATATTTAAGAATCTAAAATTTCAGTTTAAACATTTTCTTTAGGTCCATCTATTTAAGGATCATCTTAGAGAAATTCTTAATTTAATACATTGTCAGAAGGCAATGGACTATTTCCAAATTAATCATCTTATAAATTATTTTATTTGATTTCATTAATTTATAGTTCTTCAATATTAGGAAAATCATTTCCTTCAACAAAATCTCTTTATTTTTGATTATATTCAAAACTCTAAATATAATATATAATTTATACATAATCGATATATTCTTCAAATTATTAAATGGGTTCTTCTTAAGGAGCAAAATCAATTTTCTCTGTTTCTGTTATTGGTTGAGGATGTTCTTCAATATTTTATTGTTTAATTTCAGATTGTATCAATTCAGTAGGTTTATTTTAGTCAAGTTAATTAAAATTTTCTACATTAACTTACTCTTTTTATTGTTATTATGAATTAATTTTTAAATCATTATTTGATTCCTTTTGTTTTTCATTAGAATTTTAAGAAAGATCTTTATCCATAACTATTCTCTATACTAATCTATTGGAGACATTCTTTTGAGGAAATTATCTATTATTTTGTTCTAAGAATGTTTGGATTGAATTTTCATTTAACTTAGACATATCAAATGCCATCAACTCTAAAGGAGTCATAATATTTTACAATAGAACCTATCGAATAAATTGTCCTAAATTTGTAATAATAACTTACCTTTGGTGCCATTTAATCTAATTTTGACTGTATTTAATCTAGTTCTATACTCTCTAGTATTCTCACCACCTGATAATTCAAAAGCTGCTTATTCAAGCTAATTCGAAAATTATTAAGCAACATCTGTTTGTATTTAATCTTCTTCAAATATTTTAATCAATTCTGAAATTTAATTCTGTCTAACCTTTTTATCTTATTCCAATCTATTATTTACTCTTGTTTCTCTAAACATTATTAAGGTTATTAATAAAAAAGAAAAATAAACTTAATTATTTTTTTCAATCTCATTTAGTAAAATAATTACTTTATGGATTTTGAGTATTTTGAAAAGTAAGATGATGATGATGATGATATGAATGTTGAATTTGATGAAGAAGATATAAAATACAATATAGAAGATTCAAAGAAACCTATAGAAAAAGAATTGGATGATTCTGAGATTTCATAAATAGAAATGAAAATTAATAAAATGAAAGAAGAAGAATAATATTTTGATTAAGATTCAGATGAAGAAACTAGAAAGAAATTAACTAAAATAAAAGAATGGAAAAGACATTTTGGAAATTATATTCCCTTAATTTTCATTAATGATGAACCAATATTTGCAATTAGTCCATAATGGATAATCAATCTATTTGTAATTATTGCACTATTTGTCATTACATATTTTCAATTTACAAAACCTAAATAAAAAACCATATAATTTTGCATTACAATAATAATAAATGTGTTAGAACTTTTAGGGTATATTATTGCAGCTCTTATCAATCCTGGAATTAATACTTCCCTTTAAGAAACACTCAATAGACATAATAATTGTTAAGTATTTATTATTTATCTATATATAATAGATATGTGAAATTGTTCATTATAGAAAAGACACATATCATTGTGAGACTTGTAATGTATGCATAAGAGAGTTTCATCATCATAGCAATTTTTTAGGAAGATGTATTGGATAAGGCAATTTATTCTATTACTACCTCAGTATCCTATTTTTGCCTTTGTTTCTAATCAATTTAATAGTATTATATGTGTTTTGAATTACAGTAAAATAATATATTTATATTAAATCATTTGAGTTTCTATGATTATGGTCTTATTCTGAATCCTTAACTTGTGACTGCTCTTTGGGCACTTCCACTTCTTTTTTAAGTTTTCCATTATACATTAGTTTGAAATGCAATTTTTAATTAAGTTTCAACTTCAATATCAAAAGCTTTTGGATTTTCTTTTGCAAATGGAGGCTTATAAATTCCAGGTTGAGACTTAGTTGATGTTAAATGATGTAAATTAATAGCTAATTTCATGAATTCTTATTTGGCAGCTTATTCATGTCTTATTTTTTCTTCTTCTTTTTCTTATTCAGCTTTTGAACGTAATTCTTGTAAAAAGTTTTGATTTTTAATATTCATTAATTCAAGTTACTTTTTTCTTAAGTAAAAATCATGAACATATTTACGATATATATATCCTCTGAAATATCTTTATATTGTTTATGCTTAATGAAATAAATATATAATCTAATGAAATATGAAAATAATAATTACATTTCTTCTATTTCTACTTTCACTTAATTTCTATTTTACTAATTATCTTGCAAGATAAGCTCTGCAATATTTTTGAATTGTAATTGTTGCATTTTGATTTTTTTTGTAAGATTTATGTAACACATACATTCTATAATATGATTGTATTTTAGTTGCTTATTTATTATCAATTTCATAATTTGATTCCATTTATTCTACTTAATCATAATAGAGTTCTATAATATTTTGTAAAAGTTTCTTTTTGTTAAACATATATATTATTAATATTTTTATATATTTTTAATTGAATTAATTCCTATATTACATATCAATAAGTTTCATCTCATTAATTTTTAATTAAAAATAAGTAAAAATGCTACCTAATTTAAGAAATCTGTAAAAAAGAAGACCAACTGCTATAACTCCTGACACCTCTTAAAAAAGGATGCTATTATAAAAAAGTGAGCATCATGATATTTACTCTTTAAAATCTTAAATTGAATCTTTATAAAAACAACTAGAATATGTTTAAACAAATAAATCATTTGTAATGAAGATAACTTCTCCACCTTCATGTACATAATGTTCAAAATTTAAAGTAACTATCTATTATTATTTTGCAGCAATAATTAGATCTTTAATAATTGAATGAAAAAATTACAAAAAGAAATTATGATCAAAAAATTGATGAATTACATAAATAATCTCAAAAAGTTATTCTAACTAAAGGAAAAACTATAGAAACAGATTCAAGGTATGATGATTTACTATTTAAATTGAAATAAATTTATTAATACGAACTTCTATTTGCTGAAGACAATACTATTAATATAAATAATATATAGAAAATATAATTTTCATACAGGAACTCTAAAGAACAAAATCAATAATCTATTTAGTAATTGTTATTACAACTTGAAGAATAAGATTAAATTATCAAAAAGTAATCCATCTCAATTAAAAATTACAATTCATAAATTGATTAATTGAATAATGTCATTTCAAATCTTCAAAATTAATTAGACAATCTTAAAAAATAGTTAAAAGATCGTTAAGAATTAAACAAAAAAACTTTGTAAACTTTACCTAATGAAGTATCTCCAAAATTAAATATCGACTCTTAATAAGATAAATCTATCTTATAATAATTATTATTTTAGAATTAATCTCTAAAAGAAAAATTAATTTAATAGAATCATTAAATTGATAAATCTGCATAAGAAAATTAAATCTAGAAACATTTATTGAGAATAGAAGTTTTGGAGACTGAACTCAAATTAAGTCTTCGATGTTGTAGATGCTAAAATCTATTTGAAAAACCTAGAACTTATATTCCATGTGGACATTCTTGTTGTGAAAAATGTTATAAATATAAATGTGATTCTTGTGATACAGAAGCTGTCTATAGAAATAGACAATTTGATGAATTGATAAGAGTCTATTACATTATTAAAGATACCAAAACATTTATTCAAGAATGTCTATTGAGATTATAAGTTTGATATTATATCTTATATTTAATATCTAATATAAGGATTATGTTAATTTTTAATATCTATATCTAATCTAAGATTATTATTTTTATATTTAATATCTAATCTAAAATATAAAATTAATATAAATCCTATGAAATATCTCATTATTTTATTCATAATTATAATTTTATAATTCTTATCTAATATAATGTTTGTGTCTACAAATAATACTCCAAAAAATAATAAAAAAGGAAACACCTCATATAATGATGAATAAAGAACGATTGAAAGGCTCAGATTTCTATTGAAAAATGCCATTTAGGTATATCCAAAAGTAAATAAATAAATATAGCTAAACGATGAATTGGAAAAGAAAAATGCTTTACTTCTATATAGAATAGAACAATAATAAAATTAATCTTAATAATCAATTTAACAGGATGATTATAAACAGTAGATTGTTAAACTCTAATCCTAATTATCTGAAGCATAATTAGAGAATCAACAACTATAGTAAAGTTTAAAAAATCTCAAATAATAAGGTATGATATATAAATAATGTATAAAATCAAGGAAATCAAAATCCATAAAATAATAAGAAAAATTTTGAGTTGATTCTCTAAGATTGTGCCATCTCATAAGTAGAGAAACAATTTTATGAATACTTTGAAAAATCATCAGCTATCTTATAAGAACAAATGATTTTAGAATTCTAAAACAGATTAGAGAAATATTAAACAAAATATTAAATAGTTGAAATACATAAAATTACAAGCTTCACAAATTTAGATAAAACTAAATGTATAGAATCATAATAAAGAGAAATTGATATTCTTGAATCAAAATTAAATAATACAGAAAAAGAACTTAATGAACTTAAACGTACAACAATTTCAATGTAATTTTAGGTGTTCTAGAATCATATTAGTAATAATAATCAATGAAATAAAGTTAATAAGATTAAGTTCATGATTTTTTCAATTCAAACTAATTTGAAATTTTTACTTCTAGACTAAATAATAGTTAAGGAATGGATGAATGTTTAAGTAACGATAAAAGGTGGATAGATATTGATAATAATTAGCTTAAAACAGATGAGCGTAAATTAATCCAATATGAAAAGACTATAGAGAATTAAAAATTAGAGATAGAAAATCTTTAAAACAAAGTATCTAATATATCTAAAGTAAGATTTTTTAAATACTTTCTAGAAAAAACATTAATTAAAATTACAAAATTAAGAACTTTCAACTGTTTTATATTAATAAGCAGAAACCTGTTAAAGAATTATATCTAATTTGTAAGCTAAAATTGAAAAATAAGTACTTTAATTACAATATTATACTTCTATATAATAAATGAGAAATAAATTAAATCAAGTAAATATTAATATTATATCATAGTAATAATCTTAACATAGTGTATAAAGTAGTTAATAAATTGATATAAGAAAAAAATTCACATATCATTCTCCTAATGCTAACAATTCTCCTGTTTCCATTGCTAAATCTTAGACTAATAATAGATCCCTTAAAAAAGTAATTATATATTATAATATTTAAATAGTAAGATTCCTCTAATGATTAAACTACATGGATCATTAAAACTACAGATGCATCATTAGTTAAGAAATTAGATAAAAAGGATTCTTAATCAGAAAGTACAACTGATTAGGTATTAAAACCTACTAAATTGTCAACACATTTATAAGAAGTGAAGAAATCTTTAGATTAGATCTCAAATGTTAATTGCACTTAAAAATTATTAAAAGGATACTATTTTGTATAGAATAAACCAATATTGACGTTAGATGATTTTTGAATTTGTTTTATATGTAAACTTATTTATTTTAATAAAAAATACTGATAAAACATTATTATATCTCAACACTTAAGAGCATTTAAATAATTATTCCACTCTTATTATATTTAATTATTCTATTCAATTATCTTTTGATTTTGAATATTTAAATACTCTTAAATAAATATATCTAATTTTGGATGATGTTCTAAGATTTCTCCATCTTGATTTCTAATAAATTGACCATCATAAAATTCTCCATTCTCTAATCCAATGATTCTATTTTAAAATTCAATTTCTTTGATAATTTCTTTTGATAAATCATTCTTAGTCAGTAAAGCTTATAAAGGTTTCATTTTTTATATTAATTCTCCTATATATTATTAACAAATATCTTTTGATATATTTTAACCAACCATAAAAAACCCTAAATTAGAATGAGTATCCCAACCAACATAAGAAGGTATTTAAAGTTTAGTACCATTAATTAATTGTTCTTTAAGTAGAATATTGACAGATTTGACTTGTCTTTCAACAATATAATTATTATTGGATGTATATTCATATAATTTATCTAATTAACCTTCAAATCTGAGAAATGCTTTAAGATATGATAATTATGGTTTTAATGGAGAATTGAATTCTTTAACTCTAAAAATGAATTTATCAATTTCAGAAAGTTTATCATAATTAGCTGTTTATACTTTTTATGATTATGAAGTCTTAAAGAGTTCTCTTAAGATTTTTCTGAATGTTTTCATACAAGGAATAGAATTATGAATAAATACTTTTTGATATGAAACTATTTGACTTTTATATGATGCCAATTTGCTTCTAAGAAATATATTTTGAGTTGAATTGTATGATGTACATTAATATATTTCTTTAGCTACAGATGATTAGATCATATTATTTGTAATACGAAATATATTAGATTTAATACATACAGTTCTAAAGATCTTAAAATATTCTTCAACTTCAGATTCCTCATTTCCAAAAGAGTCTAAAATTGTAAATTAACAATAACCAGGTAGACTTTGACTAATTAAATTATCACTAAAAAGATATCAATAACTTTACATAGGTTAGCAATTCTCATTTTAATAAATATTATTAATATTGATTTTATTAACTACATTCTTAATATATACATATTAACTAAGTTTTCCATTACATAATTAATGCACTATAATATCAATAGACAAATAAAATGGTATAACACATATACATTACTCTTTTGAATATTTTAATTGATTTTCTAATTTATTGAGCCATCCCTCTTCATCTAAAATTGATTATTCCAATAAACTGAAACTCAATACCTATGCTTTTTGATTAAAATCACTTGCATATCTTTACAAAGATTAAGCAAATTTATTCTTACCACTACTATAGGTACCTGTAATTAAGATAATACCAATTCTATTATCTATTTATTTAGATTCATCTTGTAAAGCTAAATAATTTAATAATTTGAGATCACTTTTGACTTATGTTAAAATAACTAATTATTTTGATTCTAAATAATCTAATAAAAATGAAGATTCTTTAATCATGTTTCCTAATAATGGAACTTTTTAATCTTTCTTTAAAATTATCTATCCTAATCTAGTTAATTAGAATTCCTTTGGATTCTCTGTGTAATCTACTTTAATTTCCTTATCTTTTAGAATATTGATCATTTTCATATAGACTTAATCAACTGATTTACCCACAAATTCTAATGCTATAGTCTTGGCTTATAAAGATGCACAAATAATAGGTTCAGTCATAAATATCATCCAAACAGATTCCAATCCCTAAGTAAATTTAATCTTCTTCATTTAATCAAACAAAATAAAAAACCAACCCATTTCACTAGTAAAAATTCTGATTCCATTTTCATGTAATATATATGAAGCTATTTAAATTGGAATTTCTAATAAAGCATGTTTAGATGGAATAAATAATCTATTTTTATCAACCTTATCTGAAATCTACTAACCCAATTTTTCCAAAGGTAATTTCTTTTTAACTTTCTCAATATCATCTGAAAATCTAGCATCAGTGTTAATAATTTAAAGATGAGGAATATTACTAGTAATAATGTAATAACAATTTTCTTAGAGAATAAATGAATCAGAAAAAATTACATTCCCTAATATGATTCCATCAACAACTTAAGAGGGAATATTCTTATATTCTAATCTTATTGAAAAGAATTAAGGTGTTAATTTAAAAGATATAGGATCTTTAAAATTAATTGGCATTTCATCACCAAAAGCATTGTAACTAGTTACAGTAATGATAAGATTATCTTTTAGAAATTATAACTTATAATTATTTAATGTTGGATTCAATCTTTCTTCACATAATTCAAATATTAATTAATTAGTCATCTTTCTATAATCTTAACATATCATTTATAAGGCAGAATAAAAACTTTCAATTAATATTTTATAAATTTCAATTAATAAACTTAAATAATAATTATAAAATACCATTCGTCTTTATGATATGAATGTTCAATTATTTAATATTGATATTCCTTAACAAAATGTTCAAAATCATCATGTATAGGTATGATAACATTTTCTCTATTCACTTATTTTGTAAGAAAATATGTTCTAGAAAAACGAAGAGAAGAAAATAAATCACTACTCTCTATTGTTAAATGTAATGGTAATTTCTCTTAGGAACTACAATTTCCAAAAGTGACTGTAGGAGTTAATTTATTAGATCTTTTAACATATTTATTCTCTTCAATTTCAAATGTATCTAGGAATATTTCAACCATTTATTCACTTGTAACTAGAGGTCTTTTTTTGATTGCAATTTCTGATAATAATTATAAAGATCCTGAGACATGACCATTTAATCTTTAAGATACTACATTAATTAAATTTTTCATTGAATGTTTGTCATGTGGTTTATATAACTAATTTATTCTTTCAGTCATATTCACAATTTCATATTGCATTGAAAAAAATCCATTTCCTAATAATCCATAACCTTATATGATAGGCCATTTTTCTATATTTCTATTTTTCTCTTATGGAAGTAATACACCAATTCTTTTTAATCCTTACATCATTTTCACAAATTGAGCCATTTTTAAAACTTCACTTTCATCTTTGTTATCATCCTCTTTTATTGTAGGGACAAATAATTTAAGATTTGGCATTTATAATAAATAGGGTTTTAATTGTTTAAAACCTTATTAATCACAATATGCTCTTATATGATCTTTAGTTATTACAAATATTGTTTCACTCAAAGTGTTATCCAAATATTCATTTGTTTCAATCTCAATTCCACTATAACCCAAAAATACCCAATTCATTAATTTAGTATACTCATAATTCTCTTTTGAGTCTATTCCATTAATAATTAATAAACCTAAAGAAATAAAATTATAATTTTATTACCATCTACATTTTCTTTTAAACATACTTTTTCTATCTTTTTTATTCTGTAAAATGAATCATATAAATGAAACTTTGAATCAGGGTTCTCTAATCTTTAAAAAAATTGAAGCATAAAAATATTAATATATAATATATATATATATATAATCAAAAGGAAAAAATGTTGATAAAATCCAGAAAAGATACCTTTCCATCTCTATCAGTATCCAGTCTATTGAATAATAATTCCAAGTCTTCTAATTCTGGTTACACTTATTACTTATACAAAAATGAATCAAGCTAATAAAATAGTATTTAAATATATTTACATCTTTTAAACTGATTTCATTATCATATGAATCTTCATCAATCATCATAAATAAGTATTTAATATCACATTATTAATTTTATTTCATTTCTTAATTGGCTTATTCAAATAAGAGTTCTCTCTCATATAATTTCTCAAATAAGAGAGATAATAATTATTATATTCTTCCTTATATAAGGTAATTTCTATTTTGACTCTACTCTCTAATAGATTATTGTTCTTAATGATATGGTGATATTAATTGAATAAATTAATTAAATTTAATTCTACCATCAGGAGATATTTTCTTTAGTATAAGTGATAGATTTTATTTATTTATGAATTATTCTAAATCTTCAGCAATTAAGAATCCCATTTTCCTTTTATCCAGTGTTCTGAATGTATTGCAAATAGAAAAATCAGGTGTTGCTTATAAATTAATTTTGATTCTTTCAATTTCTTTTTCAAAATTCATTAATTTAAGTAATATATCCTTAATAAATATAGAAGGATTAAAACAATTCTTATTTTTTTTTGGAGAATTCTTTATTCCATTTTTTTAAGTAGATCTTTTTTATGTAGGTTTTTTAATTGTTGAATTAATAGAACTTTATTATGATTTCTAGACCTTGAATAATTACATTTATGCTCTCAATTCTGTCTTTTAATCTATATATTTTTTATTTTATTAATTGGGAGTCTTAAATATATAGCTTTAATTCAAATTCTATGTTTTAGAAGTCTTGGAACTTTCAATAAAACTCACAGATCTTAAATTATCAAATTCCTTTTTTGGTGATTATCCTGTTTATTTCAATATAGAATTTAATTTTTTAATAGGAGTTGTTGATGTTTTTTTAGATCTATTTGATTATTGGGATTATAATTATTTCTATTAACTTTTTTCTTTAAAATTATGTAAATAAGATTTATCTTTAATTGGAGTTTTGCATTCCTTTGGATTAATGACCCTTTTTTTAAAATATTTCATAAATTCAGATTTATCAATGACTCCATCATTAAGTAGATCAAATCTCTTGAATAAAGATTGTAATTCATGAGGATAGATAATTATGGCTGATTCTTAGAAGAGATCCCTAAAATTTGATGCCATTAAAATTTAAGAGTTTTGAGAGTCCATGAATTCAAAACATGCAGATGGACTATAATCTGAACAATCCTACAGTTTTTATATAAATGATGATGTAGTTTCCATTGATTTAATTTCATAGTTGATTAATTTAGATAGTGTATAGGATATCTTTTGATCATAATGAGGGAAATCTACATTCTATAATGCTATCTTTTATCGTAAGACAACATTATTTTAAGGTAAACAAATTCTCAAGAATCTAAAATAATAACAATTTTGTTACTATGAATAAAGTAGGTAACCTTTAGATTCTTCATCATATAAATCAATGAATTACATACATTCTTCTAAGTTATGTACAAAGCCATTGTCTTCTAGAAATTGAAGAAGATCTGCAGGATTCAATTGACCCTTTGGATTGATGGAGATTCCATCTATGTGTTTAAAAATGAAAAATGGATGAAAGCGATCATGTTCACAAAGCACATTTCGAATAATTTCAATTTCTGATTCTAACTTGGCTAAATACAAAAAGTATTCACACAATTTGTTAAGTGTTTAAGGAGTTAATTATGGCATTAACAGACAACAAATTATCAATAAAATATAATATAATATAAGTGTATTAATTATTTTAGTTACATAATGGTTGATCGATCATTATTTGGCTTTGGCAAATCCTACTCTATCATTATCTCTATCATATATGCTGTAATATTTCCTTAAGAAGACATCTCCAAGAATCCAAGCAGGTCCTTAAGGTTCTTGAATATCTAAGGGGATAAAGGAAGCAATACAATCCCAACTATTGACTTCAACCATAGATTCTATATAGAATTTAAAATAATATATACAATCTTCAGAACTATTAATTTCAGCAAATGCAGAACTATCTTTAGTTGTAGGTTTGACATATTCTTCAGGTTCTAAAGTGTAATCAATTCCATCTATTTTGAATGTAATTGTTGGAAGAGACTTGATTTCAGAACAATGATCCTTTACATTCAAATTCCTTAATAAAGTTCCTATATCATCCATAGGTCCACTCATAATGGAGGTTCCAGTATCAACAATTAATTTACAAGAGCCATCATCACATAATCCAATGTCTTAACCTCCTACTAAAATACTATCAGCTTTGATCATCCAATAATATTTATCAATAACATTATGATAATTAATATCTCCATCAACATGAGCTTCATTATATCCACCCAAAGTAAATTCACTATGTGTAATATCATTTGGGTCTTTAGCAAAATAGAAGGCAAATTCATTTTTTTCTAATGCTTTTTATTACATCATATTATCAAACACTGGATTAAAGTTTTTAGGAGCCATCTAAGGATATGCTAAACCAAGAATGCCATCAAAATCAAGACTTTTGAAAATAATTCCATTTTCACTTGTGATTTCAGCTAAGTTTTATCTAGGTAATGTGATATCTCCAAAATAAACAGTGTCAGAATTAACAACTCCTTTTAATTCTCCACTACCAAATTCTACTGTTAATTCTTAATTCAATGGTAAAAACGAATGACTTTCTTCATGTTTGTATTGTTTATGTCTCATACAACCTTGCTCTGTGCATCTGTTTGAATCAATCCATAGATTAGCACTACCTGTATCTAATACAACCTTAAAAACATTGCCAGCTTAACCAATTCCTAGGTCTGCTGTATATTGGATGTTTTTGAAATTATGTAATCTAAGGTTTTCAGAAGCAGAGGATTTCTAAATAAATTAATTATCAAAGAGTTTCTTCTGATTTAAAGCAACAAATTTGTAGAAATCTTGTGAGTCTTTCACATTTACAACCTTCTCATTTAATCTGAAATGTTGAACTTTTTGTTTTTATTATTGAGGTTACAAGGATGCTTATTCTTCTTATCTACTATATAGATTTATTAATTTACATGTTTATTGCATTTGTAAAGAATAAAGCAATAGTACACAACCAAATTACACTGTGTTTCATTAAAAAAACGATAAAATAATAATTTTTATATTGATTGTTATTTAATTGTTTTAGAAGGCAATATAGATTTAAAAAGAGAGAGTGTGTGATTCTAATATAATAAAAAGTGATGAAGATAAATTTTGTTTTATATCAAATTTAAATATCTTTAATTAATTAAATAAAATGCTTGGATCATACAAGAGATATTGGGAGCCATCTCTTACAGAAGTAGTTGGTCTTTCAGTGCCAGTAGGTGCAATTGCTACATTCCTCACTTAACCATTGGGTAACAGTTATATAATTTACATCCAGAATTTGTTAAAACTAGAATCTAAGTTAGAACAGAAGGAATTGGATTGAGATAATTGAAAAATGAATTGGGAGTGAATCCATGGAGAATATTCAGAGAGATTCATGAAACTGGAGGAGGTTTGAGTCATTTTTATTATGGATTTGACGCAGCATTATACAGTAGATTGGGTTATCTCTTTATTAGAAACTTTTTGTATCAAATATTTAAACTTTTAGATATAAAGCAATATACGATTAAGTTAAACCAGTCAAACCATTCAATGATTTGACACTCAGAGAAAAGGCTCTTCTATCTGGATCTGTAGGAGCATTTGCTGCTTTTGTTACATCTCCATTTGAATTAGCATAAGTCAGAATGATAGCTGATGGTGGTCTTCCTTAATCAATAAGAAGAAATTACAAATCTGCTTTTGATGCCATTAATAGAATCTAAGTTGAAGAAGGTAACAAAAATCAATTAATTCACTAGGAGGAAGCAGTGCATTGTTCAGAGGAGCATTTGCTCATGTAGTCAAATTAGCAGCTTTGAATGTATCATTAACAGGACCATATGATTACATGAAAGAAAAAATTTGGTTGGTTTTCGGAGATTTTGGATTCAATCATTTTCTTGCATTAACTTGGGCTTCATTTTGGGCAACTCTTTTCACTTTACCATTAGATAATGTTCAAACTAGAGTACTAAAGGCATTCCCAGATCCCTCTAAAAATAGGTAATTATAGTCTTTTTAAATATTAGATTAAATTACTAAAATTATTTGGATGTCTTTAAGCAAATCTACTTCTATGAAAGAATCCATGGATTTTATGCAGGTGCTATCCCTTATTATGGCAAAATGTTCTTAACTGCTTGGTTAACATGCACTTTAGTCAATGGAGTCATGGATAGTCAAAAGAAAGCTGCAGGTTTGGAAGAATGGCAAATTTGATTAATTATAAATCAAAAAAGATTATCATAATAATTCTTCTTAAGAATGAATTTTTAAATAATTCAAACAATCACATTTTACTTTTTCATTTGGGTTATTAAACCATTTGCTAATGTAGGATTATCATTTACTTACTATTCTGCTTATATAGCAATCTATTTAACAGATTATGTGCTATCATTATTTGTCAAAGAATGTGAATCAAGAAATTAAACATTTTTCCATAAACTTCGTAAAATACTCAACAAACATAAACCATATTATGGAGTATATACATAAGCAAGTAATATTTAAATATATCATATCTATAGCTGATATCATATTAGATTAAGGTTACAATTTTGAAAGCCATAAAATAATTACAGAAGATGGCTACATTCTAACAATATGGAGAATCTACAAAGATGTAACTCATCCACATCCAAATCCAATCATCATGTAACATGGATTATTGGATAGTTCATGGTCTTGGTTTATAAATAATGATAAAAAGCTCACTTTGCCATACATTTTAGCTGATTAAGGCTATGACGTATGGCTTGCAAATAATCGAGGTAATAAATATAGTATTGGACATACTAAATTCTAAAGTGTAGACTACAATCAACAATATTGGGATTGTTCTTTTGATGATTTAGCCAAATATGACTTCAAAGCCATAGTATTATATGTGAAAAATGTTACACAAAGAGCAAAAGTAATATATATTGGACACTCCCAAGGTACTACATAAGCATTTGCTTATTTATCAAATAACATTGAATTTTAACATCATCTTAAATGTTTTATTGGACTTGGTCCAGCTATGTTCATTTCTAATTTGGTAATCCTTTTTAATTCTATTTTTAGAGATCAACTTTCTTGTAATGGGCTATTAAATTATACATATTTGAATTGATATATTACTTGGGAATTCCTTATTTCTTTGTATTTGATGATGGTTTTAACATAAAAATAGGTGCTCTTTGTTATATGATACCTTCAATATTTAGAAGCTTCTTTTTCGAAGTTACTAATTAATTGTGTGGTTTTCCTTAAAAAAATAAGATCGATTTGAATCGTTTTGGTAATATGGTTGCTCATGAACCTGGAGGTTCAGCATCTAAAAATATTGTATAATGGTATATATATATAAATAATTGTAGGATGTAATTCTTTAGATCAAAATAATTATAATATTTTGATTATGGATCTAGTTAAAATATGGTATTGTATGGATAAAGAGATCCTCCTCCATATCCAGTAGATAATTTAAAGAATTTTATAATTCCTAAATACTTTTATTTGGGAACAAAAGATGTGATTACAGATACAGATGATTTGGGTAAAATGTTAAATAAGTTGGATTAAACACATATGAAAGTAGAATTTATAGATGATTATGCTCATTTAGATTATGTATGGGCAGTTGATGCTCATGTCAAATTGTATCCATAAATATTAAAAAATATTAAGGAGAATTAAAATTGATCACAAGAATGATTAAATTTAATTAATAATATATATATATATATATATCAATCCTCAAATTTAACTAATTAATCATCATTTTAATCATTATGTTAAATATTTGGAGTATTAACAAGTACTTCTTCAATTTGATGTAAATTTTCTTATTATTATGAATTTTTATAGTAATTCTATTACAATTGTTATTCTTATTTATCTAAATCTTCTTATGATTAAACTATTTCTAAGGCTTTATGTACTCTATTTTCAATTTCAATAGGACTTAGATGTGGTAATAATTAATTTTCATTAGTTGTTTTACTTTCATGTTAACCTTATTGGCTAGTTACTTTACTTAATGGAGGTGAATCATTCTATCTTATTGATTAGAATGGAACAACTTAAGATAATTTGATTTATGTATTTAATCTACTTTCCATTAGATTATGTGAATGATATTAATCTAGATTCTTTTCATCAGATGATCCTCCACTTTTAGATTTACTTTCTTCTATAAATTGATGTGGATCATAAATCCAAATATAAATTTTTCTAATAATCCATGAGAAAAAGAAAATAATTGAAATAGCTGCAAAACATATCAACAAAACATAAGATTCTGGTCTATTAGGAAATATCTATTGAAGTTATTCATTAGACTTTTTGGCAGCTAAATCTGAAGGTGTCAATGTTTTTAATACCTATGAATTAAGTAAAGTATTTTGAAGTGTAAATGTTAAATTGATAGTTTCAACAGTATTAATATAATTATAAGAGAATCCATATTAAGTAATTAAGAAGACATAATAAATTGTTTGATTTTAATTTAATCTTCTATTATTAACTATTTGATATCTATAAACTCTATCAGTGGAAATTTCATCAATCCTTATACCATCCTATAATTTAGGATCACTTATATTTTTGATACTTTAAGCTATAACATAAGAATCAATTTGATATAATTTTTCACCTCCTTAATTCAAGATTATATCCATTATTATATTATCATTAAATTGATTATAGCCTATATTTTATACTGATATAATGATAACACAACCTTTCTCATTGGATTCTAATTCTTTACATAACATTTTTCCATGTTTACAATCAAATACCTTTTCTAATTATATTCTATATATATAATAAATTGTATATACTGTAATGAAGGACTATAATGTTAAAAAAAATCAATTAAAAGATTCTAAAAATTCGGGATTGTCTAATTTAATTCATATTATCCAATATTAATAGTGAAACATACTTTATTGATTTAATAAATGTAATTTTAACATAAATCACCATTAATTTCAACTTAATAAAGTTTTTCATATTCTCCCATATTGAGTTAATATATTTTTGAAATTTAATAAAGTAATTCATAATAGGTTGATGAATTAGAATCAGGAATAACTAACTTATCTTAATCACCACCCATAACAATTAAAATGTTTGGTCTTATTTATTATACTAAATTATCTATTGCCAATGTTTCAGATTCAGAAAAGGCACTTATTCCTCTATAGATTTGACTACATTAATTAGAAGATGATCCAATTTCATTGATACCAAATTTGTATTGGAAATTCCTTGAAAGATCTACACCTTATTCAGTTTATGAACATTAATTAGAATTGGATGGATTTCTATTTTTAAATATTTAAGGTATATTGTGAGTTTAAATAAATTAGTTTGTTATATATTGAAGTCCATCTGCATTTATTAATGGAGTTATCCATAATTACTTGTCTTAAAGTAAAGTCATCATAAATGGATTCTTATTAGATAGTTGTATAGTGATATAGTATAATTGATATAGGAGATAATTTACTGATATTAAATCAGTACTGCCACGTAACATACCAATAATAGTTATTTAATATTTGGGAGATTTGTTTGGTGATATTTTAATTGTCTTTATTTTGGTTCCTTAATAAGTATTACCAAAGGATTATAATGTTACTTATTTAGGAAATGAATTTGCCAACTTCTCAATTAAATTAGTATATTCATTCATTTCCACATATCCTGATATTGATCCTGACATAAAGTACTCCTAAAGTGTATCTATTTTTAATTCTTGAATTTAAAAGGGAGTGAGATTCAAAAATTAATAGATGCTCAAAGACTAAGTAATTTGTATAAGTAAAATAAAAATCATAATTATTAATTTATGTAAATCGCTAATTATTAAATTGAATTACCTATCTCTTTAGACTTCTCTTACTAATTATTATATAGAGGATTTGATGAAACTAAATAATCCTATTACATTAATATCTTTCCTAAATCTGAATTAGATTCTATAATGTATGAAAATATATCTAAGAAAATTCAATCATACTATTACATTAAAGATGCTATTGAGGATGATAACAATCTACTCATTTCTTATTTAAATAGTAATAATTGGATTAAAATGCCTACCAAAATTACAAATGATCAATTTAATGGATATTTGAAATAATTGTATGATCTCTATTCCTTAGATATTTTAGGATTCTATGATTTCAATCCTGACTTTCTTTACATTAATTAAAAGACTATTTACACTATTGATTATGGTTTAAGATATTCTCTCTTCTAAATTAAATACTAATAACGATACAACAATAATAATTATAAATAAGATTAATTGATGAAAACTTGGATGTTTGGTTCATTACTTTATTGTCTTACAACTGGAACCTAAGATCCTAGTTATCTTATTAAATTAAATTAACAATAAATTAATTATTATATTGAATACAATTGTAGATAGAATAATATTAGTGAAGACAATATTCATTTTCTTAAAATCTTACTTTAAACAGATTATGATTATCGTCCTGCATTTGATTAATTAGCTAATATATTCAAACTTCAAAATAGTTAAATAATCAAAATACAATCCCAAAAATCCTTTAATCAATAAAAAACAATTAAAAAAATAGATAATCTTAATGATAATTCAAATCGTTAAATTTCTAAATCAACATTTACATAATCACATTCAACATTTGTACCTAATTTACATCATAACAAAGTTAAGTAAGCATTTAAATAATAAAACTGTTCTACTTCTTAAAAAGATATGAAATAATCTAAAATTAATTAATATCAATATGCTTCTTAACTAATTAAATCCAATATATCCTATAAACATTGTTAAATTATCAAAAATCTTTCAATAACTAAATCTTTTTATCCTTAACATCAAAAATAAAACTAAAATATTATTACCTTAAATGAATAATATTATGATAATTCAAAAATCAATTCTAATTAAAATATTGTTTAAAACAATTAATCTATTAATATTGATCCTATTAATTTAAGCAGAAGTATGTCATTAAATGTAAAATCATAAGAATAGTAATAATCTATTGTTTAAACTAATCAAATGTTTATCAAATCAAAATAATAAAATAATTTATAATCCAAAAAGAAACCATAAAAAAATTAAATTAATTCATTTGAGTAAGATTTCTTTTATAGAGAAGAAGATGATGAAGAAGAGGATTTTATTGTTTGAATTAATAAAGAATATATTTATAAATATTTATAATATGTCTATAATTACATATTTACTATATTAAAGTAATTTAAATTAATGTTAAACCCAACAGTCACAGAAGCCGATTAAAATCAAATATATGAACAAAAATTCATAATCTTCTTAAGAATTATATTGAATACTGAAAAAGATGTTTAACAATTTGTCTAATGTAGGCTGAGGATATTAAAGTAACATTAGCTGAAAATACTCGATTTGATGTAAGTGAAGCTTTTCGAACTATTGATACCAATTCTAAAGGATATTTGACTGCATCTGATATCTTTAGATTTATGTGCAAGAATGGATATAGTTTATCAATCAAATTTTGTGATTTATGGATCTCTATTTACAGTTCAGGAAATGATAAATTAAGTCATTAAAAATTTCTTGAATTTATTGTTCCAAAATATAATAAGGATTAAGCCATGAAACTTATTATGAGAAAACTCTAAATAACAGAATGTTAGATTTTACAATTTTATTTTAGATAAATTATCATTCTATTTAGAAGATTTTGTAGCCAAATTGATTTATTTAGAAATAGATTACTTAAAAGTTATAGAAATAGAGAAAATGGGTATAGCTTAATCAATTAAATGGAAATTTAATACTATATTTAAAATTATTGTAGGAAATCAATTATTTATTGATAAAAGATCTTTGGATCAATTACTTAATAAATTTGAAATATAATCATTAAGTTAATTAGATTATTTAATGTTTTTAAATAGATTTATTAGAAATGATAGATAAGTCATTTAAAGAGATGATTTTAGTGATGCAATGTTTCCTAGTAGAGAATTAATGTTGGAATTTTAATAATAAAAAGATGGATTTGATGATTATGTACTCAATCAAAATCAACAATTAGATCAATTAATTGGAATTGATAAAATTGTTGATAAAGATGATTTTGTATTTAAACCTGAAGATCATAAAATGTAAACTTAGACATTTAGAAAAGAAGTTGAATCTTTTTAAGATTAAAAGATTTAAATCTAATAACCATAAGAATTATCTAAATTATCATCAAATAGATATTTTGCTAATGAGAAAAGTAAATTGATTTAACAAAAAGCTTAAGTTAAATCTAAAAAATATTAAAGTCCTTATGAATATGCAAATTAATTTCGTGTAAAGGATGATTTATTACAGGAATTTGAAATGCCTTAAAATTATTCACAATTAACTGTAAGTCAAGGAAATGTCTCTAGTTATGTCTAAAATAATTAACAATTTAAAATTGAATAATCTAACTATAGTAATTTTAGATAATAACCTAAACGTATTCAATATTTTAATTCTAGATTATGAATTTATATTATATATATATATATAAAATCTTCAATCAGATTTTAGTTGTTCTCTAATCATTTCAAAGAGTATTTCTGCTCTTATCAAATCAATCTAAGGATTTTAATTTAAAACTCGAGCAAATAAAGTTTCTAAATCTGCTGTTTTGAAAATTTTATGATGAAAAATTATTCCTAAAAATAGAAATAGATTTTTACTTATTAACATCTACCTTAATTATTCTAGATCCTCTTCAGAATTAGTAGAAACTTTAGGTATTTCCTTTACTTCAGTAGTAATATCATCAGCATTTCTAGTTTTCATTCTACTTGAAGGTTCAGATTTTTAAGATGGAAGTTTAGCTGATTATGCTCTTGGTTATTTTGGTTTTGAAAGTTGAACCTTCTTTTTATTTAATGCTTCTATCTTTTATGATAGTTCACTATTTGGAGTTTCTTCAAGCATACGTTATTCCTTAGTCTATTATGTAATAAGATTATAATTTACAAAATGGTGTAACAATTTATCAATTTTAATATTTGCCATAGTTTCTCCTTCTCTTCTAAAGAACCTAGGAGGATGAGCTATTGGATCATTTGAATTTTTTTTTCTTTCTTACATGCTTCCAGCACTTGCTATCCTTCTATATTGAGATTGTAAATTTAATATATGTTAATCTCTATCAAATTTTTCTTTTTTTGTAGCATTACCTGAGATGTTCCTTCTAAATTCCATTGTAATAGGAGCATTTGAATCAATTCTCCCTAAATTGATTAATTTTTCTTACCTTTCTTCATTCCAATTACAGTTTGAAATGTCTTCATTACTTGATCAAATTCTTTTTTATTCTTATACATTGGAAGATCAATTTCTTTAGGTTTTTAAGGATTCACATTTTTAATATTGTTTACATGCTTAAGATTAAATAATTATTTACAGGTCTAGGTGGTTTAATTTTGATAGCTGGTTTAGCATCAATAAGAGCTTTATGATGTAAAAACATATTATCATTAAGCATCTTCATTCCACCAATATTTTTGGGGTTAGTTGCAAAGTTTTTCATTATATAAATTAATTTAATTTATAATCATTGATTTTAAGATAGTAGTACTCCTAATTATTCAGTCAAATCTTAAATAGTTTTATGTATCCAAATCTAATTTAATATTTCATTAAGTATTGTATGATGAATATTATTTTATTCAAAAATTTGAGTTAACTTAATTAAAATGTTAATAGTATTTTCAACTATTGAAAGATGATTATATTAATTATAAATAAAATTGCTAGATCCTAAATCTTCATTAATTGATATATTTTTCTTCTGATTTATTTTATAATCTTAAATAATTTTGTATGTAAATTGTTATTCTGAGATATATTTGTATCTAAATAATCTTGATTAATTTCTAAATTTAAAATTTAATTAGTAAACTATTTTTAACTTAATAATAATATAATAATTTTATAAATCTTAATAAAATAATTTATTCATATGATTCATTAATAATTCAATTTTTTTGTAATTTAATCTTTTATTATATTTACTTATTTAATTATTTGGTTTTCATTGATTCCTGAATTACGTAGATACTCAATTAACACTTCAGTTTCTGCTCTATCATCCCAACTTAATGAACCTTTCTATTTTTTTCTTACAACATCATTATGATAGAACATTTGCTCTTCATATTTAACATTATCATAGAATATAGTATTGACATAGTTATAAGGTATCAATCTTGTTTCTGTGGATGATGCTGGTGCCCAAGCTTGTATATAGATTTCACCTTCAAAGAATTCAGTTGGTTCATTGATTTCAGTAGGGTAAGCACAACGAAATTTCAACATAGCCTTAATGGATATAAGATTATGATACTTTTTAAGGTTTGAGGATTTTAACCCATTCCATTTATAATTGATTGTCTCTTAGTACTGCTTACTCATTTTCTACAGGGGTCATACTTTTAAAATTGGCAGTTCGAATGTCTGAAATGAATAGATAATCATTCTTGTTAATTAATTCATACCTAAAATAATTCCTTAAATTTTTAGGCTTCTTCGTTTGTAAAACAACGTTAGTAAATAGTAATCTTTGGTCCCTATTTAACTTAAAAGTCATTTGGATCAAATAAATAAAATTTGTGATTTTAAAATAAATCGGATAACAATGATATGTGAAATCCTGGAGCTGCTCCTGCATATATAATATTCCTAGATAAACAACCATACTTTGTCAAAAACCAAATCTCACTAATAAGTAATTTCCTTTGACCCCAATGAATTACATCTTCCTTTTCTCTTTATGCTCTCGAGTAATACTTTTTTCGTTTATCATTATCTTATAATAGTAATTGAATAGGTTCATTAAATTTTTTAATCTAAATCAATTATTACTTAAGTAAATTTGTTTAATTATAATTCATTAATTTATCTTCTTATTCAATTTTAATTTAAGAAGGTAATAAGATTTTTGGAATCTCTAATGATTTTGGTACAATAATTTTGGGTACCTTAAGTTCAAAATGAGTATGAGTAATTTCCATTGAAATTTTAGTTTCTTTATTTTTTTATTGATCCTCTTTAGGATTTATTGGACATTATATGGGATAATTTTATTCAACAATAGGATTGTTTTATTCAACTTTTTATTCAACAATAGAATTTTTGATATGTTCATCTAATTTGATAAAAATTTTATTAGTTTTTTTCTCTTATTTAGAATTCAATTCTTATTTAGAATTCAATACTAATTAAGAATTCAATCCTATTATAACTTTTTCTTTTGGCATTAAAGACATACTAGGTCTTTGGCCATTTAGCATAGTCTAACTAGGATGTGACATATCTAGTATTTTTTTTGTAGATTAAACAATTCGCATAGACATTTTACTAAATATTTATAAATAATAATATATTATTAAGCTAATTATATTAGTAGATAATGTCATAATTCATAGATTAAGAAATAAATGGTTATAGAGTATAAAAAGCAATAGGCGAGGGCAAATTCTCAACTGTCTATAAGGCTGTGAATTAGGAAGGCAATGTGATTGCTCTAAAGAAGATTAAAGTAATAAAAGTTTAGAAATAACATAAGATATTTGATATGATGGACCCTAAGCATAGAGAGAAATGTTTAAAGGAAGTGAAACTGATGTAACCTTTAGATCATCCTAATATAATAAAATATTTGGATTCATTTCTGTATAATAATGAATTGATTATTGCCACTGAATGGGCAGAAAAAGGGGATTTAAAAAAGCTTATAAAAAATGCAAAAGCAGATGATACTCCATTTGAAGAAGTTTAAATGTGGAATTATATATTACAAATAGCAAGTGCTTTATCACATATGCATGAAAAAAGAATAATGCATCGTGATTTAAAACCTGCTAATATTTTCATTGGAGGAGATGGAACCTTGAAAGTTGGAGATTTAGGATTAGGCAGAATATTTTCATCAGAAACAATAGAAGCATATTCTAAAGTAGGAACACCCTTATATATGTCACCAGAGGTAAATGTTCAATTAAAAAGAAGAGCTCCTCCATGGAGAAGGGTATGATATGAAATCAGACATATGGTCATTAGGATGCATAGCATATGAGATGGCTGAATTCAAGAGCCCTTTTAAGTAAAGTGAGAAAATGTCATTAGTAGATTTATTCAATAATATAACTAAAGGTGAATTCAAGCCTGTATCTAATCGATATAGTCAATAGTTACGAACTATTATTGAAGGTATGATTGTAGTTGATCCTTTAAAAAGATTAGATTCAAATACTATATTACAAAAAGCTAAAGAGATGTTCTCATCTCATTCTGATACTAAAAGAACTCCTCAAATAATTAATGTATTAGTAATGGAAGTAAATAATATAATTATAAAAAATAAAGGATATTTATGAAAAGTTATCTTTAGTTTAATATCATCAAAATTTCTGTGTTCCTTTGAAAAAGAAACCCATTTCAAAATATTTCTTTTCTTTAGATGAAAATGTGAATTCTTCTTATAGATTCTATTATTTTGTAGATTTATGTTATTGGTTAATGAATTTACCCAAATAAAAGAAGAATAAATTGGCATAACATATTAAATACAGTAATAATTTAGAAGATACTGCTAGAAAACTATTATTAGATATTAAAGCATGGGGTATAAAATTACCTGAATAACTTGGATCTCCTCATATTTCCTCTGGTTTTGGAGATATGGTTTGTTTTATACTTAATGATCTATTAAATAGAGAATTAATAAGAGTGAATTTTAAATTTGAATTACCATAATTTGGTGATGATTTAAATAATTCTAATATCTTAAATTAACAAATTTAATATGATGAATAAGATTTACCTGAAGAATTAATGGAAGATGATTAAGATGAAGTAGAAAATGATGAACTCACATAGAGTATACTATTTTATCAAAAGAAATTTAAAACAGAATAACCAGACTTTAATTAGATTCCTTAAGATAGATAAATTATATAAACTAAAGTTGCTATTAATGAATGGATGAATGAATATAATAGAGTAGAAAAAGAACTTAATAAATTTGATACCAATCTAAAAGAACATAAGTCATATTTAAAGGATTATCAAAAATCTATGAATCTTATAAAGAAATGCTCAAAGGTAAATTGTTTACCAATAGCAATAGCAATTAACTATCCTATCGTAGTACTTAAAATCAAATGAAGTTTAAGATATCTAATAATAATGGATTAATTATCTCGAATTAATACCTAAATTAGAGACTCAATTAACAAATCTAATATAACCTGAAATTTAAGAAATTTTATAAACTAATAGATAATCTATATTTTAATTTGAAATTCAAATCAATTCTCTAAATAAATCAAATTGCTCAAAATTAGAACTTGATTAATAATTACATTAAAATCTAACAGATATTCAATTTAAAATACCTAACCTTAGTGATAATAGACCTAAATAAAGGCAAATTATCAATTAATTAAAAGTATTAATTCCATTTTATATTTGATAGAATGATATCAATGATATGAATGTTAAAATTGGTATTTTATAGACTTAATTAACTAAATCATATTCCTACAATAATGAATAACTATCAGATGAAGAAGAATTTTGAAATCAATTAATATTATTTATTATGAACGAAGTTTATTTTGTTATTAACTTCCTTAAAAATAATAATGAAGATCTCTCACAATGTCAAATTCATAGATTCATGAATAAATACCTCATTGTTGATACAAATATCAAAAGATTATGGATTATTGATTCTATCCAAAAGAAAGATCATTTATAAATTATTCAATAAGTTAATAAACAATATCAGTAATATTAGTATCATTTGGTGTTGTTGACTGAAAAATCCAAATTAATAGTGTATGAAATATAATAAAATAATATCCTATAATTGTGAATCAATTCAAAAATCATGAATCCTTAGTTTTTATTTATAATAGAGCTAACTTCTCCAAATCGTATTACTCTAATTGTTTATAAAAATGAACAGCAATATCTAATTGTGGAATTAGATTCTATAACATTTCTATACCTAATTTCAATGGCATTTTTATCTCATTTATCAAATAAGCTAAGATAAAACAAGGACCAATATTAAGTCCATCTCTACAATGAATAAGAACTTTCCCCTTTTATAATAATGTCTATATAATAATTATTCAAATATTCTACTTCTCTTATGAACCTATTACTAATTCTAAAGTGTTTTTTAATATCCTCATCAGAAGTATTGTGAACATCAATGTTTAAATATTTAAAATATTTTGTTCTTTTTGTATATTCCATTGAAGTCAAATTCAGAACATTTGTAACTGCTTTCTATAACAAATATTTTGTCCATAAACCCATTGCAAATCCACAAAGATAAATCCCAGGTTATATTTCAATGAATAAAGTCTCCTTTAATTGTGATTAATAGTTATATGGACAAAACGAAAGATGAGGAAATCTTAAACAAACTATATCCTCTTCCTCTTCCCCATATTCATCTAATCTTCCTTCTCCTATAACTTTGGCTCCTTTCTCCTCTTCATCCTATCCTCTAAGAGTCTTCCTTGATTATTAATGACTCCCAATCTTAATTTGAGATCGCTTTTCACTTTCTTTAGATCCTAGCATTTTTCTCTCTTCTTCTTAAGGAACACCTAATTCCTTTCTAGATTTTTGATCTGAAATTATATCTTTTCTAGATGCCCCTTCTATACTTTAATTTGTTCTTCTAAATTAAGAGCTCTTATCTGTTCGATTGAGCATCAAATTATTAATATAAAAATATAATTAGAAAATTAAGATGTTTTTCATTATTCTCCTTATCTTATATAATTATATTTATAAATTTTCAAAAAGTAAACACTATATTATGATAGATAACAATTCAATCTATTTAGATTATATATTGTTAAAATCTAAAAATACATTTCTTTTTTTTATTTACAATAAAATTATAATGAATAAAAAATTGATAAATATTTTTAGCATTCTTAAGAGAGACTCTATTAATAATTGAAAATGTATAAGATTATTCAATTTAATATTTATGTGAATAATTTAAATATTTATATTTCTATAGTTTATTTAAATTTATTTTACTTCTAAGATAATACTACAGATGATGTAATTTAAAGATAAAATTTCGAAATATTATAATTTAGGATATTAAATAGAAAAATATTAATGATTCTATGTTTTTATATTGGTAATTGTTCATTTCATAAATGGACAATGTTGTTTGGCACCTTGATAATTTTCACCAATTGAAACTAATCCTTCAAGTATTTTCCAAGGTTGATGTCTTTGTTCTTTAATAGATAAAGCATTTCTGGCCATATCATTCATGACTGTTATACAATGAGCAGGGAAGATGTCTTCAAGTAATTTTGCCTTGGCACTACATCTACTCAAAGTGGAGACTAGTTTTTATTAAATAGAAGTTGTCTAGTCAATGAATTCATCAGTGATTCCATTTTGAATAAAAGCATTATATGCATGATGAGCATCTTCAGCAATATCAAGTGAATTTTATAGACATGTCAAAGTTTGATTATGTTCTTCCAATATAGCTTAGCTATTAGATGATGAACAAGCCTTTTTCAATTTGACAATTTCCATTATGATAACAATAACATCTTTAACTTGATGACAGAATTTATGTCTAGCAATGTCTAAACCAAAGACAAATAAATCTTTGGTAAGGTATCCTATTTCTTCAATGCATGGAACATTGATCTTTTGGATTTTCTCTAAAGGAGTGGATAAGGTTAGAACCATTAAACATGCTATCACTAATATCTTCATTTTTAATTATAATTGGAAAATGATGATGATTCAAAAAGCATATTAATAATGATGAATCATAAAATTCGAAAATTAAATTATTCAGCCTAAAACCTACTAATTCATAGCTTTCTTGCCATAAACTATATAATCTGCTTATAATCCATGCGCCATTTTTTTGCCAGCTAATTTATTATATTTATAAATATATACCTTTAGAATTAAACTACTAATATGCTTGATTAGATTGATATGATTATTTTCCATATATAATTTTAGGATCATACTTTTTTTTTTTCTTAATTTCAGGTAACATCATTTATTTATTTGATGACTATTTATCTATATCATCATCACTATCATGATGTTATGTATTCTTATATATACTCTCTACTTTCAAATCAAATTATAATGATGGTAACTATAATCTAGAATATTAAATATACTCCAGATTTCTTCTATGATTTTGCATAATAATTTTATGTCTTTTTAAAATTTGGTTAATGTGTCTATTTACTTTCCTCAATTCTTTGACTTCTTTCTAAAGAATTATCATTCCTATATATAAATATATTCATTACTGTTCTCTATGATTAGAAATTCTGATTTATTATAGAGTATGTTAAAAACTCTTTTGAGTTGCATCTGCTTCATATAGATCTCTAAAATATTCATGTCTCAATGCTGATTGAGCAGTAATTCTTTCTTCAGGATCATACACCAATAACATTTTGATTAAATCTATACATTCTTTTGTTTATCCTTGAAGAAGTCTCTCAATACCACTACCATGTTTATTTGGGAAATTAATTTCCATATGAGTGGCTTATCTATTATTAGATTCTTTTATTTTACTTTCTGAATCTATCAAAAATCTTTGGATTTGGAGTTCCCAAAATATTATGAATCTTATTAACTTAATCTAATTCATTAGTTCCTGGAAATAAAGGAAATAGAGCTATAATTTCAAACATTACACATCCAACACCCCATAAATCCATCTTTTAGTCATAATATCCATCTGTTAATAAACATTCTGGAGCCCTGTACCATCTAGTAGATATATATCTATTATCGAGATTAAGTTAATTTATACTCTGTATAAGGATGTTTTGAATATATGCCTTTACAAGATCCAAAATCTGCAAGTTTCAAATGATCTGAATTCAGTAAAATGTTTTCACTATTTAAATTATAAATGTTTACGGCTTAATATCTCTATGGAAGATACCATTTCTATGCATATGATCAATAGATTTTAGCAGTTAGTACATAAAGGATTTAACTTTCTATGGATTCAACGGTTATTTTCTGCCTAATTGAAATGATTATTATGATACCCTTTATATGCTCATATAGATTCTATTCCATTAATTCAAATACTAAAGCCAATCTTCCTGTAGGTTCATCACTACCATAATTGTTATAAATTGAGTTACTATAGAACTTCGATCAACTTAATAATGTGTTCATGGGGACTCAATTTTCTTAAAGCTTAAATCTCTCTCAAATGATTAACCTTTAATCTTCATTTAATTGTTTACTTATTCAATTGATGTGAATTTATTTTTCATACATTTTATAGCAACATAGTTTCCTGTTTTGAATGATTATGATTTGATGACCTCTGAAAATGTTCCTTCTCCTTTTTTACCTACAAGTTTGTATTCTAATGTAAAATACAAAATTTCAATTACAATTCATTTAGATTTTTGTCCTTTTATATTTTTTACAATTAATTATCAATAATAGAATGGCACTTATGTCTCAAAAAGAATAAAAAATAATACACTATTTTTAAATAAAATTAGTAAATCAATGACATTTCAAATGACTAAATTTTGTGAATTTTATTAATATTCATAGATGACATTTGAATTTTAAAGTATTAACTTAATAAATTAGAATTCATTAAGAAAATAAGAAATCTTTTTTTATTAATATTTCAACAATAGAAACTATTCTAATTAAGAATAATCAAATAGATGGATTTTATTTTTTTATTACTACTCTTTTAATACTACTCTTTTTTTTGTTTTTAAAATCATTAATCACTCTAAAATTCTCGAACTAATTCTTTTAAAGGTTTCTTTTTGCCATCTTCATAAGACTTATTTAATTTCTCTGATTTGTCACTCTCCTTTTCCTCTTCTTAATATTGGGTCTGGTTCTTAATGAAATTTTACTTTACAATTAAAGTTGGAATTCATAACTTTTCTAGCAAATGAAGTGGGATCTTGACTTTCTACAAATCCAGAACCAAATTCCTTAATATATATTTAATAAGCTGTTTGAATATGAATTTGATTTCTTTTGAAATTAAGATGAGGTTTTGGTTTATCATATAAGAAAGGAACTTATTTACAATAGGGTTAATCAAAATTAGGCAATAGATGACTCATAATTTATTGACTGAAACAAGAATTAAAGTATTATTAGGCTTGTTAATCAGGTCTGAAATGAGCATCTCTTTTAGACTAAGTAAGTTCTTTAGTGGGTTACTTATTTTTACTAGCATTTCTTTATTTCGATTATTGAGTCTATTTACGTAAAGGAGGTTTTGTTATTTTCTTAACTAATAGTGGCTAAACCGATTCTTAACCTTTATTAATTTCGGAGACCAAGTTGTAGAAATTTTAGACAACCTCCCTAAAATCATTGTCATCATAAATTTTTCTTCTATTCCTGATTAACTGAAATGATATTTGCAATACTTCATACATATGATGATTTATAGCGAAGATGTTTAATATTATTTGAACTCTCTTATTAATGGTCATTTTCAGCTTGCATTAATCTGATTTAAGTATTAAATTAAAGCATTTACCATTTAAAAATATGTGTAAACAAAATATACAGAACAATGATTTCAAAAATACAAATTTTATACTGCATCTTCCACACTCTCAAATTAATTTAATCAATCCAACTTAAAATACAAAGTAATCACACATCTCATATAATCACCTACAAAATATTTAAATGTCTTCCTTTATCAATTGATTATCCTATATATTCACAATCCCATACTCTTAAAGTAATCTAAAATTTTATTAAATTCAACACTTACACAAAACTATATGAAAAATAATCAATCAAAAAAACATTCCTCAAATCCTTATTTAACAACCTTAAATGTTTTAATATATTGTTATATCCAACTGAAATTCATTCTTTTATAATGATAGTTGATTATTATAATCCAAAATTATAAAGATAAATTAATTTACATACTTTATTACCATAAACGTCTTAGGAAACAGTTAAAATCATAACATAATTTTTTTTATAATTTCTCTTGCAAAATTCCTAATGTTGATAATTTTGAAATAAGTTTATTTTAAAAAGGTACTCTAATTAGGTTTCTAAAATCAATAAAAAATGTATACATCACAATGATATTGAATATCTATCTAAAATAATCATTCTCTATATAATATATTAAAGATTCATTCTAATAGTAAATGATAATCCTAAAGTGTTAATTAAAACAATAAAACTTTACATCTCTTACTTATATTTAATTGAATATTAAAGAGTTTCTCTTGCATATGTTCTTTTTCTAATTCTAAATTCTAGATGTGATCAAATAATGCTTTTAATTTATATGTTCTTTAAAAAATGCTGAACTTTAAGATTTCTTATTCAAAAATGTCTTCTTTAAGTCTCTCAAATAATATACTGAATTAAAATAATATCTAGAAATATGCTAACAACTTTTTTCTAATCAATCTATTTAAATAAATACTGCTTTATAAATAATGTTAAGTAACAAAACCGTGATTTTTAATTTTCTACTTTGACCTTTGTTAAATTCACAGATATTAGCCTTGTCTAATTTTACATTTTTAATTATTTTATTTACAATATGATTTCATATTATTTTGAGTATAAATATATTGATTTATTAAATCTTTCAATTATTATTTATCTATAGTTTTAATTGTTGCTATACATGAAGATGATGACATTACTTATTTAATTACACAAACACCAAAACTCTTTTATTTACAACAAATTTAAACTTATTGTATAGTTCTTAAATACTCTAAATCTTTTATAAATTTCCCTTTATCATAAAGATTGATTTTTTATTTATTGATATATCTAAAACCATAACTGTAAGATAATGGATTTAGGAGCAATTTAGAATTAAATAAAATTATCACAATAATAACAGAATACTTTTAATAGTTGATTTATTAAAATAAAAGAATAAATTTCATTAAATTTATTATTAATAGGTAGCAATATTAATATTTTAATATTTTATCAATATTTCCCCAATCTAGAATTCTTCTTCTTCTTGTTTGATTGAAGTGGGTTAAATTTTTAATGATGTGATCTACATTAGGTAGGAGTTCTAGTAGTAATGAACTTGCTCATCAGTTTAAAAATCTTTTTGGATTTTTTATCATATTTTGATTTCAAAATATCAAAGTGATTATTAACAAATTCAAGATACAATTCATGCTCTTATTTAGACCAATGACCTAAAGAATAAGTAGATTGAATTTTAATACCATTAAATTTACTTTCTTTTATTTCTCTTTCTGTTTCATTTTTTATACTTTAAGGCATTTCTTAAAGTTTAGGTTATTGTTGGTTGCTCTAATTTTACTATTCATAATTGATTGTTCCATTGCAATAGTTACTTACATATTTAATTTCTGTATTTTATTAAGTCAGTTCACCACAATACATTTAAGGAACTAATTTTAGCTAGATGATATTTATACTATATTAAAACATTAAGGGTTAATATTATAGACAGACTAAAAGAGGTTAATTGGTTACCTAGTTTTAAAAGATTCTGTTCATATATTCTTATTAATTCATTTCTTATTAGAGGAATATATAAAATTTATATTAATACTCTTATATGTCGTTATAAGGTGTCGGATTTCATATAATAAAAGTAAATAAACCGACTTAATATAGTTGAAGATACTATATATATTTAGTCGGACTTCATTTTAAATAACAATACATTTAGTTTCTAACATAATGTTTTCTAAATTAGTTCAGTATTTAAAAATAAATAATGCGTAATAAAGCTATTATGGATAAAAATTTGAATGTAAAAAATTATATGAGATATTAGATCATGTAGACATAAAATACTTATGCGACTTAGTTTATGAATAAATTTTATAGAAGTTGACATTAGGATGAAGAAAAGAATGTTTTAAATATTAAGTAGATTTTAGTTTTATATCTAGAAGATTAATCAAATTGTTTCTAGATTTGTATAATTGAATAATTAATATTAAATATTTAATTTTCATACTTCTTATTACTTCTAATAATATTAGATATCTTAATTTAAGTTCTCAATACCTTGATTTAATATTGTTGCAATTCCACTCATAGATTACTATAATATTTAATTATATTTATATACATCTTATAATAGCTTCTTCAAATCCTTTTATAATGTATTCAAATAATCAATATTTTATTTGATAATTTAATTGTTTCTAGAATAATATAAAATATTTATTATACTTCTCTCTTTATTGTTGTTATTATTTTGATAATTTTTATTATTGTTATTTTTAAACAACAGGCTTTGTTAGATTTGTGAAATCTTTCTTTTAGACACTTTCTATGGTTTATTAAAATTCTTCAATAGCAACTTCTAATGTTTACTATACATATTTATATATATTAAATACTTTAGTTTAATCAAATTTAGTGAAATCAGGGAGAGGATCATCAGGTTTAAAAGCTTAGCCTCCAAAATTACTTAATTAATTTAACATTTCTGTTAATTTAGGTATCATACTTAAACTACCTAATAAACCATCTCCTTTGTTTAAACCACTTAATAAACTAGCTGGATCAATATTAGGCATATCACCAGCAGGTAAACCATGATTACAATGATTATGATCATGATGATGATCTTCATTTCCATGATGATCATGACAATTATGATCGTGATGATGTTATTAATTTTAAGGTACTAATTAATTTTATTATTATTATTATTATTATTTAGATTGTTATTCTTATTTAGCTTTATTCTTATTCTTTTTTTTCTTATTATCCATTTTTGAATTTTGATTATTTAAATTAATGTATTTGATTATTTTCAATAGAAATAGAAGAAAAAATATTCATTTTATTTGTGATAATGAATCATTATTTATAAACAATCATGTTAATTAATTATTGAACTTCCAAAACTATGTAAGGTTATTCTACATTAAGAATCTATTTTAATTGTTTTATAGTATTAGCAATTTGTACATAGTCATTTATAATAATCTTTAACCATTTCCAAGCATCAGATAATGATACATTCTAATCTAAAAAATATTTTAAAATTTATACTATCATATAATTTTGGTTATAATTTAAGTATCATATCTTTAACACAATCTGTAAACTTTTTATATTATTTTAATTGTTTTTAATCAGTAGTTTCATATTGTGACATTGATTTTTTTCTATTCATTTGAATTGAAATATCTTGATTCGTAATATCAGTAATGGAAGTTTAATAAAAGGATGAATCTATTGATTTATGTTTTTTTATCATATTTATTTAATTCAATAATTCTTCCTTTTACATTGTAATATTATTTAAAAGTTTATTTGTCTTTATATTATTGTTTTTTACAACATTCAACTCTTCATATAATTTTTAATTTAATTTTTTTAATTCGTTAATTTATTCAATTTTATTCAATCTATCTCTTTCACATTCTTCTAATGCTTTTTTTAATTCAGTAATTGTTTTATCTGTTATATCTCTTTATGTATTTGAAAGTAATAGTAGAGATGAGTTTTATACATCATCAATCAATAATGATGTGTTATCAACATTTAAGTTTTATGCAGTCTCTTTATAAGCTTATAATTTCTGCATTATTTCATTTTAATCAAGTTCTAATTGTTTATATTTTTAAGCCAATTCTTATTTAATTTCTTTGAACATAATAATGAATTATTATTGTTTTAATTTATATTGGAATTCAAAATAATATTAATGATTGTATTGATGTAATTATATATTATCTATAGATTTATAATTATATATTTATTAGTATCATATATAATAAGTAAATATAATAAATAATTTAATTGAGAAACATGATTGTATCAATATTTAAGAAGTTCTTATTTAATGAATTAATTCCATTCTTTTTGTTTTACTACATTTTGACTATGATTAGTTTCCTCATCATATTGTTTCTCCATTTGCAAATAAAACTAGAATGTATCTTGAAATAACTTAGTGCATTCCATTCGATAATTCTTAGTATATTTGAATTTGTCTGCTCTATTTTACTGTTTATTGATATAATTACTTTTATTTAAAATCTAAAGCACATAAACATCCAATTAGATAATGTCCAGTTTCATGTTCTAATAATCTATCCCATTTGTTTTTTACCCAAGATTTATTATTTAAGCAACACCAACTTTGAATAATTAGACGATATCTTATATTCTATGATCTCTTCATCTTCCTCATATTGATATCAAATGTATATCCAACAGTCCAAAAACAATGAGCTTTCCATGGAGATTACATATTTGGAGATGCTGTAAAATAACTCCAATCAATTTTCAGAATTTTTATTCCATTAATAGTTACAGGTAGTACTCCTTTGAAATCATCATAGTTGAAACAACTAAGAGGATCTTAACATGTATTTTTAGAAACCAATATATCTATAATAATCTTTACTTATTATACTCTCTACATTATCCTCATCTAATTTGGAACAACTCTAAGGTGGACTTGATGTACATGAATTACTACAACATGTAGAATTGCTTGATATGCTTGGTAAATGATGGATTCTTTTAATTCATTAAATAATTACTTAAATTATGATGAAGCTCTTATAGGTAGATTATAGTTTTAACTCCTTTGACTTTATGAAAGCTTTCTATTCTCTCTCTATCTAACCGAGTTCATTATTAAAACTTCAAAAATGTTTTAATAATGCTTTTATTAAAAATCTATGATATTCTAACATCATTAAAAGAACCTATATTTCTATATAAATAAACAATATTCATTCTATTTTTACAAAGAACTTGATGAGTATTATCAGTTAATATAAATTTTATATAACACATTAAATTGTTAAGTATGTTTAAAATATTATATTATCATGGAAATATAATTTAAAATATGATGTAAGAATAATTATTATTAGATTAAATTGAATTATTTTTCATAATTTTATTAATAAAAAACAAAAACACATCAAATTTAAATTTAATGAACTTATTTGAAAAGTTAAAATATATTTTAAGAAGTATATTTACTTCATCTTAAGTTTCTGATAAAGACTCAAAAGATAAAGAATATGAAGAGACAAGTGAAATTATTGCTTCTTTAAGAAAACACTTTTTATCTTTAGAATAAAATAATAAAGAACCATTGAGATTAATTTTACTTAAAAAACTAATTGAATTAAGAAATTAAAAATAAAATTACAAATAACAAGAATTGAACCTACAAAGAATGTAATTAATATTTCCATAATAAAAAACTAATTATAATAATACAACCTCCTAGAGATAGAATCAACCTATATCAACTCCAACATTTCATAATTAGAATTTTGATACATAAAATTACTTCATTAAATAACATATACCTTAATTTATGATAGAATAGAAAATGTAATAATCCTATGAATCTAAAGATTAATAAACATTCTTTCATTAAAATTAGTTATAAATAAACATATAATTGGAATCAATAAGTTTCTCATCTTCATAAAGTCATTTTACTTTTGGGCAATCAAATAGTTTTGGATCATAAATGATACAATAATCAATCTTGAATGCAAAAGAATAACAAACTAAATTTGCCTATAATAATATTGATTGTAAAAATTAAAGTATAAATTTTATAATAATTATTAAGATTGTGGAGAACCCTAAAAAAATTATAGACCAAAACCAAAATTGTTCATTTTTCCAGAAATTGTAGAAGATATGTATGAATCAACACTCCTTACAGAACATAAATTTAGTGAAACAAAAGAAACTTTATGAATTCATTTTTACTGATATTAAATTAATTAATAATTCATAAATATAAATTATTCATTTACTTATTTATTAGTTATTTTCTTCTTAATCTATAATAAATTTATTTTTTAAATCTTATGATGTAACCAATTTGGAAGTAAAAAATGAGAAAGTACTACATCTTTTATTTTAAATTAGCTTTTCTTAATTAATTTATTCATTTTGTACTCCTGGAATATTAAATTATGATCTTTAATTAATATAAATATTAAATATACTTTTTTTCTTATTGAATTGGTTATGCAAAAACATTAGGTACATACTTTGCAAAGTTAGTTGAATCTACTAAATTTAATAAACCACTCATTTAATTTGATAAATCATGTTATTAATGATGTTAATCAAAATTTTAGATATTTTATTAACTTTCAATTTTTATCATTTGATTACTTAAGTAAGATATCAATTATGGTTTATTGCTTATATATATAGATTATGTCTTGGAATCATAAAAAGCAGGAGTTAGATATTTAAATTGGTTTGTATCAACCATTTCAAATTGTTAGATACTGAATTCACTCATATTATTAACTTGTTAATTTTATGGTTCTTAAACTTGTTACTTTATTTGTGTTATTTTATTTCTTTTAACTGTTTAAAATGTAATAGTAGGATTTTCAGATTTATATTTTTTTTTCAATATATCTATTAAGACATTCACAGATTAACAATTATTTTTTTTCAATAAACAATTATATCTATTTTTTACTGCATTTTCACTTCTTTTTGGTTTTAATATCTTTGAGATTAATGCCCATCTCTTTTACTTCTTTTTGACTAATTCTAACAATTCAATATCTTCTTGCATATTCCAAGGATGTCTATTTATCTCAGGATTTAAATGATTATTCCATCTCTCTCTACATTACTTCCCTGTTCTTGGAGAATCTTTAAATTGTATATTTAATAAATTAGCAATATTACACCATTTATTCTACATACCATCTTCTTTGCTTTAACTAAAGCTAATTTTATATTATACTTTATCAATTATATTAATTATTCATCTTACTCTTGTGTCCAAGGTGTTTATTACAAAGATAATTTCAATAGATCATTCCATTTATGTTTACATAATTCTACAGTCCTCCTACTCATTAATTGCTCTACTTCTTCCCACACTTTGATTGGCTATTTTATAAATCAATCATTATACAATTTTTCTAATGTTTATGTTGTCTCTTGAACAGATTTTTAATACAATCCATATCAGAATTTATTTATCTTCCTCTGTCCAATTTTTTTTAATCTTTGGAAGCCATTACTTAGATAATTCTGATTACAATTCTAATATTTATTCATTTGTAAAAAGTTCTTATACGTGTAATTATTCTTAGACAAATCTAAATATAAATGCTTAATACTCGATTGCAGGAATTTCTTTATCTTGATTTTATTCGTAAAAGGTTAAAAAATTAGAGAAAAAATTTCTATTCTTATCAGAAACCTACTGGACACTTTTTTTTTTATCTTACAAATACACTTAAAAATCCTTTTACTTAGTATATTTTTGCTCTATAGATTATTTAGTAAAAGTTTCTTGCTCTCCCAATTTCTTGTTTGCATAATAAATCACTAGTTGAGGAATTATTTATTTAATTTAAGCATATACGTAATATCATGATTTATAGTATAATCTACAATCATTTTGAATTCAAAACAAGAACATTTCTATCAATTTTTTAAACCTTATTCTGACAACACAAAGTTTTAGTTATATTATTTTTACATTTTATTACAACTTCATTTCATTAAAAAAAAAAAAATGTCATATACTATGTTCTACATTTATAATAAATAGTTGATTTATGTTAATTATAAAAAATACTAATATTTGGTTATTCTCCATTAATAGTTAACTTTTTACTTAAATTTGTAATTATTGATCAATTTTTATTTTTATAAGAATTTTAATTTTAATAAAAAACTAGAAATTATTTATCCAAAATCAAAGAAAAGAAATTTATTATGAATAATTCAAAATATTTAAGATTTATCAAAATCATTCTTTTTTTTATAATATTTACTAAATCAGATTTGATTATATAGCTTCGATTTCTTATTTTGTTCGATTGCTTACTTAGATTTAATCTTCCAATTATCGTTTATTTGATCTGATTTATTCTTGAATTTGATCAAATTATATTTGAAATTACTCTAAATCAGATTATTATTGTTAATTGATTAATTATTATCTTATCACTGCAGAAGGTATTGATTACAATCTTTCAAGAAGAGAATTTATTTTTTCATTTTTCTCTGAAATCTTTTTTTATAGAAATAGATTCCTTTCTTCTTATTAAGTTAGGTCTGCATTATTTTTAAATTTAATTTCATTCTCCATCTAGGTTAATTATAAATTTTAATACATTTTCAGATTCTAATTTGATTTTTACAGCTACTTTTTTGATTTATTATTGAAACGTATTAGATAGATTCTAATTAATAGATATTATATCATCTTCTGTTTTGCATGATGGAAGTTTCTTCTCACTGAAATCTGTAAGTTATTACTTGAATTCTTATAAAATCTTTTTATTATTTAAATAAACATTTTATTCTTAATAAAAATCTAAGGTAATTTTATTGATTTCTTAATTAGATTCTGTCAAACCTAATAGTAATTTTTGTGGTATTATTTGAAATGTTTATTTTTAATCTTTATTTGCAGTTCTTAATAACAATTATTTAGATTTATATAGATCCAAACATAAAACTTAAAGGATAAATTATTCTTATTATTTTTTATCATTGCATAAAAATGGTATTAAATCAATACAAGTAACATTTATTGGAGATTAATCTTGTTTATATTGAACTACATTTGAAAAATCAATTGAAATTAATGAATTATGATACAAAAATAGTAATTAATGTCTATTAGGTAAATCATATTAATTTTAAACAACATAAGTAACATTTTCACTAGAATATACAATTTTTGGTTAGTCATTTCTACGTGAATGTGATATTAAAATATCATTCTCAATTTATTTTTAGAATTTTATTTCATCTTAATATATTTCATAAAGTCTTTAGAAATCTTTTCCAATCACTACTTAAACAATTAAATCTTCATTATTTTGTTTAGAAATAATAAAGAATAAATAATAATCAACTATAACCATTTTTTGAAATAAAACATAATTACTTTTAGGTAATTAGTAATTTATATTTTAAAATGATTAAAATTTGATATTTCCTTTTTGATAATCATCCTATGTAGTTATATTATAATTGATTTTGAATTCCTTTTCTGATTTCTCTTTTACAAACTGAACCAATTCTTATTTTGATGCCTATAAATACATCCTAGTTTATAATCTGAAAGTCATATCTGGTAAAATTAATTCATAATAATAAATGATTCCTAAATTATTTAAAAAATATATGAGGAATGAATTAGGATCCTCTATTGAAGCAAAAGAAAAGGCTAATGCATTTCCATTCATAGCAGAATTCAAATTTATTCTTACTATTGGTTGTCTAAGATCTTTTATTTCATAAACTAAGAAATATTATTCTCTAGAATTTATAATATATTATAATACTTCTAATGTGTATGTTATCTATTCAATTCTTGAGATGCCTATAGAAGAACTAAATAATTAGAATTTAGAGGATGAAATCCCGCCTATTAACATAGGTTGATGTTTTTTATGAGGAAAAGATACAGCTTATCATCATGAATAAATCCAGCATAAACTTCTTTGATCAAAAGTACTGATTACTAATCATTTCGATTATTATTTGTCTTGATTGATTATTTTACTATTGATTAAATAAGAATTATTACTTAAAAGAAGAGCCTTATTATCAATCATTTAGAACTCAAAAATTGAATTTCTATATTATTCTTGCTATATTTCTGTTTCTGAGAAACTATTCAATAATTTAACTTAATATTCTTATTCATCATATCTTTATTAGAAAATGAATTAGCTTAAAACAAATCTATCATTTATGTATTTCATTCTATAAACATCTTGATTATCAAAAGTAAGTTAATTTAATGGCAAATATTTAATCCAATCATTACTTGTCCCTTCCTCTGTTTTTAGTTATTGTTTTGCACTATTATCATAAGAGATTTGAAGTTTTTTGGATAGATCACTTAAGAGATCATTAAATTATTCCATCCATTTTTTTAGTGTGTTATTGGACATTATTAATAAAATTATTTTAAATAATTTAAATAGTAATAACAATATTAAATGAGGGATATTATAGTATTCTTTATTTTATTTGAATCAATTATTTTAATTTATCTAAGATGATGAATGACTAATTAAAATTATATTCATATATCTCTAAATTAATAAATGAATACTTTAAATAACATAAATTCTAATCATTTTCTTTATAATTACTAAATAAAATCAAATAAAAAATTACAAACATTTTTATGATTAGCCTAGAATGTGGTATTTGTAACTCCTTTATTTATAGATAATCATAAATAACTTAAAGATTAAAATAAATATAATTAATATTATAGTTTATTTTAATATATAAGAAATTATCTTTGAAAACATAATTTAATAAGGAGTTTATCTAATGAATAGAAAAAGATAAGAAGAAAATAAGTAGAAATTCAGAAACTAAGAAATTCATAAATTTAATTCTTGTTTATTATATTATTATTTAATGAATTGTAACATAGAGATATTTATATTAAGTTTTCTAAATAAAAATTATGATTGGTTGATTTATGAATATTCGGATTTAAAATTACAATATACAACCTCTTAATTTTATTTCCATTAATTTCAAATATAATAAAAGAGAGAAAATGGCAGGAAAATCAGGAAAGGGAATTGGCAAAGTCAGTGCTAAAAGACATGCTAGAAAACCAAATAAAGCTTCAATTGAAGGAATTACAAAACCAGCAATTAGAAGATTAGCAAGAAGAGGTGGAGTAAAAAGAATTTCATCATTCCTTTATGATGACTCAAGAAATGTTTTAAAGAGTTTCTTAGAAAATGTTGTTAGAGATGCAATCACATACACTGAACATGCAAGAAGAAAGACTGTAACAGTCATGGATGTTGTTTATTCATTAAAGAGATAAGGAAGAACACTTTATGGTTTTGGAGCATGAGTTTTTTTTATTAGTTTTATATGAAGATTTTAATTAATTCAAATCCAACTCTTATTTTCTTAAATAAACATTAATAGAGTAAGATGTACTTAAATTTTCAATTAAGTTTTTAAGTAAAAAATAAGATAACATATTATTGGTCGGATTCAAATAAAATGGAATAATTTTAAATATTAATAATTTAAAATATGTAAGTATCACTGTTATTATTCATAAATGGCTTCTTCTTTTATCATATCCCATTCTACTAAATAACCTTTAGTACTCATGTTAAATTTACTTAATTCAACATCCTATAATATATGTTTAATTTATACATGATGGAATTTGAATTTAAATGGATTTTATTCAGCTCTTTCAATCATTTATTTAGTAGTTTATGAAATTTGTACTCTGCCTTCTTCTCCACTACTTTCCATCTTATTAGCTATTGAAACATCTTTACCATAAATATCATATCTGACAATATCTGTTCCTATAATGCCACCTATAACATGACCTGTGTGAATGCCTATTCTCATATTAAGTTTTTCAAATTTAATCTTTTATCTTACTTACATAACGATCTCAACCATCTGAAATCCCATTTTAACAGTATTAATGGCTTCTTAAATAGGCTAATTAAATAAATATGATTGTTACATTTCTTTTAGCACTGTTAGTGAATCCCATAACAACATAACAGTCACCAATTGTATACATTTTATATACATTATATCTTTAACATAATTTATCGAATTCTGTAAATAGATTTCTAAGCATGGTCACAACTCCTTCTGGTGTTTAAGTATGAGAATATTCAGTAAATCCTTTGATATCTGCAAATAATAAAGTGACATCTTCAAATTCATCTATGAAATCACTCTTGTCATGTATTGAATTATTTTTCATTTTTAAATAAGAATGCATTGGTAATAATTGACTCACCAAATTAATTTATTTGACTTTTTTATCTTCATTAATTTAAAGATTGTTAAACATTTGAATCTATTCACTCATAGCCCAATAATAACCCAATAAAAGAATTAACATACAACAACAAATATAAAAGATTGCAAAATGAGTTACTAAATCTGAAGCAATGTAAAAGGCCAAGAACAACCCTAACATTATCAACATATAAATGATCACTTAAAAGAAAGTAAACATCTTCAATTAACATGTTACAATCATTATATAAAGTATTTCTAAAAGACATATGATAGCAACTTCAGAATTGTCAGTTAGGTATGCTTAATATAATACTGTAAAAACAGCATATATTAATAAGAGGAAATACATGAGATTCACTAATAGATTCCTATAACCTTTGGATAAAATAGGGAATAACACGATTAACAAAAATAAAAATATTGCCTAGATTATAATGGAATTAGTACTCTTAAAACAAAAATTAGAAGATCTTATTTGAATAGTTTGCGAACTATTATAGATAACAATGTGATTACAAAGTAGGTGATCCATAAAAATACCATAGCAACTTTAGATTCCTAAATATTCTATTCTTTTAATATCTAAATGAAATTCCCTTTTATCTCATTTTCAGGTATATCCAAAATAATATTGGGTCTTATTAAATCTAATTAATCTTTATCCTCTTTTTCATTTGTAACAAAAACAGATTCATCTAACAATAATGAATCAGTTGGTTGAACTAGCAAACTTAATCTAGATTTATTATCTGCCTCTTAAGGTGAATTTTATTACATAAAAAATTAAACTGGTAGTTAGCTTTTTGGAGATGTTTCTAATCTATTTAATAATTTTCTATTATCCACAGAAATTGAGTTTTACAATGAAGATAAGAATTGACCTTTTTTTGATACTATTTACCTTTGACTCTTCCATTATCTTAAATCTTTTACAACAATCTTTGTACAATTCTGCCACAATATAAATGCCTTAGGTATCTAATAACCTATTGGTTTAGTCTTAAATACTTGATAAGTATCTATAATTCCTAATCCTTTAGCTTCCTTTTATTTTTTTGAGTAATATTTTATTCCATGTCTAGCTTATTTAAAAGCTTCTTCACTTAAAGTTATTTCACCAGTATCACCTGTAGAACCTACTCTACTTGTTTGATTTACTGGATCACCTATTAATGAAAATTATGGTTTATGATGTCCAATCACACCAGCAATAACTCTTCCAACATGTATTCCAATCTTCATTTCTATCTGATTTCCCTTTCCATATTTTCTACCTTATACTTATTACATCATATCAAATGCCATATTGATTAATCTAGTTGTTTTTTCTGTTCTTATTACATGAACAGCCATATTTTATTCACAAGCTTTAATTCCTGTAGCTGCCATATAAGTGTATCCTACAGTTTCTATCTTTTATACTCCATGTTCAATACATAAATTATCATATGATCTAAATAAAGAATCCAACATTAATACTACATTTTTACCTTCTTCTTTCATTATAGTATCAAAATCACAAATATAAGCAAATAAGATTGATACATCATCTTAAGCTAATTACATTAAATAAATTCCAGTTGATATTTATTCTCTAACAAATCTAGGAACAAGAATACTCAAAATATCTAATGCAATCATATTATCTTATTCAATTGCATATTTTGCTAAATAATCATTTCTTCTATGTTTAATTGATTTATAATAAGTGAATAAAAATCTAATAGTAATACTAATCACTAATAATATTTAAGTACTAGCAGCATATATAGATATCCTACTTTATGAATATGTTCCATTTGAAGTACTTAAATCAGTAGATACTACAATAATTAATATTCTAACAATTAATTGTATTAAATAACAGATATTGTATAACATAATAGGAATGACAGTCATATTCATAGAATTGAATGTACTAAATAGTATTACTAATGTTGCAGATAAAGTAATAGTTAAATCATTTGATAACCAATCAATTGCAACTTTAATTACAAATATTATTAAAACAGTTAAATGAGAATAAGTGTAGTATTCTTATTCCATAATAGATGTACATGTAAACAATAAAATTAGTACTACAATAGCAAAGATAATTAAATATTAGACTCCAGTATATACTCTAAGATCATTAATAAAAAAATCAGTTAAACAATATGCTATGAAATAGAGTAGTAAAATGCCTAAGAAAAAACGTAAATGATTGAGTGATTGAGATAATTTATGAGCAAGGAACTTTTATTCAAGGACTAATTCCTTCATTTCTAATGTCCAAGGTTTAAGTTTCATTTCAGTTACTTTAGTGTCTCCAGGATTAAGCATTTCTGAAATATAAGGAGATGCGGTAGAACAATCAATAAATACATGTTTTATGATTGTAGAGACATTTCTAAATATAAATACAATATTTACAAATTTTGATCTAAACATTAATTGATTATTTGTAAATATGTAGTATCTTCCCATTATGTACCATCTTTATTAATAAATGCAAATTATTCATAGGCAGTTGGAAATAAATTTAATTTAATGAAATCATTAAGGAAATACTTGATAAAGAAACATCCAAATAAGCAAAATATCATTCCAACTATACTATTATATCTAGTGAATAATTGATAAGTTATTTCTTAGTAATCAATATCACTGAATTATCCTCTGAAATTAAGAAATACAAAACCAACTAATAATCCAAATGTGAATAAACATATAATAATTACAATATGTACATTATGTTAGATCAATCTAAATAAGACTTTTAATGTGGATACTATGATTACAATATAAATGATACTGGTTGCTACCATTTATAAATCACTCTGAATACCATCATTAGTCCAAGAATAATTAACCATATAAGTACATGAATAAAAAGTGAAGGCTGCTGATAAAAGTGATTCCAAAAATGCTTCTATTAAATAATAAAATCCAAACATTCTGGTTCTGATTTGACCATCTACATATAATGTAGGAATTGTTGTATTTACTTATGGATTTGTTTATAAATCAGCTAATCCAATTACTAAAGCATTAGGAGTTGTATATAAGAATATGAATAAAAATACTGTCATTGAATCATGTAATGAAGTAGCAGTGAATTAACAAAACCAATTAAAAAAGAATAGTGTCATACCTAAAAAGCCTGCACAATAAAATAAATATTTTATCATAGAAGAAACGCGTTCAGAGTGTAGTTTACACTTTTATAATAATAATACTTTTATTTCTTTTAATGTATTCACACTAATATCTCCAGCATTAACTTATGGATATATATGATTTAATTTGCTATTAATTATTTCAATGCTTATATGTGAGGCTTACATCATTAAAGCATCATTGTAACCATCTCCAACTCCTAGAATTGTTGGTTTATTTGGAAAATAATCTTTAATTATTATACATGCTAATTCTTTCTATTATGGATTCATATTAAATCCTATCATATTCTTACAAACACATGCTAAAAATCTAAAATGACTCATTAGATATATTGATTAACTTATTAATGATAAAGAATGACCATTTATAACTAATACAAATTATAACATTTATTAATATGATGCACCTTCAAATAATGTTACACTTGATTTAATCATACTTCTACTCATTGATTATTATTATGCATGTTTCTCTTATTATTTAATTAATGATTTCTCTGATATTTTATATAGTTCACTTTATATATATCCTATTGCAGTATTTATTTATAACCATATCTAATCCTTATCTGTTGCAACAATCCTTAAATATCTAGATGTTTCTGTCATTTCCAAAGCCTAAGCACAACTAATTGTCTATGCTTCTTAATCTCCACTCAATAACCAAATATTAATATTGCATTCTTTAACAGTTTTAATGAAATCTAATGCATCATTCTTTAATTCCTCTTTAAATCCTATCATTCCCAATAAACTTAAATCTCTTTCATATTCTTAAGCTAATTCTTCTAATAAACTATCTTAATTGGTCAAAGAACTATAAAATAAATTAAATTTTTGTTTATAATTCTTTGTCTCTTTTTCACTCAATACTCTTGTTGCATAAACTATCATTCTTATACCTCTCATTTTATAATGTTAAATATAAGCATCTAATTCTTCTCTCTCTTTATAATTTTATTATAATTTTAATTTAATAGTTTCATAATCACCTTTACAAATTAATAATGATTTATTTTTAGATCCTTCTCCACATAATTAATTTAAAGCCTAATGTTCATATCCCAATTCTAAATCCATAGTCATTGGTACTTAAATTACTACTGAATTTAAATTTCTATTGTAAGTAAATAAATTTAATCCTAATATTTGATAACAAATTGGATTTCCCCTTACTTTACATAAATAAATATCTGGACCATCAAATTTATTAAAATTCTCTAATGAATATCCACAAGAACGAGCAAATGTTAATGAAATCTCTTCATTCTTAGAAAATGATTCATATGATATTGAATCAGAACCAAAAACTGGTCTAGCTTCATGACATAACATTAAACACTTTAAAAATGCATCATAATATAATGTATTAATGTCTTTAGTTTACAAATATTCTTACTATGGAGAACTGTTTCTCAATTAATTTACTAATTACATAAATTCATCATTGTTATTACCTGGACTATTTCTAAGTTTTGGTTGAGGTAAAAACATTCTTGTTTATGAATAATCTTAATACTATTATTAATATTACTAATCCATATTGATAAAAGTCTATCTTTTATTAAATGGCTAAGCAGTAACTTAATTAAACATTGGATTATTATTAGGAGTCTTAACACTTTTAAGAAATAATTTACTACTTGGTTAAATCTCAGTAGTTTGATTACTCTTCTTATCATATTCAAATGGAATCAAATATTCATTATTATCATTTATGCTTGCAAATTTTATTGGATCCTCATTATCATCTTATTTTGCTGATTTCTAATTTAATGTCAATTACAATTAATCATAATTCAAACTGAAAGCTAATTATCCAAATAATAAATTATCCAATTTATAATATGATGTAGTTAATGTACCTGTCTTATCTATTAACATATAATCAACATGTCCTAAATCACATAAATTATTAGATGAGATGATCTTTACATATTTTACTAAATTCTCTTCAATTTAATTAATTTCGAATTTAAATAATGAAATGAAATTTACTATATCAAATAATAAATATAAAGTAGAAGGAATTAATTATGAATATAATATGGCTAATTAAAATACTTTCATCCCATTAGTTGTATAATTGTCTATAATTAATGCAAAATTGTTTTCATCTGATCTAGCTAATAATACAATTATAGATATAAATGTAAAAAATAATGATAAACATGCCATCAGAAAAGAATAGAAATTAAATTATTTTTCTTCAAAACTATACTTTTATGATCCATAATGACTACTTTACATTGTTTTAGTATTTTAACCAACATATACAACTAAACCAAATAACCATGAAGTCTATTTAATTTTAGTACCTTTGGGAATGAAATTATCAATTGTTAATTCTTCATATTTTGGATCCTTTTTCAATTTCAATCTACCATGAAATGTTTATGTATTTCCATTTGGAGCTTCATATTCTAATTTACCAGTCAACATTATTCTATATTCTTAAAATTAATTTTTTAATCTGGTTCTTAAAACAATTAATTAAGTTAGATACGATGATTTCTTTTTTGTTAAACTTGATTTACCATCATAATATTAAGTATCTACCATACAAATTGCTTCTCTATCTCTAACTTATCCAGTATCTAATAGTATGATATCAGCAGGTACAATATCTCCTTTGATTAGATATAAAATATCTCCCATTTTAATATCACTCCATTTTATTGATTCAATTTAACCATCTTTATCTCCCCTTGATGTTTTTTGCATATTGATTTTATGATCATAACTTTATCTACGAATATCAAGTATAAATTCAATTATAACATAGAAGAGTACACTAAGTCCTATAGGGAATATTGTGATCCACCTATAAAAGGGAGATAGAGTAGGATCTATGAGCATAATTAATGAAATTCCAAGTAAGTAGATGTTTCCAAATCTGACTAATCCTGTGAATAATGTTTTGGGTAGAAAATTGAGTAACTAAACAATTGAATATAGATGAGTAAATTTACTGTATATTTACGAGTATTGAAAATGTTCTTATTCTAAGCAACACTAAGCAACTAAACATTTCCTTTATGCAATTCCATTGTAATCAGTTCTGAGTCTTCTGTATAACAAATGGAGAGACATTTTCTGAATCGTGATAACCATTTTTCTACAATTTAATGGTGATTTTAATTCATAATTGATTTTAGTAATAATATATTTTCATTGAATATGAATGCTCATTCAAGAAGAAAAATAGCTCATTTGGAAGTTCCAGAAGTATAAGATAACCAAACAATGATTGCATATGCTAAATGCTAATTTTGTTTAGGAGAATGTTTTGGTTGTTTAAGAACCTGGATTCCTTGTATTTTTTGTATGTGTGTTAATTATCCATACTAAGAAGTTCAATAAGGTTAATAATTCCAATCTAATCTTTAGGTACTGAAGGATTGTTCAAAAGATTTGGAAGACACATTAAAGTAGTTAGACCAGGATTACATTATGTTAATCCATGTACAGATACATTAGAACAATTAGACTTAAGAATTACTGTTATAGATTTAGATAGATAAGTAATATCTATTTAATATTCTTTAGTCTGTTATGACCAAAGATAATGTAACCATTTCTATAGATGCATCTGTTTATTATAGAATCAAAACTTCTCGATTTGCTGTTTATAGAGTGGAGAACTATGATTAAGCAGTTCGTCAAATTACTTATGCTGTCCTCAAAAACACAGTAGGATCCTTTATACTTTAAGATTTACTAGAGAAAAGATAGGAAGTTGCAGATTAAATAGAAGATCAGGTTGATGAATATGTGAAAGATTGGTATATAGAATAATTATAATAGGGGTGTATTAATTGATAATATCTACATGAAAGACATATAATTGTCTCCTGATCTCCAATAAGCACTAGGTTCAGCAGCCACTGAATAAAGATTAGCATAAGGAAAGTTAATAAGTGCTAGAGCAGATGTGGAATCAGCCAAGTTGATGAGATAAGCATCTGAATTTTTAGATTCTAAAACTGCCATGCAAGTAAGATATTTAGAAACATTACAACAATTGGCTGGCAGTAATGGAACTAAAGTATGTTTTGTACCAGATGAAAAAAACTAAGAAAAATTAATGCATCAAATAACTCAAGGATTATTAGCATGAAGATATAAATATTTCATAAAATTATCATCATTAATTATTGCCATTATATTATACTGACATTTACTCATTACTCTCTAGATATAATTATTTATGATTAATTCAATAAATAAAAGGATTTTCAAAAATTTATGTTTTTATTATCAATAGGAAATCTAATTATTAAATATTACAATTTATGAGAGTTGTTAGTGAAACACAATATTATAAAGTATTAGCTAAACTCTATGAAAAATGTGCATCCTTATCAGCATAATTAGATATTTATGAATTTGATTCTCCTAAAATTGAATAATAATAATAATCAGAAAATAGCAATGATAAAATAATAAATAAAACTCAAAATAAAAAAAAATAGAAATATATCTCTAATACAATTATCAAATTATAAGAAGAATAATAAAAATAAAAGTACTAATTTTTGTCAAAAAATAAAAAGATTATTTAATAAAACAATTAGAAGTCTAAAAAAATTAATAAGAAAATTAAGAAACCTATAAATTATGATTTTGAATATTCATTTTCTTAAACATCATCCTCATATAATTGATAACTTTAATTATTAAGAAATTTAAAATATATAATTACATAATTTATAATACATCTACTCATATTAGAATATTATCTTCTTAACTTATCTGTTCATCTTTCTACTTAGTGTAAAATTTCTTATTGGCTAAATTTTTATGTTTTACTCTAGTACTCTTACTAAAATAAGAAATTATTATTATTATTACATATTATAATCATCCATCTCTACATCTCCATACATTTATTATTGTTATTCATCCTCAAATGGTTGATTGTAAGGCATATATAATTGTACAATCATACATAAATATATATTTATTAATGCCCATTCATTAATAGTACTAGAACTAGTTAATACAATTGGTTCCAATATTGTCACTAATTGATAATAAACTAAGGCAGAAAAACAAATAGTAGATAAAACATGCAGTAATTTATAATTTCTAATCTCTCCTTAACCCTCTGATTCTTTTATTTATTAACCTTCATAAAATGGATCATGTTATTTCTCATTCTCATTAATTCGAGGTTCAGTTATTAAGATTGCTTACTCTTTTCGATTAAAAGATTTGAATAAAAGAAATACATAACATACAGAATATCCTATTAAACTTAAAATTACAAATTTCAAGTAAGTATTATAAAATGGAATTTCAACTCTAGGATCATATTACATTAATTCTTCTTGCATTATAAAAATAAATGTATCCATTAATGCTTATGGAACTGTATATAAAATAACTAATAGCAATTTTAATACATTCCAAATACTGAATTATTTTTAATTGATTTATCCATCATCATCAGAAGATTATGTTTATTCTAATTCAAATATTTATAGCCAAAAATAAAATAATCCTGATTAAATGAATAATTCTACTAAATTCTAATAATAGTGAACAAATTAGCCAAAATGATTTCGAATTAGAAGGATTGGAAAATTATAAAGAACCATTCCTATTAATAAAATCAATAGCCATTAATGTCTAATTATATAGAAATAAGTACATTTTAGGCCAAATTTATTTTGGATAATCACTCAAATTGCTAAAGAAATAATAAATGCCATATATTATCAAAAATAGAAAAAGAACCTATAATATATTAATATAATATAAATTTACTTAAAAAATCAAAATCATAGTATAGTATTGATTATTTTCATATAGCAAAGTCAAAGTTTGTGAATGAATAGCTAATGCATTATGATGGAAGATTAATAATTGAAATTGGAGTTCCTTATAACCATTATTAATGATTGATTCTAGATAGCCATTACATTAGATTTATTAACTCTTAAATCTACATTTTAATGATGTTGAATGTGTTTCATTAAGTACAAGAGTTTAATTTTCTGAATGTACTATTAATTAGTATTTCATATCATTAAGTATTTCATCTTCTTTAACCATAACATGTTCTAAATCATAATAATCATTCTAAAAACATTAAATTATTAAATACTTTATTAATTGTAACATTTAGATTCAATTCCACTTCACTTATATTTTAAATAGGAAATGTATATTTTCCTGTGGAATTTGTATAATTTAAATTCTAATATTCTTGTTAATTGGTATCTGCATCAAATTTAGTTAATCTAATATCATAGGATAAGTATTTTTTTCTATTGTTTATCATCATTATCTACAAAATGACATAGAATAGAAACCATCCAAATATTCTAATGCATATACCATCTTTAGATATCTTATCAATTTTAAGTGAAATTTAAGGTCTCAACTAAATCATGATTTTTATTTATAAAAAATATAACAATTCAATATAATTTTACTTTTTCATCAAATTCATGATCAAATTAATTGTCATAAACTAGATCATCTCCATCTCTACTGAATTCATCATTTTCATAATAAGAAAATGTAAATGTGCTTGATCCTATTGAAGACTATAATATTAGAATCTAAACAATACTGAATAATTTTCAGAATGAACTAACTTCATATCACTATTAGAAGTATCAGAATATTCAACATCCATATTCTAATTTCTTTCAAATGTTTATGAATTGCCATTCTATTATTAATTATTTCCTTATTTATATATTATTTAATATTTGTTTTATCGACCTAAAAGATGTTTTTGAATATGTGAATAAAACCTATTCTTTACCATATTTTCCTAAATATCTATATATATATACTGATCTTCCTTTTAAATGTTAAGCAACTAAACTCCATTTAGCTCCATATTAATTATAATATTTCACTATTTCTTAATCTTCTTATTCTGTCCATGCAACAAAATTAAGATTTGGATCTAATTTATTAAGATATCTTTCTCTAATCTATTTTCCTGTTCTTCCAGGAAAATGTTTAGCTAATTTAGTCCAATTTTTGCCTTCAAGTGATACCATAGAAACTAATTTTGTATCCTCATCTTGAGTCCACTTTTATTTACTCTAAAATAAAATAATTAATATACTTATATTGGATTAATCCTTCTCCATCTTTAAGAACATTATGAAATATTCCTATCTGGCATAAATTAAATTATTTTATTCCAATTACCTTAATATTCTTGATATAGTTTCCTTAATCTCTAATCTTCTTCTGGTTACCATATTTTCACAACTCTTTTATCACTATCAATTTTTTCTTTGTTTTTGCTTATTTTCTTTTTCAAACCTTTCTCTTATTTCTCTTAAGACTTAGAACTATAAATTTTTATAAATCATTTTTGTTTACCGTTTTCCTAAATGATCTTTTTCATAGTTATGATTCAATTTTAACTATTCATCATCTTAAAAATTAAATTGATTCTCTTCAATATTATCCTCTTCAAAACTACTCTTTTTTTATTGTTTCTCATCATTCAATTAGAAATAATTGTCAGTTGGCGATACTATTGATGATTATGGTTTTGATTCTTATAAAATTCAATATTTTACTACTTTATATCTAATTAGTACATCCTTTTCCAAGGTCTAACTCAATCCTTTTCTGTTCAATTATTTACTCCTCTTAACTTTTATTACTATTTTGAGATTTTGTATCTTTATCATCTTTCTGCCGTTTAGAGCAACAAAAATTGAATACTAAGTCTAGAAACATTGTTGGATGTTTTTAGTTGTTATATAATATTTTATTAATTACGATATTAGAACAAAGAATTTTATAAAAATATCGATACATCAACTAAATCTTTAATTTAATATCGTACTGTTTGTCAAAATTTAATATCATTTCAGTAAAACTATTTTATGTTTATTTTAATTTCCATATTTCTATTTATGCGTTCATTCATTANTTAAGCAACTAAACTCCATTTAGCTCCATATTAATTATAATATTTCACTATTTCTTAATCTTCTTATTCTGTCCATGCAACAAAATTAAGATTTGGATCTAATTTATTAAGATATCTTTCTCTAATCTATTTTCCTGTTCTTCCAGGAAAATGTTTAGCTAATTTAGTCCAATTTTTGCCTTCAAGTGATACCATAGAAACTAATTTTGTATCCTCATCTTGAGTCCACTTTTATTTACTCTAAAATAAAATAATTAATATACTTATATTGGATTAATCCTTCTCCATCTTTAAGAACATTATGAAATATTCCTATCTGGCATAAATTAAATTATTTTATTCCAATTACCTTAATATTCTTGATATAGTTTCCTTAATCTCTAATCTTCTTCTGGTTACCATATTTTCACAACTCTTTTATCACTATCAATTTTTTCTTTGTTTTTGCTTATTTTCTTTTTCAAACCTTTCTCTTATTTCTCTTAAGACTTAGAACTATAAATTTTTATAAATCATTTTTGTTTACCGTTTTCCTAAATGATCTTTTTCATAGTTATGATTCAATTTTAACTATTCATCATCTTAAAAATTAAATTGATTCTCTTCAATATTATCCTCTTCAAAACTACTCTTTTTTTATTGTTTCTCATCATTCAATTAGAAATAATTGTCAGTTGGCGATACTATTGATGATTATGGTTTTGATTCTTATAAAATTCAATATTTTACTACTTTATATCTAATTAGTACATCCTTTTCCAAGGTCTAACTCAATCCTTTTCTGTTCAATTATTTACTCCTCTTAACTTTTATTACTATTTTGAGATTTTGTATCTTTATCATCTTTCTGCCGTTTAGAGCAACAAAAATTGAATACTAAGTCTAGAAACATTGTTGGATGTTTTTAGTTGTTATATAATATTTTATTAATTACGATATTAGAACAAAGAATTTTATAAAAATATCGATACATCAACTAAATCTTTAATTTAATATCGTACTGTTTGTCAAAATTTAATATCATTTCAGTAAAACTATTTTATGTTTATTTTAATTTCCATATTTCTATTTATGCGTTCATTCATTATCTTATTATTTTACAAATAACTTTTACAATCATAAATAAATTAGATATTTTATATTCATATACATTACATTAGATTTATTAAATTCAAATAGAGGTTAATAATCAACTTACTTCATCTTAAAAACATTCAAATATTAGCTCTCCTTGTTCATTCTCATATTCTCTAATTCTATCCTCAGTTTTTAATTCATTCAATTCCAAAGTTTCTGAATTATCCAATGAAGTATCCTTTGGATGAAACATATGAGCACACAAATCAAGAACTGTTTTTTTATCTATTTCTGCAGCCTCATTCTCTAAATTTATATTAATTTCTAATACCTGTATTTATTACACTATAATATTCAACAAATTCACTTATTCTCTCTACAAATCTACATTCCTCCATCTATTTAGCAAAGTTCTCTTTACTTAAATATGATAAACATATTAAAATATGCATCATAACACTTACTTAAATCTATTCCTTTATAAACTTTAATAATTATTCCATAATCTAATATTATTATTATTTATTTATACTTAATGAGTAAATCTAGATTGTTTCTCTAAATATTATAGAGTGTATGGAGTATGAATAACATTTGCTAAAGTTGCAGAAGCAAAATCTAAACAAAAAATATGAATTTTTGTGTTTATTGATTTTTATATTAATGATATAATCCATTGAATCATCTCATTATGAACATATGTAGGAATTACTGTTTCTTTAATACTTGCTTTCTATAAAATAGCTAAACAAAATCTTTGAGTCACAGACCCATTTTCCTATTCTTTTAAGATTTTTATTATTTTCTCTATAATTATCATATTACCATTAAATGTCAAATACTCTACACCCCTTAAAGTGCTACTAATTACACTTATTAAACTAGTAATAGCATGTCTTAAACTTTAATTATTTATATCCAATAGATGTACAACAAAGTCAAACTTTTCAGTTGCTTCAATATTAAAAACATCATTTCTAATTAATTCATAGACCAAATTTTTTCTTAATTCTGGTGCTATTTAAAGTGCATTAACTCTCAAAGACAATAATACTTCTATCATTCCATCTACATTTTTATCTTAATAATTTTTATAAAGTTTAGTTTTATGTTCATGCATGACTTATTCAGTTATTAATTCAGTTCCTTCTGGCTTTCCTTCATTAATAATTACTTTATGATATTTTCCTAATTAAATTTTATAATTCTCTAGTGATTCACTAAGAGTTTCATTCTTTGCAGTTTCTTTTAATGAATGTAATAATTATAAAAGATTTATGCTAACTGAAAAGATTTGTCTCCCTGCTTGTAAAATTTATTGATATTTTTTATTAAATAATTTCTATTCCTTCTCTAAATTAATCTCTCTTTTAGTTTTAATATTATCAGTTTTGAATAATTGAAAGATTCTTGGCATATCATCATTTGATTATTTTGATTATTGTTATTTATTTGACATCTAATTTTATGAATTTCAATTACTTTACTGGATACCTATTTACTTTTTATTTCTGCTTCAAAACATTCAAATGTGTTAGAATAAGCTGAATATCTAAGATATTCTTTGATATATTCATTTATCTCATTAGGATCTGGAACCTAAGAAAATAGTTAATTTGAATTTCCAGTTTTCATTATTTATATATTAATATCTAATATTACATAAATCATGGTTAGAGTGTTGAATAAACTTAATTTAAATATTTTGAATAGTGTAACATTGATTTAATAATCTATTGATGTATAATCTTATAATCAAATAATCCAATGTATATTAATGATCTTGGATCAAGTAATTACATAAATGAATATATCAAAATTGAAAAGCATTAATTAGGTTACCAAAGTTGATACATTGTTATACAATGAAATAATAAATTCTATGATTTCCAAATTGGATTTGATTTGAGAGAGAAATTCTTTAAATACTCCTAATAATAATAATGTTAGTTAATTGCATGATAATTTATTGTTAGATAATTATGATTGAATATGTACGGATGTTATGGAGTTAAATATTATAATTTGCAAAACTATACTGCGGAACAAATGTTTTAGGAGTATGAAGTTTATAAAAAATTTGCATATTATAATATTATAGTAATTAAGTTTTTAGCACTTCTTTGGATTCTAGTTTTAAATTATTTGAAATAAATCATAGACATACTTAATGGACAGCTAAGAATAATAGAACAGAGAAGATGATTTAATAATTGAATCTTAAGAAGAAGACAATCAGAAAAAGAAGAAAGACAAGAAAGAAAAGAAACTACTTAAGAAGCTTGAACAGAAAAAGCCAATCGATGGTAAATAATAATTTGGAGATAAATCTATATGCCGATTATGTAAGGTGACAACAATATCAACCCCAACTGTGATCTGCATCAGATGCCACTTTAAGTACCATTAGGAATGCATACGAACTTAAAATAAAGAGCCATAATTTCAGGAGGGAGCCAAATGGCATTGTCTATCATGTATAGAAAGAATGGCCAAAAGAAAACTAAAAGAGTCAGAACCTTAGAAAAAGAAGAAAACCAATCAAATACTTGAATTTTTTTAGAAAACACCATAGACATAAGAAGATAAAACTAAAAAACATTCAGAATTTCAGCAAAAATACCCAACATATGTTTCTTAAGGAAGAGTAATTTTTCCAATATTTGATGAATATCTTACTGCATATTAAGGATTATTTAATATAGAGATTAAAAAGAAGCCTCCACTTTAATTAGATCCTAATATACCTTAAGAGATGTTTGAAGATGTTCTTAAGATATGGGATAGTTATAATAACATGGATAAAATAGTTAGTGATATTTTGTATGCAGGAGAACAATAAGCTGAATGTATATAATTATATAAAGAATTTAGAATAAAGTTAAGTCAATAATATTGGCACTCTCATCCACTTTAAAGATAACCATATTCCTTATAGTGAAAAAAGTAGACTGGAAATATATGAATTAATACAGACTAAACCAGAACAACTGATCTTATTTTTCTGTTACTTCTACTTAAAATAAATCATAGAAGATTTTGATTAAGAATAAATGCAAAAATAATAATATGTAATATTACATCATAATTTCTAATAGAAAATTCCATACTGGCATCTTCTAGGATATATGTGGTTTACAAATAGAAATAGATATTACGAACTCCTAAGAGATGATATCAAATAACTCCCAACCAATATTGCAAGATAAGGAATCTTGTAATTATCATTAGATTTAATGGACTTTACTGATTACACTGACCTCAAAAAGGTTTGCAGACTTATTATCTCTTTATCTGATGGTTTGGCTGGGTTAAAAAAAACTTAATTTCTATATTAATTTAGAACAGAAAATCTATTGTCAAATAATCGAATCAAATAATAATTAGGAATGTAAATCAAATAATAAAGAAGTTAATAAATTGATATAAAAAAAGAAATTATTGAAGCAGAAGGTAATATCTCAATTGCTAAAGTAATAATTAATAATCAATATAGTCTTAATTATAATCAGATGGTTTAACTAGAGTGGATGCACAAAAGTTTACTCGCCAAATGGAAACCGCCTAAAAGTAGGCTCAAAAATTGAAATAGTAGTATTAAAAATTGGAAAAAGAAATTATAACTCTCACTGAAAGATATAATGAATACGATAAAGTAAATATTTATCAAATACCATAGGAATTAGCCATTACATAAATGCCTGCCTTATTATTGAACCCATCTATGTGTTTAGGATAAGATGCCAGACATAGTTCTTACTATTTCTTTCTTTATGAACCAGACAAGATTTTTGTTTGTATGAGACACTCAATCATAGATGATGATGGATCAGTATAATGGGGATATTATGACAATAAAGAAATCCCTAATTTACTAAACTCTTTTTGTGCTAAAGGAATAAGGGAAAATACATTAAAGAATAATATTGTTGAATTATAAAGAGCCAAATTATTAATTGAACCTGACTAAAATAATGAATAAAATGAATCCATATAATAAGAAAATCTTAAAAATGGAAAAAAATTAGAATAAGAAATAGAATAAGAAATCAATTAACATAGTGAATAACCAGAAAGAGTCAATAGTTTATTGAACTTAGAAGTAGATTAATTAACAAATGAATTTATTGAAATAGAATCCAGTTTAACATAATATTTAAATCAAAAAAATTCAAGATGGTGTAGTACAGAATAGAGAAACTATTTCATTAAAAGTTTCTAAAATATAATTGATAAGAAAAATCCATAAGAATATGATGAAGATGATTTGAAACCTTTAGCAAATGCAATTGAATATTTTGTAGACAATACTATGATGTAAGAAAAGCTAGAATTAAGATTAGAAGAGGATATTGATGAAAAATTTATAGAAAATGAAGATGATTCTTATTAATAACCTAATAGAAGAAGAAAAGTTGTTGAAGATGATTCCTCTCTTGATGAATAACCTTAAACAATTCTCTAATAATTAGAACAAATGGAAAATAATAAAGTAAGAATCAGAAAATTACCTATGAAATTATTTGGTACTTATTATGAAACTCTAAGATTAAATTTAATTGGATAGTTAAAAAATGAATGTACTCTTCCTAGAATGAAAATATGTCTAGAAGTTTTAGGATAGATTGTTAAGGATTATATAGATAGGAAAAAAATTCAAGTTTAATAATTTATTCAACCTCCTATTGAAAAGAAAAAATTTGAAGAATCAACAACTAAAAAAATTATTGAATAGTAAATTGATCATCAATAAGATTCATAAATTAATCCTAATTAAAACCTTAGAAAAAGAAATTTAAATAAACCATAATATGTTGAAACAGAAACAAAATGGGATGATAAATGCAAAAAATGTAATAAAGGTGGTAAAGTCATTTGTTGTGATACATGTCCAAAAGTATTCCATCCTAAATGTATTAATTTGAAGGAAGTACCACAAGGAAAATGGAATTGTCTTAATTGTTTGAGAAATTTTGAAAGACAAATTAAAACAAGAGCAATTGTGAAAAAGTTTGAGAATCAATGAAATAATTATTCATTGTTCATTATTATTAAAATTCTTATAGATTTGAGTATATTATCAAATATTCTTTTTATAGATAAATTAATAAACTCAATATTCTCCATATTCATTAGTCTTAATAAGAAAAATATTATCAATTATGGCAGCCTAATAATTATAAATAGTTTCTTTATTTAATTAAAAAAACTACACTGTTTAAAACAAAGTAAAAAATGGCTAATAAAGGAACAAATAATTATTAATAATTCATTAGAATATTTATGTGTTACTAACAATTTTCAATAGAATAGAGAAAAGCTTGCTTTATGAGACAATGTATTTGAATTAGTCCTTATTGACAAACCTCATAATAGAATCAAAAAAAAAAATTATTATAATATTAAAGAATTAAAGTAGAAATATCTAAAACTTATATAGATTATGTAAAAACTTAAACTATTTTATAATTTATAATAATATTAGTAAAATGATCTAAAAATATCATTATATTAAAATTTATATTTAGAGCTATTTTACATATTTATGATAAATTCTAATTAATTTATTAGATATAATATTGTATTTTCTAATAATTTATTGTGATATATAATNTAAAAAAATTATTGAATAGTAAATTGATCATCAATAAGATTCATAAATTAATCCTAATTAAAACCTTAGAAAAAGAAATTTAAATAAACCATAATATGTTGAAACAGAAACAAAATGGGATGATAAATGCAAAAAATGTAATAAAGGTGGTAAAGTCATTTGTTGTGATACATGTCCAAAAGTATTCCATCCTAAATGTATTAATTTGAAGGAAGTACCACAAGGAAAATGGAATTGTCTTAATTGTTTGAGAAATTTTGAAAGACAAATTAAAACAAGAGCAATTGTGAAAAAGTTTGAGAATCAATGAAATAATTATTCATTGTTCATTATTATTAAAATTCTTATAGATTTGAGTATATTATCAAATATTCTTTTTATAGATAAATTAATAAACTCAATATTCTCCATATTCATTAGTCTTAATAAGAAAAATATTATCAATTATGGCAGCCTAATAATTATAAATAGTTTCTTTATTTAATTAAAAAAACTACACTGTTTAAAACAAAGTAAAAAATGGCTAATAAAGGAACAAATAATTATTAATAATTCATTAGAATATTTATGTGTTACTAACAATTTTCAATAGAATAGAGAAAAGCTTGCTTTATGAGACAATGTATTTGAATTAGTCCTTATTGACAAACCTCATAATAGAATCAAAAAAAAAAATTATTATAATATTAAAGAATTAAAGTAGAAATATCTAAAACTTATATAGATTATGTAAAAACTTAAACTATTTTATAATTTATAATAATATTAGTAAAATGATCTAAAAATATCATTATATTAAAATTTATATTTAGAGCTATTTTACATATTTATGATAAATTCTAATTAATTTATTAGATATAATATTGTATTTTCTAATAATTTATTGTGATATATAATATATTTCTATAAAGACAAATAAAAAGAAATTTAGAATTATGCTCATAATTAATCACACAGTAACTAAACCTGACCAACTCTTTGGGTACCCTTTAGTAGAGTAATACAAGTATCTTGGCATAACATTTAATCGTTTAGGAGAAATCTTACCATAATTGACAAAACTAAAAATATTGGTAAATAACCTGACATAAAAATTACTATGAATCTCAAAATGATTCAGCTAGTAATTTCGAATGTAATTATGGTATATATACATCTTAACCCACTTCCTCTTCATTATTCCATCCATCTCTTTTAAAAATACAAAAAATTTCAGGACAAATGATTGATAATTATACTCTGAAACCTTTAAACTGATCTGTAAATTTCCAAAAAATTTATTATCATAAATATTGTATTATATCATACCAAACATTAAAACCATTTCAGCATTGTCTCTCAAAAAAGCAAAGTATAGAATGAGAGACATTGAAATCAAAGAAAGTTTCAACAAATAACAATTTTTTAAAAACCCCTATCAGCTAAATATATAATTAGTTACTAGTAAACTTCCCACTATTATCTAAACTATATAATAAAACCTGTATAGAATATCAATGTCCATCATAATATAAACATATATTAATTTTTAATATTAAATTTCTTAACCATGAAAATTTGATTAATATATACTAAGAAAAGAAGACAAACAAAAAACAAATAAGAAGATTGTTATTTAACTTCATTTAACAAGCTTTGAAACTTAATGAATTTAAAAAGGATAATAGGTTTGTTAATGTTAATAATGATTACTATGCATTCTTAATTGAGAAAGAGAATAATCTACAGGATTCCTGTGAAATTCCTTCATAATTTTCAACTAAAAACTTTTCATAATTAGAAAGAGGGCCTTTTAAGATAGAATTTCAAGATACTCAAAATCAATTGCATACTACCGCTTGATGTCTACTCATAAACTGATTAGAAAATCAATTAAAGGAGTTAAGGTGAAATTGAAAAAATTCTCATGATATTTGAACACCAAATTGATTTAATAGATACAACTTAATTCTATTAAAGTTAGGGAGGAAGCTCTTTAGAGAATTCTATTCATTAGTTAAAATCACTTCTAATACAAACTCTATTCAAAGTGAATAAAAGTAGTAAATATAAAAAAATGATTTTAAGTTCTTATTATGATTCAGAATAGATTTCTATTTTATTTTGTGTTTTTTAATGATAAATGATTTTAAAGTCAATGTCCAAGGCATTGATTGATTGCTTCTGATGCATGCAAATTTACTTATTGAGCCACATAATCATAATAAGCTCTAGATCTATGAGTATAGAATCCATACACTTATGAACCTAGGATCATTGATCCAACAAATCTTAAATAGTATAATGAATATAATTACCTTGGTCCTGTTCTTAAATATGTAAATCTTCTAAAAACAAAGTAAGATAATATAGCTGTACCAAATCCCAATTTAAATCCAGTACTCTCTTCTTGTTGTAAATCCAAAAAGGCAGTTTTTATATTTTATACATCATGAATGTCATATTGGAAATCTTTTTCAGAGCTCATTATTAATTTTAATAATATTAATTCTAAATATTCATAATTCAATCAAAGCTACATTTGTACTTATCTTTCAAATATGTTTAAAAATATATGCAATAAAAAATATATTGCATGATAAAAGCTCTATTGTTATTGCCACTAAGATTGTCATTCATAAACTTTTTTATAAGCTCAGTATTCAATTAATTATTGAAAACAAAATTTTAATTTTGATCTGGTAGAATATTCAATAAACAATCTTTCTCTATTTTACTCTTAATAATTGATAACAAATTTTAACATTTTTCAGTTGAAAGTTTTGAGGCTGGTGTATAATTTTAAAGAATCTCTTAAAATCGATTATCAGAAAATAGTTATTTTATTTATTGAGTATCTCTAGGAGGAAGTTAGTGAATATTAGCTGTCATATTATTACACAATTCGACAATTGTTATAGTGTTATATTAAAGGTATTCTTAATTTTTTCCTTTTAAATCCTATATCAATTAATTATAACTATTATTTATTCCAACAATAAAAGACATTTCTTATTTTAACAATTAATCTACTACATCTATTGAGGTATAGTACACAGCAGGTTCGATATAAATAAATGGGTAAATTATTTAATGAAAGAAGTAGCAAACTTAGACTAAAATGCTTTTATTTTGGCCACAAAATATAATTTATCCTTCCTTTAGAACTTCTGCTAATATATTAAAAAACCCAAGCTATTAATTGCAAAAAATCTACATCACTAAATGTGTAGCTTTAAGCATATTTGTTATTCTTATTTCATTAGTAACTATGTATGTAAGATTTTATTGAAGTTTTTCATCTTTTTTGATTAGTAAATTACTTTGAAAATGAAAATCTAACTTTGTTTAATCATAATTGAGTTATTGTTTAGATAATTCTGATAAATAACTTGAGATTTATTCTTTAGCTGTCTAATAGATTAAATAATTAAAATACATGAATTATATTTAAAGAATCGATATCTTAATATATTTTTTGCTTAAATTATATTTCTAATCTATATTAATTTTCTTATTATTAAAATTAGTTATATAAATTGATTCTTTTAGTTTGAATGATATCTAATATATAATAAATATAAAAATACTGCCAACAAATTATAAAACCTTTTCAAATATCTCAAAAATTGGGAAATATGTCAAAATACAATAATATTTCTTAATTTTCCAAAATTTAAATCGACCTTCTATAAAACTAGTCATAAAATCGTCAACACCTAATACAAACATAAATAATTATTTTTGGTTATTAACTTCTGTTATTAATTTCATATTTTTTGGAACAAAATTATCAAATACATTTTCAGCACCCCTCAAATTCATAAAAAAGAAATTATTCATCAAATCTTATTCATTTATTTAACAAAGAAATCTACATATAAAATAAATGAATACTCAAAAATTTTCTCTTTAATTCTCTAATCATTATCCAATTTTTCAACTTATAGAAAATTACTTTCAAAAATTTCTTTAATGTCAGACTCAACAGACTTTAAATTATTTCTTTCTTCTGCATTTATATCATTTTTATATTATTTGTATAAAAATTTGGGCTTCAATTTATCAACTTTATTTTAATCAAGCTTTTCATTCTTAACTCCAATTATATAAAAGGACTCAAATAAAGATTAATAGTTGCCACTTTAGATTTTATGATAATCCTATTTGTATGCATTTTTATATTCTTAAGCTATATCTTTTATAACACCCTTTGCCTTTTGGATTGTAGAATTTGAAATTTGCCTTAGACTTTTCATTTATATCTGACATGGCAATCTTTCTATGATAGATTTAATTTTCTTTTCAAAATCATTATGTTTTTCTTAATTACTTTATTTTTCTAATTTGTTCTTTTCTTCCATTAATTACTATTTTTCTTTATCATATTGTTAAATGTTAACTCTATATACTTCAAGTTCTTATCTTAATGAATTATATGTTATTTGCAATTATTTTAATTATTATTTCAGCTCCTCATTTTCGTATTTTAAATCTTGCATAATAATTTATTTTATATTAATTATTAATAGAAATCAATTCTATTTTTTTCTAATATCTGTGTAGATGTAGATATAAATAAATACAAGAGTATTAAGAAATTTTAAGATGGAATAATATATTATATCAAAATAGAATTATAAAAAAAGTTTCAATTTCTAATATTATTTCAGAATGGAATTGAACATGATTAAACCAAAACATTAAGAGTATTTTTAATAAATGAAATCCTGAATAATTTAAGGAAATAAATAAAAAATAATGACCAACTTTAACTAAAGTTTTCGTTATTAAAAATATTACATATAGTTTCTCAATAAAATAATAAAAATCAAAATATATTTATATGATTTTTTAGTTACCTCATAATTTCTGCAACAGATCAGTTCAATAACTAGTATAGGAATTAATGTTTGATGAGTATATGGATAAAGTTAATATACCTAAAAATGCATTTATATCATCACCATTGAAGAGAGAGAAAAAAAAGATATCAATATCAAAACATAGATATAACTACTTTTTGTAATAATCACCAAGTCAATTATATTCTTCAGGATTAAAGAATAATAAATATAAAGTAGTTGGAATGATTGAAATGAAAAGAAAAAAGAATTCAGTTCCAATAAATGAATAAGTAAACTAATTAATTGAAAATAATGTATGCATAACTTAAAATGCTATTATTAAAGGAAATAAAAATAATAAAGATTATAAACCTAAAGAAATGAGAGGATTATCTATTTCAGATCATGTGACAAGATAAAAATTTGTTTTTCCTTAAGTGTAGAGAATGGGTTAAGTGAAATAATAATCGTATGCATTTCCAAACATTTTTAGTAATGAAAATTTTGAAGGATATAAATTGAAATCTGAAGAAATGTCATTTGAAATTGAAGAATATATGAGAATGTAAAAACATAATAACAATCAAAATTTATTACCAAATATTTATACTGGAAATTGATGACATATATAAAATTCATTTATTTCTCACAAAGTTTTAAAACTAGTATTGTTAGAGCTCTAATTATTGATTAATTTATTTTTTTAGATATAAATATATAAATTGAAAATAATTAATTTTATATAATAACAAATTATTGATGTCAAGAAAAAAGAGAGGATTATATATGATAGATGAGTTACTTGATTATAAATAATATAATGGTTAGAAATATTATCTTGTTAAATGGCAAGGATACAATAACAGAGATAGTACTTGGGAAAAACCAGAAAAGATACCAAATTTAGCCTAATTTTTACATTAATTAGAGGAAAATGTAAAAATGTATGGATCTAATTTTTATCATATTGAAAATGATGAACCACCTCAATTAGAAGATTTTATTGGAGCACCTAGTTTATCAAAATAAAATTAGTATTAATACCAATAAGAATAAATAAACAAATTAAATAAATAGATAGATGAATTAAAATCAGAAATTGATCAAATGAAGAAATAACAAGAAGAAATTGTTTAGTTAATAAATACAAATTAATAGAATCAAAAATGTTTATAACCTATTTTATAACAGGATTCTGAACTTATTTAAGAGTCTTCATCAGAATAATCCCAAAAAATCACTGAAATAAAATCATAAAGTGAAGGTGGATTTGAGTTTGGAGATTTATTAGAAAAAATTGGTTAAGCTGTATAAACAAAAGAAAAAGGAGAAAAAATGTATTATGTATTATGGCAAAAGAGATCAAATGGTAATTATTTATATATTTATATTAGGTATAATACCAAAGAATAGATGGGTTAATAGTGAATATCTGATGAAACATGATATAAAGGCATTATGTTATTATCTTCAAAGAAAATTATAATGAATAAATAGTATTAATATTAAATTTTGTTAAATATATGATGTATAAGTAAAGTCCAAAAATAAATTCAAATGAATAAAGATTGAATCAAATACATAGAAATTATGTGGCTGCTGATTACAATTAAAATTACTAATACAGTTTAGTGGATCCTCATATGGCCTAAAAGATAATGATTGCATATAAACATTAAAAGATCGAAAAGAAACCATTAGTAGCTAAGAAAATCAAAATGGTTGACCCTTTTTCTAATAAATATTAGCGTGATATGTAAATGAAATTATTAAAATTAGAAATTCATTTGCTTATGTCTATGAAGCAGGTGGAATACCTTGCAAAATAAATTATAATACTCAAGGGAATATGAAAATCTAATGGATTCCAGATGTAAACATATAAACCTTACCATATGATCCAGTATTAGTTACATGTTTTAATGGATTATTAGAAGATGTTCATCCTTATTTAGCAATTGCCACAACAGCCATTTAATTCATGCTTTCAAATGAAGTAATAACTTCAAATTAAAATAAGGCTGCTTAAGAAAAAATAATCTAAGTTCTTCCAAAATTAGTGTTACCATTAAGAAGTGCATTAAGTTCCAAAAGTGATAAAGTATTTGGTTCTGCATTAAAAACTTTGATGTAATATCTACTCTTTAATTAAGGTCTTTATCAAACGTTGTTGGATCTCATTTGAATAAATATCTCAAATTATTCCTTGTTCCTATTTGGCAGAGATAAAATCATTAAATTTTTGGTGAATAAATAAGAATAATTCTTACAGTCTTAGAAAATAATGGAGTATATTGAATATTTAATTAGGGTTCTGAAGTCTATTAAGTTATCAAACAGAAGATTCCAACATACTCTAATTTTTGAGAATAATAGTTATATTATTAATTAAAATTATACATTTCAATATAATAAAACCATTTTTAAGGATTATAAATAGTGAGATGAGATGTAAATATCGTTGTCGGCCATACTAAGCCTAAAGCACCGGATCCCATTCGAACTCCGAAGTTAAGCGGCTTAAGGCGAGGTTAGTACTAAGGTGGGGGACCGCTTGGGAAGTCCTCGTGTTGACAACCCTTTTTTTTTTAAAAAATTTTTAAATAATTAATTAATATTAAATCAATTATCCAATTTTTAATTTTTAAACAATTGATTTAATTTATAGATTTTTATCATATTTTTTTCAATTATTTAATTATTACTAGTCCTATACTTTTCATTTTAATATCCGTTTATTGTGTATTCTTTAATCAAATTCTTATTCTAAACTTCTTTATATTCAATGCACATTTTTATTAAACTTTTTGATTAAGAAACTCATATAATCCTATGATCTTGATATTGATTATTTTAGTTATTATGATAAATTGAAATTGGACTAAAGACATCAAGACATAATCCAAACCAGAAAATCAAATTTAATCTAAGGAATGAAGTCAAGCTTTCATTTCTTCTTCAAAAATAGACAGCCATAAATCCATTTTATAACAAATCAATAGCAAATATTATTCCCCTAAATATATGTATATCAATAAGATTTGAAAATTCATTAATATAGGAACAATATAATAGAAGAAAATGAAAGAGAAATAAAAAATGAATATTAGATTAGAGATATAAATTAACTCATGCTTTTCCTTAAATGAATATTTTTACAAATTCTTCGAAACTAAACCTAGACATCTTTGTTTCTTTAATGAATAGAAATGTATCATATCCACATGATTATCCCTCCATCATTAAATATGGATAAGCCAAGAGTAAGTTGGCTTTAGATATCAATAATTTACTTGGTTGTGGTTCACGATTTAATAAGCATTTAAAGATTGTTAGAAAATTAATAGTTTGTCTTCTAGTAATTTTATAATCCATTTAAATTTTGTCAATATTTACATTTTTCATAAAATATCTATCATTTAAATTTGTTTTTAATTGAAATGGATTGTTAACTTAAGATATTTCAATATTTTTAGTTGAAGGTATGAATAGATTCGAACATTCTACTTATTCTTAAATTTACTACTATAGATCTTCAGGATTGGTGATANGTAAATATCGTTGTCGGCCATACTAAGCCTAAAGCACCGGATCCCATTCGAACTCCGAAGTTAAGCGGCTTAAGGCGAGGTTAGTACTAAGGTGGGGGACCGCTTGGGAAGTCCTCGTGTTGACAACCCTTTTTTTATTAAAAAATTTTTAAATAATTAATTAATATTAAATCAATTATCCAATTTTTAATTTTTAAACAATTGATTTAATTTATAGATTTTTATCATATTTTTTTCAATTATTTAATTATTACTAGTCCTATACTTTTCATTTTAATATCCGTTTATTGTGTATTCTTTAATCAAATTCTTATTCTAAACTTCTTTATATTCAATGCACATTTTTATTAAACTTTTTGATTAAGAAACTCATATAATCCTATGATCTTGATATTGATTATTTTAGTTATTATGATAAATTGAAATTGGACTAAAGACATCAAGACATAATCCAAACCAGAAAATCAAATTTAATCTAAGGAATGAAGTCAAGCTTTCATTTCTTCTTCAAAAATAGACAGCCATAAATCCATTTTATAACAAATCAATAGCAAATATTATTCCCCTAAATATATGTATATCAATAAGATTTGAAAATTCATTAATATAGGAACAATATAATAGAAGAAAATGAAAGAGAAATAAAAAATGAATATTAGATTAGAGATATAAATTAACTCATGCTTTTCCTTAAATGAATATTTTTACAAATTCTTCGAAACTAAACCTAGACATCTTTGTTTCTTTAATGAATAGAAATGTATCATATCCACATGATTATCCCTCCATCATTAAATATGGATAAGCCAAGAGTAAGTTGGCTTTAGATATCAATAATTTACTTGGTTGTGGTTCACGATTTAATAAGCATTTAAAGATTGTTAGAAAATTAATAGTTTGTCTTCTAGTAATTTTATAATCCATTTAAATTTTGTCAATATTTACATTTTTCATAAAATATCTATCATTTAAATTTGTTTTTAATTGAAATGGATTGTTAACTTAAGATATTTCAATATTTTTAGTTGAAGGTATGAATAGATTCGAACATTCTACTTATTCTTAAATTTACTACTATAGATCTTCAGGATTGGTGATATTTTCTTATAAGATTTATTATTCAATTGATTATCTTGTTCGAGTTTTAATATTTAATCTAATTAGTTTATTAGATTTTTAAGAGTAATTTGATTTACTATTCATTTCTTTATTTAATTATTCATAGATCTATACTTTAGTTTTTTGTTTTTCAGTATCTAACATTGCAAAGGCTGTTTCAATTTCATGATCATTTAAATCAATTTTTGATTGTGTATTTTGTATGTAAGGTAATTTATTAATTTGTGAAGCAAAATAATTTTTGATTTTACTAATATCACTAAAAAAATAATCAAAGATTTGAGAAGAGTTTGAAAATTATGAGATGTCATCATAGAGTGATTCGAGTAGGTTCATTTAAAAGGAACCATGAAATTAATTATAATGAGCAATCATATTCCAGAAATCAAAGCTGTTATTTATATAAAATACTTTTTATTTTGGCAAATGGAAATTTTTAATCTAAATGCCTTCGAGAGTCCAAATTTTTGGTGTGGACTTTAAATTCAATAGGGTTTTGAGATGCATACTTTATTCAATAAAATCAGAAATGAGTTCATTTTCATTTTCAATTTTGGAATATAATGGTATGTAATACTTAAATACTTTAAAGTTGTTAATTAGAAATATATCTTAAAAACCTTATTTTTTATTGATTCCTTTATCAATTATTTTGTGTTTTACATATTTAATTAATCTTTCTGATTTCCATTAGTCTTAATATGATAATTTATGAAAATAATTTTATTTGTTTGATTCTGTTACTAATCTTCTTGGAGTATGAAAAATAGTTGGAGAATTACCAATACTATTTTATTCTACTTGTAATGAGGTAGTAATTTTTAAACGAGGAACACTATTAAATCTTTGATTCATTAATTAAATAATTTAATATATTTTAATTTCTTATAGAGATAAAAATGTATTAGTTATCTAATTTCATTAAATAAAGTCTTATATAAATAATAATTAAATCTATAATATAGAATAAGATGAATAATAAATATAAATGGTATTAAAAAATATTATAGAAATGATATAAATATAAACTTAGATTATATTTATATCAATTATTATGTTATTCTTGCTAAAGAATAGATTTTCTTTTAGAATTGTCTTCAACGATTTATTTGACTTGACTTTTTTTTCTCATTTAATCTCGTTTAACAAATTCATCTACTTTACGAAATTATACCCAAGCTTTACCTTCCATCAAATTGTCCAACTAATACTGTCTAATATTCTGTGTACCTCTTCAAAAATCTCTTTATCAGAATATCCACTCTTTTTGACTATTTCCCAGAAGGCCATCCATTCATCTTCTGTAATCTAACCACTTTTATCAAAATCAACTGCATTAAATAATGCTTGAGTATTCACTTTTGCAAAATTAGTTTTCCAAAACTTTTGAGTCTCATCCTTATCAATAGAACCAGAATTATTGACATCAATTTTCTTGAAAATTTCTAATGCTTTTTATCTTAATTGAGGTGATAAACCTTAAGATTATTTTTGAGCTCCACAACCCATTATATATATATAATTAATTTAGTAATGGAATACCTAGCAATTATAACTTTACTATTTTTAATAGTAGGTGCATCCTTATATTTATTAGTATGTGTAGATCCCAACTCATAAGGATTATTAGGTAAAATGAATAGATTTGTATTCAACACTATTCCAATGATAATCAAGTAATGAATATAGTATAATGATTAGAAAAATATTGGGAGAGCGTATATTCAGAGTATTTTAAAGAGGAATAGATTATTTCTTCTATTCAAATCATCCATTAGTTTAAATATTTTATGTATTGGTTGCAGTAGGAGGATATTTGGTTTATTTGTATTTTGGATTTCTAGAACTATTTGAAAATAATCCCTTTGTATCTCATTTGGATACAGCAATAGGATCAACAATGGCACTTTTTTGTTTCTATTCTTTTTTTTAAGCATGTCGATATAGACCAGGGATAATAAATAAGGAGAATAATAAAGTTTATGTGAATGAATTTAAAGAGTATTATGATAATGTAGTATACAATAAAGATAATGAATGCAAAACATGTAATATCATTAAGCCAGCAAGAAGCAAACATTGTAGAGTATGCAATGTATGTGTAAGTAGATTTGATCATCATTGTGTTTGGATTAGATAATGTGTTGGATAGAAGAATTATAAATACTTTGTCAAATTCATCATTACCCATGCTATATTATGTGATTATGGAGCTTATTTGGGTTTCCGTTGTATTTGGGGGATTATAGTAAAAGAGAAACTTTTAGAAGCATAATTCAGGTAATAAAATTAAATTAATAAATTAGAGATCCTGTGACAAAATAGAGATTATAAGCTACTTGGGGTATTATAGCATAGTATTTGTTCTACAAAAATACAATGTACATTTTCATAGTAATTTTGTGTATTGTAATGGGTATTGCATTAACATTTTTTGCTTTGTATCATCTCTATATGATTGGATAGGATACTACAACAAATGAAAAAATGAAGAGAAGTGATTTTTTGAATTTCTTTGATGAAGAGACTGAACGATTATAAAAATAATTGAAAGATGCAAAGAGTCCAGAGGATATTAAATAGGTGAATACAAAATTAGAATAAGTTAAGTAATGTTAAAATAGGATAATTCCAATTAAGTAAATTGGAATTTGGAAGGGATTGAAAAGAGTGTTTAATGAATCGGATGAATTGGATTAGAAAATTAAAATAAACAATAAAAAAAAATAATGAATTAATAATATATGTGTTCTAAGCATCCAAATTAAGCATTGTCTAATGTTCTTATAAATCATAGATAATAAGGATTATGTTGTTAACAATGCATATATTAAGATAATTTACCATTATAATAAGTTGTTCCATTACAATAATTCCTCACTTTAGTTAGATAAGAGATTAATAATAAAATTAACGATATTCATGAGGAAAAAAAGATTACTACTCAATATGAAAAATTACATATGGATGTATTGAAGAATATACAATAAACATTTAAATAAATACAAAACTTTGTTTTTCAGCAATCCTATCAATAAATGAAATTAAATGAAGATGTCTATCAAGCATAAACCTTAATTGAATAAATTGAATAAAGATAGATTACTAATCGACAAGCTCAAGATAATGTCATATTATTATTAGAAAAATCAATTAATTACAATGGCAAATAATTTGAATTAAAAAGTAATAATGGTAAACAATTTAAAGATTAATTAAATAATGTAATATTATGTTATAATCAATTGTAAGTGATGTAATCTATTTTATAATTACAAAATAATATAGAATAGATTTTTAAGAGACTTTCATAATAAAAAGAATTCACAAATAATTATAATAATACTTAAATAATTTAATAAACTACTTAAGTTTAAAAATAAAAGTATGAATATACAAATGCTTAATAAAATTAACAATATGTTCCATAATAATAATATAATTAATTAAGTTAAACAATACAATTAAATAATTCAAATTAAACAACTTCACCTTAAAATAAATAAATTGAATATTCAAGATAAAATACATAATCTAAAAATGCTACTCAAAGTTCAAGAAGTCATTCAATAGAAAATAAATAAGTATAATATTTAGATTAAAGTTAAAATTATTAAACTGATAGATCCTTAACACCATAATCTATGAAAACTGATTAATCTAATAAACCATATTAATTTTAATCTGGATTATTATTTGGAGAATAACTTAAAAGAACTATAAATGATAAACAATAAGAATAAATTAGATAATAATAAAATACTAGTCCTTCTTTAATAAGTAGATCCAATTTATTTCCAAAAACAGAAAAATAATATTCAATTAAAGCTCATGATAAAAGAATATCATAATTACAAGTAGGATAATTATGCATTTTTACAAGTTCTTATGATAAATTAATTAGAGCTTGGGATAAAGGAAATGGAAAAATGATAGCAACTTTAGAAGGACATACAAGAGAGATTGTTAATATAAAATTTAAATTTGATACTTTGGCATCTTGTGGTTAAGATAAAGTGATTAGAGTATGGAAACATCATCCAAGATGGTAATTAATTGGTAATTTAAAAGGACATTAAGGAACAATAACATGTTTAGATTTCTTAAATCCTAAATAGTTATTATCTGGAAGTGAAGATTAAAGTATTAAAATTTGGGATTTAGATAAAATGTTAGAAATCTATTCATTAAAATTTGATTTTGGTATATATTCATTAGCTATATATAATGAAAAACTCTTTGTTGGAGGTGATGGTATCTTAATTGTTCATTAATGTCCATAATTATAATAAACAAACTTTATATAATTACATGAATCACCTATCTTAATTATTTTATAGACTAAATTATATATAATAACTATTGATAGAGAAGGAATCATTAAATTATTGAATTAATAATCATTTTAAGTAATCAAAGAACTTAGAGATGATTATGAAATTAGTAGTGCATTATATATTTAATAATTCAATTTTTTAGTTATTGGATTAAGTACAAAGAATGGAGAAGGAAAGATTTGTTTTTGGTCTTTGGATACTTTTCGTAAAATTAAGGAAATCTATGATAATGGTTCTGGAGTAGGAGGATTAGCATGGGAATCTCCATATCTATGGTCAGGTCATGATAATAAAAGATTGGAAAGTATCAAATTTTTATAGTAATCATGAGACAATGTAATTCATAACTTTATATTATTTGTAATATTACAGTCTTAATGGTTAATTAAATGTACATTTAATTTCACAAATTCTTATTTATTTTAATTATATTTATTAATTTATGGGTTGTTCAACATCATTAGTTTAAAATACTCCTATTGATTCAATTTCATCTTTCTCATCTGATGATCTCTAAGAAAGTGAAATATCTTTAGATTAAATCCATGATGAAATAGCTTATTTAAAAATTAATGTGCAAAAGCAAAAAGAAATATATCCTGAAGATAATATAACTGTAATGAAACAATGGGTTAATTGTCATTGTAATTCATTAGGAACAAACAAAAAATCTGATACTAATTCTATAAAATCTTGTTTAAAGTAATAAAATATATTGCCTCCATTTTCTCAATATGCTAATCCAAAGAAAGTTCATTTTGTCCAACATTAATAGAGAAATAGCCTTTCTCAGAATGGTACAAAGAAGAAAAACAAAAAGAAACGAATAAGAAGGTCTTAATAACCATAATAACGTATCAATTTGGATGATATCTTTTGATCTGATCTATTATGTTTCTTATTTACTGATATTAGTACTTATACATTCATTTATATAATTTATAATAATTAATAAATTTATTAATTTATAATATTTCCATGAATAGTAATAATTATTCTGCTTCTACATCTTTGCTAAATAATATAAAATTATATATCTTTATAATAGCTAATTGTTTTTCAATAATTATTTAACATCATTTGACTGGCTAATTTATTTAAATTTTCTTAAACGAATTTTTCTATTATCTAAATTCAGTAAATAATTAATAAAATTTTTGAATTGAGCTCAGTTTTAGAATATATTCATTTATTAGTATAAATTATATCTATTGTCTATTAGTATTTAAGTTTTGAAGTTATACTAAATCCTTAAATTTAATCAAATTCAATTAGAGTCTTAAATCATATAATATATTATTCTACATATTATATTAACTATATAGCAATAGTTAAGCAGTTATGTAGAATAATATATTTTTTGAAGTATCTATCAAATGAGTACATCTATTAGAAATAGATATTATTGAATTCAAATATAAACAAAGCATAATTAAATCATATATGAGAATATATAATTATTAACCATTAGGTTAAATCTGATTTATTCATAATTGTGTTATTTAGATGATATTGAAAAATCAAAATGATAACTGTCTAAATAATAAATAAGGTTAACTAAATGGCAGTATATAATACAATTATATTTGTTTGTTAATGAGTTTATAAATTGTTTATAATAACTATAGAAGAATAGAATCTATAAATTTTCTCCATAATTTTATAATGATTTCCATTTTCTTGTAATTCTTTATTTAAATAATATTTCTTTTGGAAACTAAGTTAAATTGTAATTTTTAACTAGTATAGATAAATTTAATACTTATATTAACTATTAAAGTATTCATCTGTCTTTTCATTTAATTTGATAACAGAAATTAAGAAATATTTTGGAATGGATTTGATAATTAAGTTAATTAAAATGTTTATGTGATTATTTTATTGTATAAACTATTCTCACTATAATATTTTAATGTAATCTGATATTACCGAATGTGATAGTTATACTACTGTAAATTTATTATCATATAAACTTTAATGTATATTCATGTATATTACTTCATTTTAATGTTCATTAAGGTGATATAATTATTAGTATATTTTGTATAATATCATATATATTCATATATATATACTCAAATGATAACTCAAATGTTAATTTAAATTATATATTGATGTTTTTTGCCTAGAAAGATTTACTTAATGATATTAAGTTTAATTCATTCTTCATCTAGTACTATTAAAAATAAAATTCAGTCTTGAAAATTATCTAATATTTAAAAAATTTATGTTAATATCTGAGGTTAGTGCAACTTATAACCAGAATCAAAGAAGAGATAATAAAGATGTTGTTTTTAAGGTTCATTTTTAATATAACTATTTATAAAAGTATGTTTATCAATGGAACGATAATGCTGAAGAGCAACTTAAGAAATAATTCCAAATCCATTAAGGTAATTGGAAATCTATCAGCTAATCATTGAATGGACCAAGTCCTTTGGAATGTATGATAAAGTGGCAAAGTCTAAATCCTAATCAAGTATATTTTGGATATATTAAAATTAAGACTCTTTCTAGACAATTATGGTCATAAGAAGAAGATGAATAATTGAAGGAGCTTGTTAAGAAGTACGGAAAGAAATGGAGTAAGATATGTACAGTGATGAATTGGAGAACTGGAAAGCAAGTTAGAGAAAGATATCTAAATCAATTATAGATGCACATAAATAATGAAAAATGGACAGATTAGGAAGACAAGATGATTTTGAAATTATACAAAAAGTTTGGAACAAAATGGAGTTACATATCTAGTTTACTTAATGGAAGACCTGTATATATGAATATTATAATATTCAATAGGAGAATATGGTAAAAAATAGATTTTATGCTACTTTGAAAAGAAGATTTCAAAAAGAATTAGATGTTGATGATCAAAGCTAAGATTCTGAAGATTCTTAAGAGTCTTACAATATAAACAAATATAAAAAGAAGAAAAAGTAAAGACCTTATAAATTGAATAATGATTCTACTTTAATAAAAAAATGTTAGCTTTAAGATGCCAGTCAATAAATATTCAAACGAATTACAAGATCTAAGAATAACAATCAATAAAAATATTAAATCAAATAAGAAAATACTTAAGAATAAATTCAATAATTAAATATACCTCAAAATAAATAGTTAATTGAAAAATAGGAATAAGAAATTAAATCAAATTAACTCGAATAATAATAATAATATGAAATTTCATTCATTTAATAGTAATAATAATAAGAAATAATAAATGATTAAATTATTACTAATTATAATTAGATTCCATATAATCCAATAATGTTATTTTAACCTCTATAAAATATTTAAGTTCCATATGGATATAATTACTTATAATAAGTAGGTTAAAAATAATATTAGTAATATTGTAAGTTTGAGAATATAATTGATTAAAATCAATAATATTCTAATTAACATAATAATTATTAATCATTTATTCAACCTATATATAATTAGAAAATTGATAATTATAATTCATAAATTAGGTATCAATAATTATAGTAATATAATTATTAAGTATTCCAGTGACATTTCATAATTGGATCAAAAGGACCAATGAAAATGTTAAACATTATATCATTAATTACAAAAATCAACATTAATTATAATTTCATATCATATTTTCACTTTCATTAAGAGGATACTAAATTAATCATATTCTCTTTATTTTCTAATCAAATAAATTAAAGCAACTCCTGGTTGAAAAACTGATGTAAGAATTCAAAAGCTAAATCGAATAATTTCACAAATTAATATTAATAAATTTATTTCGATTTTTCTACATAATATTTCCACTTATACATTCTAGAAATACAAAATATATCTAACAATTCATTCAAGTCATTTTAACTTTCATTTTAATATTAACTCTTAATTTCTTTAGATACTTTGTTTTTATATGTTTTTAATCAAAAGATAACCAAGTAAGTATATATAGTTAAAATATATAAAAAATACAATCACATAGAAATCTAAGTTGTTGTTTATTGTACTATTTTTGAATTTACATACTCACCTGCAATTTAGCTGATTATTCGAAAAACTATAATCTCCTTTGTTATGGTTCTATACATGCATCTTTTAGATTAATCTAAGCTTTATTTATATCTAATCATGTTATTTCTATAATAGAAGAATATAGATTTTGCCATTGCATACTTGATGTTTAATTACTATGCAGCCTAAAAATAGAATGAATACAAACTTCTTTTATTTTCAAACCCTTTAAGCAAATTAAATGTATTAGGGTTTATCGGAGTTCAGAAGAAAGCTTATAATATAATGTTTTGTGTCTTTTAGAATCTTATTTCATTTATTATATATTTTTTCAATAAAATCTTCTTTGATTATATAAAAAATTATAATTAATTCCGAATAATTCAAACTCATTAAATTGAATTACAATAATCGATGTAAATTTATAGAAATTACTTTATTTAATAGAAAATAAAAAGACATTATTTTCATAATTCTAAGTTACATAAATTATAAATTTATAGAAATAGGCCAAAGTAATTCAATCTAAAAATTTAACCTTATAGAATGTGTTTACTTTTAATCTAATAAGAGTTATAAACAATTTATCATTTAATTAGCAGTATAAATTCAGCTATTTTTAATTGAAGTAGCATATTAAAAAAACTTATTCGAATAAGTAAATAAATAAGAATTATATAATAAATTAAGAAATTTATGAGATCCTTTTCAATCTAAATAGGAATTATAACATTTATTAATATCTAGTAAATATCAATAAAATTAAAAAAAATAAAGATAATTTAATAATACTATTTATCTAGATTAATATTTATTTGAATATGAGGAACAGAATCTTTGTTCTTAAGCTTTAAAAAAGAATAATGATTTAATTCTAGGATATGATAGAAATTATAAGACTTAATTAATTGTCAGATTATGTGATTTTATTTAAGAGATGGATTATTAAAAAATATTAATTAAAAAATGTAATTGAATTAAACATCATTTTTATATTATAAGTGGAATACAAAATAGTTAACGTTAATATTTAATTATTGATTGAAATTTTATTCAATTTTCTATCTATATTTAGATCAGCATTTGTTTTTATAAAAATTGTGAAATTCATGATATTATAGATAAATGTTTTCAAACTTTTATTTCAATACCAGATGTTATATACATAATTAGTTTTAGTGATTGAATTTAGAATTAATATATATACTAAATAAGTATAGCTATATATGTAATTGTATAATGTAAAATACAATTAATCAACGAGTTATTCATAAGATTTACTCAAAATAATACCTTTAAAATAAGTGAAATTTATAGATAAGTATTAAAAAAAGCTTTATTGATTTTATATATATAATTTAAATGTATACAACTATATTTATGATAAGTATATATAATTTTTGATAATTCATGAATATGTTATATAAACATATTTAAATATTATAATTAATTGATAGAAATGTAATACTATGTTGATTGTAAAATGAATTATAAAATTTATGATACATTATAATTATTAACAAATATCTGATGATTATTTAAATTATTACATTGATGACAACCAATCGATATTAATTGCTTATTTTTGATGAGGAATTCATGCAGTTTTATATTTCAATAATTTAGGAATCCTATTCTTGATGAGTCCTCTCTTGAACATCTTATGACTATTTGCATTCAGCAATCTATTACTAATCAAAACAAGAAACCATTTTATTAGAAACAAACCTTTACTAAAGATGAAGACAAAGATATCCTAAAGTATGTATTAGAATATGGACCAAATTTTAATAAGATTGTAAAATATTTTCCTGGCAAAACTATGAATATGATTAAGAATCGTTATTATAAGAAACTTCGTTATCTAAAATAGGAATTAAATATAGATAATCATTTAGAGTCCATAAGCAACAATTCAAAAATTACAAAAAAACATTGAATTATTTTACTTTTTTTTATATATTAATAATTAAATTATATTTAATTTGTTGTAAATTTTAAGTATGCCTAGAAACACAATTAAAAAGACTGTGAAAAAGATTAAAAAGACCAAAACCATCAACAAAAACAATAAATAAAATATTGATGATGATGAATCAATAGATTCAGAATACTTGGATGAATTAGAAAATCAAAAACCATAAAATATTTCAGATAAAAGTGATAGTGAAATTGATGAAACTGAAGATAATAGAAGATTGAGATTGGCTAAATAAATTTTATAATAAACCAAATAAGAATTGTAATCCAAAAAAAATGATGACTTTTTTCAAGATCATCATGATATTCATATGAATGATGAAGACAAAAGATTAAATGTAGCCTTACTTGAGAAAGTAACTTTATCAATCTTATCATAGTTTGCTGAAAAACACACTATATATTAAACATAAATATAAAAATTTGATAGATAATTTAATAGAGAAATATATAAAGGTCATCTTAGAGCAATCACTTGTACTTAAGTTGATGAATTTGCAAAACACATGTATTCTTGTTCCAAAGATTCAAGCATTATCAAATGTAATTAGAATTATATATACTTTTTTTAGGGGATTTAGAAACTAAGAAAAAAGAATTCATATAAAGAGAAGTTGGTAAACATGGAGATGGTCATTATGATGAAGTCCTCACTATTTCCTTAAATTTTGATGGCAAAATATTGGCTAGTGCTGGTAAAGATCATTCCATCAAATTATGGGATACAAATTCAAATAAATTGATTGAAACTCTTAAACATCATAAAGCACCTATTTATGGTGTTAAATTTGGATATAATTCTAATAATCTATGCAGTATCTCTTGTGATAGAACATTTATTTAATGGGATGCAGCATAAAGAGCTTATATTGATACATTGTAATATTTACAAGTAATTTATAAGTTTTGGACATAGTACAGAAGCAAATGACATCGATTGCTTTAATGCTGATGATTTTTTAAGTTGTGGCTATGATAGATAAATGATACAATGGAAAACAAAATCAGGAGGATAACTTCTTTATAATGGACATGAATAATCTATTGATTGCATTAGAGCAATAACTCTTGATACTTTTGTTACTGGTTCTATTGATACTAACATCAATTTATGGAATGTTAAAAAAAGAAAGCCATTATTTGAATTACATTAACCTCATGGTAATAGATGGATAACCTCTTTGGTAATTATAGTATCCATAATTAATTAGGGAACTATTTATAACAGTGACCTTTTGATTTCAGGATCTTATGATGATAATCTAAATATTTATAAAGTCACAAATAAGGACATTGTAAAAGTGAGATCACTATAAAGTGTATGATTATCAATATAATTAATCTAGTTTGGAATAATCAATCATATTAATGTATTTGATGATAAAATTTTAACTGTTGAAAGCCAGGAACATCGTTTAGGAAGATGGATAACTTCAACCAAAAGCAAAAATTTAATTGTGTTGTATTTATGATTTATTTTCTTATATATATATGGATATAAATTTTAATATTCTTAGAATTTTTATTATTATACTAATAACTAAAATATCTAGAATGATACTCTTTTAACAAAATTCATTAAACATGTCTTAACTTCCAGATATTGTAAATATAATAATCATATAGAATTAGGATATAAAATCAAAACGTCTACTGATTTTAAGGATAAATTTCTTATTAAACTGAATTGATAAATCTTTAAGAAATAAATCAAAAATCAAATTATGCATAGTATTTTCACAAATATCTTAATCATTTCCCATTAAAAAATAATTAATAATTCTTGATTTAGACTTTAATTCATAATTAAAAAATATTCTTTTCTAATAATACTATTTCATGAATTAAATGATTGTATCGAACAAATATATAAAACCATATATATGTCTTACATGCATAAACCTTACGATTTGAAATTAAAACATATTTATTAAGGCAATTTAATTTATTAAGTTTTTAATTAATATTGTCAAAATATATATTATTATGTTATTTAACTTTAAAAATAGCTGCAAATCTGATAAGACATCACTCAATCTGAAAATTTAAAATTATTTATTATACAAAGTTATGACTAAAAATAATAATGAAATATTATAATATCCTGATAAGTTCAATCCTAAGAAAATTCATTTTTTTATTAAAAATAAAAAGAAAATTACTTTTCTTCCATTACTTATAAAATTCATTTCAAAACGCTGATTTATCGGCAATTAACAATTCAAAATTGAATTAAACTTCTAAAATTGATAAGCTTGGAAGAGGTCACTTTTTTATTTTCAAAAATTCAATAAATTTAGTTTGATTCTGAACACTTGAAATTTGCACTAACCACATAATACTTGCTTTAAAAGGTTATAATAGCAGGAATAACAAAATTAATAATGTTTATTGGAATTATACTTAGAGTATATAGAGTTTGGTTGAATACTAAAGTATATTACCATAATTTATATTATTATACCATATTTTCATCAAAATTTCAGTGATGGGCTTATCTAAGATTTTAGATGAGAATATAGAATAGAATAATCAAATATTTGTAAAACATACAAACAAAACACGTAATATTATAATTTTTCTTAATTATAATAAAATATCTTTAATATTTTAAAGCCTCCATATAAATTTTTATTTACGAGTTATGTATTTATATAGACAAATCTAATCTTTTTGATTTTAATAATTAAATAGTAACAAATATGATGAAAGTTCAATCATCATCCAATGATTAGGTCCGTCCATATAATAAAGTCCCAAAATTGAAATAAGAATAGCTTATAAATCTTGTTTATAAAGAAGAATGGAAAATTAATTAGGTTTGTATTTTCAATTAAATATATATTATAGGCAGCTGATTTGCTGAATATAAACTATGCGACAGCCAAAAATATAGTTTAGAAGTTCAAGAAAACTCACATCTTAGGAAAAAAAGTCAAATCCCCTGAATCCAAGAGATGTCATTATAAATTAATCGGTGAATCTAAGTCATAATTATATACAGTAAATACAAAATGGGGATTAGTATCCGATTGTCTAATCGAATAATTCTAAAAGCCTTGATTATGATAATAATATTATAAAGTTAGAATATTTTTAGAATGATCAAATCGATAAGTTTATTATTATTATTATTAATTAATAAAATAAATAATAATAAAAAAATTAAACCTTATTACTGATTAATTTTGAATTATTCAACTTTTAGTTGGATATGAATTCTAATTAATTTTACATCTTTCAAAATGAATGAAGGTAACATAAAGAAATAAGTACAAATATTTTATTTCGAATAGAAAATCAATAATATGATGGCTATTTTATACTCTGTTCTTAATACCATTCAATCAACTTTTTTTTCAAAGCCTAAAAAGATTCCAAAAATTTATATTAATCATTTATTTACTCACCTGATACAATGAGTTATTAATCACTGTAAAGATGGTTAATCTACTCATATTTTATAAAAATATATATAATCATGAAAATGGCATTTGATAATTTGCATTGTAAGGTGTATTAGGATTATTAGGAGGTACTTATTATTATTAAAAAGGCATTTATCCAAAAGGACCTTATTATTAAGATTATTCAAAAGGACCAGAATTTTAGGAAGGTTACTATTATCCATAAGGTATTTATTATTAACCAAAAGGTCCTTATTATTATTATTATTATTATTATTATTATTATTATTATTATTATTAACCAAAAGGTCCTTATTATTATGATTATCCAAAAGGTCCTTATTATTATTATTATTAAGGTTATCCAAAAGGTCCTTATTATTACTATGATTATCCAAAAGGACCTGATTATCCAAATGGTCCAGTTTGAGTATTAGCTTTTGATTAATTGGCAGGTTATTATTAATTAAATATTGATTAAGGTTAAAAAGGAATTTAGGATGATTAAGCAAATTATGGTTAAAATAGACCTTATGCTTAAATGGATTATTAAAAACGACTGAGAGTTTATTTAGTTTAGATATTAAATACAATATCTTCTTATTCTCTATGTTTGATTTTGATTTCATCTTGTAATTTTTTGGCTTCAATAAAATTGAGATCTCCCTCTCTTTCCCAAACATAGACAAGAATAGGATGTTCATCTCCAAAGCCAGCAATAGCAATCATATGATATCCTATATTCCAAGCAACATCAGCAACAGGACCAATAACATTAAATTAAAATATATCAGTAGGTAAGGTTTATGTTAAATTACTCCATAGATGAGGTTTACCATCTTCACTACCTGATAAAACATAATCTCCTTTTGGACTTGAGACACTACGACAAGCAATTTTAACAGATTGAGATCCAAAGAAACGATTATTGACAGAACCATTTATAACTTCATGATCATGAAATTTGCCATCACCAGATTTAAAATCAACAATACGAATACAATTGTCTCTTGTATGAATCAAGAGATCTTGACATTCAGGAGGCATCAATTAAATTTAATTAATTGGATTTCCACTAATTTCTTGAATGACTATTAAACTCAATCTCCTAGCTATATAACTACCACCAGAGAGATTGATATCAAAAAAATGTATATTTCCCAATGAATCTCCAACATATAAACATTTGGCACCATCATATACTAAACAATTAGGATGTCTATGATTGCCTAAATTTTCAAATTGATCAAAGGATATGCCATCATGTGATATAATTTCTTATTGAATAGGTTCATCTATAATTTATAATTATTGATTTGATTCAAATTGCCATATACGCATTCTACTATCAAAACAACAAGTAGCCACAACAGGCATTTTACTATCCATTAAAAATAAGCCAGCATAAACAAAAGATGCATGTTGAAGAGTACAAATTAATAATAAATCTGATTCTTCTTCACTCACAATATCTCCTGAATGTTGAGGTACACTCCAAACTTTAGCTGTATAATCACTTGATACTGTAATTAAATATTAAGAATTCTATGAAAATTATAAATCATGAATAATATTTCTATGACCTTTATATGTTGTAAAATGTTATCCAGTTTCAACATCAAATAATTTTATAATAGTTTTTGAATTTTTATAAGTACATGCACATGCCAAATAATTACCATATTTATTAAAAGCTAATCTATAACATCCCATAGGAGCACTTGCAAATTTATAAGCTATTTTATCTGGTATATGATCTTCTTTGTCTCCAAGATAACGACGTCTTCTTAAATTAATTTTCTCTTAATCTGTAATTTCTTCTATTCTTTATTCAATTATCTTATCCATGACAACAGAATGTTTCACTTTTTCTCTTGCTTCTTCATCTCCTTTTTCTATCTCAAAAACATTGTTACTATGACTCTTACCATAAATCTCAATGAATTATGGTTTAGGTTCAGTACCTAAATAAACATTTAAAACTGCATCATATTCAACTTTATCAAGCCAAAGAAAATCGAAATACACCAATGGAATTGATTCTCTTCTACTTACTGATTTCAATTTATTTGTATCAAACAAATACTTGTATAGTTATATTTTGCTTATTCCCAAATGTAATCTACATAATCCATTTGGTCTTGTATAACCCCAAGCAATTCTATAGAAGTTATCTGAATCCAAAAATTCACTATTATGTTATTATAAATAAATAGGATGAAAATCCAAAAGTTCAAATAATATTATTGTATCTGATTTATAGAATTCATCTGCTGGAATATTAATCAATATTTCTTCATTCCATTATGCTCTACTATTGGTAGCCATACGCATATCACAGAAATTCGTCGAAAAAGCAGTAAGCAACTCTAATTCACAAGTAACTCTCTCCCTCTCCCCATCCAATATATTTGTAATGCAATTACTTTCATAATTGTACACTGCATTAGTAAACTCTCTTGGTTAATTATCCTCACTTTTTGGTTTATACAAATAACATCCATTCTTAATATTGATCACATGCATCCTTATAAAGGGATGTTAAATATTCGTATCCATTTATAATTATGATGTACCAATAATCTTCACAACTACAGTCTACAATATAATTGAGATACAATACTCGATCAGGTGTAATTTGAGCTTTATCCTTCTCACTCAATGAAAATGGATTAACTATTTAATCATATTCCAACTTATTCAATCGATCAACAAAAGTAAGTCTTGGTGGATCACATTAAAGTAATCTATTTATTCTTGCTCCAATTCGATCTCCTAAAGAGTAACAATTATAAATTATATCATCATTCATGAAATTAGTATATGTCATACCACTATCATGATTGGGTGCAGGTTACAATTTCTTAAATCCTTAATACTCTAATAATTACTTCTTCCTCATTGTCTTATTATTCATCATTCTGCTCAAAATTTGAATTCGCAAAATCAACCTTTTTCTCTGCTGGCTATGATATTTATTATTATCCTCCAAATGGCATTTCACCTTCCCCTACTCTCTTTTATTATAAAGCTGAAATATAATAATTGTTAATATCTACGTGGTAATTGTCTAGGAATATTTGAACGTGACATTGTTATAAATATTAATATTATTATTACTCTTAAATAATATTATCCTATTAAGTTATTTTTTATGTAATTAGTAATACAAGGGGTATCAATTATATAAGAGTTTCAATTAAATAATTGATAAAACTTAAAAACTTTTATGTTAAATTGTTAAAGAATATAATTAATTATATTAATAGAGTAATATCTAAAATTCTTTATTTTTAATAAGACTAGAAATTTATAATCAATTAATACTTAGAAATTTAATTATTTTTAATTGTTTATAGTATCAAAGATTAAAATTAACACTTATATAAGATATTGGAGATAATTAGATTATCATTGTAAAAACTCTCATTTCTAAAAATAAAATAAAGTATTCACATAGATAACTATCTATATTGTGTTTAGATTTTATTTTTATTTGATTAAAATATTAAAATCTGATTATTTTTGATAAAATGGGAAATTAAAATACTAGAAATTAAGACAATGTTCCTTTGGCTTAATTTAATATATCTGATAATTACTAGATGGGTGTTGATGCTAATAATCAATATTCAATAAATTCTAATTACTCAGCTCCAAATAATATTCATAATTTTTAATAAGCTTAACAATAAAATGTTAAAGTAGTTCATAATGAATAATAATAATCTATACCTAATATTCCACCTATTCCATAAATACCTCCACAACCAATTTAATTAGGAATTCCAGTTATCTAATCACTTGAAATTGTTTAAATACCTTAATAACCAATAACAAATGATCTTAAAGATTAACCATTCCATATAAAAAAAAATGAAGTTCTTAAAGCACTTATTATATATCTAATAATGTAGATAATATCATTTGCATTATCAATATATCTATGTATATAATTTGATCGATCTTCAACTTTTGGAAACTTTGCCTCACCTATTTGCATCATTAGTGGTCTTGGTAACATTTTAGTTGTTATCTCTGCAAAATATTAGAAATTTCAACAAGTAATATGAATATTTTAAATTTAGAATCCAATAGCTATAGTTAATAGCTGTCTCATTATAGTATTCTAAAGTTCATCATTAGTTTCATACTTCTTTTACTAAAGTTAATATAGTACAAGTAATTCTTACTTTAGTGGCTTTATATTTTTGATTTTAATACTATAATCATCAACAAATTGTATAGTAATTGGAATAACTATTTTTTATTTTGTTTTTGAATAGAAATAAATTAGATTTGAAAGTAAACATATGTTTTAAAACAATTTAGTTTATTTTTTAATGCTTTGTTTTGCAGGATTCATAGCAATAATGGTAGATTTTGTATTATTATTTTTTGTTTGTACTGGATTCATATTTGGAACAATTCTAATGATAGTACTTCAATAATTGATGAATGGAAGAGTAAATATATTAATTTTTATATAGTTTTAACTAAAAAAGAATTAATCCTTTGGATTATGTAATTCAATATATTTAGGACTTTTGGTTCCATGTAATATATTTTGATAGTTATTAAATAATTATAATATTATAATTATTATAAAAATGATTCAATTTCAATCTTTAAATTCTACTAAATGAGGTGGAGAATCAGTTTTATCTAATTATAAAATTGGCTTCTAATCAAATGTATCAGATTTTTTCATAGATTATTATTGTTTCTAATCATCTAAATCAGATTTTTTCATAGATTATTCTTGTTTCTAATAATCTGCACCAGATGTATTTATAGATTATTCTTGTTTCTAATAATCTGCACCAGATGTATTTATAGATTATTCTTGTTTCTAGTCATCTGCACCAGATTTATTTATAGATTATTCTTGTTTCTAATCATCTGCACCAGATTTTAACATTTCTAAAAATGGTTTCTAATCATTTTTATTTTTAACATTATATTCATTCCCCTACCTTAACTCCAATAAAATATCATTGTTTTACAAGGGCTTTTAATCTTTTATTTCTTTTTATTAATTCCCTTCTATTAAATTTGTATTTCCAATATATTCAGATTTCTGATCTTTTATACTCTAGAGATTAGAATCTTGAAAGATTTTGGATTGACTACCAAAAAATTTTTAATCAAATTCTTCTTTTGATGCTTAATATTTTGTATTTTATTCATAAATCTCAACATTTGAATTTATTTTATCCCATTTTAAGAAGATCTCACCATCATTAGTTACAGTTCCCATTTCTCCATCTTTTTCATCTTCTTTATAAAAGAGTTGGTTTTTTCTTTTTCTAAAAAATACTATTTTTGAATTATGTTTGACAATTAATAATTTTTTATTTTCAAGATAAATCATAGGAAAATTATGTGATAAATCAGTATTTAAATCATTAAATTTACATTATTATGTAGTATCTTTTGTACATAAATTTTTATTAGACACATTATTATAAAAAGTTAAGTCTCTACTTGAATTTTCTTATACAACAATTTAGTCAATATCAACAAAACAACATCTATATACAGAATTTTTTATTCTTATTTTATGAATTTGACACCATTCATCATTTAATTTTTACCATATAAAAATTTATTTATCATAACCACATGACATGAGTTTTTATTTACTCTAATTTAATTAATAACTCAATTAATAAACTGTATTTTAATGAGAGGAGGGTTCTAATTTATATTAATCTATATTTTCATTTATTACATTTTAGTTTTTTTATTATTATTATTATTTCTAATCTAATATTGTTTAAAGATTTTGATTTGTTATACAAAATATATCATTACCTGAAGCTGATATTAAGTCTTCATTATTTGGAGTAAAGATAATACTAAATATAGGTTCTTAGAAAAAAAGTGATTTTTTTGATTCATACATCTTTTTTGTTTCACATATTTATTTATAAATGATCATCTTATTATCATATGTGCCTCCTGCTATTAAATATGTTTAATCTTCACTAAGAACAACACTCCCAATATTATGAGTAAAATCTTTAAAACTTTATTTTTCTACTGCTTTTAATATTTCTATTGCTTTTTATTTTTCTATTTCTTTTTTTTTTTCAAGACAAAATTCATATGTCTTCATTATATTTCCTAAAGCTAAGACAACAAATTAATAATCACTATCTTAACCTGTACACATAGCTGTACAAACCTTATGTCCTGGAACATTAAAGATAGATTATAGTTCATAATTAATCATATCTTTTTGAAGTTGCTTAAAACATTTTTTAATCTTCTAAGAATAATAATCTTACATTTTGATGAGATTCTAATGTAATTCGATTAGTTTGGAATATTACATTTTGAGATGAAATTTATCAAAAGAATCAGAATAGACTTTGTGACATATTTGTTCAAATTCCAAAATTGATTAAGATTCTAAAGGCTATTTCGTAATTGAGAAATTTTCATGAATCTTTTGCTTTATATTTCGAACCTCTTAATAGATAAGTTCTATAGTAGAATTAAACTCTTATTTATAATTTGTAAGCAATTTTTCTAAAGAGTTTGACAGATTCCCAAATTCATCCAGATTATCTTTCTTCATCTTTTCAGCCTCCTATATTTTTTAATTTAGGAATTTTTCGAAAATTTGGACATGAACAACAGTTCCACTCATAGTACATTTTTCACATTTAGCTCTTGAACCTTATTTTGCATTTTTTGCAGTTTCAATCTAAGTGATGGGCATAGCATGCTCTTTACATTAAAGAAACATTGATTTTATTAAATTATATATGATAATTCTTTACAAACAATCACAGCCTTTATAAAATAAATTTCATATAATTCCCCTTATTAAAATTCGCTTTTTCAATTCAATAATTCATATCAATATATAAATTATTATTTTTAACACCATCTCCTCTCCAAAAACTCATATAAATAGAGTCTTAATCAAATCCATATGTATTTCCTACCCATTAAAATTTGAATGATATAGAAATAAAAAATTTTGTGGAATTTCAATTAAACTAGTTTTAATTATAATCTTCTGAATAGCTTATGGAAGAATGATATAAAAATCAAAATAATAAATGAATTTCAATCATCAAATAATAATAATATTTTATTCATATACAAATTATTTACTCCTATAATCAATTTTAATAGGTGAAAAAGAATAGACATTCATATAAAATAATTCAAAAAATATTGATAACAATTATCAATAAAATACTTAACCCTGATTATGTATTAACTAATCTTAAATAATATTAATATTTATAAAATCATAATTAAACAGAACTTTTATTTATAATATTAGTTGAACAAATAAATTCAATAATTTAATCATAATATAAAGAAGAATATAAATTAATTAATATATATAATTTAATTTTGTCTATTTTATAATCTATATTATTTCCAGCCCAAAAATCACTCTATTTTGTTTTAAAGAAATTATATATATTAATTAATTTATATATTTTAGAAGATTTCTAGAAAGTATTATAATTTTAAATTTGTTCCTCTCAATTTCTATTGATTGATTTCATTTTTTTATGTTGTTTAAATATTTTTGAATAAAAGAGAGACAAGTTTGAATTCATTAATGTATATAAGGAATTCATGAACAAAACATTAATTAAACATTAGTAATATATAATTTATACATAAAATACTATATGAAAGTGAATCACTCATATATTTTCTTCATCAATAGTTTTCTTTTAGTTATTTGTTTTATAACAACTTTGTCTATTTTAGAATTAACCTTTAATGATCATTTAAATATGGTATAAAGATTAATTACCTAAACTATTTTTGATAAGATTTGATATACTACAATAGAAATGATCTTTTAAGTATTTCATTAAGGTATAGATGTAATAATATATTATGAATTATTTCGAATTTCATATTTAAAATGTATTTTAGAAGTGATTTGGCTACCTCCAATACTTGATATTATTGTTATTGAGCTGTTTTACTTAATCAAGGGAACACATTAAGTCTTTTATTTTATGTTTAGTTTCTTTATGATGACATTTTTTCTATGATAAACAATTATCTATTTGGCTGCTGGGTACTTTATATTCAGACTTTTGGCTGCCTTTAACATTTTATTATGAATATCTTACATGTTTTATTTTAAAACCTTTAATAAATACCAAATGCAAAAGAGACTTTCTCTAAAATGATGATACTTTTTAATATGGTCTGGAAGCAATAAAATATTATTTCATTAATTATTAAATCTGAATTAAGATATTATTATCTATAATTTATTATAGCAATTTATATATGAGACGACCCTTTATTTCAAATAATTTCAATATAAATTCATCTTTATTTTTTACATTTCATTAAATAAGAGCAATTATATAATTATCTAATTATACAACATAAGTTTTTATAATAATCATATTTCATTGAATTCAGTGATTTTATATAAATTATATATAATTAATAAATAAATTATATAAAATTTTGCCATTCATAATATTTGAATAATCTAAAAACAATTCATAATAGATTTTTTCACTTAGGGATTATTTTTAAATTGACTTATTCAATTTAAAAAATAATCTCAAAATAAAAAGACCTTATGATAATTAATTCATTTAGGGTTCAAAAACATTATTTTACTCTTTTTTCATTTCTTTTAGATTATTTCAATAATTTAGTTAATTTGATTATATTTATTTAGTCCATTAATAAACATATTTTAAATCAATAATAAAAATATATAGTCTTTATATGAATTAAAACTATTTAATTAGCTTTAGTAAATTACACTGAAGATTGGAGTAAATATTGATTTATTTATAATTAATTTTCATTAATAATTATAAAGTTTGATTTTTTAGGAGATAATATCATCTATTTTACAATTTAAACTTAATATTTCTATATAAACATTTTAGATTTCGTATGTGAGATATAAATAATGAATGTGAAATAAAAATAAAAATATAAGTTTTCTAATTATAAACTTATAATTGTAACATAATAAACATAATTAATTAAAATTCATGTTTCTATTTTTTAAAATGAAAGAGAATATTTAATAATTTTTATTATTCACTAATTTCAAAACACTATGTCATATGCTCTCAAACTTGAAACTTACTGTATATATATTACTTAAGGTTTAGAAAGAATTAATATAATAATAATTAAAAATATTACTGATTATAATCAGAAATTTCTCTTTGTTGTGCCATTTTATGAAATATACTTTTATTTGTTATTGAATGATTTATTTGTATGAAGAGAACGTAAAAAATAAAACTAGTCAAACATAGTAATTTTATGAATAGATTTAAATTGAATATAAATTTTTTATATGTTTCGATTTTGTTACTCAAGTTAAGTATATACTTTATGTATAAGTATTGGTACAACCAAAATTCAAACATATATATGCAAATATATGATTAAATTCCAAACAATAGTTGAAATTGTATATATATTAATATAGAAATATAATCATTCTTATTTGATGGTAGGGTATTCAAATTTAAGTTATTAAACTACATCTCCACCTATTTTCGATATAATAGTCAGTTTGCACTTTTTTAATGAAAGTGGTGCAATCTAACATACTTACTATGAATTAATTGAATGTTTAGACATCATTACATTATTTCTATGGAAAATCATATATGATTTGGCTGCTGCATATTTAATATTCAATTATTAGGCTGCCTATTTGTAAATTACTATATTAAATACATCCTTTATTTTAAATCCAAAAAAACAAACCAATTTTAATAGTTTTTTTTTCTAATCTTCAGATACCTTTGAGTAAGTTCTAGACTTATATATATATTTGCTCATAAATACTCTTTAAAATTTAAATAAAAATTAATTTTTAGCTACTTTTTAATAAATTATCTGATATATAATATCCATTAAAATCTCTTTTTAAAATAGAGAATTAATAAATATTATTCTGATCAAAAGTTTCAATTAAATTTTTTTAATGTAAATTATCAATTCTATTTAATAAAATCTATGTAACTAGAAATTAGATCATTTCATAATAGCAATAGACAATTTATCTAATTTAAATAGAAGTTTAATTTTGTATATGAATATAATAATTATTAAAGAGTTTATTCATCTTAGATAGTTATTAAAAATAGAATGGATTAGTTTATGATAAAATATGAATTTATATATATATATATATTTTGATAATTCATAATTTGTTTTTGTAAATAGCTAATCCTTTGGCTCTTAGTTCTTATTCCCATTCACGTGCTTCTTTTTCATAGAGATCTTTGAGCATACAATTTCTTCTTTTTTTCAATTCTTAATAAGCATTTTCGACTTCTTTAGAATAGCTATAGATATTAATAGATTGCACGTTACACTTTATTCATAAATTTCAATTCATTAACTTTATCATATTTAGATTTTGATTCATGCCACCATGTATTTCTACTGATTGATTTCAAGTTCTGATCATACCTTTCTGCCTCTGAATATTATTAATTTAATTGAATATTCCTTTTTATCTATTGCATTGTTTATTATATATATATATATATATATATAAATTATATAAATTAATAATTTAAAAAAGTCATATTTTTTCCAACTAAATCCATAACATTTCATCTCCTATTGACCATTACAATCCCTTTTTTCTATATTATTAATTTTAAACTTCAAAGAATTCTCCCAATTTTTTAGTACATTCTTATTCAAGATCAATCAATTTAGGAGATTTAGTTATGCTAATAATAACTACAATAATGGATATAAGTGTAGGTAAAACAATAAAGATGGTACCTAACAATGTTAATGTTGATTTTAAATCTTCATATGAGAATCCTAATACAAATAAGATGACTCCTACAATAAATAATACCCATGATGAAGTAACTACATAATAGATGAAAATAAAGAGATACCATAAAATTTTTCAGTTTCTAATGGATCACTTTCTTCAATTCTACTTTTTTCACATCTAATTTTTTAACAAATGCGATTGGCTTAAAATACAGTTTCAGCAATAGAATCTTCAGATACAGGCATATAAGGTAATTTGGCAGGTAAAGAGAAACCTAATTTATCAGCATAAACAGGAACAATAAGGATGTCTTAGGATGAGTTAGGAATTCGTGATCGATCAATTTTTTATTTCATTATTTTAATAAATTAACTTAATCATTGATTTCTAATTTTTATAATGTTTGTATTAAACCTTATTCTTTAATTGTTTTTCTATCTAAATGTGTTTGTGATTTTAGAATGCAATCTATTTCAGCATCATAATTGCATTTAACAATCTATCCAAAATACACAAACAATTAACTTAATTAATTATTAATATAAATCATTTCTATTTCAATAGAATATCGTTTAAAATTTAATTATTAAGATTATTATTGAATTATAGTAGTTAATTAAGAGATTGAAACATTTTTAGGTAATTAAAGTACAATATTACAACTAATAGAAAAGGCTTTTTTTAAAATATCAGATAAACAAGGACTCATATCTGTTTCTAGATCATAAACCTCTTTTTTATGATAATTCAATCCACCCCTATTAATTGATATATATATATATATACCATGGTGGACATAATGTTAAAATAGTGTTTTCATCATATTCATATTCAACCAATAAAAAATTATTTAATTGAGTCTCAATTGTCCTTTGATAAATTAATGCATTAGTTTTTAAATTTTCTAATTTAACAGGATCTAGATCTATACAAAGTAAATTATTAAATTTAGAAGCTAATTAGATGGCTAAACCACCTGATCCACAGAATCCATCAATAACTTTATTTATTGGAAGTTTTTGATCTATAATTCTTTTATGTAATCGTTCAGCAACATAAGAAGCAACTTCTTCAGGTACAACAGAATACCATGATTCTTCATCTAATATTATGCCTTCATCAAATTTTTTAAACAAAAAATGTCTCTTATGATAAAATTTTCTTATTTTCTTTTTCAACTAGATTGTTGGAGTAGTCTTTTCATGATGTGCATTGAATAGCTTCTTTGTGATCATTACAGGCATAGGGAATGAACCATTAATAAGCATTAAAGTATTTAGAGGGAAATATTCAATCAATTGTTAACCCATTAATTATAATTCAACAACTTTGTTTCAGCTTTGGTTATGATAATCGACTTATGAGACTCCTCTGAGATTATTAAGTTTTCTTGAACCTTTCTCTGGCAAGTGGTGGTAATTCATACCTTTATTTTGGACTGGAGAAGAATTGATCAGAACTTCGAAGCATCCTCTTGTAATTTTACATAGGAGAGTATTTCTCCTACACATTTAATCTAAATATATATGGTAATCATTCATACAACACATAAGTATCTCTTCCAGTTCCATCACATTAATAGAATATTCTTTAAGGTACTTCTGATGCTCTAGAAGCAGGAGTTGGCATCATATTCATTCCTGTTCTATTTTATTGAATAGTAAGGAATCTGAATTCAGTTCCAAAATTTCCACCATTATTATATGAAATATAAGTATCTCTTCCAAATCCATCATTATTATAAGAAGTTGGATTCTTTTCAGGTTTAGATCCTTTATTTAAGATCGGCTGTTTCATTAATTTAATTAATAAGTAATAAATCATTTTTTCTTTTTCAGTTTTATGCAATTATTTCCATAACCTTCACTGTTTATTCATCAATCTATACAATTTGAAGTATAGCCTTGATTAACTAATTCATATAAATATATTTCAATTACACTTCTACAAATAGGACATTCTTTATTTTAATTAAACCATTAAGTAGCACATTCAGAACACATACCACCATGACCACAAGGCATATAGACTACACAACTTTATCTTTGAAAACAATTAAAACATTATTTCATAGTAGGTTCTTGAACAGCAACTTCAGTTATTGTAGCTTATTTGCTAGTAATAATATTGACTTCAGTTTAATGTCTTTTCATGACTAATTCATCAGGTAAATAATAAGTGCTTGATATTTTCACCATCTATGTTGGATATTCGAAATTATTATTCTTATGTGAATTCTCTTTTAATGAATATACAAACTTTTTTTGACTTCTAGAACTTGGAAAACTAAGAATCTATCTATCTTGATTCCTATCCTCATTTAAACGAGTGAAGTAATGTAAATTTAATATAAATAATGTCAACAGTTCTTTATGATATATAGTATACACCATATAAATAATTGTGTAAAATGCACTTACAATTATCGCCAGTAAATAATTTTTTCCTCCATCCTCATTTTATAAATATAGACACAAATTAATCATTGTATAGGTTGGTATTCCAGCAAAACAAAAGAAAAACATTGAAATCCAAACTAAACCCACTATTTTAGTTCCCATTTGCACTTTCACTTCCACATTACTACTGCTAAAATATTTACTCAATTAAGCAGAAAGATTAAATAGAGATATCAATTCCAAAAATATTGCTATCAATAAAAACAACCAGATTATTACAAAGGCATATAACCAATGTATTGACAACCAATCTATTAGCTTGAGATTTATAAATGTTATCTATGTTATAAAACATAACTTTGCAAACACACTCAACTATATTTTAATTCTCATTTACATACCAATTTATACTATTGTTTCTCAGATTTCCTCTTATGCAATTGTATTCCACTATAAAACATCCAAATTGCATTGTAAAAACATAACAGCATTCCTAAGTATTATATTTAAAAGCTCTGATATTCAACAAAGTAAATCAAACAACTCTATTTTTATTACTATTGATTACATAATATGAAATTAAACCAATATTCCATGTCAATTCAAAACAACAATCAAAATCAGTTTTAGCTCTTATTTTTTTACTTAATATATTTACGTTTTATGATGAACTATACATGTTTTTATTAAGTATATCAAGTGTACTACACTTAAGAACAATAGAGGAACTCTAAAACTCAATCCAAATGTCATTGATGATAAAAAAAGAGTAAGAAATGAATTAAACAAAATTACTATCATTAAAGCCTAATTAAGCAATAAAATACTTAAGTTAACCAATTGTAAGCTACTTACATATTGATCAGTGCATCTGACTCGCCCACTTAACCATCCTATTACAACTCCCAATTATTTTCTCTTGAACCTTACGATTATTATTAAATCATTATTTATATTATTTATAGAATTGACAATTCAAAACGTCTAACATTATTCAGTACCTATTTCAATAAAATTTCGATTCATTTAATACTTCCTCTCATATTATAAATAATAAATTCTTAATTCATATATATATATCGTTATTAAATTTTGAATTTAAATAATAATAAATATTTACATGAATAATTCTCCCTATATTGTAAAAAGGAAGCAGAGAAATGGTGATTGGGTATGTGGAATTTGCAAAAATCTTAATTTCTCATTCAGAAACACATGTTATACATTAATTTTATATATTTTTAGGTAATAGATGTAATAAACCTCCAACTAAAACACCTTCAAAACATTAATACAGAGGATTTCAAACATTGGTTCTAATCCATTATGAAGAACCAACAGAAAGTATAGATGAATTACTTGAAAACTAAATTGATCCAAATGTCACATCAAGTCTATTAGTATTAGACTTAGATTAATTTTGAATTTGTAATTTTTTCTAATTTTTCTTTAATAAATTTTTCCATAATATAAATAATACACTTCTATTTTTTAAATATATTTTCTAGTTTAAATCCACTCATTAGGATATTCTTATTCACTATTTTTATATACATTGAAATATATTTTCAATATAAATTGATTTTTTTAAATATCTAAATAACTCTATTTAAGAAAATTATAATTTTGACTTAATTGATTTATCTACTCATTTATTATTAAAATGGAATAAATAATAAATATATTTCATAATCAAATTATACTTCATCTTATTGAATCAAATTATTTATTTAGATAGAATATTAAAATATAATTATTCATTTTTTCTATTTCACTTTTTTATTAGTTCTCCAAGATAATATAGAAATGAACAACAAAGAATATTATATAAACAAAAGATATTAAGATGTTTATATTATGTAAGATAATAAAAATAGAATAGATACATTTATTTAATAGTTTAAATAGAAATAATTATATATATATATATATATATANTATCATTAAAGCCTAATTAAGCAATAAAATACTTAAGTTAACCAATTGTAAGCTACTTACATATTGATCAGTGCATCTGACTCGCCCACTTAACCATCCTATTACAACTCCCAATTATTTTCTCTTGAACCTTACGATTATTATTAAATCATTATTTATATTATTTATAGAATTGACAATTCAAAACGTCTAACATTATTCAGTACCTATTTCAATAAAATTTCGATTCATTTAATACTTCCTCTCATATTATAAATAATAAATTCTTAATTCATATATATATATCGTTATTAAATTTTGAATTTAAATAATAATAAATATTTACATGAATAATTCTCCCTATATTGTAAAAAGGAAGCAGAGAAATGGTGATTGGGTATGTGGAATTTGCAAAAATCTTAATTTCTCATTCAGAAACACATGTTATACATTAATTTTATATATTTTTAGGTAATAGATGTAATAAACCTCCAACTAAAACACCTTCAAAACATTAATACAGAGGATTTCAAACATTGGTTCTAATCCATTATGAAGAACCAACAGAAAGTATAGATGAATTACTTGAAAACTAAATTGATCCAAATGTCACATCAAGTCTATTAGTATTAGACTTAGATTAATTTTGAATTTGTAATTTTTTCTAATTTTTCTTTAATAAATTTTTCCATAATATAAATAATACACTTCTATTTTTTAAATATATTTTCTAGTTTAAATCCACTCATTAGGATATTCTTATTCACTATTTTTATATACATTGAAATATATTTTCAATATAAATTGATTTTTTTAAATATCTAAATAACTCTATTTAAGAAAATTATAATTTTGACTTAATTGATTTATCTACTCATTTATTATTAAAATGGAATAAATAATAAATATATTTCATAATCAAATTATACTTCATCTTATTGAATCAAATTATTTATTTAGATAGAATATTAAAATATAATTATTCATTTTTTCTATTTCACTTTTTTATTAGTTCTCCAAGATAATATAGAAATGAACAACAAAGAATATTATATAAACAAAAGATATTAAGATGTTTATATTATGTAAGATAATAAAAATAGAATAGATACATTTATTTAATAGTTTAAATAGAAATAATTATATATATATATATATATATACAATATAATTTAATAATATTTGCAAATATTTCATAAGTATAAATTCTAAAAAAATAACAACTTATTTATAATACACTGTTAAACTTTTTCACTATTTTTTATGTATAGTTTTTTTCTTTTTCTTATTCTTTTTCTCTTTAATTAATTTATCAATCTTATTTAAATGGCTATTGTTATCTGAATTCTTATCTTCTAACTTAATATCTATTTTATATGAATGAGGGTCGATATTAATTGAATGTCTTTTTCTATCATTCAATATTTATGTTTTATCTTTTTTTAACACAACCTATGTTCCAATTATGCATTCATCAATCACTTGAATCTTATTATTTTAATCATCAATAAGGATGCCATCTTATTATGTATTAAGATTGAAAAAATCAAAATTATTATTGATATAGATAAGGCCTTCTTAAATGCGAGATTTGAATTTTTCTAAAGCTTTTTCATAATTCCTGAGCTTTTTATTGTTATTGCCAAAAGTAAAAGCAATATATTCTTTATCACATTCAATCTCATCGAAATCTTAAAAGTTAATTATTTATCCATTATCCATCCCTGATGCTGCTAATTTTTTTATTTGTAATTCAATATATAAATAAAATCATTTATAAAGACATAATTTCTATTCATATATAATATCATAGATGAAACTTCATCAAGATAATACTCTATTTATTTTTCTATGTTTTCTTACTTTGAAGCTCACTTGATTTAATGCTTTAATATTTTTATGTTTTCTTTGCCAAATATTTTTTAATGATTTTAACATTATTAAAATTCCGATTCCTTCTTTAACTTGAGACTCAAAAAGGATTAGTCTCCTATTCAATTTAAATAGATTAAGTCCTTAAAATGATTAACATAATTGGTTTAATTAGTTCTTTCAATTTCCATAAAAATCTCCTCTATTAAAATAATTAAACTTAATTTTTCTTTTTTGTAAATTAAGTATTCTCATATAAATTATATTCCAAATAAGATGTTTTCATTAAAAACATATGATTTGAATAATAACTTGATTAATTTAAAAATATACTAATTATGATATTTTATAATATTATCTTAATGGAAGATTTATTATAATATAAAAATAAGATAATTTTAAATTATAATAAATTAAGTAGATCCAAAATACTTAGGGAAGTTGTTTAGATTATAATTAAAAAATAATAATGACATTAAAATCTTATAATCTAAATTTTTTCTCTTATAAATTAGAATAGAAAATGAAAAATTATCCATATTATAATTAGAATCTAATAATATTTATATATAATTTATTATTTGTATAATGCAGTTAAAATTTTCAGAAATAGATGGATTTGTATATGATTTGTTACATTTCTTATGGTTAAAAGATCCAATTACAAAAGTATGTCTATGTAATTAATAGAAAGCACCATTGATAAATATACCGTATACTCTGTAGATAAAAGCAGGATATGTGAAATTTTGGTATTTCAGTAAGCAAGGTGTAATATATAGAAAGAGCAAGGAGAAATTAGATCCTGATTACTTGAAATAGATATTCTATTCAGAGAGTATAAATAAAATAGAAGCAGTATGGATATTTAAAGAAAATGAAAAACTTAAATTTCATTATATGAATAAGATGGAAGTTGGTCATTTTATTGAGAAGCTAGACTATTAAGCTGATGGTGTTTTATAAGGGTTTGTATGCCCTGGAAGAGAATGTAATAGCACAATAAAATGTACATGGTAAAAAAATAGTTGCATTTTCGAGTAAATTTATAATATAAACAAAATAACAAACAATTCATTACATCCAAATTAAAGAATCACAACCTTTGAGACTGATGGTGGTCCAACAATCAGTACTACGTATATATATATAATATATGAAATTCTGATAGATTAAATTCAAATGTATTGGCTAAAACATTAGAATCAACTTGCCAAGAAATTCAACAGCATATTTGTAATGTGACTTTTGAAAAGATTAATATTTCTTTAATGGAATTATATTTTAGATAAGGAATAGATGGATAAATTTATTTATTATTTTGTTCTAAAGTGAGAACAAAAACTTAAAGTAGAAGTAATAGTAATTTGAAATTGTCTCTTAAAGTACCTTTACCTAAAGGGCCTAATAGAATTGAATTTATAAATTAAAGATGTGTTGGTTGTAAAGTAATTCAAAATATAAATTTGTTTGAAGAAGTATATATTGAATTTGAGTATTATTTAGATATTTATAAAGGAGATAATAGAGAGTTGGGATAGACATCATGAAATAAAATATCAATAAGATCCTCCAATAATAGAAATGGATAAAGATTGTTTAGTTCCTAAAATACTTAGATTTATTTATCCTAATTTAGATTTTAATCACTATTAAAGTCTAAAATAGAATGTGGCATTCACATGTTAAAAGATTAAGTTATGTTTGAAATGCTATAAGAATGTGAATGATAATAAATCTAGATTCTCCACAGCAACATATTCAATACAGAAAAGAATTATGATGAGATAGAAGTCTTCTTAGAGTACATTTTAATATGATACTTAATCAATTAAAAAGAGTATATAAAGTCATGAATCCTTTATATAAAATACATAAAGTCAAACTAAAACTACAAGTACTCATAAAAGAAGTATATCTAATACATCTTATATGTTAAAATATAGATGTAATACTTAACTTAACTTCAATTAATCTATAAGTTAGATATTTAGAAATGAATAAAGTTAATGAAAATGTGTAAATACATAAAATCAATAATAATATATTATTACAATTTCATTACTATAAATAAGTTAGTGTTATTTATATTATTATTTTAGTATTTTTAAATAAATAAATAGATTAATTTCAAATCTACATATCTTAAAATATTTATATTTACTATTATTTAGATTTTCATATTATCTTATAAATAATAATCATCATTTAATTATTATCAAATAGGATAAGTAAATAAATGTAAGTGATTAATAATTGAAATAATTTAAATTATGTATAAATTAAACACAATACAAGGACATTAATTTTTCAATTTTCAGGCTCCCTTAAATTACTTTTCAAAAAGAAAACTCTTTCAATTAGCCAATGAAATAAAACCAAGAAAAATAGATTCTCTAGGTAGAGTAGTTATTTCTTCATCTCTCCCAAAAGGTTTTTGGTTCAGAGATTATGATGCAGTAAGAACAGTCAGTAAAAGCTTGAAAGAAAGTCGTCCTAATAATCACAGAATATAGAATCCTATTTATTTTAAGAGAAGAGATATTTAAGAACATTTACAAAACTACACAATAAGAGCAAGTACTCCAAATCCATCAAAAAAATGGAGAAAATATCGTAATTTAATATTGAACAACAATAATCATATAAGAGAGTAAATAAAATAAAAATTTTAAGAGACTCTTAACTTATTGATTCCTAATTGTTAATTATCACCTCCAAAGAGTAAACGTAGTTCATTCATGTACATGTAATAATAACAATATTTACTTGAACTTCAAACAGGTTAAAAATCAAAATTAAAACATATAAGTAGACAACCATCAAATAGAAAGGATGAAAGTATGAGATCTTTAGATAGACATTTCTAAGATATTAATTGTGCATAAAGCAATTTCAATCATTCCTATATTTAAGAAAAATTGATTACATCAAATCAAATTACTCCCAGAAATAGATTCTTTAAAGATTGCTTCAGATTATATGGAATAGATTCTTAAGTACAACCACCAAAAAATAAATTGATTTTTACTGACTCTGTTTAATTAGTAGAATCTTAAGAAACTAGATGTGATAAAATTGAACTTATTTAAAGTAATCGTGACAAATACAGCTAAAAATACATTCCTTTATTAAATTTAATTAAGAAACAAAGAAAAAAGAACTTACAAACTAAAATAGCATCTCCAAAGTATCCTAAATTAAACACTTCAAATCCAAAAGATAATAGAATTGTTAATATTTATTTTCCATCTCTTAAAAAAATTAATCTAAGGAATCACTCTTGATATACTTATATATATCTATATACTTCAATATTATTAATTAAAAAATCACTTTAATGAAATTATAATAATAATACTTATAAAAATATACTTGAAATTAAACTTAGAACAATTAAGAATAATGATCAGTTTTTTTTAAGAATTCTAATCTAAACTATATGAAAGAGTAGATCTTTTTAATTATAGATATAAAAAGAAATATGTTTATCAAGAATGATTTATATAATAATATTGAATTCAACTTTTAAAGATATCTAATTACAATAGCTAAACGATAGATCATTATAAAATACTTCTTTTGCTGTTGCTCTTTGATATGGATCAATCACAAAAATACGTGATAATAATTTTTATAAATCACGATCTTAATTAGTTATATTTGATTCATTATTTCTTATTTTCTTAAACAATTCTCTTTCATTCTCTCCTTTAAAAGGAAAACTACCTTATAAAAGAGTAACTAACAGAACACCAGTAGCCCATATATCTGCTGCTCTTCCATCATATTTCAATTTAGAGACAACTTCAGGTGCCATATAACTAGGTGTACCACAATGACAAGTAATAGGTTAATTAGTAAATGTACTAAAACCAAAATCTATTAGTTTAACTCTTTTATTTTGTATAAGTATATTTTCTAATTTAATATCTCTATGACAAACATTCCTATCATGTATATAATGTAATATTTTAAGTAATTAATGAATAATATAAAGTGCTTATTCTTTGGGTATGGTTCTTGTTGAAGTTGATTTGAGTAATTGATATAGAGATTCAGTTCCACAATATTCCATTACTAAATTGATATAGGTAGTATAATGATAGACATCATATAGTTTAGTAATTTGATCATGAGATAGAATCCTGAGAGTATTAATTTCTTTGATAAGATTATTAAATCTTTCACCTTTGAGTAATGACTTATCATACATTTTGATAGCAACTTTATTGCCATGACGATCAGTTCCTATTTTTACTATTGCATAGCTACCTTTTCCAATTATAGGTCCAATTTAATATATTTTATCATCACAAGTAGATGGTATTTATTTATATAGAGATTCTTAATGATTAGTGGAATCCTTAGCACTCAGATTGCCTTAGATTCTCTTTCTTTATATTTTTGAAGATAGTCTTAATTATTGTTGATTAGTATTATTAGTTATTGTATTACATTATTGACTTTCTTTAGTACTTAGATATCGTTATTCATTTTTGATGTTAAAGTTGTCTTCAAATTTAGCTAATTCTCTGCCTGTACTAGGAGTTCTAATTTTGAAGTAGGTTGTAAGATTGTTAAGTCTATAGTTGGTTAATCTAGATGGAGGGGGTTTGGATGAATTATCAGGGAGGTTTTCTTTGTTTTCAATTGAACGAAGACCTTCTCTTGGAGGTTTACGTATATTCATGAATCGGTTAATAATTAAATATAAATTGGGAGTACATTATAAAAATAATAGTTATACAGTATTATATATATAACATTCTAATGTTGGAAAATAAAAAAACATTATATAGAGAGCATATGATGATAATTATATTAATAATGCGTCAGTGATTAAATAATAAGAAGAAGTGTTTATAGTGAGAGAGTCATTAAATATGATAAGAATTCAATAACTGGGATAGCAATTTAATGCAACCAAGTCAACATTGACAATATAAGATTCAAGATCAGGAAAGAAATATGAGATTCCCATTTCTAATAATTTTATTAAGGCAAGTGATCTTGAGAAGATAAAAGATGATAATGGTTCAATTATTCGTTCTTATGATCCTGGTTATATGAACACTGTTAATTGCGTACATTTTGCATTCATAAAAGACATCCAAAATTAGTTTCATTGATGGAGACAATGGCATACTCGAATATCGAGGTTATCCCATTGAGCAATTAGCTGAAAAAAGTACTTATTTAGAAGTAGCCTTTTTACTTATTTATGGTGAATTACCAACTCCATTGCAATATGATAAATGGTGTAAAAAGTATGCAATTATTTATTATTTAATTTCAGAATCTAAACTCATACATTTGTCCACTAAGATCTTTATGGACTCTTGTCTCAATTTAGATATGATGCACATCCTATGGGCATGGTTATCAGTTCACTTTCAGCTGTTAGTACTCTACATCCAGAAGCCAATCCAGCTTTATCAGGATAAAATATCTATGCTGTATTATTTATTTAATCTTTAAAATAGGATTAAAAATCTAGGAACAAATAAATTCATAGAATGATTGGATCTATTACAACCATAACCGCACTTGCATATAGAAATAGAATTGGAAGACAACCTAATCAACCTCATTAATAATTAGGATATGTTGATAATTTCTTATATATGATGGATAGACTTAATGAATCCAATTATACTCCACATCCAACTATTACAAAAGTTTTAGACATTTTATTCATTTTACATGCTGAACATGAATTGAATTGTTCAACTTCTGCAGTTAGACATCTTACTTCAAGTGGAGTTGATATCTATACAGCTATTGCTGGAGCTGCTGCTGCACTCTATGGTCCTAAACATGGTGGTGCCAATGAAGCAGTTTTAAGAATGCTTGAAAAAATTGGATCTAAATAAAATATACCATAATTTATAGAAAATGTAAAAAATAAGAAAGCTCTACTCTTTGGATTTGGTCATAGAGTTTATAAATCATATGATCCAAGAGCAAAAATTGTTAAATAATTAGCTTACTAAGTTTTTGATTTGGTTGGTAAAGATCCTTTAATTGAAATTGCATTGGAATTAGAAAACATTGCCTTAAATGATAAGTATTTTAAAGATAGATCACTCTATCCTAATGTTGATTTTTATACTGGAATCATTTATAAAGTAACTTCATACATTTATATTTTATAGGCTCTTGGATTTCCTACTGATATGTTTCCTTTATTATTTGCTATCCCAAGAATTTCTGGATGGTTAGCTCATTGGTGTGAATTCCTTGATGATCCTGAAAATAAAATTGTTAGACCAAGATAAAATTATTAAGGATATAAAACTAGAGATTATGTTCCTATTGATTAAAGAAAATAAACAGATGCCTATATTCATGCACCATCAACATCCTTTTCAACAAGAAGAAATGTTTCTGTTAAAAAATGAATATGATTATTATTAAGAATATGAAATTATTCATTTATTATCTATTTATTCAGAATAACCATATATTATTTGATTAATTATATATAACTCTTTTAAGTTTATAATTGAAACAACTTAATTAATTAATCATGACGAGAAAATCTCAACATAGCAATCCTTATATAATAATGGGTTTGAAATAGATTGTTTTAATTTAATCGATTTTAGGTGATGGTTTAGTTTAAATAGATAATTATTCAAATTGATTATTCATAGAATCAGATTTATATGGTCGAAATGCTGATTTATTAGGTACTTGTAATATAATATTTAATATATACATAAATTGGCATAGAAGGCAGTAGGTTATTCTTCTTTTTCAGAGTCATCATATATTTAAGTCATTTTACGTGATTATTTTTGTAATTATTTTTTAAGTTTATTATGCTTAAATGAATCTGAATTTAAATTGGAATGTGTTTATAATTTAATTAAGTTCGACTAATTGTAAATTTAAATTTATACATTTTTAAGTACTTCTTATTTGATTGCATAAATTAGTTTCTTTAATTATTTAAGTACTAGATTCGTTGAAGCAAATGGATGATTTCTTATAATTGAAGGTTTTCTCATTATTAGAAATTGATATGTAGTGTAAATTATCTTGCCTCCATTTTATTCTTACATAACTTATTATGGTGTTATACGTTTAAGTAAAGATTTCAACTAAGAAATATAATAAGAATAATTTACTTCTTCAATCAATTAATCTTCATTTTTTTGCATAATTAATTATGATAGTATTCGTTAGAATTCAATATTATAAGAGACTTAATGTGTTTTTGTAACAGAATTGATTGCCTTGATTTAATGTTCATTTAAATAGAGTCTTGAAATAAATGAAAGTGATTACTTTTCGTTATTTGATGTTTGAACTACATATTGAATAGGTGTTGTATTTGTGAATATGGTTGTGATCTAAAATATATAGATATGATGTATTTACAACTCCATTATTCCAACATGATTAGGTATGACATAATTGAAATTAGATAGATTGATTTATTTCGAACTGTGGTTCCATTTTGAATTTGAATAGTAAAATAATTAATATTTTAATAACGATTTTTATAAAATATTATAGTTTGCATGAAATTAGCAAGTCCAAGTTTTCATATGAGTTAAGAAAACAATGCTTAATTACTCGAGATTGGTCAATGTCTTAAATACACATCTTACATGATTGATTCTAATGTATTAGAATGAATTGGAATATTAATAGATGATTCTAACATCAGCATTGCATTAAACCTTAAGCAGTTCAACTATTACTTTAGATTAAGTATTACCTGCAAGATTGGAAAAGTATATTACATCATATACTCTAGCTACATGATGGCAACCATTGAATAAGATTAAAATCTCCCAGATTACATTTCAAATTTGTCACTTAAGGAGATCATCAATCAAATTCGATATGATTAAATACTCCAATTTGCAAAGCCTTTGGGTATTGATATGCAAATAGTTTAAGCTTAGTGATCGAACAAAAGGAGTAGAAATAATTCCAAATTATCAACACATAATCTAATAAGTAAATTGGATTTCAATAAGTAATAAAATCATTATAAATATAGAAAAAAACAGATGGATTGATATCTAATTAGATTTTTAATAATAAAATCAATAACACTAGATCAATTAGTCCATAACCAATGAGTACAATCATTAATAAGACTTAATCCAAAACATAATCCTAAATCCCTTTTATATAAGCAGAATCATAATTTATGAATGATTAATTCATGAATCTAAATCCTAATTTATCTAATATGAGTAGTAATAGTATATTGAATGATACACCTTAAAGTAATTAATAACATTAATTGAATAAATGGACAGATAAATCTAAAGAAAAGATTTTATTCTAAGATAATTATATGATAGAAGAAGAAACAACAAAACATGTTAAACCAAATACAATTATAATTAAGAAAAGTGAGGATCCTTAATTTTTTTAATAATTAAAAAATGCTCGAGTTGCATCTCCGACTATAAGATAAGTTAAGGGATCAGGTTTATCTCCAGAACCATATAATTAAAGTAAATCCAAATCTCCAGAAGTATTATAAGTTAATATAGCTAATCATTATAAAAAATTGGAATCAGGTTAAAATATGAAGTAATAATAATCCTAATAATAATAATAATAATAATAATAATAATAATAATAATAATAATAATAAGCTTTAAAAAAATTACCAGAATAATTTAAAAAATTATTAACTGATAGTAGTAAAAGATAAAGTATTACTAAACCTTTTGATTAAAATAATACTAAATTTGCTCTTATTTCATCTGGTTCAACTGCATAATAAAAAAATACAAAATAAATAAAATAATTTGCATTTTAAGATTCTCTTAATGATAATTAAATGAAGGTTGTCTAAAGTGAAAAGTAATTCACTCCTAGAGTAAATGAATAAGAATATGTTAATTAAGACATTTAAATGATGCTTAGTGAATAATAATCACTCCCTAAAAGTAAAAGTCAAAATAAAAAATAAGATGAAAAATAAAATGATAATATTCATCAATAACATTAAAATTTTAAGGATTAATTCTCCTTTAAACCTTAATTTGAATAGAAATAATATATATAAGAAATACCTTAATAAATAATCTAATAATAAATTGTGGAATCAAGATCTATTAGAGGAATATCACCACAAAATAGATCTATTCAACAATAATTTAAATAATAATCCACAATTATACAATAACCACCTGTACCACCTAATTAATAGAAAGAACCTATATAAATAAAATTGGATATCAAATAATTTATGAACTCAAATAAACCTAAAGATTAATAAAGATCCATTAGTCCAATCTATAATTAGAGATAATAAATAGGTATTATTATTATAATTATAAATATAGGAGTGACAAATGAAAATGGGAGATCTTATTTTGTCAATTTGAATTTTTAAAAATGAATGATTAATTAATTATAAATGAATTCAAATAATATTACTTATTTTATTAAGGATAGGAAATACTTATTTCTTAATGTGATTCATAAATTATAGAAATTTCATGTATATACATTTGCACTTAAAATTAATTATATATATATATATAAAAGATGTTTTCTAAATAAATTCAATATACCTAGTCTTAAAAGACAAGTGATTCTGGCTTATCTAATTAATAATTTAATTAGAGAGCTTTTAGATATGAAAATTAATCATCAGTCAAAGCAAATTGGTAGAAACTTAAGTCATATGAAACTGACAATGATCCAATATCAAGACGTGATAGAACTGTTAAATCAATTGTAATGAATGGTTATTATATTAGACTGTCTTATAAGAAATATTTACTTGCAACAATCAAACAAAATTGATAAAATTAGTTAGTTCATTTCTATAGTCAGAACAGCAATTAACTTAAATTAGTGAACAATTAGATAAATAGTAAATTGTTTAACTCTTCTTTAAAATTCATCAAATGCAAAGTCCATAACTTGTGTAGTTTTTACATTTACTTTATGATTCTCTATTTTCTTTAGACTCATCAGTTAGTTCTAAGATGTACACTCATTAAGATGTACTTAAATATATGCTTCTATCAAACTATGAATAAATCTAAGGACAAGCAGGGTAATTGACCAGAATACTTGAAATATTATCAGAAATGTAGATTTTAAATCCAGATTTCTTAGCATTTGAGGAAGAATTTTAAGTTGATTTAGAAGAGGTAAAGTAATTAATTATATATATAGATTTCAAATTCATTCAACTAAGTATAATTGCGAATCTTATTTTTAGTAAGTTCGATTGATATATTAAGAGCTTTGAAAGGTTCAGTAGCCTTATTTGAACGATTAGAATAGTTTGTGTTTTCATAGATAAAGAATAGTCAGATGCCAAATATTAGTGATCTAAAAACTCTTGTGATTGCTTATGTTCTTTTAAGTGAATAATTGGATATAGCAAATAAACTTGGTTATTAAAAGTAAGCAATAGAAACTATTGGAAAATCTATAGATTATTCAATCTATGAATTAAAAAGAAGATTTATTAATAATGCAATGAGATTATCATAAAAATATCTAGGTTCTGAAGTTTATGATTAAATTGCTAATATGAATAGATCATTTAGTCCTGGATTTAATAGATAATCAATGCCTCATTTCAATTAATAAGAAAACATATCATATTAATTTTTGATAAATCATTTGAAAATGAATTATACTTTAAATAATGATGATAATTTTTAGATTGATTCTAAATGCAATAATTTATTATCTAGTCCTCTCATTTATTAATTAATGGATAAGTAATTTTATAATTAATATTTATAGATTAGTACCATAAACAACAAAAAAAGAGAAAGTTAATTCAATTTTTACAGAATAAAGTCAAGTAGAAAAAAAGAGTTTACCAGTAAAAAAATAATTCTCAATTAAATAATTAAAATAAGAGAATATGGTGTAATCTTAAACTCAAAATTAAGTATCTACTCCTTAATAAAAATAAGTATTTATATAATATTAATTAATATTAGTTATCTTAAACATAAGGATTTCAATCTACTTAAAATAAATAATAAACTAATATTACTACTACTGTTAAACCAGGTTTAGATTCTAATGAATTTGAAATCCTATAAAATAAATTAGGTCGTCAATAACAAGAATTAGAAGAATTAAAATAATTGTATAATACTAATATGGCATAAAAAAAGAATGAACTCAATTAAACTAATTAATAAAATTAATAAAATGATTAATTGAAAAAGAAAATAGAACTTTTAGAAACCAATTTAGTATCATTAAAAAATGAAAATACTACTTATAAAAAAGAAAAAGATTAAAAATAAAGTGAAGTTAATGAATTAAGATCATTTATTTAAGATTTACAAGATAAATAATTAAAATTAGAAAAGTTAGTTCAATAATAATAATAATAATATTAATAATAATAATAATAATAATAATAATTATAATAATTATAATTATAATAATAATAAGCTTCTCCATAATAATTACCAAATCCTAATCCTGCATAATAATATTTAAAAACACAATAAAGTAGCTATTCAACTAAAGCCAATACTCAAACATAAATGAATATTTAAATTCCAACCAATAATCCAGATGATAAAAATAGATTATTTGTTAGAGCTTAAAGTTAAATGAGTCATTCTCCTGGAGAAGAATTTAAAAATGAAATGGATGATACAAGTCCTAGAATTATTAAATAAAATTAAGCTTATTTACTTTAATTATTAGATATGTTAGATTTAAATACATCTTTTACTAAATCTTATACCAAATTACATTCAAATAATGAAAATAATTCTTGGGAAAGTGATGTATCAATTGTACATAATTTCAAACTTGAAGGTTTAATAACTGATACAAATGAAGGAAAAGTGTTAATGCTCAAAGCTTATAATTAATAGAATATATTGTGTACAGAATCAATATCATTTGATCTCTTAAAGAGTCTTCTTGGATATGTAGATTTTTAAGATACTCTACCAACAAATCTACCAAATATTAGTACAACTCATTAATTCTTTAAATTTTTAATATTACCTTATACTGCAATTGTACATGATGAAAATACTTAATAATATAAGATTTAATTGTGGCCTAAACCATATGGATTATTAAATGGATTAAATTTAAAAATAGATTTCTTAGATCTTAATTGTTTAGTATATGTTCATCATTTAGAAACTGATTAATTTAGAATTATTATATTTGATCCAGCAAGTTATGATTGTTTCAAATTAGATTTAGAAATGGATTATTCTTCAATAGATACATTTTTTGTAGATGCTAAATCTATTAAAGATGAATTTAATTATTATTGTAAGAGTAATCTATTGAAATTGACAGAAAAAACACCTAAATTTGGAGATGATGATGTAGCTGAAGCATTAGTAGAAAGACATTTTTCAAAAGATAAAGTAAAAGCAGTCTAGGCAGACATAAAATAAAATTAATCGTATAAATAAGAAAATTTAGTATTAAAATAACCAGTTGAATTTCTTAAATTCATCAAATAAATAGTTTAAGTTTTTGAATAATAATTAAAATTACAATAAATTACTTTTCCTAATAGTTTACTCGGTATGAAATATTTTAGATGTAAGACATGGAATGCTGGTACTAAAAGTTAAATATAAATTGTCAAAGAACATTTAGATTAATAATAAATTTCTATATATTTAGCTAATTGTTTTGAATCTTTTGGTCCAAATAAATCTAAACTTAAAGCTAAAGGAAGTACTCAAATAAATTTTTCAGCAATTCAAAGGGAATTTGCTGTATCTTATGATAAATTATAGATTGAAGAAAGAGCAACCATTTTATAGACTATTTTATATTCATTCAATTTAAATATTTTTGAAAAAATATGTGAATAGGATGAATAACAATTTGACAAGAATCCTATAGTGTAAAGTATTTATGATTGTGGGTCTTATAGAAGGTATTATTATTTAATTATCTATTTTAGAGTTATTGCCTTTGATAATGGTAAGATTGCATAAGTTACTATTTAAGTTATTGGATCAAATAGAAGAATGTGCGGTATTAAATTCTCTGTTTTTAATGTTGATGAAACAATTGAAAATGGAGTATTTTTACCAGTATCATAAAGTGAATGGGATACTAGAGCAATGGAAAAATAAAAAATTAAAGCATCTGTTCAAAATGTTCCCTTTGCAGAATATTTATTAACATAAATTCTAAAATGTTAAACCACATAAACTGTAAAATATTTTAATTGATTTTACTAGATTTTATTTAAAAAGATTTTGAATGCTGATTTCAAATCAAATTAAATTAATAGTAGTGAAATAAAAAAGAGAAAGACTTTTATTGAGAGGGTAGATAATCTATTAACTTGGCAAGAAGTTATCGCACATTTATGAGTATTAGATTAATTAATATCAATTATATAATACTAGATATTTTTACATTTATTTCAAGATTCTCTTGAACTTATAGATAAGTGCATATTGTAATTTCTATCATATTAGAAATTAAAAAAAATCTCTTTATTTCACAAAATTTATTATTTCACTATAAATCATTCTAATTTTATTATTTTTTAACTATTTTAGAAATCATACTTCCTTTATTGACAGATTAATATTATGAAATAAAGACTGATTCATTATTATTGTTCTGTGATTTCAAAATCTATGAGTTCTAAATATCTAATTTTAATTGATAATTTTCCCTTTAGATATAATAAATATAATTACTATTCAAGTTATTAAATTCTTGAGAGTTTTGCTTACAAAGTTTAACTTGATGTTAATTAATTAGATCTTCTTAAGGATTCTTCTTATAAATATTTTTTATTAATTTCTTGCATTTATGAATGTAATTTTTGATTCTCTTCATAAATTCCAATCTCTTCATAATTTAATTAATTCTTTAATTTATTAAGTTAATCAAGTAAATAATCATATTGTTCTTATAATTAAAGTACTTTTAATACTCTATTCTCTAAATCCTTTTAAAGTTTATTATTTTATTTCATTAAATTGAGTAATTCATCATTATTTTTCATAAGCTATAATTAATAATTTTTGACTTCCTCTTTTAAATTAGATATTTCAGATTCCTAATTTTTTATTTACTTTGTAAAAACTAAGATTTAGCTTTCATTAACTTTATTTTAATATTTAATTTCACTCTTTTCTTCAAATGTCTTTTTTTTAAGTTCATCTATTTCTTTAAGTAAATCTCCTATATTTTATGTGTGTATTTTTTCAACATAATGTTCATGTAATTATAATTATGAATTTTATGTTTAAATTCTTTATATATTTGTTAAATGCTTAGATAATTATTGAATACTTTCATCCTTTTATTAAAGTTGTTGTTTAAGAATTTCAATTTAAGTATTCAATTCATGAATTTCTAAGTCTTTATTTAATTGAAATTACTCAATTTATTTCAAATACTATAAATTAGATTATTATAATCGATCAGATTCAAGTAAAGAATTTTTTAAATTAGTTTAAATTTCTTAATAGTCTAAGGATTTCATATCTAATTCTGTAATATATTATGAATTCTATTCTTTCAATAATTGATTTTCCTGACGTAAATGTAATATTAATTCTTCAAATTTAATAATTTTAATTTTGTTATCATCCTTTTTTAATTGATCGATAATGTAATTTTTATCTTCAAGTTCCTTAGTCAATTTATTATTTTAGATTTCTAATTCTTTTATTGTTACTTCTTTATTTACTTTTGGTTATGTTTTAATCATTTTAGCTCTGATTCCAAATCGAAGAGTACTAAGAGTTTCAGATTCATTACTAATACATGGACTACATGTAATAATGAGAGAAGTCATTGAGTTTTTACTTAGTCCATTCCATAATAATTTAGTTAAATTGGATTCTCTGAAAGGTACATGTTATTATTTATCTGATAATCCATTTATTACATTAGACTAGTAATATATAAATATTCTGATATACAAGTGTTAATAGACTCCTATTTATGAATGCTCCTTCTTATAATGCATTTCCAGTCGTTCCAGCTTTAGATGCATTTTCACTACCTGCAAGATCAGCCATAATTAATTATCCTGTATATGATGTTCCTTCAATTTCATTATTCATAATGACTGTCTAAAATAGAATTTTAAAAAGATTTACCATTTAAAATAAAAGATGAGATCTAGATGACATATCATTAAGATTAGTATAACCAACTTATCTATTGACCAAACTCTTTTATAATGCATTATAAATTTCTTCCTTATCACAAACCCATAATTATGTAATTTATTGAATGTAGAATCCTTGATTAGCCATCTCTCTTATTTTTAAATCTTATTTATTGATGTCTAATAAATCTTTAACTTTTTCTTTATAAACTTCTACAATTTAGATTTTAATACGAAATTCAGATTCAGTTGGGGAACTGTCTATTGCATCAAATAAATCATTAATAGTTCTTTTAATAATTCCTGGTTATTATTGATCCCCAATCATAGTATAAGTTTTACCAGATGATGTCTATCCATACATTAATAATGTAGCATTGAATCCTTACAGAATTTAATCTATTATAGGTTTTCCTATTTCATCATATACTTCTTATTAATTTGTATTACTATCAAGAATCTTATCAAATGTAAACTTTTACTCACCTATTTGTAATGTTTAATCTCTAATAATATAATTGATTAAAGAAGTTTCTTTTTGATTTAATGGTCTGATTCTACAAAATACTTTAATATTACTCATTATTATTATTATATTCAATAATGATAAATAAAATAAATCATTACCACCTAAAATATTCATGTAAAATTTTCTTAGTGGTTTCATCATTTTCCTAATGATATGGATACTTGAGTTTAATTAGATTATCTAATGATTACTATTTATTAAATTAAGTCTTAGATTTTGAGTTTTCACTCTCTAAAGTCTTTTGATTAATTGAAATCTTTTGATCAGAAGCAATTAAATTTTATGAAACTTCTTATATTTTTGATAGTTTGGATTGCATATAATCTGCAGTTGTAGCTTATTCAGTTTCAAATTTAGTTTAGGTTGTTTTTAATGGAGTTTGATTACAATTCTAAGTTTAAGCTTTTGTGGATGTAGTTAATGAATTGCGAAATATTTTAGTTTTTAGTTCAGGTCGAAGATTCTTAAAATCAAGAGATTTAAAACTATAATTAATTTAATTATATAATACTTATTACTATGTTGATAGGGTATTTAATGATCAATACTTTTAGTTTCAATTAAAGCAGATTTGTAATATTTTAATTTTGTATTCTAAGAGTATTCATCAAAATTAGATTATTCATTAATTAATTAATCAGCTTTGAAAGTTCTTAAAGATCTTGATATATGTAGAGTAGTTCCTATTTAATCTTCTTTTACTGTTGGTATATATTCAGTTCTTTTATGCTTTTTTTTAATTAATATAAATAAGTACTTCTTATTCTTTGTATCGCTTTCTTGAAGGATCACCTAAAACTTCGAATCCTTCAATAAATACATTACTTTAATTTTTGTAATTTATTGGAAGTTACTCCCAAGATGATGGATCAAATCTTTTCTTATTATAAATATTAAAAGTATTGTTATCCATCCATTTAGATTTATCATCTTATTTCCATGTAGGATTTGTCAACATCATCAAGTCTTTTTTCTGTATATGAAACATATTACCACATAATCAACTTTCTATGTTGTATTCTAAATCACACCTCTTACTCTTTCAGTCTCTACTCTTTCTCCTTTACCAAATCTCATAGGATTTCCTTATTTAGATTGATCATCCACTTTCAACCATTTATAATGGTTCTTATGTGGTTAATCTTTATTAAATTCTCCTGTTGCCAAATGTCCTTAATTAAAGTCTAACATTGTTTGTCTAGCTCTCTCCTTCCCTGATAATTGACTATTATACTATGTGCATTTACCTTCTTAATAGTATATTACCATCTAACTCCTTTTCCTTATAACGATCTCTGAATGAATGCTTTGTGATTGGTAATATTGGGTAGCTGCCCTCTTTTAAGGTTTCTCTTAGTTTGCTAAGTTTATTCTCTTCAAACATTTCTACTCGATTTGCTTATCTGGCTTTGAATTAAACTGACTTAATTTTTCTTATTTCTTCCAATTTCTTCTCTCTTTATTCTCTACGATTATAATTATTTTATACCTATTTAATTATTGTTCCTTTATTCTTTCAATTTACTTTTGCTTAAAAATGTTATTCAAAGACATTATTATTTAATTAATAATATTAAATACTTTTATAATTTCTTCAATTTCTAATTGATATCTTCGTAATTAAAGAATATTTGGAAATCCTAGCATTTAATATTAATAAGTTTTAACTTCTCAGATAATTATTCAAATTATGTCAATATATTAGGTATAGAATGATTATAAATAACTAATACATCAAAAATAGACCAGTTTTTTAACATTAAAAATAATTTATCTATAATAAATTAATATCATTACTTTTAATCCATATTTATTTTAGTACATTGACAAAAATAATAACAAAAGGATTAAAAAGAATGATAATTAGATATTTATTATTGGACAAGTTAGAATAAACTATATTTATTGAATCAAAGCATTTATATAATACCTAATAGAATAACTAGGAATAATTATTCTATTGATAAATTTACAATTTATTCAGTATATTAAAGGTTTGAGTGAAAATCTGGGATAATTGAAATAAAAATCTATTTCAGTTTACCTTTAGATGATCAAAAATGTTTATAATTTTAATTTATAATTCACACAATAATCTTTTGTTATTCAATTGATTGTCTGTTTACTATTACCAAAAATAATGATGATTTAGATCTGTATAATTAAACTAAATCCTTTATGAGGAATGTTTAGAAGATGAATGTATATTTCTTATATACCTATTAATATTTAATTAAAAAGGTGTCTAAATTATAAGAATCTATGAAATAAATAATTAATAAATATACATTGAATTAATTACTGAATATAAATATGATTTATTATTATTATTATTTATTCTTCAATGAGGACTGCAGCATTCTCTTTCATTGGAATTCGTAAGCATTTTTGGAAGGAAGTTTTTTATAACATTTAACTATACCAAGATTCTATAGAAATGACTGAAATTGTAGGCATCATTTTATATTCAGAAATCTAAATCACCAAAATACATTCTGCCATTGAAATTGTCGACTGTTTTAGAAATAACAGGATAGGTTAGTAAAAATAATAAGAATTTCAGTGGATTCTAGTTTAATTATAAAGACTCAACTAAAATAATGAATTGTAGATCCTAGGATATAGCTATGTAAATTTACTTTCTATTATTAGTTTTATGGATATGATAAGTAATTAAGTAACTTTTCTGAATATTACTATGTTTTATTAGGCAATTGAAATAATAGGTAGAGGTAGCTCATCGAGTGTTTCTATTGTGATTGATACTTTTTCATAGGAATAATTTGCTGTCAAAAGTATCAATAAATAATACCTCTTAAAAAATGATAAATTAAAAGTACAAATCAATTTTATAGTAGATATTATTTGAAAATGAGGTAAAGATCTTATAAGAATTGACTAAATACAATCATCAAAATTATTTTGTGCATTTATATAGAGTATTTGAAAGCAAAACATCATATTACTTAATCTTGAATCTTATGAAGGGCAAGTCACTCACAGCTTTCTACAATAAAAACAAAGTAAGCAATAAGGTTAAATTATTTGAAATTAGAAACAAACAGACTCCAAGTATTTCTCTCCAGATATTATTAAATCAATCATGAAGAGACTTCTTTCAGGTGTTTCCCTTCTACATTGTCATCAAGTATTTAATACATCTAACTTAGATAATCCACAGAGATCTTAAACCTGACAATCTCTTACTTCTTGAACCAAATAATGTTGAAACCCTTACTATAGCAGATTTTGGATTGGCAACTTATAGTAATGTAGAAAAGTAATAAAACTCTTCTATTCTATAGATATTCCTATCCAATATGTGGAACTTAAGGTTATATGGCACCAGAAATCACTCATTACAAAGAAGGATAAATAAAATATGATGAATAAATTGATATCTACAGTGTTGGTATCATTTTTAATTGGCTGTATTATTTATTATAATCTTAGACTTATTGGAGATATAGATAAAAATAATCCTAAATTATAGAAATTGGATTCAATCACATTGAATTTATTGAATAATCTTTTAAAAAAAAATCCAAAAGAAAGATTATCTGCATAAGCAGCACTTCATCATCCTTATTTCCAGGGTGATGAAACTACTAAGAAGACAATCCAATCAGAATATGGATTTGTAACTCCATATTTTATTCTAGGAAAATGTTGATTCAGAGACTATTGTATAACATGAAGATATCAAAAACTATTAATTGCCTCTCATGAAGAAAATTCAACGTTAAATATGAATTATACTTTCTCAATGTAATTATATCAATCTCTATATAAATTATTATATCAATTACTCGTTTCAAAATTGTTACTATTACTGTAATATTAAAATATATTATTAATGCTCAAAAAATATCTCTCTTCCTGTTCATCTAATGAATAGATTTAGTAAAAATAGACATTAACTAAAATAAGTATAGACATTTCCATAAAAACTTAGATCTAACTCAAAAAACAATTGATTATGGTACTCCTAAAACTTAACTAAATCTAGGATCAATTGAAAATAGTCCTTTAAATATACAATACCCAACATCAGAGCCAAACGTTTCTAGTAAGCCTTCTGAACAATATTTACTCAGTAATTAAGTAAATTCAATCTAGAAAATGATAATTCTCCTGCTATAAGTGGTTCCCCAAAAAAAGACTTTGATCTTCTTATTACATAAAGAGATGATACCCTTAAATTTAGATCAGCATCATAAAACTAAAAAAAGCTATAATTGAAGCGTTAAAGTAGTGAAAAATAATGTTCATCAAATGAAAAGATCAGAGTTTTTGATGTGTTCAATTAAAGTCCAAGGTTAAATAAATAACCCTCCACTTCTAACACCTACATTACCACAAAAGAAAACTTAAAAGTTCAACTTCAATAACAGAAACATAATCTACAAAATCAGTCCAAAATAGCAACAAATAATGTAAATTATCAACCACAGAATAACGCATTGTATAAACAATCCTGTAAACCTCCAATATCCAGTAGATTAAATGAATCAAGAGAAATTCTGTAATATATGAGAAAGAATTCAATAAATAATAAAAAATGCTCTCACTTTAAGGATGAAGGAGGGACTTAAAAAAATCAACTTTTCTTTCATTCTCCAAAATATAATGAATCTGTAGCATTCAGTTCTTCAGGTAAAACACATCTCCAAGATGCATTAACTAATCTCAAATATGATAAGGATACTCCCAAAAATGAAAATATTCTTGAATTATTGTTACTTTCAACTTAAGAACTTAACAACAAGTTCAAAAATAAACAACTAGAAAGGAATGAATCAGAAGAGAAAATACCTGTAAAAATTAGAGTAAGAGCAGGAAGTAGATTTCCAAAAGACTTCTTTGAATGAATCATAACTATGTAAATTATCAATCACAATTCAGCCTTTTCTTCATAATATCCTTAATTTTGTCAACCCATAATTAAGCAGGATGTTCAAATTCCTTATTTTCTAAAAATAAATTTCTTACTTTAAAATAATATTTCTTTTTAGTAGGCACATCAATATTAAATTATCCTTTTTATAATTCTATTGTTACAGATTTGTCTAAAATGATCTAACCCTTTCGTTAAGCTATAACAGATTCTTTATACCTTTTTTAATCCAGTATTAGGATCGAAATATTCTAATTTAGGAATTTCAAAATCGTACAATATCATATTTCTTAATTTATATATCATCCACCCTAAATATTTAATAAATAATCTCTAACCTGTTTTCTTATTAACTAATCCAGTAATTACAACTTCTGGTTTTAAAGTGGCACTTTATTTTTTTTATGTGAATTCTTAAGTTGTTATCTTTTTTAAATGAATTTAAACATCCTCAGGTCCTTTTTGATTCCACAATTACTACCAATTTATATCCTTAAAGAATGGATGGCTTTTTAGTTCTCTATATGTATTTTGAGAATCTAAAATTATTAAATCAATTTTACTGGGCAATCCTCCTCCTAAACGGCTTAAAGGATCTCTAACTAGCAATTTGCTTATTAAATCCATCCCATCCTAAGGGATTTTATTATTTTTAGAGTACTGACAAGATCTAACCTTCTAAAACACTAGATATTCTGTCTAATCACAAAAAGGAGTTGTCCCTGTAAACATTTTATAAATTATGCATCCCAAAGCCCATAAATCTGCTTATGGGCCACAAATATCATCTTCCAAAAGTTCAGGTGATACATATTCTGCTGTTCCTACAAATGTAGCTTTATGTTTCTATTGATATTACTCTATTTCATCTAAACATCTTTCATCTTATTTGCTAATTTCTCTTAACTCATTCAATTTATCCCTTACATTATCTGGTAAATTATGTTCATCAAAGAAGCTAGCTGTTCCAAAATCTATCATTTTTATATGTAAATTATTTGCCACCATAATGTTTTCTGGCTTTAAAATCATCAATAATTTATTACTTTAACATCTCTATGTGCAATTCCATTAGAATGCAATTATTCTAATATTGTCACTATCTCCGCAGTATAAAATACAACTGTATGATAAGACATATTTCCTAAAATCACTATTTTCTATTACTATTAATCTTTAGGAAATTAGCAAAATCTCCTCCTTCCATAAACTCTAATACTAAATAAATTTATGCTGAACTTTGGAAACTAGCTATCATATTTATTAAACCAGGATGTTTCACCCTTGATAACACTTCCTTTTCTATAAAAACTTGATATTGTTTTTTTTCCTAGCTTATGGTTGCATAATAAACCTTTATCAACAATCTCTTCTCCATTAATTTTATCGCTACTAATTATCCATTTGCTTTGCATTTTGCAAGCATTACATCTCCATAAGAACCAGATCCTAATTTCTCTAAAATTTCATAATCATTTAGACTATTCATATTTATTAAAAAATTAATTAACACACATTTTTATTTTCATCTAAATCAATAAGGCAAATAAATATTTATTTAAAAGTCAAAATTGATTTACTTCATTCATTAGATATCATACTAAACTTTGAGATTAGATTTAACTTATTAATATAAGGCTTCAAAACCTTTCAAGAAATCTTTATTTCAGATTACCGTATAAACAATAAATCTCCTTTCGACTTTTAGAGGCTCATCTATAAAGTTGAAAAAGTTCTTATTGATTAAAATCAAATTTCTATAAGCTGAAAATCAAAACAAACTATTTATACCTGTAATAATTAATTTTTAAAAGTTTATACAAATCATGATATATTTCTATAATTAATATCCATTCTTAAATATTTATAGAAAAATCTGAGACAATATGAAATTTTTTCTCTCATTTACTAAATGGAAAAAAAAAAAATTTTTCAGATCTGCTTTAAAGTTAACTTAAGTTAATTTATAAAATTGTTAACAACAAATAGGTAAATATCATAAAAAATTAATTTTATTTATTGAATTAATAACAATGTTTATTATATTGTGATAATAATATTTATATATAATTAAAATTATAAAATATCCATTATTTCACATTCATAAAATCATTTATTATAGTTTATTTATTTATTATAATCTTAGTTATTTTGTAATACTGGGAAAAATAGATTCAATAGGGGGAAAAAAAAAAAATTCAATTAAATCTTTATTTTAAAACACATTGGAATATTCATATTTAACCTAATCATTCTGAAATGAAAAAAAATTTATTAAGATTATTAAATATATTTAATAAATAAATATATATATATATTATATGATAAATTTTTGAACATCAATCCTGAATCTAAATAGGCTTCTTATATAATAAGGAAGTTGTTTGAATATTTTTTGATAAATAACTATATAAGAGATTTAAAATAAAAATAGACATGTATTTGATTATTTATTTATGGTTTTGTAATTATAAAATGAATATTAAATTAGATGATCTTCAAATATTTTAATAAATATACACTTATAAAATATTTCTAAATTGATTAATAATCTTAATTTTTATGTCAGAAAGTCAATTCGATGGAACTAAATTTAGGCTATCGCAACCCGAATCTTTTAATAACAAGGTATATTTGAATGAAAAATATAAGAACTTGAAACTTCAAGGGTGGTTAAAAAAGAAAAGCCCAGCAATTTTAAAAGGATGGTAGAAAAGGTAAAAAGAATAAAATATTTAGATTTTTTATGTTGATAGAAAATGAAGGATATAAGTTAGTTTATTTTGACGATGATGTAAGAGTTCATTTTTATTCATTATTAGAAAACTAATTCGAAGCCAAAAGGAGCTTTTGAATTATCAAATAATATTTTTATAGAATAAGCAGGAGAGGAAGAGTTTACTATTAGATTTCCAGGTAGAAATTTAGAATTGAAAGCAAAAAGTGGAGATGAAAGATAGAAATGGGTAGAAACTATAGAGTTTTGTAAAAGTATAGGGAAGAACTCACAGAGAAAGTATTTGAGCGTTGATTTGAATGACAATGATCTTTCAAAATCAAAAGGTGATTTATTTAGTTTATTATCTTAGGTTCTACACATAAGAAAGTGGACTTATCAACGACTCAAATCGTTTAAATAGAGAAAGAGAAAATTGAAAATTAAAGATTCCAAAGTCATAAGGAGATCCAAAAAAAATCAATCATTCTATCCTCTTAGTTAGAAGATAGTTATATTTTGGAGTTTCTAGGATTATAGTAACTAAATTAGAATTCAAAGTTGAAATCTAGAACTATATTTGGGTCTTTGAGTAAAAGAAGTAAAACAAAGATGAAGATCTACAAGCAAAAATGGTTCATACTTATATCATCTAAACCGCTTGTATGATATACATTTAAATAATATAAGTTTCCAGAGATTTAAGAAGATGAGGAAATATTATAATAATAAGATATCAATCTTGAATTAGATACACTTATTTACATTAATTAAAAAGTGAATGAAAAATTGATTAAAAGAAAGGCTTATATAAAGCTTTAAAATTGTAAGGAAATAATTATAAAAAATATGTAAAAGTCTTCTGATCATGGATTTATATTTAAATTGAATATGGGAGATTAAATTTATAGTTTAATGGCGAATAGTGAAAATGATAGAATGAGATGGTAACATGCATTAAATGAATCGATGAATACTTGTAAGGAGATTAATAATAAATTGAATCTTAATATTTTAAAGAATATCAATCCAATCATAAGAATATATGATATGGAATCAAGCTTGCCAATTAGAAGACAAAAAATCAAAGAAAAACTATAAAGTGATATAGAAAGGATTGAGTTGGAGTAAAGTATAAATAATTAGAACAGATACTTAAATCTTTAGGATTTGCTTTGTTATTTAAAGTTAATAAGTTAAGATATGATAAAATCAATTGAAGGCTGTTTAGTAAAAGATCCATAAAGATAAGATATAATTCAAGAATATATTGAGATTCACCATGAGAAAGTATGTTAAAATATAAGTGAATTTTGGAATATTAATAACAAATATCTTAGTCTTAATGAGATAAAGGAACTAGTTACTTGGCTTTTTGATTATCAATAACTCATAATTAATTATATTAAGGATGATCGTATTAAATAGGGAATCAATACATTATTATAAATATGTATAAGTAGATGGAAAACATAATCAGAAAAGAAGATAGTTGCATAATTTGAACAGTGCTAAACAATTAAAGCAAAAAACACAATAAAAACTACTTGCGTTTTTGAATTATTTGACACAGTGTAAGAAATAGAAAGGTTAATTAACTTAAAATTAAAATCATACCTTAAGATTAATGAATTATTTAAAATTATTAAGAGTGTTTTATGGTACTATTTAGAGTAATTATATGATTGTGTTGAGGAACAAACTGAAAATTAGGAGTTTTTGATTGGTGTTTGTAATGATGTGGAGATTGTTAAGGAAATAGCTAATAAAATAGAGTCAATAGCTGAGATGTTGTAAGAGAATAAGAAATAAGAGAAGATTAAATAAAAAATATTGTAGAAATATAATGAAGTTTTAGAATTCGTGGAGTAATAGATTTATAATTTAACATTAAATGAGTTAACGTAATAATTTTAAGTATCTCTTCTTGAAATAGAAATAAGGTCAAGAATTTTCGAATTATTTGAAGGAAATGTGTAACTTATTAAATTAACTGAATAAACATAGTAGACTCTAGTAGAAATGTTGATTTAAACATTGAATTATCATTATTTCAATATATTTTTGAATGAATTAGACAAGGTTAATAGTTATAAGCGAAAGTAAATAGAGTCAAAGATTAAGTAAGATAAATAGGTTGTAAGTGAATTTCTTAAAAAATATCATGTTTCTAATGCTAAGCTTGAGACTTTTGATTTAATGATACAACTTTTAAATTGTGAGAAGGATTCAGAATATGTTCAAACTTTTAGAGGGTTGAAATATTAATTTGGGAGATGCTTCACTGTAAATACAGTAAAAGTGATTATTGGACATTTGAAGACAAGGAAATCAGAAATTAACTAGAATAGCTTAGATTAATTTGATTAATTAATTAAGAACATTGATGATGAATAAGAAAATGGTGAATCAACACAAGATCTTAAAAGTCAATTAATGGAGTTTGGATAAAATTAATTTGAGCCTTTAGTTTTATAGAAATAGGATTCGAATTCAAGTCGCACATCGAGAACGAGTATGAGTAAGAGCAAAGTGAACATCGAGGAATTGATTTCTAAATCTTAGGCTTAATCTGTTTAATTAGATAATATGAGTATTTCAGAAGGATATGTATATAAGAAAAAGGCCAAGCAATAGAAATTAGTAAAAAAGTGGGATCATAGATATGTTAGGATCAGAAAAGGATATATATATTGGTATGTTGATGAAAAATCCTGGAAATGCTAGAATAAGTTGAATGTGCAAGATATATTAGAGGTTGAGGGTAAATAGAATAAGTAGAATAAATTTATATTGAAAATGAAAGGTGGTAAGATCTATGAATTCAAGGTGGATACTTAAGAGGAGAGGAATATGTGGATGAATGGAATCATGAATGAAAAGAGACAATAAGAAGATGTTTTTAATAGTAAGATAGAGGCTTAATAAGTTTAAACAAGCTTATTAAATGTTTTGATTAAAAATTATGATGAAGAAATAATTACTAATAAAAATAATAATAATAATAATAATAATAACAAATTTAATAATTAATAAAGAAAAACAACATTAATAATCCAATAAAAAGAATACCCTTTAGAATTAGGATAAACAAATTTAAAGATTAAGAAAACAAGTAATTGTTGGACATCATTTATGGTTTGTTTAGGATTAAGTAAAGGTTGATTATATATAATAACAAATTGTAAATTATAAATGTGTTATAATATTAATTATTATAAATGGACAATATATATAAGTTTAAGGCAAGTAGTTCAGTAGGGCATTTAAAAAGTCTGAATAATGATAAACAATTTTATTCTGAAGAAGAAAGCAGCAAGAAAGATGAAGAGGAGAAATAATTGAAGAAATAAAGCAAGCCTCCTAGTAAGATGTCTCAATTCAGCAAGAACGCCACTGGATATTAAACAGATGATTCTGATAAAGAGACTCCGAAGAAAAATAAGGTAGGACCTTCAAGTAAAGAAAAGGTTCAATATTTTAGGTTAGAAAGTGTCAAAATTTAGAAATTTGGTTAATTCTAAAAAGATTGAAGGTGATAATGATGATCCAAATTTTGATGATGATGATGATTAGCCAACAACAATTTAACAATAAATTCAACATGTTTAGTAGCATAGTGAAGATTAATATGATGTAGAACAGTAGGCGAGTAAAATGCAGCAGAAATATGCTAAGGGTGAGGTGGGAAAGTCAACAAAAGTGAAGTAAGAGAGATGATAATGAATAGACATTCAAATACTTAATAGAGTATGGACGTGAATTCAGATGTAGAATAGATGAAGAATAAACAAAATTAAGAAGGAAAGTTGAGGAATCATCCTTTTAGACACCTTATTTATGGTCCAAGTATAGGAGAGAATTCATTTAATAAGTTTTTACAATTAACACAAAGAGGGTTAATTTATGCAAAAAAGTGCTTAAAAGGACCGTCAGAGAAATTCATTAAATCAAAGATGGTTTAATTACAAGAATGTCCAATTGTTAAATCTAAGACTCTTTTACTGGATTTAGATGAAACTTTGATTCACAGTTGTTCATTGAGAGAGAATCCTTAAGTAACTGTAACAGCATTTGGAGATTATGGGGAAGAGGCTAAAGTATTATTATTAAAAGATTATAGATTCATTTCAACATTAGACCATTTTGTACATGGTTTTTACAATAAATGAATTAGTTGTATACAATTTATGTATTTACAGCCTCATCATCTGCATATGCAAATACAATAGTGAATTATTTGGATCCAAAAAAATAATGGATCATGGGGATTCTCTCAAGAGGTAATTGTATGGAGACAAAGAATGGCTTTTTTATTAAAGATCTTAGAATTGTAGGGAATAAACAATTGAAAGATATGGTGATTGTTGATAATCTGGCTCATTCTTTTGGATTCTAAATAGAAAATGGAATACCTATATTGGAATGGCACAATGATTAAAATGATTAAGAACTTAAATACTTGGCTACATATTTGATGGAAGCAGCTGAATAAGAGGATATCAGATAATTCAACACACAAAGATTGAAGTTAGATCAACTTATCGAATATAATTTAGATTGATTGATATAAATAAGATATATTAATTTATCAATGGTTTATTTTAAATTAAACTGATAATATTTTCAAGGATTTATATGATTCCCATGATTATTGAGTCTATTTAAATTAAAGAAAAATTGAGAAATTAAAAGAGAGTTATTAATGGTAGATATTTATGTGTATCAAATTTATAATGGTCATCATGTAAAAATAAAATAGATGATTAAATTTATTTATCTAATTCTTTCCAAATTATAATAATATTCATCGTTCTTTAATAATCCTATAGGTATTAACCCAATTATAATTTGTTATCTATTATATTCACACTTCTAGATAGAATCTATTACAGAATTAACTCTGGATTTATTTCACACACAATTTCAAAATTTGTTATAAAATTGATACTACCAAATACTTTGAATCTTTAAGAATTAACTAAAATTTAGTTAGCCTATTACTTCTATGTATTCCTCAATTATATTGATTAAACAATATGGCACATAAAACATGAATTTTATCTTAAACCTAATTAACTATCACTTCAATATTCTGATTATAATAAATATTATAAAAATAACTTTATAATTATATTTTATATATCTAAACTAAAGACTGTATATTATGAATATCAATATACTTTCATGTTTTGGAATTTTCAATGTTTTAGAGCATCCTTAAATTTAAATACTAGCCTCATCTTATATTTCTAGGTCCCTTATTAGCCAATTAAATTATTTAATGACATACCTTATTATCAATTCAATTATTTGGATTCTAAAAAAAAGTTATAAATTGACGATTTTTATATACATGATATAGATGATGTTTTTATAATGAAGATTTTTAATTAAATTTGTTTTTGATAAATATATTAAACAACATTGAAGATAAGATTGAAATAATATAACTAATAATAATGTAATAATAATAATAATTACATTTTTAAATTGATACAATATTATCATTTAATAATTGTAACTGATTTGACTCTATTTCTATTTTCACATATTTCTTTAGAAAACTTGAGTCTAAGATATGAAGCATTTCCCTCTCCCCATTGATTAAACATACTGATGTGAATTAAACCCAATATAATTGCTATTTTATCAATTAACCTGACACTTTAAAATTAAATAGCGAAACGTGGATAATCAATCAAAGGGCAGAACTTGCAACATTATCCTTACATTTCAGATATTTTGGCTATAGCTTAAAGTGCAGTTCTATAATTAATGATTTCACATTTTCCTTATGTAAGTCCATCCACTTAATAATACTTCGATGTTGTAAACATATCACAACAAGCCATTAATGACATTGAACCCTTTATTGATTATGGGCAATCATTCTTATTTGGTTTCAGTATTAATTTATAATTTTAATCAAATGGAGAAGTGATTACCAGTTAAGGATAAGAAGAATATAAACCTGAGCAATATTTATCATAGAAATTTGGATCTGTTTATACAAAATTAAGAATAATTTCATTCTTAGTTTTAATTGTACCTAATCCCCTTTACCAAAATTCTAATTTAATATTAGAATTCTCCATAACATATAATTAATTTGGCAATCGATGAATTTGAATTACGCATAAGATACATTTCACAATTGCAATTAAACATTTTACAAATGGTCTTAAAATACACCAAATCAATTTTATCAGACATTCATAAAAACAACAACAAAAACACCAATAACAATTTTGCCAAAAACATTGAAAACACCATAAAGTGCAACAATGATATTTATCAATATAAAATTCCAATTATCCTAGACCTTAGACATTAAATTCAGATTTTTATGAATAAGGACCACATCCACAACAATTTGGTCGAATCAGAGTGAAAATATGTTCAAACTCCACCTCATCAGGAATTTAAATATCCTTAATCAGCTCTTCAAGTTCTTGTTATTTTAATTAAATTGTCTCTTAAGAATCTATTGTTATCTCGTTGATTTGTTTATATCTTATTTCAGGAATATATACTATTTAATCCATATTATAATAATGATAAAAAAATAATTGGGATCCTTAATTTTCAAAATAAATTATATATATATTTTTCCATAAGATAGAAGTTATTTCATTTTTATTATAATAATTTTATATCAAAATTACAAATATTAATCAATAATTTATTATTGTGATAGCAAATAATAAAATTAAGCATAAATGGAGATTTTTTGACAACTAAAAGAAAAGTCATTCCTTTTATCTTAATTTATTTAATCTAATGTTAATTATATTTATAATAATTTTCATTTCTAAAAAGAGATTCTCAAATAGACACAAAACCTTTTATTAGATTGATATCTATACTAATAATTAAAGTAGTTGTTTTAAGTATTAGAATATTTAAATAAAAATTTATTAATAAATCTCAATATAGTATGATGGTATTCAATAACAAATTTTATTTGAAAGTTACTCAGCCTAGTAGATTATTGCATTAACATTATAACAAAATTATGGAATATCATATAAATCATTATTTTTTGGATTATATTGAATATCATTGCATTTCCTTTTATTAATTTAAATCCTTTTATTGGATCAAAAACATTTAAATCTGTAAGAACTTTTTATTAACTATCATAATTTTTTGCTTATCGTTAATTAATTGTCAATTTTTATAAACAATTGTTTATTTTTATTATAATTTTCCAATTATATAATTATTTTATATTTTAATATTGTTGATGATGAGATTGAGCACTAGCAAAAGATAAACCCTCAATAATTATTCAAATTCATATAATCAAATTGTAAAATATTGATACTATTATCAATCCTCTGAAAATAATTAATATTAAGGATATAATTGAATTAAAGATAAATGAATTTGTGATTATTGAATAAAAATTAAGGTTATTAATCATCTAATCATTTTATTTTTAGGATAACGATAACAAATAAATAGTTAATGACATATTTTAATAAATCAAGTATAAGAAAAAGAGCCAAATCATCATTGAATTATGTTGTATCTGCGATGTAACAGAATGTGGAATAATTACACAACATTTCAAATGATAGTCTGAACACCCACGTTATGGAAGTATTTGAATAATAATAGAAGGATGATCAAGTTAGATACAAAATTATTAATAAAGAAACAACTATTGGAGATTCGAATAAGTCATGAAAATGAGAAATATGAAGAAACTCTAAAAAATTATTAGCAAATGTTATAAAAGTTAGAATCAATGGAATATAGTTAAAAAGAATACGTTTCACAAATGAATTAATTGACTAAATATTTAAGAGAGATTGTGTAATAAAACAATGAAATTGAGAGTGCTTATGATGAAAAATGTAAAGAATATGATAGTTTTATATAAATAAATAATTAATAAATGAAATAAATAATAGATTCAGAAGGGAATGAAGCTATGTTAAATACTGGAGATTTAATTTAAGGTCGATTTCGTATTGGGGATCTTCTTGGTGAAGGTTCATTTGGATCTGTCTTTAGGATTTATGATACTAAAAATAATAATGAAGTCTTGGCAATAAAAGTAGAATAAGAATTGGAGGAGGAGGAAAGCATGTTAGAAAGAGAAATCAAAATCATGATGGAATTGAAGTATATCACTTAAGCACTCTATTCTGTTTAGAAAAAAGCCTGGGTTCCCATAGATATTGTACTATGGATAAGAGAATCATTTTGTTTATTACATTATGAATATGCTTGGACCTAATCTTGAAATTACTAGCAAGAAATGTGGAGGGTCTTTCTCTATTGTAACTATGTTGAGATTAGCAATTCAGGTATATGAGTATTGTACTGTTTAGTTTAGATGCTTAGCCGAATCGAAACGTTGCATTCAATGCGTCTCATTCATAGAGATATTAAACCAGATAATTTTGTTTTAGGATTTGGATAATAATAAAATATAGTTCATCTCATTGATTTTGGATTGTCTAAGTTTTATTTAAATTCAAAAGGTGAACATATAAAATAAGTACGTAAAAAAGGATTAATTGGAACAGCGAGATATGCTAGCATTAATGCTCATAATGAATTTGAATAGAGTCGTAGAGATGATCTAGAAAGCATAGCTTATATCTTGGTTTATTTAGCAACTGGAACACTACCTTGGATGAATTTATAAATTGAATAGAAAGATCTCAAATATGCTAAAATATTACATTTAAAAAAATTAACAGCTCCAGATATTGTATGTAAAAATCTACCAATATGTTTTACTAAATTTCTAACTGCTGTTCGTAAATTAGATTTTATCACAACTCCTGATTATGTTGCTTATAAAAAACTATTTCAAAATGAATTAGAAAAACATTAAGGTCAACCCTATTATGATTGGGAAGTAGTAGGAGATAATTCAACAAAAAAGAAGAGTAACACAATGCATATTATTCCAGTATTAATTATTATTAAATTAAAAGGAACAAATAAAATAGAATAATAATCCAAATAATCTACATAATAATAATGGAAATAGCAATGGATCAAATAAAAATACTATCACTTATGGTTAGGATCAAATTGTTGAAGGTGATATAGATAAGAAATTGAATTTGTAGATTTCAACTAAAGGTGTTGATAATAAATAATTTGAAAGGTTTGAATAGATTTTGCAATAGAATCAGAAAAAATATTATAAAATGAATAGTTCAAAGAAGCAAAACTCTGGGAGGACTAAAAAACCTGTGATTGTGAATGTTCTTGAACCAGACGTATTATATGTTTATATTATTTAGAAATAAATCCAATAACAATAATATGAATAAGTTTATGATGAAGTACAATACATAGTTAAATCAGCTAAATTTTTGTAACCACCTTCAACTCCTAATGTTGGTAATTCCTCTTCAATAATAAATCCATATTATATTCCATCTCTTAATACTTCATAAGTGAACAATTATGATTGGAGTGAAAGTTAAGAAATAAGTAATGAAGGCACTCCCTTATGGTGTATGTATGTTGAAAAAGAGAGACAAAATGTGATGACTGGAATTTAAACAAAAAAGAAGAATTCCATTAAACATAATAGTTTTAGTGTTCTATCATATCCGATTCAAAACCAAGTAAAAGGAAGTGAGGAGGAAATATTTGATATTGAATGATCTTAGTGTTTTTTTAATTTATTTATGGTATTTAGAATATAATCTGAAGATTGATTTTTATCTTCAATACTTTAAATCTAATAAATAAATATACACATAAAAATAGTTTTAAAAAATTCCAATATCTTTGATATTATTTAATTTAATGATGATACTTTAATTCGATTTACATATTATTATTATTGATTTTATATATATTAAATCCAACTAATTATTTTGAAAATCAGAAATTTATGATAATGAAATAAGCATTAATCTGATATATGTAATATTTTTGTTCATATTTTCATTATTCTAAAAATTATTTCAATGCATTTTCATTGAATAATTATTCTTCTTCAAATCTTATTGCTTCTTTATTTTCATGGACTAATAATAAAGTTGGAATTGATTTGATCTAAATCCATTCAGAGACTCTAGCTGGGTTGTTTGGATCTTTCCATCTAATAAAATTAGTATTATATTACGTTTCCTTATCACCTGTCCAACACCAATATACTGTATATCCTTTCTACAACAATTGTGGAATTGCATAATTCTTGATAGTAGGTTCTGCTTCAACAGTATCTGAGCACCATGATTAACCAGTTTCAGCTAGAACATCTCCAACAAATATTAAGGCTGCCTTTCCTTCCTTATTGACCTTTTCAGAATAATTGGATGTAGTGACTTAAATAACTTATTCCATTAAATATTTGATTAAATAATCTATTTATTATAATCAATTTCATATAGAAAATTTATTATCACTTATAATAATTCTATTCTAATGAAATACTTAAGATATAATTATAGTTTTTATTAATATTGTTTCAAAATGGTTGACTTAACTATTTAAGTTATCTAGAAATTTATGAAATGTCTTATGAAGTGAAGATTTTCACTAATTTATTTGATGAACAATTTTTGCATCCATCACATTTACAATGATCAGAACATTCAATACCCATTTAATAACATTCACAATACTTCTTTTTGCAACCACTCTTTCTGCAATTACATCCCTAAGATTGATATAAAGTATATAATACTTTAGAATGTGCCAATTTTTAATCTACTTCTTTAACCTTTTAATTGAATGCTTCTGGATTCCTTTCTACCATTTTTTCCATAAATTAATTTCTCTCTACTAAATTTGAAGTATTATTAAAACAACCACAACAATTACATTTTGATGAACATAATTTACCAGCTGCAAAACAATCACAATATAATTTAAGACATTTACTCTTCTTACAATTACAAGGTTTAGTTTCTTCAATCCTATAATAAAATTTAATTAATAAAATAAATTTTATTAAGTTTATATTTTGAATATGATATTTGAATTTAAAATATAATTCTTTATCATATTGTGATTATAAGTGATATATGATACATACTCTTATATTTAATTGCTAGTATTGGTTTAAAATAAATTTTATGCTAAGTTATTAATATTTCCGATTGAATTCTGTGATTAGAACTTTAAAAAGGATTTATGTTCTGAATTGCATAAGGATATATTTTTTGTTTATGGAGTTCTATAATAATAAGTTATAAACACATACTAAAAGTTACTTCTATTGAGTGTTTATGGAAATGTTATCTCATTACTCTAGAATATTTTCTTAATTGGTGGAGTAGATAAATTTAAGTTCTTATTTGTTTCTTAAGACTCAGTGAATATAGTATCACAATTTCGATAGGACATTGACAAACGTGTTTAAATTTTTAAAATAAAAATCAAATATTAGCAGCATTAATTGTATAAATACTATAGTTAATATTGAGATTCATTCCATTTATTTTTATAATTTGAGAATCTTTTCATATAGTTGATTATGTTTCATATCAGCTAATTTAGCTTGTTCTCTTTACATATTAGATATAGATTCAATTCTACCAAATTTAGATTCGAATTTATCTAATTTATCAATAATCTCATGTTTCTTAGGTATTAATTAAGCAAACAATTTTTCATGATTTATCTAATCAATTTAAAATAATTCTTACATCTTTTGCTTTAATCTTTGATAAGGCAGTCTTAAAATCGAATCCTTTCTCATAAACTTATTTTTTATTTGCTTCCTATTATATCTTTTATGACAAAGCATCCTGTACCTTTATACAAAAACAATACAATTATTTCACATAATCATACTCAATCACTAAATTACAAAATGATCTTGCCTCATTCAATAATGTTTAGTAAGGTTAATTAAATTATTTCTCAAAAATACTTTAAATATTTTCCATATCATTTTAATTCTTATTGAGAAATTGCTTTTCAATATTATGTTACAAATCAATACATTCTTTTGATTATCTCACCATAAATCGAATTGATTAATTAGTAAATGTATCTATCAATTCAGAATGATTATTTAAGATATAAAATATTTAATATTAAAATGTTAATTGTCTAAACTTTTAACATTCCTAATCTTCAAATATAAGTTTCTCTAAACTTTATGGTATATAAGGTTTCAAAGTTTTAAGTACATATTTTGTACCTTTAAACATTTATTCCAATCCCTACATTTATAGGATGTAGACTTACTTCAATATTTAATGGTAAATTGGTTAGATTATAAGTAAAATTCATAAAACCAACGAATTTCTATTCATTATCTAAAAAGTTTTCTAATTTGTTTTTTCCTTTCCAAATTTGACATGTATCTTCAAATGCCAATAACAACTTGTAAATATGATGCTTTAATTCTACTGATCTAATATTTATAGATACTATACTTTTTATCCCTCTAATCTCTTTAACTCTCTCTACGAATAGAAGATTATGTAGGTAATTTTTATTTTTCAATTGAAATTTCAGTCTATTGTGATCTTTAATGAGAATGGATAGTCATTTAAGATTTAGCTAACCTTATTTTAATTAATTTATCAATTCTTTCAGGTTTTTGATCCTTTTATAGTAAAGAATTAATAAATTGTTATTCATTATCAAAACTTTCAAGATGAGATTACATTTTATTGTTATTATAATTATGATTATTATTATTGTTAAATGATTATGTCTTGTCGATTGATGTTTAAATCTTTTTAAAGGGTGCCTTAAATATTTTTATTTTTGTTTGAGATGATAACAAGCCATTAGATGTATCTTGATTAGGAAGTTCTTTTTAAAGTATCAATGTTCTTCTTTTCATTATACGATCTTAACCTATAGTATTCTAATTATATTCTGTAATGTTATTGTAACCACTTAATTAGGATTTAGAGTTTGGAGAATTGGAAGTTTTAGTTATTTATTTTATCAACCTTCTATTTTCACTTTTAGATCTTGCAATGCTTGTAATTTAAGTAGGAAGTTAGTAATCTCTAGTCTTTTCTATTATGTCTTCTCCATAATAAAATTTCTAACTATTCATAATAATAAATTTATTTTCAAGAGAATATTTTGACTAGATGAAATATGAATTAAAAATCAAATGATAATGTCTTCAAATATCAACTCTCCAGAATCATAATATCTCAATTTTCTATAAATTTATTATTTTTATATCATACTTTATTATCTAACCGTTACATGTAATTTGACAATTAAATTCTCCAGTTTTCAATCCATTTACATATTCTCCTTCTTCTACAGTTGTTTCTATTTATTATTTAAGATTCTCAATATATTTCCTAATATTTGTTTCCACACATTTCCCACATGGTTCATTATTTTTAAAATTACCATCAATTCTATAAAAACACATTAAATACCACAAAATACCTTCTATTATTATCTTAAAAAATGAGAGTTCCTTTTCCACATTTCAATCCTTTCTAAAATTAACCGACATATTTTGTTTTATTAATTAGATCTTCTAAAGTACCTTCTCCATCTATTTCATTATCTTTAAAATCTCCCCAATATCTAATTTATTATATATTATACTTTTATGTTTTACAATCTAATTCTCCTTTACCATTCAAATATCCATCTACAAAATTTCCCTTAATCCTTAGAATTTCAATATAAATATGTACGTTCCAAATTCTTAATTAATTAATTCTCCTTAACCAAATCTTTTACCAGCCTTCCAATATCCTTTATATCTAATTGAATAAATAAAAAATCATTACAAATCACCATTATTATAATCATATTAACCATATCCTTCAAATAAATTATCCTTAAAATCTCCTTCATATCTTATTTATTAAAATTTATAATTACCTTTCACAATTAGAATTAATACAGATTCCATAATTCAGAATTCTATAACAAAAGATATCTATAAATTCAAACTCTCCAATCATTATTTCCTTCTTGTTTAAATTCAATGCTATTCCATAACAGAATTATCCATTTATAAATGATCCATAATATACTATATTTTTTTTATTTAAGTACAACAATCCCTTACCATGAAATTCTTCATTTTCTTATTATCCAATATATGATATGTTTCCATCTATATTATCTTTGAATACAAATGGCAAATGATACGATTCACTTTAATAAAATTCTTTTGGAATTTAGAATTCTTCAATCTACTTCTAAAATAGATATGGTAAATCATATTTTTATATAAGTTATTTCAAATGACTAAAAAATATGGATTCTGATAAGAACTTAACTTATTCATTAATATCGATTGATATTGAGTGTAGTTTTTGCATGAATTAATTAATTTACATCTATAATTAATCAAATTTCTTAACAACACTCTAATCTTATATTAATTTTAGGTATNTTCTTCTACAGTTGTTTCTATTTATTATTTAAGATTCTCAATATATTTCCTAATATTTGTTTCCACACATTTCCCACATGGTTCATTATTTTTAAAATTACCATCAATTCTATAAAAACACATTAAATACCACAAAATACCTTCTATTATTATCTTAAAAAATGAGAGTTCCTTTTCCACATTTCAATCCTTTCTAAAATTAACCGACATATTTTGTTTTATTAATTAGATCTTCTAAAGTACCTTCTCCATCTATTTCATTATCTTTAAAATCTCCCCAATATCTAATTTATTATATATTATACTTTTATGTTTTACAATCTAATTCTCCTTTACCATTCAAATATCCATCTACAAAATTTCCCTTAATCCTTAGAATTTCAATATAAATATGTACGTTCCAAATTCTTAATTAATTAATTCTCCTTAACCAAATCTTTTACCAGCCTTCCAATATCCTTTATATCTAATTGAATAAATAAAAAATCATTACAAATCACCATTATTATAATCATATTAACCATATCCTTCAAATAAATTATCCTTAAAATCTCCTTCATATCTTATTTATTAAAATTTATAATTACCTTTCACAATTAGAATTAATACAGATTCCATAATTCAGAATTCTATAACAAAAGATATCTATAAATTCAAACTCTCCAATCATTATTTCCTTCTTGTTTAAATTCAATGCTATTCCATAACAGAATTATCCATTTATAAATGATCCATAATATACTATATTTTTTTTATTTAAGTACAACAATCCCTTACCATGAAATTCTTCATTTTCTTATTATCCAATATATGATATGTTTCCATCTATATTATCTTTGAATACAAATGGCAAATGATACGATTCACTTTAATAAAATTCTTTTGGAATTTAGAATTCTTCAATCTACTTCTAAAATAGATATGGTAAATCATATTTTTATATAAGTTATTTCAAATGACTAAAAAATATGGATTCTGATAAGAACTTAACTTATTCATTAATATCGATTGATATTGAGTGTAGTTTTTGCATGAATTAATTAATTTACATCTATAATTAATCAAATTTCTTAACAACACTCTAATCTTATATTAATTTTAGGTATTATTAATGATCTGGATTTGGAGAGTCTAGAGATCTTATATTGAAATTATCAATGTATTTAATAATTCCACTCAATTCTATGTATTAAATATTTATCTATTGTTCTACTCCAGATAAATAAAATTCCATTATATCCTTTATTTTCTAAATCTACATATCAAATTCATATTTCATTTATTCTATTCTTCCATTTTCTGTCTATTTTATTACAGTTTATTTTGCTTCCTACATACACAATTAAAAGTTTTTTATTGATTAAAAATTTAACTTTTACTTATTCTCTTAGTAACATTTCTCACAACCTAATCCTATTGGTTTTGATTGCACACATATATATTCTATAGGTTTTTAATCATGTCCAATCTTATTGCATTTCTAATTCATAATAGAAATTGAAAATAATGTGATTATTAAAATAATTAATCTACTTTTAATAATCACTAAAAATATTATGAAGAAAATTAAATTAGTAGATTTTTATTACAATTCTAAATATAACTAGCTTACTTATTATTTTAATTAAATTCTATGTTCATTGATTTTAAATTAGTTCTAAATTTAAGATAGAAAGTTCATATATAATTATTATATTAACAAGGCTAAAAATAATTGTTCATTTAAAATCATTAAGTAAGATATAGTAAAAGATGAAACAATCTGTAAACAGCTTTAGAACTAAAATTATATGAAAATTAATTATATATATATTATAAATAAAGATATGACAAAATTCTTTTGTTAAATTGATTCATTACAAAGGATATGATGTTAATGGAATATTTAACATCCCTATTTGTCAAGGTATATAAGTTCTTAAAAATAGAGAAATCATCATGATAGCTAATTACTAAAATGAAGATATTTAATAGATTGAAAGTTGTTAAATAAATAAATTGATTAATTTACTAATCTATTGAAATGCCTTTTTTAATAATAAATATACATATAAAATCAAATATACTGTATGAATAAGTCAAGATGCATATATTTAGAATAAAATATTTATGTAAAGTGATTATTATAAAAGTGACATTATTGATGTACTTCTGAAGAGTATAATGATAGGATGACACCCAAAGAAAAAGTTACTCTTAAAGAATAAATTGAATTTCTTTAACAATAAACTGATCTTCTCAAATAATCTATGGAATTATAAGTAGATAATACTATTGCTTATTTGAATGCATTTGAAAATAATTTGGAATCCCTTAAGGTTACTATTTTTAATCGAAAATACAATGTTTGATAATATTGGGATCAGGAGCAGAAACGTGTGTCACATTAAAATGTGTATTGCCATAATCTGATAATTTGATAAGCTTTTAAATATTAGAGAAATGATTTTATTTTTTGGAAACCATTGTTTGATAGAAGACCTATCAATATAATTCAACAATAATGCAAGACTTGAATTAAGTGTAGTAAATTATCAACTAAATCTAAGGAGAAAATAAAGATATCAAAATAGGATTTACATAAACTCTACCATAAATTAATAAAAAGTCTAATTATTGGTTGGAATTGGTTTCCATTATCATTACTAGATTGCAATAATTAAAAATTACTCAAGATTAAAGTATATAATATTAAAATTAACTAAAATTATATAATATCATTTTATATTTTAGGAATTGCAAATAAAGCATAATAAAGTTTTGGATTTGATAATTAGTAATAGAGCAAAAATCAAAGTATTAAGTAATAAATTAACTTAAAAATGAAATCTATTTATATATATATATGTCAATAATAAGGATATTGATATTATTTGTATATATTTTTAATATATTTATAATTTTAAACTTTCTTAATCTAATCCAATAATTATAGAAACTATTTTGTGTATTCATAATATAACATAAATTAAATTAATATCTACTTGAATATATTTAGTTAAGAAATCAAACTGAATTCAAATTATTAATTTGATAAATGAGTTTCATAAAATATATAGAAATTGATTTAAAAGTGTACCATAATATTTCAATTTTTATTTATGGAATAACTAGTTATATTATTTAATTTAAAATTCTATATATTATTTTTTTATTATAATCTGATATGATGTAGTAGTCTAATATTAGATTATAATTCTAATAATAAGGAATAATGATTTTAGATAGAATATTTTATAATTATATAAGGAGATTAGAATTATATATGGACATAGATCTATAAATTTAATGATATTAAATTTTTTATTATAATGGAAAAGTGTGCTAAGCATTAAGATGATATCAAATATATTATATTGGAATAAAATTCTGTAAAATTGGCATGTCCTGAATGTAGAGATGAAAAACTTGAATAAGGATTACAACTTGAAAAATTCATATTGATATAAAAAGTATTTTTAATAGTATGATATCAGGTTCTAAAATTACCAGAAGTATTATTAAGTAAGATTGATATTGATATGCCCTTCAAGAATTTTTTCTCTAATATTGTTAAAATAACAAATGAAGATTTGAATAATTTTAAAATAGAATGGATAAAGTAAATGTCAGATATAAAGGATTCTATAGAAAAATTGATAAATGAAACAAATAATTACTTTGAAATATTATCTAATTTACTAAGCAGTTATAGAATTGAACTAAAAAAAGTATATATAATATTATAAAATAATAGATTATCAAATTTGAGATTTTTGAATAATATATTTAGGCTAATATAAATAATGAAAACTTCAATTAGTAAACATCAGCTATCATTTAAAAAACTCGACATGAAATCAATACATAAATAGAATTAAAAATTTAAGAATATATTAATTAGATGATAAAGGGAAATAATGATGAAATCAAAAAGAATATTGAAGAACAAATTAAGGATTATAAGAATAAAGTAATCAAGTATAATATTAAATTTTAATATATATAAGTCTCAAAATTCCATCATCAAAAGAAATATTAGATTAATTAAAATCTGGTATAGAAGGATTTTAAAAAGCTATTTCTGAAAAATCACATCAAGTTAATCCATTCTATATTAAATGTTCTAATTTATTAACAAATACAAACTTTTAGGATATTCTCTTTAGAATAAAATAATAGTAGAATCCAAATAATTAAATTATTTATTAGGGATCAAAAGATGGATTTCAGACTACTACATTTTGGAATAAAATATAAAATAAATCTAATCTACTCATGATAATGAAAACAAAAAATAGTTAATGTACTTTTGGAGGATATTCACCTTGTTAATGGATAAAGTCTCCTTAACCATAATTTATGTCAGATGATCAAGCTATATCATTTTTATTTATCTAATTTCCAAATTTGTAATTGCAAATCTATCCAATTAAAAATGATTGCAAACATGAGGCAATTTTTGTTAATTAAAATTTGGGTCCATAGTTTGGTAAAAATGATCTTCAATTATTTGCTGAATTTAAAGAAGGAAATATAAATATAGGATAACATTATTTTAGAGATCCTAAAGAAAATTTACAAACTTTCATTTTAGGACCTAAATTAACAGAAATAATGGAATGTGAAATCTTTTAGTTATGATGTATTTCTTATTTAAATTATTATATTATTTATTATATGAATAATATTATTCAAATAAGCAAATCATATAATTCCTTTGAATCATTCACTAATTTAAATTATAAATGCATCTTCTTCATATTCTCCATTACTTATTTGATACTTTCCTTCTTTGCAACTTCAATGGCTACTAAACATGGACCTCTTTCTCTATTTGCTTTCTTTTAAAATTGGATATGAGTTATATCATCATCAGGACCAAGACAACTTTTAAATACTTAATATCAAATACAAACTAACAAAATTTTTAAGAATTCCAGATTTAAAAGGCATTTCAATCAAAAAAAAATACTTTAATCCTTCATGTAATTATGAATGCTCTTTAAATTCATCAAATCTAGATAAATCCACTGTACCTCCACTTAGAATACATACAACATTTTTGCCTTTAATTTCATGAGCAAATTGATCAAGTACAGATACAGATAATGCCTAATATATATCATTTTATTACACCAGCAGGTTCTACTGCTATTCCTTAATTATATAATTATAAGATTGTAGTACTAACTTTACCTTCCTCTACCTTCACCAATTAATCTAATTTCTCCATACATATATCTAAACATAATTTAGGTACTGATGGAACTGCAGATCCTTCACAAAATCTAGAAAAATGTTCTTATTTAACAACTTGTTTTGCTTAGAATGCTTAGATCATTGAATCAGCACCATCTGGTTATACTCCAATAACCTTAGTATTTGGACTCATGGCTTTGATATAAGTAGCAATTCCTGCAGCAAGTGCTCCTTATCCAACAGGTAAAAATATGTAATCTACATCTCCTGGCATTTCATCAAGTATTTCAATTCCCTTATGTTGAATAACTATATTACAATTGTACCACAACCATGTATGGCTTTGAGGTTATCACTTGGATGTATAAGTATTTTATCATTTTCTTTAATATATTTTTATGCTGCCTATTCACATTCATCAAAATTTTCACCAGCTGTTTTGATTTCTACATATTACTTACCATTTTTCTATATTAAATCAATTTTCCAACCATAACAAACTTCAGGTACAAAAATCGTACCTTAATATAATGACGTACTATAATACCTTTAATCTTAAAGTGATTACAAAAGAAGGCAAATGCTTAAGCAAAATTACCATCACTTACTGTTACTACTCCTTTTTCTTTTTACTCTTTTGAAAGTGATTGTAATGACGTGAAGGCACTTCTCATCTTAAATACTCTAGTCAATTATTAATCTTCTCTTTTTAAATAGATAGTTGCATGGTATTATTCAGACAACTTGAGTGACTTTTAGAGCTTTGTTTAAAAAGCGATACCACTTTCTCTCATTTATTTATGTGCTTATGTAATAGAAGGAATCATATAAAATTATTTATTTATAGTACAGATATAAATTAAAAATAATTTAATAAGTACAATATATTATAGAGAATGGTAACTAAAGAAGTAAAGAGGAGATAAATGTAGGGTTTTTTATAATAAACATTAAGATAATTAATTCCTAATTTGAAATCTCTTATTTAATCACCTTAAGTATTCAACTGCACTTGAGTGATTTAAGTGTACATTTACAAAAGGTAAATACATTTTTTAAATTGGATATACTTTACAAAATATATTGATACACATTTATTTAAATTATTAATCAATATTTATATTGTAAAAACAAAAGAATTAATTAGATTAAATATTTTAGAGAATGCAATTATCTATTAAAAGAGAGTTCTTGTATGTATTATTTAAAATAATTTGGAAAATTTGTAATGAATAGAATCTCTCTATTATTTTAGTGATCATAATTTGAGTTATCAATTTTATTTATTATAATAAATAATAATAGATTCTACTTATATTTGGTTGATAATTAGAGAAAAATAGTTGAACTTGTTTTGGGATAATTGGTATGCAAAAAAGCAATTAAAATAAATATCCATAATTATAAATGATTTTTTAATAATCATTTCATAATAATGATATGGATAAATTAAGTTTAATAAAATGTCAGAGTATTATATATGGAGAATGTGAGATTAAATTAAAAAATTAAAAATAAATTAAAAATCAGTACACAAGAGAGATAATTTAAAATCTTATGAATTAGTGAAAGAAAGAATAGATTAAAAATTGAAATTCTACCTAATAAAATTTATAAGTTCTTTATTAAAAACTAAATTATAATGATTCATTAATTATTAATAAATCTTAGAAGAGATATTGAGATAATGAAGATAAATATTATTGTATAATCTTTTAAGATATATATATAATTTATATTTCCTTTTTATCTTTATATTCATCTATATTAATATTATTATATTCTTATAAGTATTATTGTTCAATTTACATAAATTTATTATAATATTATTATTTTATTTTCATATTGTTATTAGAACTTATCAATAATAATAACAACTTTAATATTAATAGTAAATTAAAGTATATTATCATTTATATATAGTGATTTTCTAGAGTGATAATATTAGATGAGTAATATTCTTTATCAATATTAATTATATATCATTCATTAGGATAATTTAATGAATCTTTTCTCTATGGCATCAACTCTTTATTAGATTTTGACCATCTTGGCATTGACTTAATCCAATCTTTTCTTTGAATCAGCTATTCTTTCAAATTACTAGAGGTAATATTGATCTTTGCCAAAATGAGTGTCTTGAATAAGCATTTGCATTTCTAATTGAATATTAATATTACCATCCTTTATCTATATTAGTAGTGCTTCCAATTAGGCTTATTGAGCTTATAATTCATCGCTTTAATTGAATTGTAATAACTTTTCAAATATTTCGTGAACTTTTGTGTCCATTATATTATTAATATAATTTAACGAAAATAAATGCTAAGGAATCCAAAAGTAAAGGAATCTTTAACTTCTCGATTAGAATAATAGGAATGTTGTAAATTGTAAGGACATGAAAATAACTTGATCCAATTTATTTGTGCTTGTCATGAATGCCCATATCGTTATTAAAAGGCATGTGCACATTGTGTAATTAAATTACATGGGAAACATGTAGAAGATATGAAGGAGATAGAAGAATTTGATTAAATTATTAATGAAAATAGTAGGAAAGCAAAGAATTTAATGAAGGAGAGTGAGGAACTAATAATGAAATTGAAAAATCCATTTTTGAATTTCTTTGAATAATTGAAGTTATAATTAAATGAAATGATTGATAGTATTCAATAAAGATATTTAATATAAAATTAAGAGAGAGCATAATAACTAATAAGGAATGAATTAGATTTTATTAATTAATTTAATTAGAATGTGAATACAAAACAAAACCGCTATTTGAATGATCATACATTAAAATAATATAGTAATTCAATAAAAACAGCATAAGAGAAATTAAATAATGCACTTTCTTTATTTGAATTGAAATAGTTATTAGAATCAAATTTAATATTATTATTGGAGGATTTTGGCAAGAATACAGGAATCAGTTATATTAGTAATACAAGTAGAAATACAAGTTAAAGACATAGTAGTTGTCATAATATAATGACTCCAAGATCTGCATTGAATGTGTTTAATCACAATATTAGTGTAGTGAGATCTAAAAAATTTAGAAATTGATTAATTTATGAGTATATAATCTAAATAATATCTCTCTACATCAGCACCTCATGTGGATACATCACAATTATAGAGTGTTTCACCTAAGAAAGAGTATTATGATGCTACAAAACAATTAGAAGCTGTAAGAAGAAGAATAAGTCTTCTTAAATTGGAGAATGAAATGAGGTATGATTATAACATTTTAAGTAAAGAGAGAAGAAATTATAAATTCAATAATAAAAATAAGAACAATTAAATAAGATTAGAGAAGATCATGAATAATTTAAAGAATATAAATAAATTCATAAAGAATAAGTGAATATGCAATTACAAAATCTAGTACATAGAACAAGGAATATGAAAATGTAACAATCTCAAGATAAAAAACTAATTTAATAAAACTTTAGATAGATGAAATAACAAGAAGTTAAGAATATTAAAGAATAATCATAAAGAAATGAACATATTATTAGATAGAAAATAGATGAAATAAAATAATAAAAAGCAGAATAAAAATAATAAGTATAGTCTCAAGTATAAGTTGCTCAATAAACTATTCAAAACTTTCGTAAACAAAAATACCTTCGATTTATACAAGAACATTAAATTACTAAATCTCAACACTCTATTGAAGCAGATTAAAAATTATAATAGATTGAAGAACTCAAAAAATAAGAAGCTTATCTATTGATCAAACTCGATGAAACAAATAATGTATTCTAAGAATTATATTATAGCAATTTAACAAACTAAATTAAAGTACTATGATAATTAAGTAATCTTAAACAACACCTAAAACAGCATCATATTTTTGAGACATTATTATATATTTTATAATCATTTATATAATCATTTTTAATAATATGAGTGAAGATGATTAAGTATTACTTTTATATTCATTATTACTTTAGCATTTTCTTCAAGATGACAATAGTGAAGATGATAAATTTGAAGAGAATCTTGAAAAATAATATGCTGTATTTCTATTTACATTATTTAAGTTATACCCTAAAGTTACTAATAAAAGACCTGAATCTAAACATGGAAGACCTGAAAGTTCCAAATTTTAGTATAAAAAATAAGAATAGCAAACCATAGAATAATAACCTAAAATTTTAGAAGCTATACCTACTTCTCCTGCTCTCAAGAAATTTAACTAATTAGTATCCTTTCATAAAATATTAATTGAATAATTCTGGAAGAATCATACAATCATGGCTTCATAAACTGAATTTATTGGTTTTCTATTAGAATCAGGTAATATATCATTAATAAATAAGGATTTCAATTTGATCAACATGAAATCAATTAAATACTTACAGATCTATCTAATGATAATGGTGTAATCACTATTGAAAGTCTTTGTAAGAAAATACCTGCATGGCATTAAAATGAGAGTATAATTCTAACAATATTATTATTTTAGATGCTATGTTAGAATTTATAAGGGAAAAAGCACTCAAATTAGCATAAGAATCAAAGAGAAAGTTTTCTGCCCAAAAGAAACCAAAACCCTAATCTGCTAGCTCCAAAAGAACTGGTTTTAATAAAGTTGATTCCAGACCAATTAGTGGTATTTCAAAAAAGTATCAATCTAATTTCAGTGATTTGAAAATGTAAATTATACAATATATATATCTAAATAGATCTAATATTAATGATAAACCATTATAAAATAGATCCAAACATTATTTATAATTAGCTAAGCAAAAATAATAAGAAGAGGATAGACTTCTATAATTAACTATAAATTAAGGCAAGAATGAATATGAATATGAAATGCTCATTAAAATGGGAGAAGCAAATGAATTATCATAAGAATTAGATAGCAAAATTACTTATAGAGCCTATAAAACTGCATAAGGACATTTAAAGGTTCATGTATATGAATTAGAACATTTTTAAAGAGATCTAACATTAGAGGAATTTTAAAGAGAATATAATATTTTAAGGAGTAAATATAATGAGAAAAAAAAATTAAAGATTTGGGAAGTACTTAATGATTAGAAAAAAAATTAAAAAAGTTTATAGCATTTTGGATCTTCTCAAAAAGAAGATATAAAATAAAATGAAGGTGATGCCAAAGCTGCAAATAAAAAAGAAAGATAATAAGAATTAAAGAAAGTACTTTTAGAAACAATGATGCTTTCAAATGTTTTGAAGGAATAAATAGTAGTATTGAATAGAAAGGGTATCAATGCAATTCATAACCAAAGTGTAAAATTATGATATATAATATATTGATACTGTGTTTTTGATTAATCTGTCAAGTCTCATTAAAAATAATTATTGTTTGTTTGTAATAATTTAATCAAAACAGTTTGGATAATAATATATAATAATGTCTTCTAAAAGAGAAGTTATTAATAAGCATAGAGTTGAAAGTGCTACCAGATCATAAAAAAGAAAATTAGAATAAGCTATGCTTTAAGTCAATAGTCATCAACCTATAACCAAAGCTTAATAGGCTTTGCCTTCTGATGACATTGAATTATATAATAATGTGAATGTGTAACATGTAATCAATGGAACAGATTTTGTTTGGAATCATCTTGAGAATATGCCAAAGAAACAAATAGATTTAGTATTTCTACCTTAAACGATTGCTGGAATGCAAAATGTGTATTGTGTAGTGAAGAAAAAATATAATGCTGAGATGGTTAGAAGAGAATAATAAGAAGCTGAAAGGATTTAAAAGAACTAAGAGAAACATCATTAATTTGAATAGAGAAAACTCAAAAATGAATAAATTTATGCAAAAATAGGTTTGAAAAAAACTTATCAATCTGCTCCTGCCACTTAATTTACAGAGGAACCTTTATTTCAAAGATTGAGCAAACCTAAACAATCTTTCATTTAATAATCCACTTATGATCTACCTGATTTTAGAGGATTACCAATAAAGAATCTTACCTATGTTGATAAACATAAAAATCCAATTCTAATTAATCATTTTATGAGTTCCAATCTATTACCTAAATCTGTAAATAAAGAGAAACTTAGAAATAAATTTGAAACATCTGATTAAAAATTAGAGAAATTTTAAAATACAATTCAAGTAGATGAAATGAATTTGGATAATGATTTTAAAGATAATGCAATGTTAGAAATAGATTAATTTGAAAGAATGCTATCTACAATGCCTTAGACTATGTATTCATAAGTAAAAGATAGAGAGAATCAACTATTGTAATCAGTTGAAGGTTTTAGATCAATAAGAAAGATTAAAAGAGATCCAAATTATAGACATTTAATTGGAAATCAAATTAGAGATTAAATTTTATAAAAATAATGATTTTAATTAAAAAATATATCAAATGTGAATCTTTTTTTACATTATATCATCAAATTACAATTCTTCTTGTTTTATATCTGTATCAAATTCATCTTCAAATTATTTACAAAAATTTGATAATCTAAATTCCTTTTGAAATTTATTCTTAAAAATAAATGACACTCTTTTACCTTCTCTATACCTAACAAAAGCTTAGCTACTTAAGTAGGAGTGAGGATATTTCTCATTTCATCAATGAAATTTCCTATAGAATTAGTTTATTATTAGAGATTTTCTGTAACATTTTACAATTAAATGATAATACTATTATAAAATATAATTTTACTCTTGTAATTTCTCCTTATCTGATTAAATATTCTTATATAATTTTTTTAAAGATTTCATTTAATTGTCTGATATATTTACTTCTCTATATATATCACTAAACCAGGTTGGTTCAGTTAAGTTTGAACCTGAAGCCCATAGTAAATATTTCACATAAATTGGACAAGAGATTTCCATTATTTATTACAAAAAATATTTTGAAGCATCCATCTTTTCCTTACCTACTGAGTCAAGTAATAAATTAATCTCATTATTATCATAATTGTTTTACACTGCTGATTCCAATTTTTCAAATAATTATGATTTACCTACATAATATTTTTATAACTAAAATATTTTTAAAATAAATACTTATGTATTAGATCCAATTTATTATATACAATTACTGTGACCTTTAATAAATCTCTTACAATTTTCTAACTCTTCTTTTAATATATTTACTCTATTTTCTAACAATTCTAAATAAATCTTCTTTCTCTATCTTGAATTTTTAGCACATTCTCTATTTCTAATAAGTTTTGCTTAAATAGAATCATCTGTTTAAGTAGATACTTTCTTCTCTAATTTAGGAGTTATAATTTATTTAGATTCTTAAATAAGGGTTGAGATTTTGTTAATGTAAGTGTTTTTAATATTTGATTTGTTAGTCAAAATTGTTTCTTCTGATTTTTTCTTTTTTTATTATTTCTTTCTTTAAGTTTATTTAGGTAATTGATATATAGAAAATAACTTATTTGGATCATCTTCATCAGAATTTTGACATTACATAATTGAGCTACTATTAACATATGGAAAATTGAATCTTTATTAATATATTAATACTAATTCTAATCCATTAAAAAGTTAACAAACTGATCGTCTCCTATAAGTTCAATATGATTATTATACATTTATTTAATATTTCATCATAAAATTCAATTATTTACTAAATATTATCTAATATATTTTATGGATCTTTTTTTTTTCATTCTGTGTATTAATATATTAATATATATTGCAAAAAAATTAAAATTATTTGTTTTATCATTCATGTATTAATAAATGTAATAATAATTTTTATCATTAATTGTAAAATTTAATAGTTAAAATAATGATATAAAAGTTATATACTAAACCCTCTTGTGAAAAAGTAATTGAAATACAAATAAGTAATTAACATTAAATTGCTACTCTCTATCTCATTTACGTAAATAAAGATTAATTAATTTATGAAATATTTGGCATACAATTAATGATGTAATTATATATATAGATATAAAAGACAGAACAATTTAGGTGATTACATACCAAAAAATCTTAAATAAATCAACCATTTAAAATGGTTAGGTTAATATGGGAATTTAAACTAATAAATTGGAGAATGGAAGGCTCTTTGGGATAATAAACCAATTCTAGCAGGAGGCAGATATAATGATAATGGACACAAAGAAGGACCTTGGAATGAATTATTTTGCAATTATTCAGAGTAATCATTAATTTTTTAATATAAAATAGAATTGATTAACTTATTGAATCTGGTATATATTAGGAAGGTTTAAGAGTTGGAAAATGGGTTACAAGTAAATTACTTTATATTTGTCAAACTTAATATGGAAAAATGCCAATGTAAAAATAAATATTATATTTAGAGGTGAAGGAATGTATGATGATTAAGGAAGAAAAGTAGGAAAATGGGTTGATTTACATCCTCAATTTTCTAAGTATTCATAATCTTTATACTAAGAGATTTCTTACTTGTGTTTGAAGGAGATTATGTTGAAAATGTTAAAAATGGTTATTGGAGTACAAAATTTAAGTATTTTTCTGAAAATAAATACACAATCATGTAATTTAATTTTATATAGTTTAGAGGTGGAGGGACATATGAAAATGGTGTTAAACATGGACATTGGATAGATCTTTCTGACTATTTCGATAAGTAAGTGTAAAAGTTGTTAATAGAATTTTTAGTCGTGTATAATACCTTGAAGAAGGTAATTATGATAAAGGAGTAAAAAAAGGTTATTGGACAATCTAACAAAAAAGAGTACCAGGTTATTTTCTAAGCAATATATTACAATTGTATTAGTATTGATATTTATTTTAGCCCTAAAATGTTTTATGATAAAAATGGGAAGAAATAAGGAGTATGGATTGAAATTTCTAAATTTACAAGAACTTTTGGAAACTCTTTTCTTTATTCAAAAGGATGGTATTTGGATGATGTGAAAGATGGTTATTGGGAAATCATCTTTATGATAGATGGTGTAAATTTCAAAAGGTTGAATTCTATACATATTTAAATAGAGGTGGTGGTAAATATTAGAATGGAAAGAAAGTAGGAAAATGGAAGGAATTCGAACAATAAAATGATTTGTAAGTAGATATTCATAATTTAGGTTTTGGAGAGTTTAAATTGGAGATTATAAAGAAGGAAATAAATATGGATTTTGGGAGTCACGTAAAATAAAAAGATATCTACCAAATGAACCATATAGACTTGAAAATACTTTAAAGAACCAATATTCTATTAGGTAATTTTAAATAATTTCAATTATTATTAGAGTATTTGGAATGTTTAATGAGAATGGGTTGGAGGAAGGACATTGGTGTTATGTGAATGAATAAAAAGCATATGAAGATTATTCTTAATTAGGAATTGAATTTAAAAATGGAATAATTGATAAGAAATATGAAAAAGATATCAAGGAATTCTTAGACATTATTTGAGTTTTTTATTAATTATGATTTGCTTTTTATACTGATTAATAATTATTTAATTGATGTATGATATGATAAATATCTATTGTTTTGATATACATATATATAAGGAAATATATTTGTTTTATATATATAAAAAATTATGAAAAATTTAAAAGAATGTTTATCTTCTGAAGGAAGTTATAAAAGCACAAAATAATTTAAAGAAAATATTTAGAATGAGTATATTGATGTAATATCAACTTAGGGATACGTTGAACTATGTAATTGAAACCTTGGAGGATATTTTTCAAAGTCCAAAATCACATCCTATATAATAAGTACTTGCAATGAGAGTAAGTCTGTTGGTATGTTTAGCTGAGCAGTTGACAAAAGAACTAATGGATCTTCATTATGATTGTGTTGTTTATTCTGTGACCAATAACATTATTTATTTGATAGAGGATATTATCATGATAGATTAGAAGAAAAATGAGAGAGGCAAATTTTATTTTAGTGATTAACCAGGTACAATTAAATATTACTTAGATTAATCTCTTATATTACTTGGTAATACATTAATACGTTTAGCACTTGAAAGTATTTTTGTATGGAATCTATGGCATCCAAATAATTTAGCTATCACTTAAGTGTAATTAAATGTTTTCTAATTGTAGTTATTAAAGATTAATTGACTAAGGTGTGTAGTTCCCAAAATTACATTACTTTAATGCTTAGAAAGTAAAGGAATACTATCTAACTGTCAAAGAAAGTTCAAGAAATGGTACTCTTTATAGAAAGCAATCATTAATGTTAAATGAACAATATTTTGATCAACTCAAATAGACTATTGAGAAGTATTAGTATAATAACATAAAATTACATGAAATCAATGAAGAATTAAAATGTAATAACATTAATAAAAATATAGAAATTAAGCATGTAAATGAAAATTAGAAATAATTCATTGAGAACTTTAATAAGGCTTATAAAGATTATCTTGTAAATAATAAATTAGAAGAATTTAACAATTAAGTTTAATCAATGTATATGTATTATTAAATTAAGTTGCTTAGAATATGATGAATTGTCAAGCCAAAAAAAGCAGAGTAAGAAACTAAACAATTATTTTTAGATAGCGCAATATAGTTTTGTACATATTCAACTGATAAACAAAGTAATCAATTTTCAAGAAGTATTAGTGTAAATATATTTTATTTATCATAGTCTTAAAATTCTTAATAGAGAAATGGTAGTAATAATAAATAACAATCTATTGAATAACTATTATATGAAAATGAATTAATTTAGGCATAAATTCAAAATTTTGAAATCCCAAAAGTTAATAGTCATATAGATATTTGATTCTTAGATTGATAATCTATTATATAATTTTTACATCTTTATTAATATTCGATTATAATTTAATAAGAATATTATATATTTTTCTTATAAAGATTATTAAAATAAATCTAAAGAGAATTTATGAAAATAATAGATTACATGTTAATATATTAATTAAGATCTTTTTGTGTTTAATATTTTATCATCAAGAAGTGGATTTTAAAATTTCATATGGGATTTTCTAAAATCTTGCTGCTTCTGGATTGAATTCTGGTGTTTCTATGAATTATAAAAATAAATTCTATAATCTTTATCTTAAACCTTCCAAAGAAGGTTCTGGTCTACCTCTATTTAACATATCTGCTTCTCTATCTATTAAATCAACTATTTCCCTTGTTAAATTACAATCCCATTCTTTTACTGTCCATTTTGTATTAACAAGTATATCAAGTCTTTCATCTAAACTTAATTTTCTTTATTTTAAACCTATAATAAAATAATATTATATACCATTATAGATATCCATTAATTCTCTTGCTCTAGTAGTATATAGAGTATGAACTTCAGTCAATCTACCATCAGATTTTCTTAACCATTTTTTAGGATCTGAAATAGATTTCAAAAATTTATTAATTTTCTCATCTTTATTTTTTTGATTAGCAATAATCTTTAATCTGTCAATAGTTTATAATAAATCTGTTTCTTTATTTAATACTTATTTAAGAGCAGCCCTTTTTTCTTCTTCAGTCATAGCAGAAGATTTAATTCTAGCAATTTCAGTTGTTCTCCATAACTAATTAATAGAGATCAATAAAAAATAATACTTCTAATTCTTCATATAAAATTTAGAAATCTTCTTTAGTTCTTGGATTAGTTCTTCTTTCTATTTCTTTTTTATGTCTTACTTCTTCTTATCTTCTAAAATCTTCTTCTTTTTCCAATTACTCATTTTATAATTATTATTTTTTTTATCTCAAAGCATTAGTTCTTCTTCTAGCAAACCAACCTCTAATTAATCTTTAAATAAATAAAGCAGCTTCTTCTCTTCTTTCTTCCCACATTTCACTTGTAAAATATCTAAAACATTATAAACAACTGTTACAATTTTGGATCAAAAATTCTGTCATTACGCAAATCAATGAATAGATCTTCTTTTTCCATTTATGTACCAAATTCTTTCATCATAATAGTTGATTTAGTAGATTCAAAATGAGTTTATGTATCTCTATGATTTTTCTCTTTATGTTCTCTACGATATTAATTAGTCTAAGCAAATGCATGATGTAACAAAGCACCAGACTTCTTATTTTTTAAACCTCCTAAATATGGTTTTTGATAATCTAAATAAATATATTTGAATAAATAACTTGCTTTAATAATTTGGATAGTCAATGTATATTTCTTTTGTACTTCACCTTTTTCATCTTTAATTACAACAACTGATTCAAATTATCTTCCCATAGTTTATTCATATTCATTATCTTCATAAAATTATTCTTAGTCTTCTAGAAAGTTAACTTATTAGTTGTTATCCATTTAATAATTGAATAATAATATTATATTATTAGTTAATAACAATAATATATTTTAAAAAATTTCAATTATTAATGATGTTAATCTATAATATTCAGATCTAATATACATTTCAACTTCAATTCTAGAAATTGTTCAAATCTCTATAATAAGTTTAATATTAAATAATAAACAATATTATAAATATATTATTGTTAGTATTTTTCAATTTATATAATAAAATAATTCAAAAATTAATGGATGTTTGGCGCTAGATTGGTAATCAAAAAGTGTTAGATGTTGAGACTGTTCTGGAAGCATTTAACAATACAAATTCTCCTGATTAGATAGCTTATAGCAATTGTTTAGGGTTTATGAAATTATTAAAGTCTTCTGATCTCCTTGAATAAATTAAGAACCTTTATAGTGATCGTTATTTTTGTCAACAATTATCGTAATCTCAATTTGATAACTTTCTTCGAATTACAATTAAATCAATCTCCTTATATTAAGGTAGAGATGAAGATTTTGTGGATGGAATAAATTTACTTCAAGATTATTTTTTAAATTTTAACACCAATCAATTTTGCTTTGCATTATTATCAAATAAAAAATTATTGGAAAAGCATCCTAAAATTATGTTAAACATCTTTTCAAAAGCAATCATATAAGAAGATCAAATTTTATTGAATAAAATAATCTAATTATTAGGATAAAAGTAATTGAAATCCTTTCATCATTAATTTCTAATTGATTTAATTTAAATTGATCTAACTTAAAAGTAATCCTTTAGAACTTATGCTGAAAAATTATTTGATTCTTTCATAGGAAATTCTGAATAATAATTAAAAATTACTAATTTAACATTTCAAGATATTATATTGGCATTTAAAAGACTAATCAAATGGGATAGTCTTAATTATAAATTTATAGCCATCAAATTGGATCATTATATAATGAATTAAGATAAGAATAATGATGTAAATGTATTAAAATTGATTTTCTATATCATGACTTCTCAATAATCCCATCTTTGGATTAATTGCTCATATCTTACTAAAACAATTAAATTATAATGGAAAACTGCTGATTATGAATTCCGCTTTTATAGAGTACTTAAACTTCTTAGAATCAATAATCATCGTGATGTTGATTCTAGTTATAGAATGGGATTTAATGGACTCTCTGGATAAAAAGTAGATTCATTTAGATTAGCCTAAGATTTAGAACAAAATATTAAAAAGGTATTTAATTATTTTTAATTATATAGACTATATAAGAAAGTGATCATTAGATTGTTTATTTATAATTTATCAAGTAAGCATTTAAGAGAGAACCTTATTGTTTTAGTTATTCATTTATTCAATTCCTCCTTTAATATCGATATGAGGATAAACCAGATCTATATTAACCTTTTTGGTCTTTAGTTTCAAAAATATACTCATTTTTCTTTATATAATTATATGAATAGGATATAACGAATGTTTTTGATTTTTAGGGTATGTTTGTTGATGAGAATGGAAATACAAAATTAACAACAAAAATTGGTATTCAAAAGAAGAATGCTAGAAATTTAGTTCCTTATTTTTAATAATTGTATTTATTTGATTTTATAATTTAATAGAATTATTAATAGTTAGAATTTAATAATCATGGTATATAAAAAATTCTATAAATTATTTTTATCAGAAAAACAAATATTTAATTTCTTCACCAATTTAATTTATGAACCATTATATTAATAAATAGAATTTTAATTTCCTGATAAATCAAATCTAAAATAAAATTAAAATACTTAACTTTATTATTTATTCTCTGAAATTTTGGATACTTTTTAAAATACAAAAAATGTACTATAAGATTATTTGACTGAAATCTATAAATAACTTAATACAAATTCTAAAGAGAATACATTCAGAATACTCTCTTATTATTAAAAAATACACAAAAAGTATTAGTAATCATCACTCTCTGATTATTGTTTGGATTTACTCAATAAATCTCATAGTTTTATAATATCTGAAATCTTTTAAGGTAAAAATGAATTGTCTCAACAAATCAATGTAACTTAAAGTTAAAATCTTAAAAATAATTTATAATAATTATTACAACTTTTTTAACCCTTATCTGATGTCAGATGTAAAGAGTTAAAATCAATATAAGATATAATATTAACTAATTTTTAAGTAAGATATATTATTTATAAAAAAGGTTAATTATAATATTAGTATTGATACTTCAACTTCAAGATGTTTTTTGATATGTTTATTGAAAGTCAATAACAAATTATCTTAATAATATTATGAGAAATAAGTGAATAATCTACTACAACAATTTGACAATCTATTTTTAAGTAATGGATACATAAATTAAGAGAAAGTAGAGTAATAATGTTAGAAGTTTTCAGATTTTGATGAAAAAGAGTATTTTATTATTATTATGAATTATAGTCAAGATGGATAATATTATTAATCAATTATTGAATAGAAATCAATTGCAGTTGAATAATAATACATTAGAAGTATTCCTCAACTTAAATAATAATTTTAAATTTTAATCTATTTATAATTATTAAATCTTTTAATTTAAAGAATTAATAGGTATGAATTTGAAGTTGAAGGATTGATAACAAGTTTAAGAAGAATATTGACTCATCCATATGTGACTGATGATTTTATTATAGATATTTGGAATGAAATCTATCTTATTATAGAATAATTAAATGAATAGAGTTCTGAGAAATGGTTGGAATTAACTCAATAGAAATTGATGAATAATGTATTAATACATTTAGATTAAACAATTTCAATCACTACAACACTAATATTAGCAGTTATTTTAAATTAGAAATCTCTTCAAACAAAATAGATACGTATATAGAAATTGTTCTTTCTTGTTAGTGAATTGAAAAGCAATAATTAAAAGAATTCTTTATATAGAATTATATTTAATAATTTAGATAAATTGGATTCAAATCTTTGTTAAAAGATATATTTTGAAATGAAGGATTAATTAATGATTTAAGGTGGAACATATAAATTATTAAAATTGATATTGCATGAACCAGATAATATTGATCATTTTAATCTTATAATTAAAGTATTCTTAGGATAGGAAATACATTAAATACAAATTCCAATTCTTTAATTTATAGCTGAAAATATATTTAAAATAGGTGTTAGATATTAAATTCTAATTTATTTAGGAGTTTGTGGAAGATCACTTAAAACTAAAAAGTTTGCTAAACATTTAATCAAGTAATTTTAATTAGCATTATTATAATGTAAATAATGAAATTATGTTAAGATTAGGATTTGACCTAGTTTATTATTATGTTAAATTCTGTAGTATATTTGGCATCATTACTAATTAAAGATCTTAATTACTAAAGTACATATTGGTTATTCAAAAAAACACTCAAACATTTTTTTTAACCTAGAATTAAATAGAATAATAAAAAATGTAGTTAAATAATAAATTTAATATCTTATTTCATTGAATAAAGTGTTTATTTAACACCAATCAAATCTGAATTTGAATTTTCATTATCTGATAAATTAGAAATAAATATTAAAAAATTACCTGAATCAATTCAACAATCCAATAAATCAATTACAGATTTTACAGATATAATAAGTATATTACAATAATATTTGAATGATGTAATATCATTTGGAAAGAAAAATGTTGAAAACCTTAAGAAAGATTAATAACCATAAAGTAATTTAGATATCTTTGATGCATTGTTATTTTCGGTATCTATTTAATATATAAATTATATTAGATGAATAGAAATCAATCAAAATAAATATTGAAATCAAAATCATAATAACTATCTAATCCATTTCAGAATGTTATTGATTTTAAATAGTCATCTAAAATGGAAAAAGTGACTAAAGCTCTAGATATTGATAAAGAAATAAAATGACTAATTTTGTACTTTTTTTGTTGTTATTCTAATATATATATATATATATATATATAGTTTTATTTCTCTTTAAATTTTTAAATCAAAAATTATAATGAATATGTGTTTTATTTTCTTAATTATTCATTTATAATTAATATGAAACTTTATATAGTATTTTTGGTAATTTGTGCTGTTGTCTCATAAAAAGAAAATACAGAATTATCCTAAGAAGACTAAACTCTCTTGGATAGTATGTTTAAAGATAAATTCGGAATGAATGTATTAAATGATATACAAAGTGAATACAGAAAAGATTCTGGTAATAATATAATTTGTATTTTGAGAAACTAAGGACTAATTATTAAGAATCGAAAGTTTATTGAATACTATTGAAAAATAGATAGCCTAAGATGAATAGGATGATCTAGAATAATTAACCAAGGATTAAGAACTATGTATTAAAAAAAAACGAATTTTATATTAGATAATTAATAACTAGAGAGTTTGAAAGAGAAAATAGCTGAAGCATAATATGATTATAGTAGTATTGATGCAACAATTAGATTATTGGAAGATGAATCCAATAGATATGATACTCAAATAAATGAGAAAGAAAATATTGTTAATGAATATGAATCTACTCTAATTTAATTGGAAGAAATCAGATAACATGAAGTATATAATAATGTAGAGTATAAAATAGAATGCTTATTTTGAAATTACAAGAGATGATTCATTTGCTATATGTAGTTTAATAAAAAGAGCTAGATATTTGATTAGAGAATTATTACCTAGAAGTCCAAGAAATGTTGCATTTGTTCAATAATATACTTATGAAGATAATTCTCATCAATTCTCTACTACAGATGTCTTATAATAAATGAAAGATCTTTAAGTTGAAGCTTAAGAGACATTATAAAATAATGAACCATTTTTGAAGATCATAAGTTTTTAATATCAATTAATTAAAAGATGAATTTGTAACTGTTTCTACTCAAACTGAAGCTGTTATTGACACTGTTAGAGCAAATGCTATCATTAATTTATTATAACAATTATATGATTAAGTAGATAGTACTAGTAGAGTTTAATTAACTGCTGAAGATGATAGAGAAAACCTTCATTAACGAGTGAAGGATTAAATCAATGGAGAATTGGATTATTTACATTTATAAGTATGTATAATTTATATCCATTATTCTCTTAGCTCTCCATACTCTATGATGAATAAGATGGTGTAGAAGCACACATTATTGCAGCATAAATGGATTAGAAGGATGGTGAATAAAGATTGGCCAATCTTAAATAATCATATTAGGATTTATAAAAATGCAAAGAAGATTCAAAAGTATAAGGAGGAATTATATATTTAGGTGAATTATGGAGTAAGATCAAAGGAGAGAAAGGAATAGTTGAAATTATTAAGGAAGGCTAGAGATGTTTTATTGAATGAATTTGATGCTGTTAGATGTTACATTGAAGATATTCTTAGTAGGAGTGTAAGTTAAGATTGATATTTTTATGATTAATCTAAAGATTATATAAATGCCAACTCTTAATTTCTCTATATATTCATAATACATAATTCATTAAATTAACATAGAAGTACTTTTTCTACTCAACTTTATTTTATGATTGAGAGTATAGTTGCAATTATAATTTGTTTGGATTGATTATCTTTACTTTTTAGGTCAATGATTATTTGGTTATTTACCTTATAAACTATTAATAGTGGTTCTTTTTAAATAATTTGCAATTTCTAATAAACACTTGTTTATTGTTTTAAACTCTTTCCAATTCTTACTACTAAAATTGATCACTGAAAACTAGTCAAAATATTTCGATACAAAATTTTAATAAATAATGCAATTATATTCGAATTATGAATATTACAAAATTTAAACTTTATTTATTGATATAATGTTATATTAAAAATAAATTGAAATAATTTCAATTTTCTTACTAAAAAAGTATCTTTCAAAAATATTTATTTAAAAATAAAAATTATCATTCTAATAAGTTTATTTGGATATTAAAACGCCATTTATTTATAAATCACACTCAATAATTATAGATTATTTTTCAATTTTGAACATGGTATATAAACACTTATTAATAAATCCAATTTATAATAGTATTAGCATAATATTTTTAATAAAATTTTGTATTAATTTTATTAAAATACTTATACTTGATCATAGATAAACCTCTAAGTCTGTTACATCTTAAGACTTAACTTTTAGAATTATATATATAAATTCACCAAAAAGTAAAAGTTCTTCTCCCATCCTGAAAATCATCTTATGGTTTATATTAATTTCAACCTCTAAATTATCTTTAATTGTCTATTAGAAATGGATCATCAATTATTATTTACAAAATAACTTACATAAAGAATTGATCTCAATTTTTATGTTTCTTTCATTATTAGGTATCTATTTATGTATATTTTAACGAAACATTGTAATTCCATTTATTTACAATCTTATTTTTTTATAATTTTGTATAAATGATTAATGGACTGGTTACCAAAAAATTATTTGAAATAAGTTGTTTTAATTTGGGTTAACCTGCTTAATAAAAGTCTTGAAACCTTTATAAAAACCAAAAGCTGCACTTAAAAACAATAGAATAATCACTATTATTATTGTACAATATAATTAATCTTATAATAAATTATTATATAATGTCTAATAGTTAAGAAAGAGAACAAGAACTTAAGTTGATTCGCAAGGAAATGCTTAAAGATGCCGAACTGAATGCACAAAAATAACGATTTGGTCTATTCTCTTCACCTGTACCTTTAGGATTGGGTGACAATAGTATGGAGATGAGAAAGAAACGTAATGCTTAAATATAAATATGATTAGCATAAAGAGGAGAGAATGGTAAACCAATAACAGAACCTACAAATATGAAGGTATGTGCTACTCGTACTGGAAGAATTAGATCATCCTATTTTGGACCCTTGAGTTTTACAACCGTCGGAGATCCGTACATAGATCCTGATAAAGTGTTAACTCATTATGAGAAAGAGCAAAAGAAACTATGTAACAAAGAGGCTCCATTTAAGCCTTCATCGGGATATAAAGAATTAATGGGCAGTGCTTATTAGCATATGAAGGATTATGATTACAAAAAGGTAGAGAGTAGGAAACAATCAGATGGGAGAGTATATTCTGCACCTAGAAATGTTACAACCAATCCAAGATGTCAAGTTTTGGATAAATCAATTCCATATTTGATGGATGATTACAATAGATATAGTGATTTCGAAAGAGTATTTAAAATTATTAATAAAAAGAAAGCAAGAAGGGAAAGCAAGAGTAAAGAGAAGGAATAACCATTTCGAAGTACTGTGAATGGAGGTCATACATTTGAAAAAGACAAAAATATATTAGGAGAAACTAAAATGCCACCTTAGAGTTAAAGGAAATCTCCTGATCTTAAGTAAGCAAAACATGAGTCAGCTTTTCGTCCAGCTAATGGATTAAAGAAAGGATTTAATGGATTGTTTGGTCATTTTGAGTACAAGCCTGATCCTATGAGGGAAATTAAGAGGTAATATAGTTTGAAGAAGGAAAGAGATAGTTTTAAGTAAGAACAGAATATCAAATGATAGGCCTTCAGATTTGGGTAATAAGAGTAGGCCTAATCCAACGATATCGTGTTTCAAAATGAACATAAAGAGAGAGATAGCTGGAAATATTTGATTACAGTATTTATTGTTAAATAATAAATTAATATAATTATTATATAATAAATTAATATTATTATATAATAAATTATTATATATTTAAGATTTAGTTGGAAACAACGATGGAATGACGTAGTATGTACTTCTTTTTTTTATAATGATTTACATCATAATTATTCACTTTCGCACTATTCGATTTCATAATTTGAGGGTAGATTAGGCAAAATTACAGGAGGGAAAAGTTAAATAAATTAACATGAACATTTTAAATGAAATCAAGAAATAGGTGGAAATAGAAATGAAAAAGATCAAGAAGGTACCAGCATCTAATAAGACGATACCTTCTGAATAAAAAAAGGAATTAGTTGATATGTTGAGCCAAGGAGTGCAATTAAAAGAGGCAGCAAAAAAATTAAATCTCACTTATCATGAGGCCAAAATAGCATATAACGAATAAAAGAGAAAATCTATGAATACTTAAAGTGAAACTGAATCTGCAGTATATAACATACGGACTGCTGGAGTTAGTGCTTTGAAATGGTTTCCTAGACACTTTTTATTGTAGCAAAGTGTCAATAATAACTTGGTATCTGTTAGAAGGCTATATAATATATTGGTTTTGAACCCAAAATAATAATGACTTTTAATTTAATTATTAATACTACGTCATAAAATTTAATATAATGATAAATATCAAAACAATTCTAGGGTACCTTACTCCTTTTCCTTTTTGAGAGTTTCAAAATAGCCATAAATAATAGTTACTGATAAAAGTATTCCAGTTCCTAAAAATGTTAAAAAGAAAGAATACCTGAACCAATTGCACCCAAGAAATCAGCCAATATAGTCAAAGCACCAATACACATTCCACCAAAAGAAGCAGCAATAGGAATATATCTTTTAAGTACATCTTTCATTGAAGAATCTCTGTATCCAACTATTTACATATCTTATTCTTTGAGTTATTTGGCAACCTATAAATAATTAGATAGATTTTTAATACATCTTTTGGTGATGATCCAGACACATCAATCCAAGTCTTAGAGAAAACTGCACAAGTTCCTAGAATGAATGCAGTATATAAAACAGTATGAATAGGATCAAAGATGGCTTCTGAAATTGATCTTGGAGGTGAGACATAATAAACTAATCCACCAATAGGAACAGTTTATCCATTTTCTAATTCTTACCAATAACCAAGTAATCTAATTAAGAAATTACCTCTGAAATTTCTATATAAGATTTATGAAAGGAAGTAAAGATTAGAAACTAAAGCAGTTTAGAGTATAATTGGAATATTAGATGTATAGAACAATTTAATTGGATAAGATGTTAATCCTCCTCTGACTTTATTATTTTTGATTGGAATATCCACTTTAAATCCTTAGAAATAGATAACAATCATGAAAACTAAGACAGTTGCTAATAAATTAGTAAGATTAGGCAATGAATCTCTCATGATAGCTGATTAGATAGCAGTTATCTTATCATCTCTAATAAATAATCCATGAAAGAGTGCAATAATTGCTCCCTCATATTCCAAACCAATTTCAGTTCTATGTGTTATTGGAGAGAATGCTTTCCACATAATATTCTCGCAAATATTAATAGCAATAAATAATGATGTTCCTGAATTTCCAATACCATATCCTTTAGATAATAATTCATCTATCATGATCATAACAATAGCTGAGAAGACTAATTGAATGATTATCAAAATAGCATTGCCTGCTCCCAATTTATCTAAATCACCATACATTCCAGACCAAACATATGCAAATGCTTCACCAAAAGCAATTAAGATTCCTAATAATTTTTATGCTCCTGAATAAAGTTGCTTATCTTCCTTTACATTCTAATCAACATCAATTAATTTTGCACCTGCTAATAATTACATAATCATAGATGCTGTAACCATTGGTGAAATACCTAATTCCATCAATGTTCCTCTATTTGATGCCAATATGACTCTTAACCAATAAAAGGGATCTCCAGCAGATGCTTTGTAAATACCATAAAGTGGAATTTATGAACAAATTAAATACAATAGAGTTGCAATAGCAGTCCACAAAGCTCTATATTTGAACAAAATCTAATTTTATATATGAATAATTATATACTCTTCTTTCAGGTTCAGCCACATCTGGAATTATGGCCATTGCTGGTCTCATATAATTCAGAATCTTGGTTTTGCTAGGCATTAAAATTATTATTGAAACCTGGTCATTTGTCTTTTTATTTCACATCATTCACACGTGTGAATTATATTATTATGGACAATATTTAATAAAGAGAAACTTTAGGCTTATTTTTAAGATTCACCAGTGTCTGTTAAATTCGTTGTGGAATCTTAAATTCCAAAGATGATACACTTACTAAAGACAATCATCAATGTTTGGGTATATTATAAGTTATAATATGAATAGAGAAATGTACAAATCATATGGTAGATTCTTTTAGAAGTATACAAGATGCATATAAATGATAGAAATACATTTAAACAAAACAAAATATCATTATTTTATAACTTCATCAAACTTTGAAGATAATTCTTATAGGATTGTATTTGAATATTGCATTGTGTACTTCCCACCTTTCTCAATTATTATCTTATGATCCATCAATTCTTTAAGATTATCTTTCAATTATATTTTGCTTGATACAATCATCTCATCTGAGAGAACATCATACAAATCTTAAATATTCAATCCCTCAAATTTTATAAATAATATATATACATCTCTGCTTTCTAATACTTTTCCTGCAAAATAAAATACAATGTTTTTCTATTTTTAAGTCATACTTGATAAGACATACCATAATCCTTCCTCTTATTTCTATTTTCCTACCTAATCTTCAAAGATTTATAATATTTCCTAACTATATGGTTGATTAGTATGCACACATTAGTAGAATGCTCTTTGAATCTTACATATCATTGGATAACGATAATTATCAAAACTACAAGCCATACGAACATTTGGACAATTACTTAATTACCCAAATAATTTTTATGATTATTCATTCAATAAATGACGACCATCTATACTATGTACAATAATAATGATTGAATGAGGAGTGTTTTCAATACATTTAATAATTTATTCTGAATTTCTTATATGTGAGTCTATTTTCAAAACATCACCCATTTTTTATAGGAACATTTTCATATTAATTAATGGTTTGAATCCTTTCATAACAAAAAAATACGATTATGGATTATTCCTATAAAACACATCAAAAATGTAAATACTCCATTAATTTTCTCATTACTTTTTCTAGTAATTCAATCTTACTTCCAATCCCATAAATTAATACATTGAAATCATGATTGATTTATTGAACAATATCTTTTGATCCAATGATATTTTCATCTAATTTCTCTTTCTCTGCTTAATCAGTTAATCTATTTTACAACTTTGTTAAATCAAAATCAGAACTATCAAATTTTGTTATTTCTGAATTGTCTTTGATTTTCAAAGATGAAAAATAATCCTTCAATTTTCCATATCTCCTTTAATATTCTTCTCTTCCTTTTTCATAAGTTTCCACTTACATAGTATATAATAATAATAATAATAATAATAATAATAATAATAATAATAATAATAATAATAATAATAATAATAATAATAATAATAATAATAATAATAATAATAATAATAATAATAATTAATTATGTAATATTCTTAATAAATATATTTTCAATATTATAATACATTAATACTTCCATTCTAACTAGTTAAAATAAGTGTCTTATTTTTAATTATCATCTTTGTAAATTATTAATCTTAATTTCCAATCAAATCATTCTAATTAGAGAAATCAGTAAATAAATATCCAAGTTTACTTTCTAATACCATTGAAAATACAGCCACATATCCTTTTTTTGTACCTACATAATTTGTAATAAAATATAATTTACATGCTATTAAATATTTATCATGATCTATAATGATATCTGTTATTAATCCATTATTTTTATCTATTTTAAAATCCAATAATTAACTCCCATTACTAAACATTTTTATTTATGTATCTCCAACAACTAATAAACTTTTTCTAAAGAATAATGATTTGACTATTTTCTCTCCATTAATTTCATAATGATTATGTTATGTCCAATTATTAGTATTAATTGTAATTACTCTACCATCAATATCACCAACAGCAATCATAGATTCATCTTCTGTAGCTGATATATGTGTAATTTATGCTTCCCAATCATCAATCATTTCTTCACTATCTTATTTTATTTGATTTTCAGAACACTCAAATCTCTTTAAAGAACAATCCCATGATCCTGTAATTAATGTTTTCTTCTTCATTAAATATACCAAAGAACTAACAGAATTATTGAATCTCTAAACCATTTATACTTTGCTTCCATAATTTATATTGAAAACATGTATCTAAGAACCCCAACTACCTATAGCAAATATTTCATCCTGCTTTAAAGTAACAATACAACTTAAACAAAATTCATCAACTTTAAATGATTTCAATACAATCAATTCCTTTAAATCAATCACCTTAAGAAATCCATCTTAACCTATTGTAACTAATAAATTCTTTCTCTCCAATACTATCAAATCTGTTATATTTCTATTATATTTATAATATATCTATTACGTCTTATGAACTTTCTATATCATTTTATGTCTAAATTAATCCTTCTTATCTAAATGTTCCCACATTAAACCATCAACATTTATTGGAATTTCCTCTTACTTTTATTTTGGTATCTACTCAACAAACTTATACATAATCTAACCAGCTCTTAATGCACATTTAGGAGGATGTTAGATTTTGAATAATTATTTAGGACATTATCCAAATTCATTGATTTAACATATACTTGCTTATCTCTCAATGGGATCTTACATTTAACTCAATTGAACTGTACCTTCATAAGTTAAATAATGGAAAACTAAATAAGAATTAATCATAATTTACATTACCATTATTGGCTTCAACAGAATGAGGTCCCTTTTGTTTGTACCCAAATATTAAATCTATCCAATGATGCAATTCATTACTAACATAATCACTTTCTAATGCCATTCTATTTAATCTAAGATAATCCTTAGCACTTTTAGCCCATTTTGGTAATTTCACATCACCAACTTTCTTTTAATTTTATCTTACTCCAAGATCCAAATTCAATTTATTAACTAAAAATGAGTCATCTTCTATAAAGAATTCAGGTATCAATTCTTTCAATGATGTTGGATTATTAATTACATTCTTAAAATCACCTTTAATACTTTTGAATAATCGATCAGGTTTATCAAATTTACCTGATTATAATTTTAACATATATTATGGTTTCTATCTCACTAAATATCCTATCACATATCCTGGAGTTGAATAATGTGTACCATAAAGAAACTTTGGAGGTGGCATTTCTTCATATCTCTTTTTGAATTCTTACAATCTTTTCTCATTCAATGCTCCTATTGGTTTCTTTAAATCCCTAAAAGTTGCAGAATCATTAAGATTTAATTCACATGACTCATAATCAACAATGATTAAGGGAAATACTGGATATTGAGTTAAATCACTAGAGCTTCGATTGCCAGCTTAATTCAAACGCATTAAATACTCAAAATTTGATATTTATCCACTTTACCATAGATATTGGATCTTCTCTAAACTAGTTTCTGCCTCTATAGTCACCTTTCCTAAACTAAATCAATAAACACATATACCAATAAGCACTTTGTACACTTCCTCCATCCTTTCTTGATTCTCAAATGCATAATAAATGGTCTTTCCACTCTTCATAATGATCTCCAATCCAATATCAAGTAATTCAAATCTTCGCTTATATAAAACCTTGATTTATTCAATCGAAATCTTCTTACATGGTTTTAAAGTGATCTTAAAGAACGGTTGAAAATAAATAATCTTATTAGTGATATACATAATTCCTAATTATATATATATATATCCAATACCTTTAGTTTATATTAATGGCATAATTCTTCTTACAAGCATCTCCTTCTAGATTAAAGGTTTCTCACTAACAGATTCTACAAAACTCATATTAAATCGTGCTTTTTGCAATTTCTCAGAATCCAATTTCTCTACTTCACTTTCCACATCATGTTTCTATTGATTAATCTATTATATTTTCTCTATCAAATCATTAACAACTTTGACATTATCAAATAATGGTTCTATTTGAATTTCAAAATCCACATCATCTTAATAGATATAAGGTGAAGGAGGACCTTAAGTAAAAATCTCAACAATCCTCTTAATCCTAAAACTAATAAAGTTAGTTTGCTTAATTGGTGTTGTAATCATTCGATAGAATAATTTCTAAATAGGTAATTCTTATTTCTCTGGCTCAAAAATCAAAGTCCTAGAACATATGTGAACCTTTCCTCTTTCCAATCTAAATATTAGCAATATAATTATATACCTTTCCTCTCCTTTTAACATATTTATTTATCTAACCTTTGCTGATAAATCCTATAAATACTTCTCACTCTCCTCCAAATAATATAATGAGAATCTACTTTTTGAAGAAGTAAATGTTATCATATACAAAATTTGTATTAATAATTTATACACATATCATTATTTTCACATACTAAAAATGGCAAGTCATACAATTAGGTATGTAATGCAGTGATACTTAAAAGCAAAGACATGGACACTGACAAATACTTCTTAATAGATAATGTAACTGCAGAAGTTAAACAAATCAATAAAAACGGTGACTATATTAAAAAGTTTAACATTGAACTAACTGGTAAAGCAAATTATAGTGAGAGAGTTACTAAAGCTTAAGGAGTAAATTATCATTCATTAAACTAGGATTAAGCTTATATGCCATACACTACCGAAGTATTATAAACTAAGCCTAATCTATATACTCCTTAAACAGACAAATTTGATGGTTATGCACAACTACCACGAACATTACAAGAACCCTACATAAATAACACTCGCAAAAGACCAAAAACTACAATTGAAGCCACAAAGTACTTGCTTGAAGGAAAAGATAAAAATAAAAAGTATTAAATTGGAAAATAATTGGAACATATAACTGGAACTATTCATGATTACTTTAAGGCTAAGTAATAGGGTAAAATAGAAATCTTAAAAATGAGAACTGAAACTAAAATGTAGGAATTTGTATCAGGAGGATCTGTTAAAATCATTAATGGTCATGAATTGACTCAACCGCAAGTTTTGCATAATCCTCCAGAGAAAAGAGCCAAATCAGCTTCCAGAATGAAGTGTGATACTATTCCAAATACAATTGAAACGAGAGCATAAACTAGTCAATAATCTAGAATTATTGTACCTTTAGAAGAATAAAAATTGAAATCAATACAATCGTATGGGACATTGAATCAAGAATTATAAAATACAGAATCAAAGACTTTATTTTAAAGTAGAACTTATATGTAAACATCTCAATCAAAACGAAATCAGAATGTAATAGACTAAAATGTTTAATTATACAATATACCTCATTTTAATGAAAGATTGGATATTTTTAAAAAAGAAATTTAAAGTTTCACTTTACCTTAAACAAAAGAGATTAAGTAAATCACTTCCAAAGGTAGATTTAATTATCATTTGGCTGACAATAAAGAACATTATAATTAAGATAGGTTAATGATGAAATTATGTATGTATTTATTTTTTTAAGTAGTTCAACCTGAATAATTTAAGTAAAATGAAAGTCCAAAAAAACAAGAAATGGAAAAACAAAGAAGAAATTTAGCTAAAATGAAAGAAGTTGATATGTTAACTAGAAATTTAAAATTGAAGTTGTGAATTACTATTCTAGAAAATATAATTTAGAAACACGACATGTGTTTGAATAAATAAAATAATTATGTCATTTTTTGGAAAAGTCTTCCTTCTCACAGCCCTTGCTGGTTACAGTTACCTCCTCTTAACAGATGTTACCTTAGGAAAACAATTTGATACCAAATATGCTAATTTCTAACAATAAGCATTGATCAAGCAAGTATTCAAATTCAATCTATATATTCAAGTACATTCCAGCTGATGTTTTCAAACATGTTCCAGCACTTTTAGCCAAATAAATTGTTGGAGGCCTTTTAGCAAGTTCTGTCTTGCTTTTTATATGTGGAGGGTATTAAACACAATTTAATTTTTTAAGTTTCGTCGTATTTCCTGTTCTTGGTTTGTTATTACAAATTGCCATCCAAAGCAATCCCTTATTTAGTAATGATCAAGTCACATAAATTGAATGTCTTAAGCTCACAGCATTGATTGGAGGATTATTAATTTGGGCTACATCCAATTGTTGTACTAAATAGACAACTAAAACAAAAACAGAGTGATAATAATAACATTATGATATTTCATTAAAAGTCATCTATTTTTGGATGTACATATTTATCCCAGTCTCTAGGTCTCTCTATCTTACTTTCTCCTTCTAACCATCTTTTTCTTTATCCATTTTCCCAAACTCCAACTTGACTCTGTCCATCGTTTAATATATACCTTCCTATACCATGTTGTTTTCCTGATAGCCAATATCCTTCATAACAACGACCATCATTCCACTTATAAACTCCAAATCCATGTTTCTTATCATTTAAATACTCTCCATCATAATATCTTCCATCTGGCCAATAGTAAATTCCTCTTCCATTCATCTGATTATGTTACCAAAATCCTTCATAGCGCTTTGTATGAAACAATCATCTTACCCTCCCATCTGGCCAATTATAGACTCCAAATCCATTCAATTTATTATCACTCCACATTCCTTTATACGTAGAACCATCAGTCCATTAATACCATCCAAGTCCTTATTTCTTTCCATACCTATATTATCCTTCATATTTAGAATTGTCTGCCCAAAATTCTTTTCCTTATCCATGTTATAAATCTTCCAACCATTCCCCCTCATATTAAGCTCCATCAGTATGAATATATTTTCCTACTCCATTTGCTCTATCATTTTTCCATTCACCTTCATAAAAATCTCCATCTACATGCCAAAACTTACCTCTTCCATTTGCTTAATTTGCTTTCCATTCACCTTCATACTTTGCACCATCAGACCATATTTGAATACCATAACCATCTCTCATATTTCCAACCCATTCACCATCATAAATTGCTCCACTCTTAAATACATATTTAGGTCTCTTCTCTCTTGGACCTTACTTATTAATTTCATCATGATTTAAATCTTCTTAATTTCTTTTATTCATTCCATCTTTCTTGATAATACTGGGATCATTCTAAGACTCTTGAGTCTGTTAAGGTTATTGTATTTGAACATTGAAAGAAACTAATTAGGTTGGTGCTGATCCTGGAGTGGCTATAGGAATAGGAGTTGGAGCTTCTGGTTAATACTTTTATTCAAGCTTTTCATTCTTCATTAAATCTATTCCTTTACTCACTAACTATTCTCATAAATTACATGAACTTTCGTCATTTTCTTCTTCAGGTGGTTACTAAGAATATTGATTCATATTCTGGGAACTTTGCTATCTGATTTCAGATATAACTACAACCTACTCTTCTCTTTTTTAACAAGTCTAACACTATGAACATTAACTACCCATTTTAAATTATAAAAAAATAATATATATATTCATCTAAAAATCTTGTTGACTAAATTATTTATAAATCTGTAAGCATAAATTTCTGGAGTTTAAGCAGAAACATTTAAATTAGGATTCATAGCCAATAATTATTTGGATGCCTTCTCTGCCATTTTTGATAAATTCCATTCCTAAAGATAATCAATTATAGCAATATGATAGTAAATATTTGGTTCTTCTTGAGATGGATAGGCATTTTAAGGTAGATCCACTAATCTGTCTACATTTCCTTAATACTCTCCCCAATCTATTTTCATTATTAAGAGAGAATAATCAAGCAAATAAGTATTTTTGAAAAATTCAGCATCTTTAATGAGTTGAAATTTGACAAAATCACTTTGAGATTATTCTATTTTGATCCATTTTTCAAGATTATCAAAATCCACATCCTTCAAAGTGATTTTGGAGAGATCAATATCTTTAGGTTTTCCCTTCAGTGCTTCTCTTGCAACTTCACTACCCTTCATATCAAAGGTTCTCTTAACAAAAGGACGAGGTACTTGAGATATATTTCTCATTAAGACCATGTGATAAATGATACCACAACTAGATGAAATATAATTCATATCATAGGAAAAGATCCCATAAATCTTATTAATTAGAGATTTCCTATATTCACTCATATGATGAAAATATTCTGGCATTCTCTGTCTAAAACTATTCAATTCTCTATCAGTAATAGTTTTAAGAATCCATTTATTATCATAACTGAAAAAAAAGAACTCTCCAGATTTACCTCCATCTACATTAATCATATTTTCAATTAATTCTGCATTTTTCTCTAATGAAAAGGAATCGTGAGCATCAATATCTAAATTATCAAATTTAAATAGCTAAAATATTATATAAATAAAATTACATAGTAAAAATATTTTGGAGCCAAGGCAAACATCATTGGATTCTTACCTTTTGTATATTAAGTTTCTTTAACATAAAAATTAAACTCTTTATTCAATGCTTAATTATTTAATTTATATTTCTCTAGAGTCTTTGCTATGGCTAATTATTCTTCACTCAAAGTCTCTCTAATAAGATTATCATTTAATGTGACATCATAATTTTATGTAGCCCTAGCTTATATCAATAATTAAGAAGTTCTATCAACATCAAATTCAGATTTTTCTACATTTTCCTCCAATTATGCATTGTCTAAATATTCTTCAATATTATTGAAATACTAGATTATCCCAGCTAAAACACTTCTAATCTAAAACATTCTTATGAATTTCTAAACTTCAATGAATTGTGTATCCACATCAACAATTTCCACTTCCTTTTTAGGTTGAGGATAGAATGCTTTATGTACCATATTAACTATTTTTCTCAATAAAGCAGGGTTCTTAACTCTCTAATAACAAAGAATTCCAGAACCCAATGTATAAAAGGAACATGTCGATATCATCATCACTGTGTCCAAATTAGCAGGTTAATATGACGGATGTTCACTTGTTTAAATAAATGTGCTAAGCAAAGTGAAACAAGACAGAAAAATAGTGGAAATGATATACATGACGTATCTAATGAGCGAAGACTTTTTATTAGTTCTAAATGTCACATCATTTGGTAAGTTCTAATAGAAGTACCATATTGTGTATAGTGCTGATATGATGTACACAAATTCAAATACATAAAGAGCCAAAGGTAAATAGTTCCTCTCCAATATGATTGTGTTGACACATTTATTCATTATTGTTTGACTTGCTCTTTGTTATATTTGAGGTTGAAATGCAAACAGAATCAACGATATGCATAATGTAAACACCAAACAGAAGGAATGAAGCAATAGTTTAAATTTTGCATTTGTTTTCAATACATTTGTAATCTCTTACCTAAAATAATCTTAATGATTACCTCATCGTAAAACAATATGCAAAATTGTATATAAATTAACCTAAGAATCCTAAGTTCTATGTGAAATCAACCCATTTGCAATAGGATGAATCATTTAAGTTATTATCTGGATTGCTGGGTGTATTTACATCAGGACTTGACATCATCCAATAGATTGAAGTACTCAATTGGCATAATCCTAAAGCAAATACAATATCTCCTGGAGATTTACGACCAGCTTTCCATGCCAAATAAGTAAAAACAATGAAAGAACTGCAAACAACATTCACACATGCAAAAGCAATAAGAGTGTAGAATTTCTAAGACATATATCAATAATATAATTCAAAATTATAATCTATATTTGCTACTTCTGTCAATTTTCTGAATGTTTCTGATACTTTTGTTTTCATTATGTCTGGTAGAGTATGTTAATCTCTTTGAGAACTACTCTATCTTTGTTATTCATCCTATTTGAATATTTATTATGGATTCAATTATTTCTATTCTGTCCAATCCACTACAAAGGGAATCCAACATTAATCACCTTACGCTTACCCAAATAAAGCATACAATACCATCTTTAATTCTTAAACATCTGACAACAATTTCTTATTCTAATATGACTTCAGGATCCGTTGACATTCCTCATTTGTAGCACTTTCCAATTATTATTACAATTAAACTAATTTTTAATTGTAATCTTTAATTACACAATTTCTTTCTGAAGACATATTTTAAGATTTAAAATTGTTCTCATTAGTTTCAATTATTTATTGAGGTTCCAATTCTTGATGTTCCCACTTTATTACATGAGCAAATGATGATGGATTTAAAGGATCAATACCTTAAACAAATACAGGTTTTTTAATAGAAACTTTACTCTTCTTCAACATCAATTTTACTTGATTCTTTATTTATGATACATTCATTTATTAACGTTATGATGAAATACTTTATTTTGCTAAATTAGAATGTAATAATATCTATTATGAATTATATTTCTAAGATAAAACTCTTGTTTCTTCAATATCTATTTCTAATTGTGCAGCTAAAAGTAGATATTATTTTGATTTTTCATCTAAATATTTTGGAAAATATTCTAATTTAGCACTCTCATTTATTTTTCTCATATTTTTAATTATACTTATCAAACCTTCAGGAACTAATTAATTATTTGATTCTTAAAATTATTTTAAAAATATATCTTTTAAAAGCATCTTACAACGTCTCTTTTTCTATCTCATATCATCTAATTCTTTTTATATTTATTATTATTTCTCACTATTCTATTGCATTTATATTCTCAATTATTATATTTCTTTTAATCTCTATCTTATTTCTTAATCTCTTTATAATCTTATTTTTTCAATTGTATCTAACAGAGTTCTCTTTTTTGTTGGAATTCCTTCCACTTATTATTATTATTATTATTATTATTACTATTATGTTTATTCAGAAATACATCCTTATCTTGCCTTTTCTTCCTTCAAAAAAAACTTTCTTCTAATATCTGATACTTCTTCTTCCAAACGATTTTATTCCTACACTAATTAATTATTATCTATTCTCATTTAAAATTGAATAGTTTTATGTTCCTTTATTTGAGTTTAGAATAATTAATAACTCTCCATTAATTGTTTTGCAGATGAAGAAGTTTATTATTATTAAGGTATTTGAGTTGTTGGAAAAGAAGTTGGTGGTCTATTTGAATAGTGTTTAGCTTTAGTCAATACAATATCATAATCAATATATTATGCAGGATTACTAAAGTATTCTGTTATTCCTTTAAAATTATTTAAAGTCTTTTATTTTAGAGCATGAGATTGATCTCTAAATACTTGAGTTGTTTCTTCATCCATTTTTTGTATGTTCCAATTGGTTTTATGCTTTCGATTGATTTATAACATATCAAGTTTTTTTGTTACTTTTTATAATAGTAAACTATTTAGAATTTGCTTATTCATCTCAATTCTAACTTAATCTAAAGTCTTAAGTACATTATTGCCTGGTTCTTTGCTTGGTCTTAACATTTAGAATTTAACTTGAACATCCTCATTAGTCTCTTGATTTTTTTGATATTATTTCTCAATTGGTTTCATGATTTAGTTAATGATATTTTAATTGATTTATGGACCATTATCAATATTAAATTCATGTTCAATTACTTTATGGTTGTCATTTTATTTTACTTATTCAAATGCATATGCCTTCTTTTTTGAGATGATATTTTCATGCCACTGATCCAGTTATTCAAGTAATGGATCTATTTCATTCTCTAATATATTATTATATATATCAAATACCATTCTTTTTTTGATTCCTTTTTTGATCATCTTATACATCACCTAAATCGACGACATTCCTCATACGAATGATTTTCCTGTCTTCATACTGATATCATTCTTTACCTCTTTAGGCTGGATCAGTTTCCTCAAATTAATTTTAACTTTTTGCTTTAGCCAAACTTCTCTTTGGAAGGAGTGTGGAAGCAGTACTTTAGGTTATTTTTTTCATTAAAAAATTAATAAAATGTTTAAACAAAAACCAGAAATGGAAATACTAAAATATGGACCTAAATCAACAAAATCAAACTTAAAAGCATTAAAAAGAACAGAAACCATTTTATCTGAAAAAAAAAGTTCTTTTGAAGATAGCCGAGTAACTTTATTACTATTTGAAAAATATCGAATTGTAGAGATAACCAGATTTAGCGTTATACTTGCATGCTAAATCTTAGCAATCCTATAGGTACTTATTGATTCTTATCACTTATTAGTATGAAAGTTCATTTCAAGATCAATTCGATAGAAATTTCGACGATGAAACAACTCTACTCCTTTACCTTATTTTCATTTAAACCCTTGCTGCAAGTATATCGCATATTTAAATTTAGTTACTCTTACCTTAATTTCCTATTAAGTCCTTTTAGCTTATCAAAAGAAGGCTAAGATGATTACACCTTAGGCTAGTCTATTAGATTCCAATCTAATATAAGGTCTTATAATAGAAGTTTTGTTGATGATACCCTCTCCTACTCCTTTCACTCAAAGGATCAAAATTACATTTTCCGAACGTTACACAAATACTTTACGCTATTATTATTTAAATGAAATTCTAACTTACATACTTACATGTAGAGTTGTACTTTTAATTAATATTGCCCTCAAATTTTAAGGATTTTACAATAGTCAAATAGGCAGATTGTGGTTAAGTATTTAATTCTATTTTTAGCCGACTCTATTCTACTGAATTTGATACACATTTAGTATTCAAAATATGTATGAAGGATATTCCTGGCTTTACATTGATGGGTTTATTTGGAGCTGGAATGCTTCTATTTGGTTATAGTATGGAAATTGCTGAAAGAGCCCTTCTTCGTGATGAATCTTCATATAGTAATTACAATGTGTGTAATTCTCTTTGGGTTACTCTAATTACAATTGCCACTGTTGGTTATGGTGATTTTTATCCCACAACAGATTTAGGTAGATTATCAATGGCCGTTTGTGTTTTCTGGGGTGTTTCCAATACTTCTCTCTTCACTGCTATGCTTTACTCAATGTTGCAAGCAGAAACTAGTGAAGAATTAGTATGGGCTTTGCTTGAAAAAGCAAGTGTAAGCAAAGTTATGAGGGCTTTTAGTTAATTTTTGTTTGTCAGAATACAAAAACTCAAGCTTAAGGCTTAATCATTAAATTATAACGATAAAAGTCATTTTTAAGGATAAGCTGGTTTGATTCAAGAAACCTTAAAGGCAATTACTTAAATGAAAAGGTAATATAGAGATATTGATGGAGAAGAGACAATGGCTATGGCATAGAGAAAATTCAAAGATATAAATAACATGTTCGATGAAAATTATTCTATCTTGAATGAGATTAAAAGATTACAATTAATCACAAATATCCATTACTCATATTGTCATGGTTCTAAGTGTAATTCAGATTCAAAAAATAAATAAAGTTCCCCACATATCTAAACTAATCAAACTGATGATAAACAAAGTAAAGATGAAGCATTTTTCGCTAATTTGTAAGATAATGAATCCAATCTATTTTTGATGGATTTTTGTGATTGACTACATTTTATATTAAAATAATGAATTTTATTTTTCTTATCTCTTAATAATAATACTTAGATATTCAATTATCATAAATAATTATATATATTAATACTAGTTAAGTTAGAATTTGAATTTTTTTAAGACACTATTATTTTAATATTATATGAATAATTAATATAAGAAATTTTGCAATGATTCTATTATTTGTCTTGATAGATCTCAAATTATTATGAAAAAGATATCAATTTTTATGAATATAAATTTTATTAAGAAGGATTATATTGTATTCAATAATAATATTTAAATTATAAAATATTAAATTATTATATTCTTTCAATTATAATTTTATATTTTCGTATTCAAATAATTATCTTCTAAAATTTAATAATTAAAATAGTGCAAAAAATTTTTTGAAACCTCTAACACTTTTTCTTAAATCAAAGGAAATATCAAAGAATTGTATAGAAAATAAAGAATAATTGTTTATTCTTATTATCATATTATTTAATATACTTTGATGTTTGAAAAGTTATGAGTTGAAATTTAAGTCCAAGAATTCTAAATTTAAAACAACATAAATACAAGTTATAAAATTTGACACTATTAAAAATTAATTGACAAAAATGATTGAAGAAGATGAGAAAATATTTTATTGCTTACAAGAAAATTAAATTCCAATCATAACTATTGTTATTGATTCAAAGCTATCTATGAGTTAAAGATTATTGTGTTCTTTCTGCTTAAATAATACAAATCTGTTATATATTAATTTTTTGAAGTTTTTAATTATTGAAGAAAAATTATCAAATAAGATGGAAAAAGTCGATCAAATAATAACAATAAATATTGAAAATATCAAAATTATTATAAATCAAATTATACATTTTAAACTTTAATTAATTTAATAATTAGAACAATTAGATACTATTTTATTTGTATGAATGGCAAATTTAGAATAATATAGATAATCTCTTTATAGCTTTTATAATGAATTAAATTTAATTATTGATTTACAACTTTAAGATGAATTCCATATGGAACTACTTACTGAATATACAATTAAAATAAATAGTTGCTGGTATTCAAAAGTTAATAGAAAATTAGAATAATTTAATAATTTGAATATTATACTAATTGTTAAGAAATACTGTTATAGATATAATTAAATGGTGTGTAATGTTATAGTTTTTGATTCTTCTCAATCTATTGTCGTATCTACTTATAATTAAAATATAAAAATATGGAGTTTAATTTTAGGAAGAATTACACTACTACAAACTTTGCATGGTCATAATGATATAATTCAGTATTTAATATATAGGTAAAAGACAAACTCTTTTTTCAAAATCTTATGAATCACATACAGATGTTGTATTAAGCATGATTCTAAATGAAAAATGACAATCTAATCTTTTCTGAAGCAAAGATAAATCAATCAAAGCCTGGAAAGTTGATTTTTTTCTTAATTAAGCTTATCTTCATTGATTAAACAAACACAATAGTGATGTAATTTGATTAAGTTTGAATTAGTCAGAAAATATCTTAGTATCTTGTGCATAGTAATATGACCAAATCATCATTTGGGAAAAAATTAAGTAGATTAATTTTAATCGAAACATTTTGTTAATATGGATAACAATATTAATTAAAAAAAATATCAATTTTTGTAAATAATAAATTATTATTTAATTAACTCAACTATAAATTTACATTATAGAGTGATGGATTCAGAGTTTAATTTATAAAAGAGAATTAATTTATTTGGATCCCTAGTAATTAAGATATAAACAGAGTTTATGTATTTGAATAAAATGATTGAATATTTAAAGAGAATTCAGAAAAGACTATTTATTTATTATTTAATGATCAATTAAATGAACAATATCATTTTCCAATAGTGTAAAATAAAGAAAAAATTTAATATTTTTAAAACATCAAACTTATCTATATTCAATAAGTGAAATGAAAGATGAAAAGTTTAAAATACTTAGTTAATTGAACTGTGACACATATTTAATTTGTGGAATTGTTACTAATAATGGAAAATATTTGTTATTTTTTGATGATAAAATGAAGGATTTTCTATCTATGAGATATCAACTAAATAAACATAATTATGATAAAGAAAGAAAGAATTATCTGGAATATTTTGGAATTATATTAAATACAATTCTATTATATTTTTATTATAACAAATTTCTATGAATATCTCTAACAGTTTAATGTGATACAATCTACTTTTATGGATTTAGAATTTGCTATCTTTTTTGTATTAAATGATTAGTAATTAACCGAATATTGGTGGTTTTTTTGAGTAGAATAATTTTGTAGTTTAAAACAACTCTTAGTATAATTTTTTATTTTTATAATTATTTAATGCTCTGACTATGATCATTGTTATTTTATAATAGAAAACATAAAATTTCAATGAAACTTCTATAAAATAAATTAATTACTAAGAAATTATTATTTGAAAAATAAACATTGTTAAATTCTAACTTTCAAACCACATGGAATGATCCTAATAAAAATAATTAGCTTCAATATAAGCTTTAAGTTTAAATTTAGTTTTTTAGAATTTTCTACAAAAAATAAGAATACAATTTACCAATATTTTATCTCAGTATTTATTTCCTCTATAGATTTAACTATTGATTTACTTTTTATTTATATTAAATATTTAATTACTTTTTTGAAATATGAAGTCTCCTAATTTAACAAAGAATTACAATTCTAAAGTTATAACTATTTGATCCAATCATATTGTACAAGAACAGAAAAATATACAAAAAAAATAAGCTTAATCCTGGTGAGATAAAACCAACCACCCTCAGAATAAACCGATTATGTTCCATACGTAACTGACTCATAACCTTAGTATAATCAATTTAAGACGTTGATTTTCTATGATAATTTTTTATTGAAAAAACGATAATTTCTTCCTTTCATCTTACAAAAATTTAGATTTTAAGGATATTTCCCAATTTAGTTTAATCCCTAAGTCCAATAATTGAAAGGTTATAATAATTTAGACAGTATTTCAAATAAAGATTTGTTTATGCTTATGCTTATGCTTAGATTTGAATGGTTTAAATAACAATAGAACAATTCACTATTCTATGGATTACTTTTTAATACAACTATATTTTCAAAAATAAAATAATTTTGGAAAACATATCTCTATTTTTTTAGTAACACTACAAATATTGACTAATAAAAATAATCTCTAATGCAAACGTCGTTATTGATTTGCAATAATGATATCATCTTATTTATTTCTTTTTATTTATAACAAAAATTTTGAAGATTGACTTATACTTCATAATTCAGTCAAACTTTTTAATTATTTTTTTTTATTTAAAAAATTTAAAATGTTATTTTCAACCGTTCACCTGAAGTAGAGTCAGAAAACTACAATTACTCGTATAATTTTGCCATCATTTATATTAATATAATCGAAATTTTTAGAAAACTCAAAGATTTCATTCATATTTGAATTTTCTGTAACATTAAATGTCTGATAGAAGAAATGCTGATTTTCTGTAAGGATATCACCATATTAAAGTTAGGTAGCCAATTTTTTTTATTAGCAAATCATTTATTGATTTTTATAAAAACCATCTACCCACTTTTGGTATTTTTAGGAATATGCATCCAATTTAATACTAAAAATGATATTTTAATTTTATGAAGGTATATTTAATATTTCACATTGTGTACGGAATCATTACATATGATTCCAATACTATTAAAAATTTTGCTTATTAGTTTAGTGGAGGAAGTAGATGCATTTCACCTTTAGAACGATAAGTAACAGTCTATTTTTCTGACATATTTGCAAAACCTCCAAAAATAATTTTATTAACAGAAGTGTTCGACTTAGATCATCCATAAGTTTATTTCACCCTTTAGATTATGACTGTTACAACAGATTGTATTAATTATCAAGTATTAGATTTTATACTGCAATAAAAATGCGATTATTCAGTCGTCTATGCTATTGTAATTAGATGGTAAGCAATAGATGATGAAAGAATTTAAGTTATAAATGAGTTTAACATGATTTCATTCTAGAATAAAACTTATCCTCACATTAACCCTAATTTCGAAGAGGCTGTTATCTCTTTGATTAATTTTTCCTATAAAGGTTCTATTTAGTTCAATATCCTGGTATTTATTTAGAGAAATAAACTTAGATCGAGGAATTAACGACGACAAATGTATCTGTTGTAATAACGAATCCAAATGATGGCTTAAAAAATCTACTTGTTTTGGGTTATTAAGTAATTTTAGGAGTCAAAGAAGCCATTTCACAATTTAGTTCGATCTAAACAACTGCTGCCTATACAAGTCCTCATTATAATTTTAAAGATTCTTCTTGGTTGATTACACCTTTCATAGGGTTTTCTTATAATGTAAATGATAACGTTAGACTAAATATAACTTATTATAAAGATGAATAGGCAATATGGTATCAGCTAAATACATTTTTAAGTACAATTGATTCATATGATTTTAGATGGGAAGTTTTGGAGCTATTATACTCCACAAAACCATTAGCCAGCATGGCTCAAGTATTCATTTACAACCATATACACNAAAAATGATATTTTAATTTTATGAAGGTATATTTAATATTTCACATTGTGTACGGAATCATTACATATGATTCCAATACTATTAAAAATTTTGCTTATTAGTTTAGTGGAGGAAGTAGATGCATTTCACCTTTAGAACGATAAGTAACAGTCTATTTTTCTGACATATTTGCAAAACCTCCAAAAATAATTTTATTAACAGAAGTGTTCGACTTAGATCATCCATAAGTTTATTTCACCCTTTAGATTATGACTGTTACAACAGATTGTATTAATTATCAAGTATTAGATTTTATACTGCAATAAAAATGCGATTATTCAGTCGTCTATGCTATTGTAATTAGATGGTAAGCAATAGATGATGAAAGAATTTAAGTTATAAATGAGTTTAACATGATTTCATTCTAGAATAAAACTTATCCTCACATTAACCCTAATTTCGAAGAGGCTGTTATCTCTTTGATTAATTTTTCCTATAAAGGTTCTATTTAGTTCAATATCCTGGTATTTATTTAGAGAAATAAACTTAGATCGAGGAATTAACGACGACAAATGTATCTGTTGTAATAACGAATCCAAATGATGGCTTAAAAAATCTACTTGTTTTGGGTTATTAAGTAATTTTAGGAGTCAAAGAAGCCATTTCACAATTTAGTTCGATCTAAACAACTGCTGCCTATACAAGTCCTCATTATAATTTTAAAGATTCTTCTTGGTTGATTACACCTTTCATAGGGTTTTCTTATAATGTAAATGATAACGTTAGACTAAATATAACTTATTATAAAGATGAATAGGCAATATGGTATCAGCTAAATACATTTTTAAGTACAATTGATTCATATGATTTTAGATGGGAAGTTTTGGAGCTATTATACTCCACAAAACCATTAGCCAGCATGGCTCAAGTATTCATTTACAACCATATACACAGCATTAGAATGTAGAACATTAAGAATTACATAAATAAAAGAAAAGCAAGCAGTTTTCAGAAATTCTTTTGAGATTGAAATTTTGGAAACTTCCTAATTATTCAATAATTAAGATACATTTTAAATAATTCTTGATAAAAGTTATTAGTTAATAAACATAAAGATTTATGCAAAATGCTTTACAAATAAATCTATTAAAAGTTACTTAAATAAATGCAATGGATGCTTACAAAATTAATAACACTAGTTTTAGCATAATTGCTACGGGGCTATCAATACAATTAACTTCTCAATTAAATTATTCCCAACAATTTTGGCTCATTAAGAATTGATAATTATAATATCAAATATTGATTGTTAAGTATTTTAAGTACTATACAATTAAGAGAAGAGTTAAGTCAAACTCATAGATATCAAACAAATTGACACTTGATTATGATAATATATATATTCATTGAAAATATTTAATTTAGCCTATCATTTCATATTAAAATAACCAAAGAATCAATCATAGTAATTTTTGCTTATTATGATGATTTGTTCAGCAAATTTTGAGACTCTAGAGTGATGATAAATATAGGTAGATTAATCAATAAACTAAATTTATAGGTTTGCATAAAGTCCTATAGAAATTTCAAATTGGGTCTAAATTATAAATTCTCGAAGGATAGTTCTTGTTATTTCTTTGTTAATATTAAATCAAATTCATATATTATGATTTTCTTGAAAAACTATATATTAATCGGTTGCCACAGAAGAATTTAAGACCAAGTTAATCTATTTTTTTTTTTAAAGTAAATACTTGATTTTCTCTTTTTATTATTAGATTAGTGATTGTTCTTATTTTTTCAAAACGATTGATTATCTGAATAGCAATATTATGATAATGTGATCTCTTTAATATTGGACAGCCACATAGGTAGGTCTAGATGTATGCCAAGTTAAAATACTAAAATAAATGATTAAGATTTAAAAAATGAAGAAAAGTCTTCATCATAACCAAAGAATATAGCTATTAATGATATCATTCAAATGATTCGATACAATCGTTTAAGTTTTCGTATCTCATTTTCAACAAAATTATTAATTTCATAAATTTCTTTTTTAGATCTATTTTAGAAAATAAGTTCATTAAAAATTATTTTTACTAAGAAGGAATTTAAGTTTGAATTGTAAATATGATTTCATGAGTTATATAAATTCTTATTAAGATGTAAATCGCTTTCATAAAGCAACTATGTCACACTTTTTAAAATTAACTTATATATCAAATAATCTCAAACATATAAATTATTATTTCTTTTTCTTTGTCTAAAATTAGTGGTCAGTTGAAATAATAATAAAAATAAAAATAGATATTATTATTTAATTCAATAGTAATGAAAATTAAGCAATTTTATTATTCAATAATCATTTTTCTATCAGGGATTTAGTATTTTTTCTCATTCAACTTACTATAAAACTGAAAATATCTAGCCCATAAATAATTTGGATTTAATCCAATAGCTTTATTATAATAAATAAGAGCTTCCTTATATTTTGACAATCTTGTAGAAAAAAATAAAAAAATGTGAATTTAACCAAGCTCCTATATAATAAATATATGGTAAACCTTTAGTGGCTAAGGATAACTCAGAATTTGGATATATGTTCAATTTTTGTCTAGAATCTCAAGTGCTTTAGCAAAATTTCCTAACATTCTNATTTTGGCTCATTAAGAATTGATAATTATAATATCAAATATTGATTGTTAAGTATTTTAAGTACTATACAATTAAGAGAAGAGTTAAGTCAAACTCATAGATATCAAACAAATTGACACTTGATTATGATAATATATATATTCATTGAAAATATTTAATTTAGCCTATCATTTCATATTAAAATAACCAAAGAATCAATCATAGTAATTTTTGCTTATTATGATGATTTGTTCAGCAAATTTTGAGACTCTAGAGTGATGATAAATATAGGTAGATTAATCAATAAACTAAATTTATAGGTTTGCATAAAGTCCTATAGAAATTTCAAATTGGGTCTAAATTATAAATTCTCGAAGGATAGTTCTTGTTATTTCTTTGTTAATATTAAATCAAATTCATATATTATGATTTTCTTGAAAAACTATATATTAATCGGTTGCCACAGAAGAATTTAAGACCAAGTTAATCTATTTTTTTTTTTAAAGTAAATACTTGATTTTCTCTTTTTATTATTAGATTAGTGATTGTTCTTATTTTTTCAAAACGATTGATTATCTGAATAGCAATATTATGATAATGTGATCTCTTTAATATTGGACAGCCACATAGGTAGGTCTAGATGTATGCCAAGTTAAAATACTAAAATAAATGATTAAGATTTAAAAAATGAAGAAAAGTCTTCATCATAACCAAAGAATATAGCTATTAATGATATCATTCAAATGATTCGATACAATCGTTTAAGTTTTCGTATCTCATTTTCAACAAAATTATTAATTTCATAAATTTCTTTTTTAGATCTATTTTAGAAAATAAGTTCATTAAAAATTATTTTTACTAAGAAGGAATTTAAGTTTGAATTGTAAATATGATTTCATGAGTTATATAAATTCTTATTAAGATGTAAATCGCTTTCATAAAGCAACTATGTCACACTTTTTAAAATTAACTTATATATCAAATAATCTCAAACATATAAATTATTATTTCTTTTTCTTTGTCTAAAATTAGTGGTCAGTTGAAATAATAATAAAAATAAAAATAGATATTATTATTTAATTCAATAGTAATGAAAATTAAGCAATTTTATTATTCAATAATCATTTTTCTATCAGGGATTTAGTATTTTTTCTCATTCAACTTACTATAAAACTGAAAATATCTAGCCCATAAATAATTTGGATTTAATCCAATAGCTTTATTATAATAAATAAGAGCTTCCTTATATTTTGACAATCTTGTAGAAAAAAATAAAAAAATGTGAATTTAACCAAGCTCCTATATAATAAATATATGGTAAACCTTTAGTGGCTAAGGATAACTCAGAATTTGGATATATGTTCAATTTTTGTCTAGAATCTCAAGTGCTTTAGCAAAATTTCCTAACATTCTAATAATTGACTAATGCTAAAAGAACATAATGATTTACCTATAGAAAGGAATCAATAATCACCTTTTGTGTGTAATGAGTAAACATTTTTAGAATCTATTGACAAAGCTTTATCTGCCCATATAATTGCTGCTTTATAATCATCAAGCATTTTTATAATCAAATAGTTTATGATTAAAATACTTTGAACTATCAGCTAAAATATTTATTAATTATTTGTAGTAGATCAATTAATAAAATTATATTGTAACCCAGTTTTTCTTTATAAGTTTAAAATTTGATTTATTTATCCTTTTTGGGAATATCTTTTAAGTAAACACTATACTATACTGATTAAGCATTCTTACATTTAAAAGTTTAAAAATAATTAAACTTAGACTGTCAGCTAATATATTTATCTATAGCTTTTATACCTTTCGTATGTAATGATTATTAATGACTAGGATTAATTAGTAATGCATTATCAATTAATTGTATTGCTTCTTCATATTTTTCATCATACTAATATAATTGAAATCCTAATTAAATATTTGTAATACCTGTTTAAAATAATTATTCTGCTTGTTCTGATTCTTTCTAGGTTAATTAATTATAATAAATCCTCTATAGTTAATAAATAATTTAAAATGGATCTATCAATTCTATTAAAGTAAAGTTTCAATTCTATAGTTTATTTTTTTAATTAAATTATCATGACATTCGAACATTATTTTACATCATCTAGTAAAATTTAAGTAATTTCATTATATTTAAACATTTCGTCAAAAGTTTAATTCAATTACTTTGCATCCAATTTAAAAATTCTTTCTTTTTATAATTGATATTTAATCCTCAATCCTTAATTAAGTTAAATTAATATTTTTTTAATATTTCCTATTTCCAAACATAATCTTTATATTAAATCTTCACAATCTTTCCTGATTTGATCAGAAAATTCAATAAATTTATTTAAATCATATTGATCTTTTGGATGAGAAACATGATATCCATTTCGAAGAAAATTGAAACAATAAATTCTATTTTATTTGCATGCTTGATTAAAGCATGTAAATTACATGATACAATCATGTTCTTCAATAGAATATTATATCTATAGTTCTTTAGTCTCATTTATACCTATTATTATTATTGTTAATTCTAAAAAATTAGTTAAATGTTATTTTTAGAGCATAATTTTTGATTCATACCACAAGAATTAAGATATTCAAAAATATGTACTATTTAATACAATTTCCTCTTTTAATTAAAATATATTATTTGCATTTGATAGAACTAATAAAATATATAGTCCTATATATAACTTATTTACCAAAAACATAAAGGAAATACACCAAAATAAAATAAATATACTAAATCTGGTCTTATTAATGCGAGGAATTGAAAATGAATGCTTATTTAAATACCCATTAAAACAATAATAATAAACTAAATACACAAAAACAAATAACAAACAGTTTTAATAAATTGCAAATATAAATTCTCATTAATCTAGTGAATAATTAATAATTATTAACTGAAATTTTAGTTCATTAAAATTAAATACATTAGTTGCTATAAAATAATATTGTCCCCATATTATATTTTTATAAGTAATTCGAGTTTATGTTAATTCTAGCCCCTAGTATAATTTTATAAATAATTTAAGAAAATCAAATAGTTAAGGAGGAGAATTAGCTGTAGGTGTTCATAAATAATTTATAATTAGAGATATATCTAATTGTTTAGAACTAGTAAATCTATAATATTAACTTATTTAATGAAATTTAGAATTAATATTACTTAATCTCTATTCACCTTTATCATCAGGATACAGATAAAATGTAATAATGATATAATAGTTTTATATTTGATGAAAATAAAGGAAATCTAATGTAATAGTTATTATAGTAGGAGATATAAATAACAAAGCAAATAGTATTTAAGAATTATAAGATATTATATCTTAAAATTAATACACTTTTATTAGAAAAAGAGGTAATTAAATTATAAAATCTATAACTGATATTTCTATGATAGAAAGATATTATATAATTAACCAAGAATTTATTTACAATTTATCAGACCATCTTATGATTATTAGCAAATGAACTATTCCGTATAAATAATATATTTAAAAAAAAATTTGAGTTTAAAATAAATAAAGGAGTAGTCTATCAATTAAATAGGTAGTTTAGCATAAGTTAGAATTTTTAAGATTTTTTTTTTTATTAGAAAGTAATTAGTAATGCTTACAATTCAAAGCCCTTTATATAAATGGCTAAAATTTCGATTTTTAAATTAATTGAGTAATTATTGCTAATATTATTCAGATAATAAGTAGGATTTATAAAAGGAATGAACACATAAGTTTAAATATTAAATTTATTTAAATCTTTAATTGTATGCAAGCAAAATCAAAATAAATAAATATTGTTTGTACTTTTCAATCAGCATATAATATGGCAAATTTAGAATTGTTATTTAAATATATATAAAAGAAATAAATATTACCATAAATTGATATTAACTTTTAAAAAGCACTTATATCACATCAATATATAGTTAATCATGGAAAGAAATATAGCTTTTCTTAAGGTATTTTTTTATGATGATGATTTAACTATTATTTATCAAAACAAGAATATAGAAAAAATAATTTTACGATTCAAGAAAGTAAGTTAAAGATTAGAATTGATTTTAAATATTAATATATGTGCCATTATGTAAATAAAGTAAAAAGAAAAAGATTTTTAAGTAAATAAGGATATTATGGGAATATAAATAGTCAAATCTTAAAAAATATTTAAGAGTTGAAATAAACTCTTAAGGAGAAATAACAAATCACATTTTAACTATAGAAAAAAAGATTAATTATTTTAGAAAAGGTTTTCTTAAATTATTAAAAGATATGAGAATTGGTAATAGAATTCTTCTTTGGTCTTTGTATATGAGAATTTACTTTTAATATATATTATCTATTTTTTAATTATAAAAGAAGACAATTTAAATTTAAATAAAACAGTTATGAAAAAGAAGCATTAAGGAGTGGCTTTCAAACCTAAAATTACTCCAGATTATTTTTTTTTCGAATTGATTATTGGATAATTTACTGAAATTATAGATTAATCTTATAAAAAAACTGAAATTTAGTTAAATTAAAGGTCAAATTATTATAAGTAAAGAACTGAAGAGTTTTAAAATAAAATTTAATATCAAAAAATTAAGTTTTAAGGAATTATGAATTTACTAAATGAAATAAGTATATTGTTTCTTTTACCTATCAGAAATTTTAAATAACATTAATAGTTAATGAATGATTAACATATTAAAAGCGAACATAATTTTGATTTAAAAGGGGGATTTGAGTCAATAATAAGTGAAAAATAAAATATATAGAGTCTAAATTGGTTTTAAAATAATATGATAAGAATTTTAGAAGAAGCAGATTAATATAGATTTAAAAAAAAGAAAAAACATTTAGTAATGGATTAATGAACAGAATAAATGATGGGTGTGTGTGTATTATGATTATTATTATTATTAAATAAAAAATGGATGAATGATAGATGGCAAATACAAATAAATTTTCTTAAACCTAATCGATATCCAAATAGAAATAATCAAGAATAAACAAAAATTGTAATTAAAAAATACATGAGAAAATTTCAAAGAAATATACCCAAAGATAATCAAAATCTTTCTTAGAGAATTAGATCTTGATTTTTAATAATTAAATTATAATATAATTATTATATTGTTTTCTCATATTTGAAAAAAATTATTTCAATCAATATTATTAAATATTTGTTAGGTTTTTTTATGATTATTCTCAAAATAGATTTTCACATTCAATATGATTCAAATATATTTTTCATAATTTTCTTTTCAAATACTTCAAAGTCAAAATGAATTAAAATTAATAATAAAAATGAAACTGATATAAGAAAAGGTAATGAGTAGAATATTTTTTATTATAAATTCTAATTCATTAATACATAAGTTTATTAAAATTTTTATGTAAAACTTTGAATAACAAGTAGATCAAGAATAAAATACTAACTAAAAATAATAATAAAAACAAATACAATAACCCGTGATTGAGCAACAGATAAAGAAGGAACTAAATGAACCTATGAAAATTAAGAAAATTAAGAAACATAAGAAACTTATGAAGCCTAAGAGACATATGAAATTGTGGAAATTAATTAAGCTGTCGATACCTGATGAACCTGATTAATTTTAATTTGATGAACCTGATTAATTTTAATTTGATGAATCTGATCAATCTTAATTTGGTATAATTACGATGATGAGCGCAGGAATGAATGGATGTGATTTTGAATTCTTAGCCCTATCGGATTCAAAGCTTGATCTAATAAAGAAAATTATAAGAGAGGAAATAAAATAAGAGAATTGAGATATAGTATAATTATACAATATAAAATTTACAATATATTCTAAAAGTTAGAATTTCGAATATTTTTATTTCTTAAACTCAATACTTCTTGATCTTAAATAAAAATTATGAATTTTCATTTGTTAGCAATTCCAACTTATTATAAACTTTATATTTGTTATATTAAATACATTTCTTTTAAACATATTTATTAATAGAGGAATTGTAGAAAATTTATTATAAATTTCATTCATTTTTATTATAATGCGCTTACTATTAAATCTAAAAAAAATAGGAATAATGGTTGAATCAAGAAGAAATAAACCAAATATAATGGTATCAATCCATTATGAATTGAATTGGAATTGCTACAATTTAACCAAATTTAGAACATGCCAAATTTACATTCATACTTATTGATTTAACAAATCTAAAGTATGATTTTTTTTTCAAAAAATCAATTTCCTTGAAATAAAATTTGAATTATTAACGGCCATTGTATTAATTCTACCACACGAACTGAAATCAAAACTTCCTTCTGTATAATTTCAAACACCTAGTAATTATCAGGTTAAAATTTCATTAATAAATGTATTTAAAATAATAAATATTTATTAGTAGATAAGCCCTATTAAAAGAAGAAGGAAGGATTTTTATTTTGTCACTTGTGATAATTTTTCTAAAGTTCATTCTTTGTTGAGTACTTTAGAGGTGATTATATTTAAAGAAACTGTGTGGATATTCTATTTTTTAACTAATTATCAATGATATATGAAACACCTGAAATATATAAAGGAATAATGTATTTAAAAGCAACCATTTAAATAAAGTCACATTATTACTTGAGATTAAGAATGACATTAAAAATCAAAAAAAATCAAAATATATATCTCATAAAGAATCTCTTTAATTAGGGTTGACTTAAAATTTCTGAAAAAATCATTATTCGATATCCTATAGATTAATAGCTTCTTTAGCAATCATAATTGCAAATAAAACTATGGAATTAGCAATTTATAGATTGTGATTGATGATGAAACATTTAGGGTTTTCTGTATATTGTTAATATCAGTTCAATCAAGATTAAAAAAAACTAATAATAACAAATGTAAGTTACTTTAAACAAAGAAAATAGCTACCTATATTCATAGAGATTAATATTTTGCATACTAAAATTCCATTAGTTTTTGAGTTTTTATCAAACTTCTAAGTTTTCTATAAAGATGATTCAGAAAGAGAGATCTAAATTAAAAATTAAAATTAATATATTCTTCCTGAATTTATTCCAACTTTAAATTCCATAAGAATCTAAAATGAAAAATTGCTAATCACTTTGAATAGAATAAAGATTACCAATATAATTTAAGTAAGGATAAATCTTTTGAATAACAATAAAAACTTGATACTTTGGAAGGATCGAAATCAGAGCATGAAACTTAAAGTAAATAAAAAAGAAATACTCATTAACTAATAGAAATTGAATTGAATTCTGCAGAAGATCAAAATATAGAAGAATAATTATAAATTATATTGGCTACAGTTAAAACTAGATAAACACGTAAAGAATTCTTAGAAACGAAAAATTAAATGAAAAATAAGCATAAAGCTAGTACGTGGAATGGAAGTGGAAATTAATATACTTAAAAAAAATTAATTAGAAACATAGTTCATTAATTTCCAAATTCTTCTTTTAATTTATATTAAAATAGCATCATTTTTTTAGTTTAAATGTTTAAATGTTTAATAATACTCATTTCCTAACCAAAATTCCATTACAAGAATGGAATTCCTAATTTGGATAAAGGCCACACACTCCACAATGACCTTAAAGAGTCTCGATTCTTTGGTAATCCGGTTATACGAGCTAATTACCGGAGATT